TGGGCTTTCGATTGCTGTGCTCAGAGTGGTCCGTACAGAGGAGTAGGTGCCGGTTCGTCTGCGTTTGGACTGGCGAGGTGATGCCTCGAATTCGGACATGACAGACGTTTTGATTCGGGAGTAGCGAGCATAGGTTCGCTAGCTACGGATTCGCGCACAAGGAAGTCTATGAGTCGGTTCTCAATTATTGCTGGTGGGCGGGTGGAAATTCTGACCAGACATGCCGGACGAGAAAACCACTTTACGCGTCAGACGCGTCGAGGTCGCAGTCACGTGTTCGTAGGCACGTGATACTCGCATCTCTCTGTCGCCCTTTCCGCCAAAGCAGAATTGACGAGGGACGCAACTTCCTTAATTACAGTAATTGTCAACAGTCACAAGGCAAGCACGTGAATATATTGAACCTCAACCTCAACCTCATGATTCCACTGCCACGACATTCTTTTTCTTGCGTACACCTGAGATCTGACAACCTTGGTAACCAAACCTCGGCGATACCAGGGTTGGCAACCATTAATGCCATTATCCCAGGGAACCCACTCTCAAAGATGGTCCGGGTGCTGAAAGCAAGTGCGGCTGCACGCTTAAAGCATCGGCATAAGCACTCGACCAACGCCCCTGACACACCATCAAGAACTGGGGTAAAATCAATAATGACCTCATCTGTCCATATCGCCTGGGGCTGAATACCTCCGTACATCTCCATGGGCACGCTTTCGCATTGATGTCTCATTCCCAAGACATCTTTAGAAGGTCGAAAACGATATTCAAGGGAAATACCAACTTTGCCTCAACACAGTCTCACAATTTTCAATTCTGAACGAAATATGGCGTTGTGCAGCTCTAGAAATCCTTTCATAGAGATCTATTTCGCCGAAGGCTACTTTGATTTTCGCCGCTCGCTGGTGGGATTGGATGCCCAAAACTGTCGCTTGTCAAGACCCCAGTCGACCGCTTTTGCGGGGTTTTCTCCATCAATGGCGTCTTCTCATGGCTTTCCAGATGGCCGTCTCCCCAATCACCAGCCTCAATCAGCGCCTCACGCTCTTTCTTTCGGTTGCAATCTGCAGACCCAGCTCTGGAAGTCGTACCACTCGAATCCTTGCTCGTCTCCCCACCATCCCCATAACAGTCCTCGTCATGCGGAGGACAAAACTGGTCATAGAGCCATTCATTTGCCGTCAAGACACCCCAAAATGCTGGTTGACGAACACAACCTGGATTCTCGTGTCCCAAGCATCCCATCCCACCTCAGTCTCGGTGCTTTGTTCAGCACAAGATCCTCAAAACCTCATTTTCAGGTGTCTTGAATCTTGCTATCGTGGTCGCGTTGTCTCATTGCCAATCTTTGACATCGGGGTTCGACCTAGCCACGAATTGATTCTACCAAGAACCATGGATCCAGTGACATAGAGAAAGCGCGCCAAAAATCACATTGCCTCCTCCTCCTCTTCCGCCTCCTCGATATGAGTAACTCAAGCCAGAGCGATCCCAGCGCTGCAGACGATCCTCGCGCTTCTTTTGGCAAACCTCATCCTTCTGAATTTCTGGAATTCGTCACTGTCAATGCCCACGCGGGCGGCGAACCTCGTCTGGAACCCCTGAAGACCGCTCCTAGCGATGAGGGTGACGAACATGACTTCGAAAACCGCCTCAGGATCACACGGTCCAATGATGACCTCTTTCATGGACTTTCTGCCGCAATCCCTAGCTTGCGACGCTTATCGGTCGAGGCGCGAGCCGCCACAAAAGTTGAACATGCCATGACTTTTATCCGAGGTTGTCGACTGTATCCGAAGGCAATGCTATGGTCCTTGGTCTTGAGTATGACCATTGTCATGGAGGGTTACGACTTGACCCTCATCAATAGCTTTTATGCCTTTCCAGTTTTCAGACGTTCATATGGCCGGCCGCTGAACCCACAAGCACCTCCGGATCAGCGAGATTATCAAATATCTCCCGCGTGGCAGTCAGGCCTCACCAACGCCGCTGTCTCGGGCGAAATTCTAGGCTTGATGTTCAATGGCTTTCTTACCGATCGTTTCGGATACCACAAAACAATGGTCTTTACCTTAATTTGGATGTCCTTGTTCGTATTCATCGCCTTTTTTGCCATCAATATTCAAATGCTCCTTGCTGCTCAGGTTCTGTGCGGTTTGCCCTGGTAAGTGTCTCATATGCCTACATTAGCCGATCCTGACGAGTGGATAGGGGCGTTTTCCAGACCTTGAGTACAACATACGCTGCAGAGGTCATGCCAGTCGCGCTTCGAGCCTACCTGACCAGCAGCGTCAATTTGTGCTGGCTGATTGGCCAACTTTGTGGTGTTGCCGTCATTCGAGCCTTGGTTCACAACACCTCTGAATGGTCCTACCGCATTCCATTCGCTCTGCAATGGGCTTTTGCGATACCAATCCTCGTGGCCGTCACTTTCGCACCGGAATCTCCTTGGTGGTGTGTGAGACACGAGAAGCTAGAAATGGCCAAAAAGTCACTGCTCCGACTGACCACTAAAGGCGCTGACCCAGACTTCAACGCAGACGAGACCATCGCCATGATGCAGCATACCAACGAGGTCGAAAAATACTTGAATGGTGGTGGTGTTTCGTATTTGGACTGCTTTAAAGGCACTGATCTTCGTCGCACCGAGATCTGCGCCATGGTCTGGGTCACTCAGGCACTCTGCGGGAGCTCTTTGACCGGCTATGCCGCATACTTTTATGAACAAGCCGGCTTTACAACTGCCAACAGCTTCAACCTTGCCGTCGGTATGTATGCTGGTGCTATCTGTGCTGGTATGCTCGCATGGTTTGGAATGCGCAGAATTGGTCGCCGAACTCTCTACTTGGCGGGGTTGATAATCTCACTGATCATTCTAATCGTCACCGGCTCCGTGGGGATATTAAGAGATACGAATGCGACTTCGTGGGCTCTCGGTTCTCTGGTCATTGTCCTGACCTGCGTTTATGACTTCACCATCGGCCCTGTGTGTTATGTTCTCGTTGCAGAGATACCATCAAGTCGTTTGCGTGTCAAGACCGTCGTTCTGGCCAGAGTGGCTTACAACGTTGTCAGCATCATTACCAACATCATTACTCCCAAAATGTTGAACCCTGCGGCATGGGATTGGAAAGGAAAATCCTGTTTCGTATTTGCTGGTACCACTGCCATCTGTTTACTTTGGTGTTGGTTTCGCCTTCCTGAACCCAAAGGCTTGACTTACATGGAGCTCGACATCTTGTTCGAGAAAAGAGCGAAAGCCAGGGTCTTCAAACAATTCCAGGTCAACTTGGCCAGTACAGGTTATTTCAGTCTCACCAACACACGGAGCGACAGCATTTGGAGGGGCTAAAGACTCGCTGGATCGCCCAACGTCAAGTACTTGGGCTCCTGAAGAATACGTGTGACGCTGTACAAACCATGTATTGACATGATTTGTTTCTCATATCATGCTACAGCAATTTGAGAAGCGCAACCAAATTGGACTTTGGTCTATCACTTTGATGAGACTGGAGGCTTCAATTCAGTGGAGTGGATCTTTTCCTAGGCCCACAAGATCATCGGAGACTTTTGGGTCGTTGGCCCACCTGCGGACTTGTCTCAAGAATGAAAGGAACAGGACGATACTGCTTTTCGAGCCTCGCGGCCTCTATACCTCAGCCTTCGCTAGTGAAATTTGAATCAGACATGATGGAGTCTTTGCAGGTTCTGCTCCAGTCCACTACGGATCAAGCCTTTGCAGCTTCTGCTCCAGTCCACTACGGATCAAGCCTTTGCGGGCTCTGTCCCCTGTCTGCATACGTACGCTATGCATAAGGACAGGGAAAGAGAGACAAGCAAGGCAACCTGTCACCGCGATCGGTTTCGAAGCGAACTTGCGGTACGATTGAAAGGCAATTCCAACCGCGCGGCGGAAAGTTCAGCCTACGTCGCCAAAGCTGGCCCTGGCACCCCTACATACTCCCTATTTTACAAGTACGGAGTACGGAGTATGGTTGAGGTACTAGTTTGGAACATGGTGACTGGTCCGGCGACCAGGGCGAAACAAAACTTGCCAGAGAGAGTCGAATGGGATCGCCTGTGCATACTTAAACACATGATTTTAGTTGTGTCATGCCATTATTGTTGCAGGGATATTTGGTTCCATGTGACTTGTTGCGCTATTGTCTGACTCGATTGCTTCGAGAAGATTGCAAAAGCCCAACGAGAGGCAATGTTTCAGGTCCTCAAAATCCGACGGATTCAATTCCGGGCCTATCAACGGTGTATGGACCATGCCCTCACTGCACAGTATGTTATAACCCCTGCAGAATGGGGATTATCCTGGAAGCAAGTCTTGTGAGACTCGTCGTTGTCGACGACTCCTAGCATCCTCGAACATTGACACGACACCGCGAATCTCTTCAGCGCAATGTGAGGGTCAAGACTCGGTCAGGACTAAAAAATTCTATGATGTACGCAACACGACTTGGAGTCTAGTCATCTGCTATCAACAGAAGTGTTGAATAGTTGAAAGTTGATCTGAATTTTTGGTCTTCTCGTTAATGCAATTTGATACAATACTTCAAAGTCTCTGGTTTCTTCGTGCAAGGGTCCAAACATCATTCCAGCGTTTGGAAATAGTCGAGTGTGCTTCCGCACCCGGTTGCCACCCACGTTGTCCCCTCCAGTCTATCTATGCAATGCAAAATATAACGATTGAATCGAACAACCCGCGAAATAACATCATGTGTGAGCTCACAGCCACGCCGCCCCGACCCCGACGATTGCAATCCACCTGATTTCCTTTCCCAACTAGTTGTTTTCTTTTTTTTTTTTCACATCCCAGACTCCGTCCTTGATGCAATGCAATGCAAAACATAATCAAACCCATGCCAACAATAGCTCGAGTCCGTCAACACGATAGCCTAGACTCGATCCGTCTCCTCCTCTCCAATAAAAGTGTGCCCGGACAGTTCCTTGCCGCATTTCCCAACAAAATCCTTCGTCAAGTGGGTCGGCTAAAATCTTGACAGCGAGAGCCCGTTCAAAGGTCGAAAGAAATTTCGCAGGTCGAGTTCAGCCGTGCCGAGGGTGTCGTTACCATCGACATCAGTAACACTGCCAGTATACGCGCTTCCTAGGCCCCCAACGCTTTGACACCAGATGCGTACACTTCTCAGGTCGTGCAAGGCTTGTAGGAAACGCTGATCTGCGGGCGATTGCCACTCATTCTTACGCTCAGGCCGCAGATTAACGTGGGCAAGCCAATAAAAGTGAATGCCATCCCGGCAAAAGCCAATCTGCGCTGCTTTGTCGACGGACCCTGCGCGCTGTGGAAACTGTACGTCCAGGTCTTCGTCCCATGACTGCTTCCAGCGCAAAAGAGAGTTGCTGATTGATTTTGGAAGCTGTGATCGAGAGCCCCGGTTTGCAGCGACCTTGGGTGAAGACGATGAAGCACTCATGCGCTGATGTTGCCAGATCTCAACCAATATGGCATGGATGAGAATAAATTTGGAGTAGACGTTGGTCGTGCGAGGCTGCATCTGCACTGACGTACTATGAAGAGCACTCATGGCGTGGTGAAGCTCAAGCTGCTTCAAGCGGAGAGATCCAGTGGTATTGACAGCAGCTTGACGGGCTTGGCCACGTAGACCAAGTGCCTGCGCGCATGTTTCGGCGTCATTAGCTTCCCAGGCGGCATCATCACAGGGGAGTGGAAGTTTAATCTCAGCAGCTGAGAAGAGAGGAGCGACATTGAAGTAAATACACATGGAGGCATCCCATAGGAATACCATGAACATCAACCGTGAGCGCTTTTCTTGCTCTACCCATGACCGCCACTCCCAGCGAGATGGATCTGCGTCCTCACCCGGTTGGAGACTGTGCAGATAGCTATGGCAGACGGGATCGTCTGGGCCAGCCAGAGTTAGCAGGTTGAACTGTCGTACAAGATATCGGATTCGTCGGCTCTCTTGACGTGCCCGGTCTCTCTCGAGGGGATCCCCATGCCACACCAGAAGGCCCTGGAGTAGCTGAAGGGCCAAGAGGTCCTCCAAGTCGGCGCCAGAAGGAGAAAATGAGGTGTGATCTGGACCCCCTCCCAGAGTTTGAAGGAGGCGCGATGTCCGTTCTATACCATATTTGACGCGCTGGATTAATGTCCGTACAAGCGTCTGCGATACACGATCAGAATATACAGCCCCACTGCAGATAATGGCAAGAACGAGACCATCGGAGGCATTGAAAAAGTCGAAAGTTGGTAAATGAAGCCAAGGGAAACCGCCTTGGAAATGGGAAAAAAGGTGGAGAAAATGTTCAACGGCGTCGACGGTCAGGCATGATCGGACGAGAGATTTATTTTGTTGCTCTTGGAGCGATTCCTGTATTCCACCAGGGAAAACAAACGTTAATAGCGCGTTCACCTTGGATTGGAGCACATCGTGCAGCGATGAGTGCAGCTTCCAAGGAGGGGGGCCAAGCGTACCGTCAGCTCCAAGGCTCGTGGAGGGAATGTAATAGCCATTCGATCCAGCTTCATGGGATTCATAGTCTTTCTTCACATCATTCTGTGATTGATCATATCCACCAAACATGGGGTTCATGTACTGCTCGTTGCCACCAGGGGGAAACATGTGGTTCCAGTCCTCGCCCATGTGATGAGAGCCAGGAATGACATGACGCTTGTCGTCGCCGGCGCCAGGCTGCATACCAAAGTGGTCAGAGGGACCAGTGGCATTCTGGTACAACATCTGGGGGTTCCTAGCGCCGTGCATGGACCATGATGTGTTCTGGTTAGAGTCAATGCCGCCTGGGCCAGAACCAGGTTGCATGGACTGACCCTGACGTTGAAGGTCGGGTTGACCATTGGGTTGCATGGCGTATGTCATGCCTGATTGAGGTGGGCCACTAGTCGCGGGGGCCGAAGTGCTCGGGAGAGCGGCGGATGAGAAAGGTGGGTTAGGCATCGCGCCGCTCTGAGGAGTAGTGGCAGAGGCAGGGGAGGCAGTGGCCGCCTTAGCCGCCTGCTGTTGCGACTTTTTGATATGCGCAGCAGGGCTCGACAAGTGGCTAGCCCCAGTCGGGTTTCCTCGTCGAACGGAGCACTTCTGGAAATGGCGCTTGAGGATGTCACTTCGCGAGAAAGTGTCATTGCACAAGACGCACATGTAGGGACGATCCCCAGTGTCTAAGCGAGTCAGTCTGAAAGGTTGTTTTCTCTACAAGGGGGCGCAACTTACGTCTGAGCATGTGTCGCTTCAAGTGCTTTGCGTGGAGATAAGTCTTCGTGCAATTAGGGCAAGGGAATTTTCCATCAGCGTCCTTTTGAGGAACAGCGTTGCTCTTGGGAGAGCCATTCACGCCGTTGGCCATGACCGGGGGACGACCCGGGGCGCTAGGCAAGATTCCGCGTCTTCCTTGTGAGCCAACAACGTGTGTCCTGGTGGGATCGCGCCCAACATCAGATTGCATGCTGGGAATCTGCTCTGGGCCTGACCATGCGGGTTGTCTATTGTCGGGCTGGCCGTACTGCGGGGCGAGGTTGTCCAGACTTGGTCGGGGTGGAGCGGGAGCGAGAGGTTGAGGGTAGCTCTGACGGGAAGGAGGTTGACCTTGATAGCCTTGATGGGACTGAGGCTGCTGGTGTTGTTGCTGCTGTTGCTGCGAGGACGGCTGTTGCTGACTGTGGGGCTGTGGCAAGGCCGATGAGGGAGGCAGACCTCCCATGGGACCTTGAGGAGTCATGTGTCCGTTGTAGCGATTGTCTGAAGCCGGAGACGCGATGGGGGGAGCGGAAGGAGCAGACGAGTAGCGCGGAACCTCGTTACGGTATTGCTGAGGGATGTAGTTCTGGTTGGCTGGGGGCAACTGAGAGTAGTTGATGGGTGGAAGATGAGTGTTACTCTGGTATGAAGGCATGGCGTATGCAGAGGCCATGTTATTTGGATTGTAAGTGTTCTGTGGAGTACCGACGTTGGACGATGCTGTCCGTGAGAGAGACTGTCTTGGGTCCATTACCTGAATGGAATCGATGTGTGGGCTCGAATGAATTTACTCGACCATTGATCGGACGAGTAAATGCAGGTGGCAGGTAGAGGATGTACAGATGTTGGGTGACACGAAATGGATACACGGTGGACTCGATGGATGCGGATGGAAATGGATCCGTGGTTGTGATTGCAGTAAGGACAGGAAGGGTTGGTGAAAATTTTCTCTGGCAGTCGATGGTGAGCTGTGGAGCAGACAGGAGCTGCAGGTACAACCAGATGAGAGTTAGCTGAATGAGGCCTGGAGATATGGTGGAATAAGGTGTGAAAGTAAGAGGCGCAAGAAGAAAAGTACGTTTATGGCAAGGAGTTACAGGGTAGATGAAGAGTGGATGCAGGAGGGGTGATGTTTGGATATACACAGACGTGTGCTGCAGGTGGAAGAGAGGAGTACAGGTGTGGGTGGAAGTGTATAGATGAGGGTCGATGGGTCTCGTCTAGCTCAGTGGTGACTCGCAGGAAAACAAGAATGGGCTTGCTGGGGCCAGTGTGGTGGGAGAGAGTGGGTGTGAAAGTGGGAGTGGCACAAAGTGGGAAGATTTGCTCGGGTGGTCTGGGTTGGGGGGTGCTTTAGGGCGGAGGGGGGGGGCGTTACCGGAAGGGAGGGTTTGGGTTTTTTTCTGGCAGAGGCAAAATTCAACACTGCAACACAGGACGTGGTGCAATAACAGACGGGACTAGGTTTGTCTCGGTCAAGTGCTGATGAATCGGCGTGAAGAAGAGTTGTGTGTTTGACGGAGGGCTGAAGAGCCTCGAATGCGGCCAATCTACCTGAAGGTATTCTGGGACTGTTACGCAGATCCAAAGGATGGCTTGAAAGGAGTTGTGCAAGGATGAAAGAGGGAGGAAGAAATGAATTGAAGAAATGACGGGGTTAGGAATGGGATTTTTTGCCCGAGCCTAAAAGGATCAAGAGATCAGACGAGGGAAGAGGGCGAAAGGGACGTTCTCGGGGGGAGGCGAAGCAGGAAGGTAAGAGAGAGGAAAAGAGTCGAAATGGTAGGGCCCGTAGTAGCAGTAGTAGCCAACTACTAGTAGGAGGCACACAGAGTTCCAGAGGACTAGGAGTGATCAGATCAGTGTGTGGCAGCAGGAATTAGGACGCGGAATCAGGAAGCAAGAATCACAAGCAAGCCCAAGAGAGAAAGATCAATTAGGTTGAAGGGAGGGTGTGAGCCCTAGCTCCGCCGGCTGGCTTGAGCATGGATCATCAGGCGCTGTGACGGTACCAGTGGGGCGCCGGGGTCCCTATCCTGCACCCAAGCCCACCATTCACAGCACAGACCCACCCAGACGTCGATCGAGAGGGCGCACTTGGCTTGCGCCAGGGGGGACGCCGGGATGGAGGCCACGTACCCAGCGAACTTGCGCAACTTTGTGACTTGAACGGGGGGTCCTCTCTGTACATGCAATACAGTCCCTCGTACATACATTAATTATCTGTGTAGGCCTGAGAATGCAAAGGATTCATCATTTGATTCATCAGATTGTTTAAAAAGCACGCGATCTCTCTCACCACGTGTGGCCAAACCAGTCTCGAGGTCAACAACAAAACAAATATTGTCGTAGGATGGCTGCCTGGCAAAGGAGACTCGGCTTTCATCCGGTTCCTCAGAGGTGGTGGCTCCAATGTCAAGGCTTGGTGCATAAAACAGCGCCCAGTAGAGTTTGTCATAATCCGAGTCAAGAAGCACGACTGGTTCAAGATCAGTCATCGGTAATGTGTGGTATAATGTGGTACAAGATACAGGATGACGATGATGTCAAAAAGCACCACAACACACGCCAACCCACTGGCGAGTTTACCCGGGTCAAAAGATTTCCGACAGACCGATTCAATAATCGCTTGGCCTTTGATGCTATGTTTTCCCACCTCTCAGGTGGCCAGCAAGAGTTCGTGTATATGCAAAAGAACCCTCGAGACCAGAGGGCCAACCCTTTGTGACATGCGCCACAAGGTACATATAAAGGAAGTACCAGTATCAATGTGTTGTGCGGGTTGGGATTACTTGGCAGGGTACAATACGTGTTTTACAGGTCTTCAAATCAGTGTCCACGCGTTCGTTATGAGTTACTCCAAATCCGAGGCTGTGACCCTGGGGAAGCGTCGAAACAGATGCTGTAGGAGCCGGCGTCGACATGACACGGATAAACAGATCAACCGCGACAACAACAAGCTGGAAGCAGATTGCAACATACACATTTTAGTCTATAATTGCCGTAGAGTGGCTTCTGCTGCAAGACTAAGCCAGGATCAGGGAAGGCGAGTAGAATCACGAGAGAGACAGACAGACAAGTCAACCTCAACCTCAGACGCCAACGCCGAAAACGGGTGATAGCATGATGCGAGTGGCTGAACGGACAAACGAAACACATGACTCGGAAAAAGCTCTTGTGGTTTTTGGAAACTTTGGCTCGCCACTACTGCCCATGATCAAACGGGTGAAGACAGTAGTTAACAAGCAATCCAGTGATTCAGGGCGAGGCGACGAGCCTTGACTTGTTGATAGCGGCCTCGCAGAATGTGCGGTACTGGGATCATGGCTGGACACGAACAATGGACGCGGGAGCGGTTCATGTGCTCTGCAGGCTAGCCTAGTTCAAAATAACCTCTGTCGCCCCCTTCGGCTCCAGCGCCACAATGACCACGCCTACCTCCACCTTCGGATGCCCGATCTGAGTGGGAATATGAGTTTGAGTATGGATATGGGTATGACCTTTCTACGCCTACGGAGTATGTATTTGCTGAACCATCAATGATTTGTTGCCTGATACGTCCGATCGTCCTGTAGAGAGAAATCACCGTGGTAAATGATGACGAGCTGGCAGTGACTATTGCTAACAAGGTTTTAGACATGTCGGTTGATTGAGATTGTCATTGATTGAACCCACGGCCGTTGGTGGCTTGCCAACTGACAGAAGGCAGAAGGCAGACGACAGAAGACACGGGGAAAAGCCACACTGGAGAGTGTTTCTGCCAGGCTGAAAGATGAACACTTGAACTGCTGGCTCCCCTACTGTGCCTGACGCGCTCGTCACCTGGGCATTCCTTATGAATACTACTCCGTACAGACTACTACCACTGTAGTAACTTGTACAGTCCTGAAATGCGCCCGGCGCGTGGCCGGGCTGACGACGGTAGCAATAGTGGTTGATTTAGCCCCCCGACTGCCAAATGCTAGGCACGCCAGGCCACCAAACAAGTAATTAGTCCGTCTCGCTTAATCACTCGGTGCCCCTTTCCATCCCTTAGACTTGCACTTGGTCTTGGCTGTGGTTTCCGTTTCGCGGTTGGACTTGTGGACGTTCAGTGCTGGTCCTGCTGGGTTCCTTCCTCCCCGTACAGTTGCTGACACATTTTGTACACAGCGCGGCAAGAACAAGAACAGTTTTGGTGGTCTGGCACGCTGGTCAGCACCTGCCGTGCCACGCGTGTCTGCATGACATGACACGCTCCTTACATCCTTTTGAAGCTTGAAATTCGCCCATTGCTACCTACATTGCTACCTACATTACTGTGATTACTCACTTGGATGTCTACTACACTTCAGGCCTATCAACACATGCTGGAGGTGGCGCATGAGCTTATTATGGTAAAGAGACAAGGAGAGGGTGTAGGCATTCCTGACCTGACAGGACCTCGTGGCGAGTGCCAGTGTCTATGGTTCGTACCTATAAACGCGGTACCAGTCGGTTCGCCATATAGCCTTACGTACTGTGGCGACATTTAGGTACAGGTCCAGCTTGTGACCCAATCGCTCTCTGACCCGACGCGGTCGTTACTTGTTGCTCGTCATCATTTACCCTTCTTGTGGGAGGCAAATTCCTCATCAGCTGCTCACTGACTGTACCGTCCACTTGGATCAATCGGTTGACTGTTTGATATTGGCCACCGTGCCCGTGCTCTGTCTTTCGTACAGATAACCAAGTTTGGTCTCCCAGTGTGTCGGAAATGTGCCCTCGGGTGTCAAGTCTCGGCGATGGCTGGTGGGTCTGGCGCTTGCGCCAGGCCTGGGGATCTGACGAATTATTACCCCCAACAGCCTGTCTCTTTTTTTTGCCAGTGCAGATTCAGAATTTTCTTACATCCATGACTCGCCTGCATGTTGGTGGGAATAGACCGTCAAGGGCTGTCTCATCGTCCGATCATGATTCTGACCTGGATTGATGATATCTCCGTCTCCGTAAAGCCAACAGGTCCCAATCACAATTATCACATACACTGTACGTACAGTGTGTCCGTCTCGTACCGCCGGTTCTCGAGATTGGTGGCCGTCTGATATCCACCAGTTTGCTCCGCTACCCACGTGTCCGAGGTGCATAGGCTACGAGCATTCCATCCCGTTCCAGTCATTTTCTACATTGAGATACAAGTGGCCCCGCAGCAAGTCTTGAGAACATCAAAATCCATTTGCACTCCTGTAGATCGTATCTCGAAACAATCAATGGTTCTTTGGGATGAGTGATCGATCGCTCTATCCCTTGGCCGTCATGACACTCGCCTTGACAGACTGACTGACAGACTCAGGTTCGAAAAAGTGCCAAGACCATGACGCTGGTCGGAAATAGAAACATGTCGCTGGGTGTCGCTGGGTGCCTCGAGTCGGTGGGTTGGATCAGCACCGAATACGACCACGAACCCTGTCGACCTGGGAACATGATTCATGGTGACCAGAATCCTTACCGAATGAGATGCCGTTGTCAGTCATGGCAGCGTCTCGTCCACGTCATGTGCGCAGCATGCTTCATACAGGTCAACTCGCCGCTTAAATTGCAAAACGCTTGTCAAGTGACGGATAAGCGGCAGATGTCCGTTGCCACTTAGCACACAAGAGTCCAACCGTCCACGCCGTCCCTGTTAGAGGCATAAGGGCAAAACTCTAACACGGCATTCGCAATAACAAGAAGTCGAGCTACGTTATCTCACCTCGTTGCCAAGATAAATTTCTTGGTGTCAAGTCAACATTACAGCAGCTGGTAGGTCGGCATTCGGGAGGTTGGGGGATACCGTCCAATCTTTGCAGCCCGAGTTCACGCGTAGGTACATCCCTAATAGGCACTTGTACTGCTAAGGTATTATTGTTTGCAAGACTTGTACAAGTATAGGTATCTATTTCTTTAGCTTTATTACACAGTATTGTTTTGGAAATTGCCTCGTTGAAATCCGGCTGGCCAATCTGAGATGGTACGGCAATTCTTCCCTCTCCCAACGAAATTAACCGACCCTGATGGATTACTCCGTACCTTGGATGAGCCGGGGCTATGACTAATTGGGGAAGCCGGTCACGACTCGCCATCGCCCAACTCCGTCGTGTCGCGTCCAAGTTTGAGAGAGCGAACAGGAATGGCAGCCGTGGCAGCGCATGGACATCGGTGCTTCAGCCATCCCTATCGAAGCCGGTCAACACTCAAATAAAGTCAATTTAGACCGACCGAGGGTCGGTTATAGCGAACCGAGTTTCCCTTGATGCTATGGTCAGGTGTCCGGTGTCTGGTGGCCAGTGGCCACACACTGGCATCATATAGGAGAGCCCGGATCAGTCTGGGCAGGCCAGGCCAGGCTGTCAGGCTCCCACCCAAGAGGTAACAATACATAATATTGGAAATCATAATGAATAACACCATTCCTCACCTCGGAAGCTTGGATGCTAATAATGCCGGTGCCACCACCAGACGTGTGCTGCTAGGACTGTGGCCGGCTGCTCGTGTCAGAACAAAGTTGAGACCACTCCAGCCAAAAACTCAATTCTGCCAAATCAGCCGTGCATCCGGAGCAGGTCCTACATGTCGTATAGTGGCCGCCAATTCACGGTGCCAGCTGTATGGCCGCTTGACCATTTCCGGTCAAACTCTGCGCACAAAGAATAGTTTCGTCGACCTCGGGTTGTTGGATTGGAACTTGGAAGAGAAGGATCTGCGAGGCAATCTGCCTGTCTGAGACCTGCAGACCACAGGCGACCACTGAAAAAGCATGGTTGACAGTTGATTGCAGCAATAATGTCTCCAAAGAGATTATCATCGTCCTCTGAACTTGGTGGCTGTCTCAAATCGAGGGGCGACAGCGTGTTTGAAGTGATGAATCCATAGCTTCCAGAATCCCCTGGTGCACCCCTTATATTATTCGTAGCATTCATAGCCAGGCCCACTGGGATGTGCCCGGGTACCTACATTTCAAGCCCAGCGGGAGCCCTGGGCGCTGTCACTCCGGCGTCCGGCCCCCCGCCGTATCGCCAATTAGGCGCTGATGGAGCCGATGAAAGGGTCAAGAGGGGCTGATGGGCACCAGATTGCCGCCTCTTGCCGCCAAATCCACACAACCCCCAGGCACATTGTAAGGGTATGGGTACCTGTGTGTACTTGAAGAACTTGTGCTGGTCTTTTTGCTGGCGCCCGACTGCACTCTGTTTCTGTCCTAGGTTGATGACCATAGTCAATCATCAGCTGGTTAGCAAGGTCCGTAACTCTTTAAAAGGCCTAGACATGAATCTTGATCTGTAACGATCAGACACTCACTGTAGAGACACGTAGCATGACTTTTCCGTACCTCAGGTACCTAAGGGTCCAATGTGTGGGCATGAGTACTAGGGAGCGTAGGCAAGGACGAACCCCGTCTGACCCACCCAGCGCGTGGGCCTTGTAGGCATGCGCTACGCATAGGCTACGGGCATGGCTAGGTACCCATACACAGACGGATGCGCGTATGCACTGGTGGCATCTTCAAGCCACCTTCGTCGTTCCTGTCCCTGGTGCCGGAGTTCACATCCGGTTCAGCAAGGACGAGTCGACCCACCTGTTTACCGCACAATCAGGACGGTCAGTCCAGTATTATTGTCGACATGCCCGGAGCCGAAGACGCAGCCAACAGATCCGTAGTTGGGGTCAACCAAGCCGCCAAAAAAATACGCCCCCTCGGCCTACGTCCCGACGCTCCTTCGTGTTCTGGTAAACAAGACGCGGGCCAAGCCAACGTGTTCACGCTCCTTCCACTCTCCATTTCTGCATTTCCAGACCTCCTACGGCTTGCCCTAGACGCCATTGACGACGCCCCAGGTCGCCATCGATCATCACAAATGATTGTAGACTCACCAGTCTACTTTTATTCAGCTGTGAGATGCTCTGTGGCACTATTGGCATATATTCAATAATTCGTATCAAATGCTGTGACATGTCCAACATGTCAATCATGCTCAACACGAAGCACCAGGGTCGAAGATGTCGACAACCAGCCAACTTCGTTACACAGCTCCTCCTTGACACTCCTTGTCGTCCCTGCCACTAACACAGCAGGTGTTCCAGTGCTTCCAAACCCGTCACTCGCAAGTAGGTTAGTTGTCTGATGAAGCTCTCCGTTCAATGGCATGAGCCTGGGGCCTTATTTAAAACCCTCGGACCCAGTCCTTACGTCACGACTTCAGATGCTTTCTCCAGATCACTGCCATCGATCATGGCACCCATGGTCACTGAGTAACTTCCAGTGTGGTCAGAGCTGAATGCCTTTCTGCAATATTTCAGATGTTACGCCATGTAGGTAGGTAATACACGTCATGTTGCCTTTGGCATGTTCTGCTCGACTTGGATCTAGTTCAAGGTTCGTAATTTTACCATCGAAGGTGCTTTCCCATCAATTACAATCAGCTTGTCATCTTCGACGTACCGTCTTCTTGTCGTCGACCCCATTACGCGCTGTTTTCTACTTCCACGTCGCAAGGAACCCTGCCCCATCCAGACCAAAGACCGCCATGGCGAAACGAGATGAACCATCTCATCCAGAAGATCAGCATCCAAGTACCAAACGCGCCAAGGAGGTTGATGCACATACTCCGTACGAAGAACTAACGTCCCTCCTGTCAGACCAGCCAGGCTCGAAAGATGTTCACCGTGTCCTCCATTGGTTCCGGAGCAAAGACCTCCGTATCCAAGATAACCGAGCCCTCCACGCAGCTTCCGAGTTAGCCAAAAAGTCGGACGCACCCCTGATATGTGCGTATCTGAATTGCCCGGCAGAGTTTCGATGGCATGGAACTAGTCCAGCGCGCACCGATTTCATCTGTGAGAACTTGGCTCTGATGCAGAAGGAGTTGCATGAACTCGATATCCCATTAGCCTTCCTGGAAGCTAACGAGCGAAACGACATCGTTCCGACAATTGCCAAGTTCGTCCGCGAAAATGATATCTCGCATGTGTTTGCAAACTACGAATATGAAGTAGACGAGTTGACCAGGGATGTGAAGTTCGTCAAGGAGATCGGCTCTGATGCTCAATTCTCCCTACATCATGACCAGACTATCATCCAACCTGGTACCATGGTCACTGGCAACAATAAACCGATGAAAGTGTTCACACCCTATCATAAATCGTGGCTCGCAGAGGTCAAATCTGACCCCTCGCTGCTGGACACAGTGCCCTCGCCTTCCAAGAACCCAACCTCTGCAAAGAAAGAGCTCAAACCTCATTTTGAGAGCTCCGGCCCCAAACCACCCAAGGATAAACAATTCGCTAGCAAAGAAGAAAAAGACAGAATTCGTCAACTTTGGCCAGCGGGCCACTCAGCAGCAATATCCCGACTTAATGACTTCTTGTCGGATAAGATTGAAGACTACGCAGCTACGCGGTCCAATCCCGCAAAGGACTCGACTTCACGACTATCGGCCTATCTCAGCGCGGGCGTACTATCCATTCGAGAGACTCTCAGTGCTGTGAGCAACAAAGCGAATTCCAAGTCGACAGACTTTTCCCAAGATGGACCCTCTGCTGGTGTTGCGTCGTGGGTGCGCGAGCTGGTTTTTCGTGAGCTCTACCGTCAGACGACGCTAACGACACCTCACACCGCCATGAACATGCCCCAGAACCTCAAGTTTGACTTCGTGCAATGGGAAGATGACGAAGAGGGTTACCAGCGCTGGGAAGAAGGTACATTGGGCGTACCATTTGTGGACGCCGGTATGCGTCAGATTAAGCACGAAGCATACATGCACAACCGTCTCCGTATGAACGTCTCGAGTTATCTCTACTGCAATCTCCTAATCAACTACCGCCGTGGCGAGCGATATTTTGCTGAGACCTTGATCGATTGGGATCTTAACAACAATACCCAAGGCTGGGAGCCTAGCTATACCGTCTTCAACCCTGTTAGCCAAGCAGAGAGGAATGACCCTGAAGGTGATTATATCCGCAAATGGGTTCCCGAACTGAAGGACGTGCAGGGCAAGGCCATCTTCGACCCTTACAATAGGTTGACGTCGGAAGAGTTTGACAAGTTGGGCTATCCAAAACCGTTTGTCGATTGGAAAGATACCAAACAGAGAGCGATAGAGAGATTCAAGAACGATATGCAAGGTGTGGAACCATGAGCCATTATCGTATCGATTCCATGCTCCGCTCGAGCTTCTACACCGACCATCAGACCTCCATCAATCTTGCAATAAAGTATCCACTTACGTCTTCCATATACATCAATATCCCCAATACCTTGGATTTTTCAACCATAAGTGCTCGAACATGTCCAGCTTGGGACTTGACGTCTCTGCCCACCCGTCTTACCTCAGGCATTGACATTATTCGTGGGATAGGCACCCTCTTCTTTGTTCCCTCGTGCTGGGTGCACAACATGTCCCAGCCATGTTGCGGGCTCCAATCCAGTTTAATTGTTCTGTTCTGCGCGCGAAGGGCTTACCAGACTCTCCTGGCCATGTTGCGGGCTCCAAGCCAGTTCAATTGTTCTGTTCTGCGCGCGAAGGACTTACCAGACTCTCCTGGCCATGTTGCGGGTTCCAATCCAGTTCAATTGTTCTGCTCTGCGCGTGAAGGGCTTACCAGACTCTCCTGGCCATGTTACGGCCTCCAGTCTAGCGTGGTTGTTCTGTGCGCGAAGGACTTATAAAGATTAATCAGGACTCACTGAGTCGTCTCAGAGCTATGCGCATGCTCATGGTTGTGGCGCTATGATTAACTCCTTTGAACAGTCTCTGGTCTGAAGACTGCAATTTTTAGGGACAGCTTCTGAGGAGTGAAGGAATCACGCATCCCCCTTTGAGGGTGTGAACAGCGTTATAAATAGCTGCTTGGAAGCTCACTCTGGTTTTCTTTCTTTCTCACTACTTCGTCCTTCAACCATCTTGCTCATTAGCTTCCCTGAGGAATCTTAGGGCTATCATTACGACCTCTCGTTTCACATGTGCATTGTAAGTCTGTCCCATGCTTGTTGCCCCTGATTGATCTTAACGTGCAACAGCCGCCAAGCCCATATCTCAGTCGTTACGATCTGCTTTGTGACAAACATGTCTTGTTCAGTTACGATTAACACGTCCGAAGACGGATCTTCGACCATAAATATCTTGGAACAACAAATTGAAAAAGAAAACTTCGATCTCAACACCCTCAACCAAAGTCTCCTCCAAGCAGCCAACCAGATTCATTAACTCTTCAAGCAACTTCAAACACAGATCGAAGACAACAAGGAGAAGATGGCTTCCAACGATAGGGTCCTTCGTGACGCGCGGTTGGTTTCCAGTCAGCGAGCCACCTCTCGAGCAGAGTTCTGGGCCAATCTCAAGTCCAATGACATCCTGATTCGGTGTCTTCACGACACAATGGAACAAGATGACAGTCTCAAAGCAGCCATCGCTGCCGTTGTGGGCAAGAACAGCACGCCTGCACAGCAATCAAAGCTCCTCTTGGCTATCGTGGCTGAACTGGCTGGTGGTCTAGACGAGATCTTGAACGTGGTCGCCCGCAAGGTGACCCAATACCACAGAAAGCAGAATGGTGTTGCCGGTGCTAGCGACCCATTTTCGAGGGAAGACAAGGACGAACACGTCATCAGCATCAATGACGATGACGATAGCAATGGTTACATCAAGCGCAACAATAACAGCAACGATGATGATAGCGAAGACGACACAGGAGACGATTACTATGACGACAATGAGCCACATGCGAGCCGCTCACCATCTCCTGCAGTCAAGCGCGAGAGTGATGCTCTCCCAGCCTTCAGTCTGCGATCTCTCATCGAATATGACAAGCGCCAGAACAAGCGCCAACCTGAACGTCCTAGCCCTGCCTCCTTCCCTATGAAGATGACCGACAGTACCCCGCCGCCCGTCATCGGAAAACGCGCTCGTTCTGTTGCTGGTGACAGTCTCGTTGGAACACCATCTGTCGCAGGAAGTGCGACCAAGAAGCTCAAGTCTGGCAAAGACATTGGTAAGTAAGATGGGTGGTCGGTGGTCGGCACTATCATATGGCATATTCCTCCCATGCCCCATCCCTCTCAGCCCTACCATGTTCAATCAAGACACAATGCTAATAGAGATCTTCCCGAATCTAGTTTTCGCAGCTGCTCTCATCACATTTCTTGGAAAGGTGCAGACCACGCACCGAACCGGACAGAGCATCCACGACATGCTCCGATGCGGCAAATGCAACGAGTGGAAACGCGATGCTCGAGTCCTCAACTGCAGCCACGTGTACTGCCATCGCTGTGTCCAGAAGTTACGTATCGAAGCTGAGCGTGGCGACGCCCTCCTCGGTTTCCGTCCATACTGCATCCAGCCCAACTGCACCGAGATCGTGTCTGGTAAGACAGCCGTGATCTTTGCTGAGGTTATGGAGTTGTTGGTGTGGTATGACAGACAGTCTCCCGTGGTCAACAACATCGACTGCAAGTTGTACATGCTCGCCAAGGCCAAAGAGAAGAAACCGGCCGACAATACAATCAAGAACCTCCTTGCCGAAGTCAGCCAGTCAAAGACCGTGGCTCATATGGCCGGAAATGCAGCAGAGCCCTGCGACTTGTTGGAGATGGCCAGGTTTGCCAGAAAGTGGCTGATTCCAGAGCGCGTTTTCAAGGATCAATAAACATGCGTTGCGAGTCATGAAGAGGTTGACACCAGTGCTGGGATTGGTGCAAAAGTTGCTTGATCGTCATCTACAGGCGCAGGCATTGATATCATTTCAAGCATGTTTCGTTTTTGGGGGGTGGATGGTTTTGCCATTAAGATGGATTTCGTTTTGGAGTTTGGCCAGGGTTTCTGGGAATGCAGGCAGGGTATCCATTCCACAGCACTAAGAGCTGTCATTCCTATCACGGTCGGCTCACATTGAGACACCCTATGCAATAACAGTAGCACAAATGGCACAAAAAAGTCAAGAACACACAGAAAATTCTGGTTTAACAGTCGTTTTTTTCATTGATGCTTTCGAAAAGCTCGTAGAAAACCCATTGATATCAATGACTAACGACGACGATGATGATACACAATTGGTCTTCCCGATTCAGGATCTATCTTCAAACTGATATGTTCTGTCGTTTTGTATTCTTATCACCTCACCAACCCTGTTTCCTCATCCTCCGAATCCGCGCACACTCAGCGATGAAACCCTCCTTGAACAAAGCTCTTGATCTTTGCGTCTTCAAAAGCTTTCTCTTCGCGCCCTTTCGCACGTGAAACAGCTGAGCCCTGGCATCCTTTTTGATGCTGTTTTCCGCACATCGACGTTCTAGTCTAGTCAATGCCGACCCTAAGTCCTGGCCGATTACACGAATCGTACGTCCTAGACTGGGTCGGAGACGAAGCATCGTCGAAGACAAGGTCGACGGTCCTGATCTCGATAGATCGCGCAGGAGCGACTGGCCCAGGTTGCTTTTCAGCCAGTCTGGCGCTTCGGTCACTGTGCCGACCGGGGATCGAGATTGTGAGGTCGATGCGGCTTTGAATGGGATGAAATCGAGTGGGTTTGTTCGTTTGGGTCGTGCTCCGAGCTCGGATAGGAGTTGGCTCATGGATTTTTCTGGTTGTTGGTTCTGGGTCTCATTCTGATTTTGGTTCGATCGCGAAAGTCGAGACGATGAGAATTGCCGTCGGACAACTGCTTTAGGTTGTTGGCTGCTCGGAGAGAAGGATGAGGTGGAGGTGGAGGTTGAATTGAGGGTACGAGGTCGTGTGAGGATGCAGCGAACGCATTTCTGCGCCCGCTGCGTTGCGGACATGTTGATCGCTAAGGTGAAGACCAGGACTAAAAGACAAGGTCGTTTGTTGTTGGTATGATCTCCAGCGATCGCTGGTTAGGAGGTTGTGGCGGCCGAGCGAGTTTCAACAACGTGCTCTGGACGTAGTAGTAGAAGTGGAATTGCAAAAGCGAGGTTAGGATTTGGTCCAAGTCGTGGTAGCTCGCAGCCAATCACAAGCCACCATTTGCGGACATGGCGAGTTATTTCGGTCACGTGTCACGAACTCCTCTGCGGCGAGAGACCTTAGACATTCATCAGCCTTACAACAATGAACCACCACTGGGCTGGACCTGTCAATTGACCATCTTGACATATGAAGTTTCGTCTCTGGTCTCAGCCAAGCCGGACGATATTGACAAATAACATCCCCCACCCGCGACACCACGGCCAGACACCGTTCCCTCACCCTCGACTGCGCAGCATGTCCTCCTCTTCCTCTTTCGTCCCCATCACAATCTCCTCGTTGACTTACCTCCACCCAACCTCATTAGCCAAGGTATTACTAGAACCCGGCGAACGGGAAAAGGTGGCCATTATCGATGTCAGAGACTCTGATCATATCGGGGGCAACATCAACGGAAGTACATGGGTTCCTCTCAATCAACTTGACGCTCGTATCCCCGAGTTGGTGAGAACGCTCAAGGACAAGGACAAAGTGGTCTTCCACTGCATGTTGAGCCAGCAGCGTGGTCCTACTGCCGCATTGAGGTATGCAAGAGCCAAGCAGAGGGCCGATGATAAGGACACCCGCTCGACGCAGACATCCTCACAAGTTGCCGCTCAGACTCCTGAAGAGGGCGAGAGTAACAAGAGCCATGTGCAGGAGGTGTGCGTCCTAGAAGGTGGATTTGAATCCTGGCAGTCACGATATGGTGAGGACTCGCGGTTGACGGTGGACTATCAACCAGATCTATGGGATTGAAGAGGAGGACTGGAAGACTGGACTACAGGTTCAAAGCCCGTTGTTCATGTGGAAATGTTCTCCTTCTGTGATCATTACAGCGATGCTGCAGATGCAATACACGGCATGCAAGGGTCCCACCCATCAACTAACAAGTCCGAACCACGGTGTCGAGGCTCAATATGCAATATCATATCCGGAGCTGGAACCCCGGCTGGTCGGTTCTCCTCCCACGTCTTATTTTCACCGATCTCGCCAGAGAACCTGTGACCAACTCTGGCTCTTGGTTCTTCTCGGGTTCATTGCAGGCATTGCAACGAGCACTGGTCCCCAGGAACTAGAGATCCTTGGGCTCAATGATGAGAAGCTGCGAGGCCTATAGTCTCGCATAGATTTCAGTTTCAATCAGACTTAAGACAGTAAACTCAGGAAGGGCTTAGAGAGAAGGTTGTACACCGCTCAAGCCTGGGGAATCGGACACCACAAATAGAAGGCCTACGACTTAGATATTAGTGTAGACTTTCGCTAAAGAGATGGTGGTTATAAGACTTGTGAGCTTCCACATCTCAACCAAAGAAACTAGATTCTCTTATGCACATCTACTAGCCTTGACTTCTGGCGAATCAATTTGATTTATTAGGTTTGTCGAGGATCAATTGATAAGGCTGAGGGTTTTTATAATGCCAAGCTCACCGCAAGGCGGACAACATGCAAGGGCCTTCTAGCCCCAACTATTATATTCCATTTGAATTTCCCACTCAGCAATACATCTGATGACCAGTATTAGTTATATGATAACTTATTTCTTTCAGACACTTTGCGATCCAGTCATAATATCAAACTCTATAGCTCGCGTTCATGGCACCATCCACCAAAACATTCCCGCAGTGCGGTGCCACGTATATTGCTCGACTTGAACATGAATTTATGCATGGTAAAGGACTCTCTGTCTGCGCCAATTGTTTTACAGCAGGTTTACAAAAGTCCTTGAAGCGATGCAGTGCTTGTACTTTGGTCGACTATTGTTCACGAGAATGTCAAAAGGCACACTGGTCCAAGCATAAAGCTTTCTGCCACTTGGCACAGGGTAAAGGCTCCAAGTCTGCGTACCTTACGTCGCACGAGCGGGACGAAGTATCTCGGATTCTCATCGATTGCTATCGGTTAAGGGTTGAGACGGATCATTCATCCCGCGAAGAGGATCATGGCATTTACTACCCCGGCAAATCAATCGACGGCCTGGTGTGGGCAAAGGGAGATGTGGTGGCAGATTTCCAACGATTTCTGGACTTTGTCGAAACAGCGGGTATTCTGCCAAAGTGGTGGACGTTTGAGGATCGCATGAATACATTGGCATGGGCTATTAACAAAGAAGACCCTGAATGTGTGTACAAACCCATTGATCAAACCGAGATCATTACTCGATACGGAGGGGATATTGCTATTCGCCATGCACTTATCATTCTTGCCGAGCTGTGTGTTGGATATGATGGCAAAGGGCCAGCCAAAGACGATACATGGTATGAAGAATTCCAGGAATTTCTTGATCTGCATCCCGAGGAGAGGGCACGATTGATTGGAGGAAGTATTGCGGCGGTAGAGGCTGCTTTGGATGGATCGGGTGGCGATGCCTCAGAATTGATGAAACAAATAATGGAGGCCAAGACAGACGCATGAATAACAACCAAAATACCAGCACGGTCAGACATGCGAGCATCTTCCGGCTAGGTCAAAGGCCTTGCCGTGTTGATCAGGTGTGGCATAATCTGCCTGCGCTGGAGATGAAAATGAAGACGAGGATGATTTTTTGGGCCGCTCCTTCCCGTCTTGTTTTGTGCCAAACACCAGGCTGGTCACTTTCCTTTTTCAAAAAACCGCAACAACATGAAACGAGACGGTTCCTCGTCTCGTAATCACCCAACATCGTCGAGACATTCACTGCTGACCTCAGCACGCTGGCAAAATGGCGGTGTTACCTTCATTCACAACGGAAACACAAAATGTCAGCATCCCGCCTTCAGAGTATCAAGCCTTGGTAAGCTCGACCCTTCCCGGCCAAGGTATTGAGACTGATAGTCGACTCAGGTTGAGACCAAGCTGCAATACCTCGCCCTACGGCAAGCCCTCCTATCTGGCGGCGTTGAGGCAGAAGCCCTGGATGTCCTAATCAAGACAAACATCTGTTCCATCTCCCCATCCGCCGACCTTCCTCTGAACCCCATCGACCAGGACGCACAAGGATCGAGTTCAACCTCCCCCTCGGAGACATCGTCCGTCGCCTGCAGCGCTACTCCTGTGATCAAGCGGAGACGTCCCGATGCAATATCCACTCAAACCCCTTCGAAATTTGATACTAATGTGACTGGATATGCAACCTACGGCTCACCATCCTCTGAGGAAGATAGTGTTGACCGCGCGGTTGTCCTTACCAGTTGTTCCCCTCATACAACATTGGCTGATATTACTGACGCCATTCGGGGCGGTGCACTCCTGCGAGTCTTCATGCGGCCGGGTGCTCGAACCGCATTTCTTACCTTTATCCAAGGCGCTGCTGCGGAAAATCTGGTCAGATACTCGAGACAAAACCCAATTTACATCAAGGGTCAACAGGTGAGTGCGTTCGACATTTCACGGAAGTTCTCTAATGAGAAAAAGGTGACTGTCAAATGGGATGAACGACAACAGCATCTGTCGGCCTATCTTGTTCGTCAGATCTACCAGAATAAAGCCAGCCGCAACCTGGTGATACGATTCGCAAACCCAGACATGACACCCGCTGATGTGCAAAGCGACCTCGAGCATATCCACGGGTTGGACATTGTTCGGATCACCCGCCAAGGCTCACATCTCTTTGTCTCTACCAACAGCGTTCAGCATGCACTGACAGCTCGGTATTGCATGATGTCAAGATTCAAATACAAGGGCACCAAAATTGAGTTCTGTCAAGACGAATGCAATTCACCTTGGCCTTTGCCCAAGCTAGCCTCTGCTGCAGAACTCAAGCAAGGATATGGAGGGGCAGATGGTGCGGAGAGCTTGTTCTACAACAAGTTTCAACCCCTCTCTATCCACTAGCTAGCTTCTCACAGCTGAGACTTGTTGTCAAAGGAAAGGAGCTACTCTAAGCAAGAAATGCAGCTTATTCCTGCAGCAGATTGTCATACTGGTACTGTAGCATACATGTATGCACGGGAAGTCCTAATTACGTTGTCCCCTTGAGTGCAGCATTCAATGGAGTGTATGATATACAGATAAATGGAGGGAAAATTGAGGGTCAGGGTCATGGTCAGGGTCAGAGTCAGACTCTCCTTTCACTTTTCATGACTGTACCCATAGTGCCAGTCTGACCGGGCCAGATCCTCTCGAATCTTGTAGTTTTCCTCTGCAACGTCCACAGCTCTCATATCCACATCGACGATACGCATACCTGGTTCTGGGCCGTCAAAACTTCCAGGCACAGTGCCGACTAGTGGTAGTACAACTTGGCTGAATCCTGCATAGCCCTCATCGGCCGGCCCACCAATGTTACAAAAGATGATGGCGCAGGTGTTCTCAAAAGATCGTGTAATAACTGCGGCCTTGAGGAATTGAGCATCAACGTCAGGCCCATAGTTACGGGCTTCTGGAGTCAAGTCATCTCTGGTCCAGAAGGTTGGGATGATGATGATCTTTGCACCTTGACGGACGAGGCTGCGACAGGCTTCAGGAAAAGCGATATCCCAACAAATGATGATCCCGACAGGACCCAAGGGGGTTTCAATCACAGTATGTGGATTGGGCGGGCCTTCATCGGTAGCATGTGTATGATGGGCCCTCTGACGCACTGATGCCGGCCCAGAGGTCAGAACATCGCGTTCAGGAACCCAGAGATTGGCCTTGGTGTATGAGCCAAGCAGCTCACCCTGGTAGGAGATGAAAGGGCACACATTCAGCAGAGCCGGTGAAGTATTGGTTGAAGCGGGTCCCGTGCCATTTGATTCTCCTGCGGTGGCCGAGCTGGGATCAACGGTTACAATCGTGCCCGGTACAATATTGATTTTGAGTTCTTTGGCGAGTTCCTGATATTTGGCGACATAGTCGTATGCTGTCTGGGCGATGATGGCGAACTGTGGGTCTTCTGGAACCCAGCTGGTCAAGTGATATTCGGGTAAGACAGCGAGAGATGCTCCTTGAAAGGCGGCTTCGCGGATATGAGATGATGCAGTGGCAAAGTTATGTTCTGGGTCGAGGGGCTTGGAGGATATATGTCAGTTCAGACGATACTTGGCTGCTTCCATTGGGTGGTAGATGGTGCACAGGACGTACCTTGGCGTGCAACTGGATCAGGGCACACTTGAAACTACCCGAAAAGGTCTCATATGAGCTTGCCATTGCGTATCATAGTTTTGTAAAGGATGATGGTCCAATTGCCATCTACAAGGTTTGGTATTGTGCAAGTAAAGTAGGTAGTTGCCGGGAAATCCGCCTTCGGTTTAGGCGGTCCTGCCGTTTCGGGTGTGATCCCGGGCGCCGAGCCTTTATAACGACCGTGGGCTCTAGGCCTGCAAGGCCCCCTCGGCTCACCTCGAAGGCTAGAGGATATCTCCGTTAGCCTAGCGTCTTAGAGCCACTAAGTAGGCCTCTTAATCGTACTTAGGTACCTAGAGATACCTCGTTAGCGATCCCCCTCGAATAGCTAAGTCTCTTATAAATCACCCGGGTATGGTTATTGAGGGTCATGACGAAGGAGAGGCCGAGGCGGCTCATTCTCACCCCCTGCAACCACATACATCTTAGCCGATGGCTGCTAGAGATCATGTCTGATCATGCATGCTGATCGATGCTGATGTTGAATTACATTGCGAACTCATGTCGTTGGTCGAGAGGGATTGTCATTTTCAAACGCCTCGGCCCCTCACACGCCTAAAAACTTTGGAAAGCAACTTACTGTACTCGTAGTATTGTAGTAGCCACCTAAGTAGTCACGTAGGACCATGCCGACTCTAAGTACATACGGAGTAGACCAGCTCTGCCAGCTCTGCCAGGGGTGCCCGAGGCGGCTCTACTAGATAGCTAAGTTCTCCATGGTCCTACCCTGACGCCTCTACACTATTCAAAACTCCCTCCTCCCTCGGCCTCGGCAGGGCAAGTCTTGAGACCTATTCGACACCCAAGTGCAGACGCACGGAGGCTGCTGCGCTCTTACTTCTGTCATTCACTTCTCCTATTTCACTCAATCACAATCACACATACCTTCAGCAATTTTCACCCCCTTCAACTCGCCCTAGAACCGTGTTAAGCGACTTCTGTTCACCATTAGGGTACTGCCACCGCTTCCATGAGACATTAATGATCTGGAGAGTCTCTGGGTACAGATTTCACACCGGGCAAATCAATGTTGATTTGAAGGCTGGCCATAAACGGCTTCCGTTGTTGCACGAACCGCCTATTCCCTGGCATTCATTAGTCGACTATGAGCGGACAGAATTTCATGAATCGGTCCCGGGCCTCTGCGGCCTGCAATGCCTGTCGGAATAGACGCACCAAGGTCAGTCAAGTCTCAACAAAGTGCTTGAACTTTGCTTGACAGCTGCATCCAGTGTATTACAGACGCCGGAGAGAGGTCTTGCAACTATTGTCGCCGCAAAGGTCAAGATTGCTTCTTTCGTGCAATTGATGAGCGCAAGAGGTAATTGAAACCCCGGTTGAAAGTTTCGATTTCGCCAACGCTAGCAGACCGAATTCGCGGACGTATGTCAAATCACTGCTGGATAACATCGAGTCTCTCGAGAGACGGCTCCAAGGCAAACAACGGGAGGTCCATGTACCTCCAGAGTCCCACGCACGAACCCAAACATCAGTTGACGATGATCACGACTTCTCTAGAAGTTCCACAAGAAGTAGTGCCCCCAGTACCCACCGACTTTCCTTTCTCCATCCCGATACTTATGAAGAGTTCTGGCTGACCAGTGGTCATGAAGACCATCTCTTTAGCCCTGTTCACGTCATAGATATGGACATGGACTGTGCAGAGGGTGAGCTAGAGGAGTCCAGCAATTTATCAGCGAAAGACCACCCAAGCCTCCCCACGACCACGAATGCACAAACCACCTCCCCCGGAGTCGGTCAGAGTGGTGTGCAAAAGAACTCAATCTGGCCTCTGATCTTTGCACCTGGTCGTTTCATGTATGTCAAAGAGAGAGCGCGAATCGAGTACTTCACCCCAGCCAGCTGTTATCAGTATTTTGCGCAGGACCGCGTGTCTTATGACTCCTGGCAGGAAGACAATCAATTGCGCCGTGTCCTCGATGATGTTGCCCCCGACTTGGACACCTATCTGATGGGTCTTTTCTGGAGTCGCTATAACAACACATTATTCGTCATTGATCAAGACGCCTTCACGAACGACAGAATAAATCGTGGTACAACCTACTACTCTTCCTTCCTTCACCTTGTTTGTCTAGCCGTGGCCTCTCGCTTTGCCGACAGAAACCACAAAGGGATGAGCCAAATCAGCCTCAGTGACGGTCAAAGTACCTTTCAGCGCGAGGCCAAATATATCTTGCATCGAGTACTTGAGGAGCCACGGAGTCTTACACTAGTTCAGGCACTTTTGGTCTTGAGCGACGTGGAATTTTCTCAGGGTCGGTATGACCTCACCGCAATCCACATATCCACCGCCTGTCGCCTCGCTTTTGAATTTGGCCTAAATCTTGACTCGGCACAATTCGATCTATCCGAGTCAGAGAGGAGATTTCGCAAAAACCTATTACGTTCATGCATAATTCATGATTGGGCTTGGGCAATGCATGGTGGGCGTCCAGCAAATATCAAGTTGGCGGATATCTCGCCGTCTTATTTCGAACCGAAGTCTAATACTCAGCCCAGTCGAGGAGACGACAATCAGGCGTGGACCAGAAACTCGGACCGATCTCTCCATGAACAGACACTGGATGCTCTAATCGAGCTTTCAGGCTATAGTTCTCAGATCCAGAACCTCGTGCAGCCTAGACTCATCCCCGAGACAATAGCGGACGAGAATCGGCTGACTGATGTCACGTTTCTTGACGCACGCTTGAAAACTTGGTATTCCACGCTGCCACCTCGCCTGATGTGGACAGCTGAGAATATCAAGACTGCGTCACGTCTCTATTTTATAATGCAGTAAGGCATCTCCCTCCTAGCCGCTTGTTTGGGCTTGCAGTTCGCAAAGGATGCAGTCAAAGGCTGCATAGATAGTCGGCTAATCTTACATAGCCAACAACTGCATCTTTCTCAGCTTATCTTACACGGGGCTTACGGACGCTACGAGGATGCTGTAGGACTTAAGCCCCAATCTCTGGAAATCTTTGGCGGACTCATCAGAGATGATCGAACCGTCACCGCCTGGCAGCACATCGCACGGTCACTCACAATGAATGCAGCGCTGAAAATTGTTCAGAGCTTCTCTATCTATCGCCAAAGGTTTTCCACCGGCCAAACTGGGGTTTTGGCATTTCAACAAGCAGCGACAGCATTTCCTGCATTAATGTGCAACATCAAACTATGCAAGGACTCGCGGAAACGCTCCCTCGCGCTCGAGAATCTCTTCACTTTGATGCATGAGGCTCAGGACATGTCTTTGACTTACGACCCCATGCAGGGAGTTTGCAATGTTGTCAAACGTGAGATGAATGACCTAGGAATCGACTTTGCAGAACTGAAGACGCCATTGACACCCATTCAACAACCCAACGAACCCATCATAGGATCCATTCAATCCCCAAAGACCCCAAATCTGGAGGAGCTATCTCATTTAGATGTCGCAACCACTCAACAACGACCACCTAAATACCCTACTGATCATGGAGCTTACGGAGGTCTACCTAATGATGATAATGTTGAGACCATCCCAACCCTATCGGACAACATGCCTTCGGCAAGACCCAGGCATTCCAGCTCTCACTCCCCGGCAATACCGTATTCACAGGCGTTTGAAGATTCTTTGCAGACAGCTTTCCCACAAGAGCCGGGCGAAGTTTGGGGAGGAATGCCTTACTTCATGTCGGATTTGCACCTCGGCGAGACATGGTCCATCGATTATTCCGGTGGATCTCCCTTCTTTGATGCCACGGATCAAGTTTAGATCCCACATGGTCCTTTTGCTTGCCTTCGCCCAGTGAGCGGCCACGTGTGTCCACTCAAGGCTTCCGCATAGCGTTCTCAGCCGATCTGACACAGTGTTTGACTTCTGTATGCAGGTACTTAGACCGCATGTTTCGGAATGAAATCTTCCGAGGCCTTAAATATGTCCAGGTACGTTGAGATGGCAGACTCAAAGTGACCAGACCGCCATCACCGTCTTTGAGCGCTGCCAATGCTCCGAGCACACTCTCCTCATTAGCGGGACCACCTACAACCCTACCTGTCGGTTCGGAAAACGAAATGCGATGGTTCGAAGATTCAGCCCCCGGGCTAGTAGGGAGGCCCGATCAGCCCAGGATGTGGGGAAGCGAGCTCCAGAGCTTCTATTGGCCCTTCACGCTCCGCTATAGAGGACAAGGCGTCGATGATCGCCAAATCCACCAGATATATTCCCGGATGTCTCCAAAATCAGCCAAAGTAGGCAGACAATTCTTGTTGCTTTCCTCGGGGTAAGCATGACCCGCAAGGGCGGAACATCGAGTGGAAAATCATAGTCTGATGAGCAATGCAATTCGATTGCAAATTGAAGCCCTTTGATGGGAGGATGAACAAACCCTGCGGAATATCACCCAAACATATCATTTCGGCTCTAGGTAACAATGATCAGAGCTTTCAACTTGCGGAACTCATATATGTCCCCCTTAAAGCGCATTCCGCCCCTGACTCCGAACATGCGTCTGTGAAGCCCTACGGGACCGACGATACACATCTCTACGGTCGGTCAGAACCGTCAAGGCCTGGGCCAAGAAGCTTTTGTAGTAATAGGGTTACAAGAAAACGATCATCTTCTACCATTTGATCGATCAAAAGTCAAACGTTACTTCCACAGTAGAAAAGACTATCATCATGGCCTCAGAGAAGAAGGTCGCAGTCATGACCGGAGCCGGTAAGAATTGTCATTGTCCCCTTTTTGCTGACCGGACGCTGATGTGCAATCTATCACTCAAGCTAGCGGCTTCGGGCAAGTAGTAGCCGAGGACATGGCAAAAAAGGGCTGGAAAGTCGTCATTCTTGACATGAAACAGGCTGATGGAGAGAAGGTGGCAGAGAGTATCAACGGTGACTTCTTCCAGGTTGATGTGCGATCATGGTCGAGCCAATACGTGGCGTTTCAGAAGGTGTGGAACAAACATGGACGAATCGACTTTGGTCAGCCTTGGTGCTTCCACTTCATTCACAGCCTGATTGACAGAGTGTTTAGTGTTCGCGAACGCCGGCGTGATTGACCGAGTTGACCACTTCGCCGCTGGCAATGATGATTTCAACCCAGAAACCGCGCCAGATACCTGGGCCACTGAAGTCAACTTCCTAGGGGCAACCTACACAGCTCTACTGGGAATGAAGTACCTCCGTCAAAACAGTCCTCCTGGCGGAGACATCATCATGACTTCGAGCGGATCCGGCATCTACTCTACGCCAACTGTGCCATACTACTGTGGCGCCAAACACGGCGTGACCGGGTTTGGTCGCGCAGCTGGTGAGAGACTCGCTCCAGAAGGCATTCGAGTAAACATCCTCGTTCCCGGCATGGTGCAAACAAACTTGATGTCTGCAGACATGTGGAAGCTCATGGACTCGGCCTACTTCACTCCACCATCGCACTTGGCGACTGCCGTATCTGATATCTTGAGCAAAAAGGTTTCTGGAAAGGTATGCGAAGCTAGCATCGACAAGCTATTCTACCGAGACCCACCATCAGATTTTCCCGACGATGGCCAGAGGTATGTGATCACTGGTACTAAAGATTGGCGAACATGAAAAACGTCTGGCGGAAACACCAGTCTTGTACTGCATAGTTCTAGCTAGCCATAAGAGTCTCAATATATAGCATGAACAACTCTGACTTGACGGGATACGTCTCCTCGAAAAGGAGGTAATACGACTGGTTCACCTCGACCCTAGATAATGGCATCACTATAGGATCTTCCTCTGAGGCTGGCTTGATTAACAACACAGGCTCTGGAACTCTCATCGTTCCCATACTTTCTCGACCAGGGTGTATGCCGTTCGCCAGCCCTTCTCCGTCTTACGGAATTTCCAAGTATAGCGACACCCATAGAGAGTATTTTCCCCTGGCTTTAATGGATCCGGGACTCCAGCAAAGAGCACATTTGCTCGTCCATCAGCGGTGCTTCCCTGAATCTCGAAATACTTGTTGGTAATGAAATGCTGAGTTTTTGCAAAAGGAATATGCAAGCTTTGCAAGAATGGCAACGCAACTTCAAGTCCCTTATATGCATGGCTTGCAATAGGGATGATACCTGAATCGCCGTTAGCACCCCTGTGATCAAGACTCGTCGCTGAGAAGATTCTGATTGAGCGACAAACAAAGGACCCAGACGAACGAATCACTAATGCTTACCTGTGCCAGCAGCAGCATCGTCAACTGCAAATTCGAAGACCATGTCCTCGGTGAAACAATTTGCAAACGCTTCCCAATCATTCGTATCGGCAGCACGTTGATATCGATCCATGTGTCTTTGCAGCTCCAAGTCATCCTCTAACCTCTCAAGTCTGCTAGCCTCGGACGCCATTTCAGTGTTCTGATCTCCTGTCGGTTATACTTTTTCCTTGTTGATTAAGAACCTAATTCTACGAATACTATCAACTTGATCCTGCCTTAGCCAGATGTGATCTTAAAAATGTTTTGCATTCCCTCTAGGAAACGGAAGACGGGCGAAATGTTGATCTCACGAACAGTCTCAATTCCGCGCCTCTACTCTTCCGATCTCCCCAAGTGGCCATCAATAAGGCAAAGCGTGTCGGTAATAAAGTGGGGCTCAGTTGATTAATCTCGTTCTTGCCATACTTCGAGCTCGTTAGTCTAATCCCGAAGCCGATCGATCTCTACTTGAAGCTTCGTGTACTTCTGTCGGGGCCCGTTAGGCTATCGTTAAGCACTTCTGACCTTGACTTCATCCTCCACATGTTCTTCTGTTGGATTCAAGTTGTGAGACCCACAGAGGTACTGAGGACCGTTATCTCCGTCGCCACAGGTCATCCACTCTTGATCCTAAACTCCAGGATGGGCGGAAGCTCAGGATCTTGATGACATTCTCTGGGGAAGATTGGGGCCCCAGACTGAGCGAGATGTGTCGCCTGGGGTTTGACCTCCAGAATTCGCATACCATTCCGCCAGCCATGAATCTCTCTCTTCTCCATGTTTCCGCTTCAAGTCAAGTTCGTGGAAGTCAGAATGTTTAACAGGATACTTATCTGCACACTTGGACATTGGAATAGGTACAGAAGTTCTCAAGTCCCAAGCAAGCCTTTCTCTCGCACAGAGTCGACACGTTTGCCTTCATCATGACAGTATCTACACGAGCATCCGACGTCGCTCTGGGCGAGCCCAGCGCTTCTGTCGATCACGTGGCTTCAGAGGCCATCGGCGGAGATCAAGTCAGCGCGCGATACTACCTCAGTCCCCGTTTCATTGGGACCATTGCCAGTTTCTGTTTTCAGGTGACCGCCTACTATCTCGGCCTCCTGATGCCCATCACGGTATTGCAATCGATCAATGCTGACATTGGTAAGTGCAGAAGAAAACGACCCCAGAAAACAATTTGGACCAGGAAACTAACCTAAGGTAGGGCCCAGTCCAAATTTCGTATGGGTGCCACTGATCTGGACAACCTGCTTGTCACTCAGTTATGCATTGGTCGGAAGAGTATCGGACATTTTCGGTCCGTGCAAATCAAACGAGCCTGGATCTTCCAGGAGCTGATATGGTCTTCAGGTCGTCGATACTTCACGCTGGGAGCCAACACTTCCGCTCTTGTAGGTGGAATGTATGAACAACCGCTGTCCCTCCGATATGATCTCCGAACAGGAGTTGCTGACTAAAATGAAAACAAACCAGTGTGGCCGCCACGGCAACGAGTATTCCTTCCTTGATAGTTGCAAATATTTTCATTGGACTCGGCGCCGCGGTACAAATCAGCTTTGTCTCCTTTCTAGGAGAGCTTGTGCCTGTCCGAGATAGAGGAATATGGATTGGAGGTGTCTTCCTAATATCGATCTGCACCGTTCTGTCGCCATTTTATGGTTAGTAGGTTCGCCCATTAATAGTCATTGCTGACGTGGACTCAGCCCAGGCGTTTGTCTCCACAAGGTCGTGGAGATGGTGTTACTATTTATTCATCATTGTGGATGGAATAGGTCTCATACTCGCTGCGCTCTGTTATTTTCCTCCCAACTTCCGACAACTTCATTCTGCACGAACAAAGAGGGACCTCTTGAAGAAATTGGATTACATAGGGATTGCGCTTTACGTCTCTGGGGTGGTTCTTTTCCTAATGGGCGTCAGCTGGGGGGGTGGTCTGTATCCTTGGCGATCTGCGCCAGTCATTACGACTCTGGTGCTGGGAGTTTTGATTCTCGGTAGCTTCATGTTCTGGGGTGAGAATTGCAATCCATCGACTTCCAATAGCCGATGATGAACGTTTAAACTAACCTCTAAGTGCTCCCGGAATTCAGAGACCCGAGCCTCGGAGCCACTAATTCCCGCACAACTTCTCACAAGGAACAAACGATTGTTCTTAGCACCTTGTCTCAGCGGAATAGGAGGGGGAATGTTCTACTATGGGCTGGCCATGGTCTTCCCATATCGTGGGTTTCCTAATCTCCTGTTGACGATCTATAGAACTAACGCAAATGTGGCAGAAATCCAGCTCGTTTGGGGTTCTGATAGTCTTTTGAACCAGGGTTGGATGAGTTCAGTCTTGAGTTCGGGATCAACATTAGGGGCCATATGCTGTGGCATGTGGTTTCGCTTCATCAGACACCATCGAATTCAGCTTGTCGTTCTCTATGCATTCACCCTTGTGTTCTGTGGTTTGATGAGTATAACAACCGCCCACAGACGGCCTCTCGCCATTGCTTCCGGCTTCCTCATGGGGTTCGGTGTTGGGGCGATCGAAACAATCGTTGTTCTCATAGTATCGGTTAGCCAGGATGTTGGTCACATCGGCTTGCTGGTTGGCACGGTTGGTACTCTCAGGTCTATCTCAGGCAGCCTCGCACAAGCTATCTATTCTACGATATTGAACAATCAGATTGCGGAACAAGTGCCACGTTTCGTGACGAGAAGCGCCCTTGAATCCGGACTACCGCAAAGCTCACTTCCCTCGTTACTCGAGGCTATTGCCACGCAATCCGCCGCTGCTCTAGAATCAGTCCCAGGCATGACTGACAGCATCTCGCAGGCAATTGCCGAGGCAACGGTTGCAGGATACAGCGAGGCTTTCAGATACGTTTACTACACCAGTATCGCGTTCGGCGGTGCATCGCTGATTGCTTCGCTCTTCGTCGAAGCAGACATCACCAAGCACCTGACAACTTTTGTTGGTCGGAGACTTAATGGGGCCACAATTGATCGACGCGGTGATGCAGGAATTGAGATAGAGAAGGCTCACAACCCTTCAGAAACTCAACATACTGAAAACCTCTCGGACTCGGACATTAAGATGGCCTCGACCAGCCCTACGGTGGTGACGTCTTAGCTTGGCTAGGAGAGGCTGCATAACGGATGAGGCGACGGTGTGCTTACGGAGACGTCATCGATATGGTGGACTTGCAAAATCAACACTGCAATGCGAAGACAAGTCCTCGACTAATGATTGCTGGGGAGGAAAAGAATGTCGGAACTGTCAAGGAAATGCGTACGATTGCCTGTGAGTTGAAGTATACACGAAAAAATGTCGCGGCTTTGAAGAAAAGCTAGTGTATAATACTCGGAGATAGTAACTAGCCGTCTACTAATATAGAGACTTCTAATACTGTTAACTAAAAAAGAGATATAGTCTCCTCGTATACTATATATATCTAAGTAGTAGTACCTTAGCTAGTCTTAGCTCAGGATAAGTCGGGTAGGACTATCCGGGCTATCCCCTGATATATAGGACTGGGGTGGGTGATCTTAGTATTGAGGGAAGAAACCCTCTGAAAGCGGCGGCATAGACCGCCAGATTCGGCGAGAAATTTCCCTGCAACCTACGTTGAGTTGTAATGAGGGGGAAGGAGGGATGAAGTCCGCGAGGCGCGAGGCTGTTGGTACGAGGCCGCTGATTGGCCGTCTGAAAGATTAGATTAGATGCAACTTTGCAGGCGCCCCGCAAGCAATTTTCGCCCACGCAGAAGTCGCACTCGCACTCGCAATCGCACTTGCCCTCAAAGAGTTACTATTAGGGCTGCGCTTTCGAGGTTTTGTGGGCTGCACCGATAATAACCCAACCAACACATACATCAATTGATTGTTGTGCAGTCGGTTGAGTTCGATCTGGTCTCAATCTTACCAGACTTCCTTTCTCTCCCTCTACTTTGGTTGTCTTCTAGCCATCACCTCTTCTTTCCCTCTTTCTTGGCTTTAGACCACCCAAAATGTCTTATGCCAACGCCGACGACGACGTCCTCGAGGACACCTTGGTCGCTGACTACCGAGAACAAGTCACCTACGATGAAGACACTGCCCTTGAACGGACTGATTCTCTCTCGGGTCCCGCTGATCTTCGCGCTCAACTCGAAGCCGCCGCTGCTCCCCTTGAATTCCAAGCCTCTCTAGAGACAAAATTCGCTAGTTACGACAATTACTGCAGTCTCTTCCACTACATACTCAATTCCGATGGCCCCGTCGAGATCGAACAACCCTCCTACTACTGGGCTTGGGATGTCATTGATGAATTCATCTATCAATTCCAGGCTTTCCACAGCTACCGTAGTCGACTAGCTCGAACCGCCCCAAATGAAGAGGAGGCCCAGATTCTCCGGGAAAACCCAAATACCTGGGGATGCTACAGCGTCCTTAATGTTCTTTACTCTCTCATTCAGCGCAGTCAGATCAACGAACAGCTCGCTGCCCAGAAGAGAAACGAAGACCCCAATGCTGTTGCTGGCGACTATGGCACACGTCCCTTGTACCGCAACTTGGGCTACTTCTCCATCATCGGTCTTCTGCGAGTCCACTGCCTCCTCGGTGACTTCAGTCTTGCCCTCAAAACCCTTGATGACATCGAGATGAACAAAAAGGCCATGTTCGCCCGTGTCATGGCTGCTCATCTCAACACCTACTATTATGTTGGTTTCTCTTACATGATGCTCCGCCGTTATGCCGACGCCGTCCGCATGTTCTCCCACATTCTGGTCTATGTCAGCCGCACCAAGAACTTCCAAAAGGGCAACCAGTCTTTTGATGCCATTGCCAAGAAGACTGAGCAGATGTACGCTCTCATTGCCATCTGCGTCTCCTTTGCCCCGGCTCGCCTCGACGACACCATCCACACCGCTCTGCGCGAGAAGTACGGTGAGAAATTCGCCAAACTCCAACGCGGCGGCACCGACTCCCTTCCGATCTACAAAGAACTTTTCCAAAGCGCTTGCCCCAAGTTCATTGCCCCCACCCCTCCTGACTTTGACAACCCAAGCCTCAACATCGACCCAGTCGAGCACCATACCGAAATCTTCATGGATGAGGTCAAGAATACTTTGTTCAATCCCACCGTCAAGTCTTACCTCAAGTTGTACTCGACTATGGATCTTAAGAAGCTGTCATCTTTCCTCGAGGTCGACCCTGAGCAATTGAGAAGTTGGCTGTTGGTCAACAAGCAGCGCAGCCGTCAAGTCAGATGGTCAGAAGGTGGCCTGCTGGAGGGTGAGGTTGTGAATGGCTCCGAGCTGGACTACGCCATCGAAGGTGATCTGATCCACATTAGTGAAGCCAAGCAAGGAAGAAGACTAGTCGATTGGTACTTGAGGAACCTTGTCAGAAGCTACTAGTTTGGGGATCCTGATTTAAAGACAAATCTCGCCCGAAGACAGCCAAAAAGGCCGTGGATATCAACGCTAGAGAGACTTGACTGGACTAATTGTCCAGACCAAATGCACTTCAGGCTCATTTTTGAGAGTGGAATCCCAACGACGTCAGAAGGCCCGAGAAATGATCGGCAACTCACAAATGACTGACATGTTCAGTTCAGGGAAGCGAGCATAGGCCGATGTCGCCCTCGATCCTGTGGCAATATTTGTGAATTGGCACTCGCACTTTCTCTAAGATGAAACGAGCACCAAGACGGACCGGGGTTTCCCACTGGCCGTGTCAAAATGTGTCAATACTGCAAACAATTGTCATTTCATTCCATCAGTATGGACTGAGAAGGCACCAAACAGGCCCAACACTGCGCTTGGATGATGGAAGGACTTGAAATCGCTACATGAGGAGTTTGCTACATTTCTGCCCACGCTTTGCCCCAATTGAGGGTGAGGGAGGTGCAAGCCAGTAGTAGTCGATGATAGAAAATGATTCAGACTGTTTCACCCAGTATCCTATCGCTTCATGCACTTTAGTTCTCTCGCACACGGTGACAAATACCCTCTTCTTCGCCTCTCGAAACACGGATCTGTTTTCCATACTGCCACGGGGCTAAGAGCTTGTTGAGATTGAGTAGGTATGGTATGGAGGCTGGTGATGAAAGACTATGCAGATACGGATGATGTGTTGCTAGCTATGTCGCCCATCAGACCACTAAATTAAATCATTCCCGACGTGCAGACTGAGCGGACAACTTGAGCTGAGCTGATCTCAGTCATCCCGCATCTCTTCATCGTCGTCATCGTCATCGTCATCATCGACAACCTCTCTTCGAGATCTCCCATTGACCCTGGCGCCGCCGTCATCATCATCATCATCCTCCCCCTCCTCATCATCATCATCATCTTCATCCCGCCGCGATACGCCATTGGTGCTGACTTGCGCGTGCTCTTCATCCGTAGCTTCCTGCATAGTAACGTCCTGAGCAGATGCCTGCAATTCAGCCTGTTGGGCGAGCAACTCTTCAGCGCGCAATGCCTCCTCATAAGCTTCATTGGCCTGTTCCAGTTGCTCGGCCTCAGCGGCAAATGCAGGGTCAAATTGTGCTCGGAATCGTGTGCGTCGATATTGCTCATCGTCGCGTGCTTCGCGGAACGAGATCATGACTTGGTCGGCCAATTCCTCCTCGTGCGCTTGTGCCTGTGCTTGTGCAGGTGTCTTGCCTAGATTTCCTCGATCGGCTTTCAGCCGCACTCGTTCGATGATCGGGTAGTAGTATGCGGCGGGACCTTGTTTGCGGAACCGTGAGTATTCCGGGAGATTGTCCGGTTCGATGATCGATAGGGCCATAGCTTCGGTCTGGCCCATGGTCGTTTGCACGACGTTCTGATAGATGCGGTTGCGTTCGAAGGGGAGGCGGAGCGTGTCATCGGCGGATTCTTCGAGTAGACGCTCGATTAGTTCGCTGTCGTCTTTGTTGGGGTTTGAGTCGTCGAAAATGCGCTGTATACGGCTGGACACGTCGTGTTGTTTCGGCGTGTATAATGTCCATACATATGGTTCTGGGCCAGGTTCCTCGTATAACTCCGGATTGGACTCGTAGGCGTTCTTTTTGGCTAGCCATTCGGCATGTTTGGCCTTGTTCTCCGATGCGCCTAGGAGAGCAGCGTCTAATCGATCGTCTTTCCGTCCTCGGTAGGTTCCCAGAGGCGCCTTGTCAAATTTGACAGCATACCATGATCCACCGACGTCGGTGTAGGCTTCGACATCGGGTAAGATTGGGTAGAAACCCACGGGCTTGAGTCTTGGGTTGTCTGGATGGACTGGGTTCGTCCATGCGTCTCTTTCTTGTTGTGTGATGGGATTTGCTTTGGCTTCGGGAGGGTTATAAGGGATACTCTCAGGATAGGCGATGTCAAAGCCTTTTTGAATGTGTCGTTTAATGTTCTCTTTGTCGTCTTTTGCGACTGGTGGCGGTGGGGCAGATTTCAGTGTAGGTTTTGGTTTGGCTGGGGTTGAGCTGACGAAGGGATTTGTCGTGGCGGAGAGTTGAGATGCAGTCATGTACTGCGTCTTGCGTAGGAATGAGACATTGTCATGCGCGCCTTGGCTTTTAATCTGATCAAGGGTGAGGAGTAGGGCAAGGTCGGCGGGATCGAGGACGGGTGTGACTTCTGGAGCCATGATGGCAGACTCATCACCGAGGAAATATCCAGGGACACCAATCATGTCGATGGGCATTCCGCCCTCAGCATCGACTTCGATATTGGGATCTTCTCGTTTGGCCAGTCCTGAGGCGTAGCCTGGAGTCAGGTATTGTGATAGACCTCCTGTGTCCACATCCAGGAGTTTGGGTGGCATAGGCGGCGGAGGCAAGTCATTGCGATAGCGGATGGAGACAACGAGGTCTTGTTTGAACTGCTTAGAGTCGAGGGCAGCCATGATGGTATGCGACTGGGATGCTCAGTCTTTGTCGTCGATTGTGCTCGTTTGAACTGGTGTTCAGTCTGCAGGATGCGATAGAGGTATTTATGGACAGGAGCTCTTCATGGTGGGAAAATTCGATGACTTCGATGCTGCTGATATTGCTTTTTTCAGGCCTATTACAGAAAAATCTTCGAGGTGCCAGAGGAGCGTGGACAATAGATTGACCAACGCGTTGTTGAATGAATGTTGCTGGTGATGTTGCGCATTCATTGAACTTTTGACAATAGAAAAGTTGAGGCAAGTTTGCCGACGACCCCACTGTTAATTCGATCTGACGCTAACCTAAATTGGCAATACTCCCATCCATCCATTGCCGAAGCGAGTTCGTTCGCCTTCATCCACCCGGGCTGCAAAAGATCAAAGATTCCTACATTACCCATATTCTCTCACCCGCCTTCAACCTGGGCTTCTTTTCTCATCATTCCATCCTTGCGCTTTCCTGTTCACCAATATTCTTGATTCTGAAAGCAACATACCGCCAACATGGGATGGTTTTGGGCTGATCAACCAAAGTCGGTTGCGCCGCACCCAATCCCCAAATCTGGCGCCACTCCTCCGGTATGATATAGCCCATTGTCCTTCTTAGGATGGTCTGAAGGAGTCTTACATGACTGACAATTCTCCCGCAGCCAGCATGTCCTATGCACGAGAAGAACGTGACCTCTCCTACACCTACACCTTCTGCATGCCCTGTTAAATCCACCAACCATCCCCTCTTCAATCAACCGTCACCACCAAATGCACAGCAATCCTCTCCACCAGCAGAAGCCCCTCGATCAGAATCTCAATCAACCCTCTCCAAACTCAACCCTCTGAACTACATGCCAAACCTCAGCAACGCCCGACCAGCCGACTCACCACAATCCATCTCCCTACCACTTTCTCGCGAATCCAGCTCTATCCCCCGAGGAGACTCGGACTCGAACTGGGAATACCCTTCCCCTCAACAGATGTACAACGCCATGCTGCGCAAGGGATACAACGACACACCCGCAGATGCAGTGGAATCGATGGTTGCCGTACACAATTTTCTAAATGAAGGCGCTTGGGTCGAGATCCAGACTTGGGAACGCATTTTCTCACCTGGCCTATCTCAAGCCTGGACGACCTGTCTATCTGGCGAAGAGGGCATTGCTCGCGAACAAGCCAAGCGCGACTTCCTTGCCGCACGTCGCGAAGCGTTGAATCTGCCTCCAGCGGAGGATCCTCTTCCGCAACCCAGACTGCTCCGCTTCCAAGGTCGACCGCAGGAACCGACGCCCAAGGCTCGTATCTTGACATATTTGGGACAGATGTTCCCGAATTCATTTGGGAATGAACCGCCATTCGACCGTCATGACTGGTATGTGGCTCGACAACGGCCGGATGGGTCGGTCAAGGAAGTCAGATATGTGATTGATTACTACTCGGGTGGGGTGCAAAGTACGGGTGAACCGGTGTTTTATCTCGACATCCGGCCGGCTTTGGACACGCCCACGGCTGCTGCAGAGAGAATAATGCGATGGGGTGGCGACGTGTGGCACCGAGCCAGCGGCGCATCTGTCAGGGCGGAAGCAGCTAAGAAGGCTGCCGAGGAAAAGTCGTCGGGCAAATCATGATTGACCACGCTTATCTGATACTGCCGTATTTTCAGTCTTGGTTGATTGCCAGTGTACGCGATAGGTTATGTTAGGTATGCAGCTATGATCCACATCCGAGTGTTTCATCTTTTGAGGTTAGGAATTATGAGGTATTATGGGGAATCAGCTCTGTATGTATACGCTGATTGATGGATGGATTGAGATGCAGGGCATAGTATTGCACTATTGGTTCCCCACTCTAGTATAATGTATCATGATTTGGTATATACGGATGGACAGACACATCCATTACATCTCATCTTTCTTTTTGACCATGGTCGAGCAGCAAGAGACACTTTTCTCTCGCATCCATGGCCAAACAATAGGACCAAGGCTATACAGACTCGTCCCAAATGCCCCTCCAAAGCTTAGCTTGGGTGCGAGGCATGTACAAATAGCCGGCAACAGTGGCCTCGACGTCTTCCCAAGTGAGGAGCCACAGGTCGTGCGTCATACGCCGCAGCAATGACGCGAAAAATTGCTGTTCTGGTTGATGGAGGCTGCGTTGCACAAAGATGAACAGAGCCCACACCACGGCCGACATTTCATTAACTCCTGGGTGTCGCCGTTCGCGCCGCCATCTCTCGATTGCCTGTTTCTGGTGCTGAGTTGACGCGCGCCCATTGCCGGAAGACGGTAGGATCGTATGAGGAAGAATCGAGCAGAGGCCAAGGCCGGCGAGACGAATAACGTCTTCTAATGGTGGAATCGTCGGGTGCGCATGTGCTTGTGTGCTCGAGGAGGAGCGACACTTGTATGTTTTGCCGGTCTCGTACACGTAGTTGACGTAGTCATACTCCAGTTCGATGGCCTTGCGATTGAGAATCCGGTTCTCCACTGCTGTCAGGCGGCGGGGGTGGACGGCGACATAGTCGCATAGGCTGAACAGGTCTTGATGAAGCAACAGGAGCTGCCTAAGCTTGTCGCTCAGCCCCTCGACGTGGGTGAAGGCTGAATTCAGGCGGTGAGGATCAGCTCTGTGGTTGGGGAGGGTCTTGTCGAGCAGGTCCTGGGGCATGTCTTGTCGGTCCCAGGGAATGGTGAGACACGGCTGGCATAAAATGGCGGTCGCGATCTTGACATTGGTGATGGGCACCCACTCTTGGATGCCGCTGAGCTCCGGGTTGGATGCTAGCATTGATGCTACGCCCTGTAGATGGATCTTGGCCTCTTGGAAGTTTCCCACCACGGTGGCGGTCGACACCAGTCCAAAGCACGCTTCTAGTAAGTACTGGTCGACTTTTGCCCGGGTCTGGACCGCGTTCCGCACGGCGACGATGGCTTCATGCTTGACTCGTTTGTATTCCGGGTCCGTGATAAGGTCGTCGTGATTGATGGATGAGGGAGCCAAGTCCTTGTGCAGGCCATGAAATATGGCTCGATGGGCAGCCACAGTCGCCATGAACCCTAGAAAGACTGGTGGACTTGAGATTTTGCTTTGAAGAACAATGCCTTGCCGAGCCAGCTTTTGCGGGTGGGATAGCGTTTCGACCGAAAACGTTATAGGCAGAAGGGTATCGAAACCTGCGAAGTGCCATATTAGCCACCATGGAGATTCAAGGATGGTATCTTTTCGACCTACAATACGTCAAGAGACGTTCCAGAGCCTTGTGCGAGACTCGACCGGACGGTAGGGTCTGGAACGGGTCGAATTCGTGCACAGCTGGGCTGCTATGTAAGGAGATGCGTCGAATCGGACTTGGTCTCACAGTGGTGGATTCAGAGAGCCGCCGTGCTGGTGGCAAGAGCGCCATCTGATCACTTGGTTCTTCTTTGATCGAGGCGGGCGAAAGACTGACAGGTTCATCTTTGATGGCAAAGTCGGAGCGTTCGGTTGGGGATTTGATGACTTGGGTACTTGTAGTCCGCTTGGGGAGCTCACGTCCGGTGGGCCGTTTCTTTCCTTGGGCGAGTTCCTCCTTGCGGACCCTCTGCATGACATGGGAACGAATTGCATGGCGTTGTTCAGTATTGCTGATCTTGCGGTGAGTCAGAGAGACCAGGTCGTCGGCCTGGTTGACGAACGTAAAGTTGCCCGGAGTGGAGGGGCCAGCGACAGGAAGTTGAGTCTGGGAGTCGTTGGCTAGTATAGCATTGGTGAGGTTAGTCGTAGAGATGGGATAGTATGGGGAAAGTGGAGGAGGAAGAGGTGGTGGTGGTGGTTTTAGAGAGAGGAGAGCAGTTCTCACCTTTTTCTTGGCCATCAGGGAGGAGCATCTTCCCACCACATTGTCCACAAACGAGTGAGCGACTGTATGTGGTTGAAGTTGCTCAACAGACCAAAGGAAAAAACCGGTCGGTCGTCGATGAGCTTCAGTAACGAGTGTGAAACGGCTGGTAGTTTGGACCAAGACTATGGACAAGACATATCGACTTCAGACGGGTGATGGTGCTGGGGACTAGTAAAGACAGGAAGAGCGTCACGAGGTTAGCGAAAGTTCTGGGGTTGTAGAGAGAAAAGAGGAAGGAGCGAGCTGTATCATGCCCAACAACAGGGAAATCAAAAGATCAAGTAAAAGGTATCAAAGACGACGAGGGTGCCTTGTCTCGTGGCTCCTGGCCGTGGGGAGAAGAGTCGATAGTTGGGACACGGATCAAGCTAATGTTCTTTTGTGGAACGTGGCAAGGATCATGTGTGTATGCGTGGGTGTGGAAGATTGGAAGATGGCGTGGGCAGAAGAAGTGTGAAGCTTCGGTCAAGGTTTGAGTTTGGACCTTTTTGGGGTAGGATCAATGAGAACAAGGGCAGGCACGTTGTACTTATTTTCGTACAGAATCATTGTTAAGAGATGGGATGGCGTGGATGCGCACTGATGAACTAAGGTGGTTATGGCCTGGCTTTGAGGTATGAGCTGCAGGCCGGATGGGTCTGATGTTCACAATAACACAATAAACATGTAGATCATAGGTTGATGCATTTACCATCTCATCATGTGCAGACCAGTGTACTTAGTACTTTGAGTCGACTGATTTATTATTAGGCGTTTGAAGTACTTAGTGCGGTGTGCGAGTGCCGTGTCTCTCTGGCGGCTCTTGAGAGGCAAAAGCCGCAAGGCCATAGGAAGCCAAATGTGGGCGATACTTTGATAGTACCACCTCCCGGAAGTCAATTCTGCCACCAGAGGCGACACCCAAACCGCCAACCACCAGTCAACCCATGGAAGCCCAATACGGGCGCTCAGGTCGACGGTGGTTGCTTCAGACTCCAACATCTTCACGGTCAATGAGTTGTCTGCAGAATCCATGGGCCTGGGCCTCTCGGCATCTTCATGCTGCAAGGTCTGGTTGACCACAGGAAGGCTGCAGCTTGCAGGTTGCAGGGCTAGTCCCGGGTTGGAAGTGCAGAAGATGACACAGTTATTATGCATACCTATGGACTGATGTACCCGCAAGCATGTTGCCTCCTGCTGGTCCAGGGCACAAGGGCACAAGGGGTTACTGGAGCTCCAACAGACCCAGCCCTAGCCTTGAATTATAGGTCTCCTCGAACCACCATCTCCTGTCCTGTAGCAGACATAAACTTTCTTGTTATAGTAGGCGAGGAACTCTGACTTTATGTAAGGACGGCAAAGCAATGTCTTATTTTTAGGTAGTCAGTACGGACCATTGAGACGGTTAGAGGGAATGGAGGGCCCGAGGGTAACCGGCTTTTCCCTTAAGAACAGTTAAACTACGGAGTATATGCCTAGAACGAGGGGCGAGGGTGAGGGGCCGGCGGCTGAGGGTAGAGCGAAAGTACCTGAAGTAACTTTCCGACCTAAACCTTGTCGCCTGTACAACACAATTGCGTCGCCAGAGAATCAAAGATGAAGAGAATCAGAGTCCTTTACAGCAGTACCTAGGTACCTAGTAGGTAGGTAGTTGACAGGGAGAATTCCTCGAACTTACCATCGTATTGCCCAAAGGTTTGGACTCAACGCCCAAAGCCGCCACCATGCAAGTACATTCCTCCGTTGCGAGTACTGGCACCGCCCCTCCAGCCCTTCAGCTCGTGTCGTAATTCTAAATGTACTGCGCCTGTCAACACGAGCGCACAGACGAGACGCCATGCCACGAGGTGCATGCATTGTGACTGTACCACTGACACAGACTCATTCACCACGTTGAACTTCATTCAAGCATCGCCATTGGTTATTGTCTGATATCATCTTGTAATCATCACGAAAGTCGATTGGACATCTGCCAGACATACCGCCTCGATGCCTTTCTATCTGTCTTCCTCTAGACACATACTGAGGGTGGACAGGCTTACCCCAAGATGGCTTTGTCACCCTCAATGGCTCCAATATCTCAGTGATTTTCATGGCTATGATTCCATCCGCTCAGTCTCGCTGCCTTTACCATTTGCATTTTCCTACCGCCTTTCTCCGCCCTTTAACCATTCCAATCAACTCTGTGCTTCAAACAAAACTCCGCTAATTGATGCATGTGGCATGTACCCCCTTTCAATTGGTCAAGCAGTACAGACATGATCCCGTCGCCACCATCAATTGACGCCTCCAACACCGAGCGTGTGTAAAATGCTAGCCGTGACCAAGTCAAGGCGAGTCAGCACCCAAAATCTCTATCACATGGGTTGAATCATGTCATCATGCCCCTTGCGAGTCGTCAAAGAGTCTGGCCACCATGACATACAGCACCAGGCCACCTGCCATCAGCCATAGTTTGTTCTTGGATACCCAGCCCTGTCCTGCGTTTCGGGCGGCCTGACCACCTTGCACGACAGCCCCTACTCCGGCGCCACTTCCACCTAGTATTCGTCGTAGCGACAAAGTCTCGGGTGAGCACTGGATGTTCTCTCCTTCGGCGTCCGGAAGCATCTTGCCTGACGTAGGATCGATGCGATGTTCTGAAATCCAATTCCAGTTCTCCACATCCTCATCCGGCCATTCGGCTCGGAATTTGACCCCGCCGTCTCCTGCCTTAATGTTTCCTAGCCCTCTCGTCGTCGCCTGAACGCCTGGCACTGGCTTGGACGCCGAACCACCGCCTGTTGAGTTCCACCATCTTGACCGAGCCGCATGCCACTTTCGTTCTGCTACGGTGCCTCCGATACTGCCTGCCGTCATCTCCTCGCTGTTCATAAAAGACATGAGGCCAATCAAAATGGTCGACACTGACCAGGCCGGGTTGAAAGATTTTGGGTGGTAGTCACTGATACTCAAGCATAGTCTCGTCGACGTCTTAAATCGGCCACTGGGGGTGTGCATTCGAATGGCGGGAGGGGCAAAGGGATAGTCGGGAGGGAATGTCAAAGTGCCCCAGTATTGTCCCTCAGCGTAGGGTGTGTCTGGTGCACCGGTCAGGATGTAGTGCCATTCCAAGATGTTGGATTCAGACGGGTGTGCTGAGATCAGTGGCACCGGGCTGGTCTGTAGAGCCTGATATTCTCGTGTTAACCGCTTATACGCCGCCTTGGTCGCCATAGTGGGACAGGATGATGGGCTAAGGGGTGGCAGAGGTTCAGCGTTGAGAAAAGCGACAGGGAGAATGAGATTGACACGGCGATAGAATACTTATGATGAAATCCGAAAATAAAGTGTGATGGAATCCCGCTGCGCCAGGCAAAGCAAAGGTGTGAAGTCGTGGAGAACAAGAATAGGAAAGATGGGGAATGAGATCAAGACATGCGCAGTCTTCCGAGATGTTGAGGTGGAAACATTGACTCACCAATCACCATGAGTTCAACTCAATCTGACAACTGGGCAGCAGGCTTGGCACTCTGTTGTGAAGCCATCGGCCACCTTCCTCTACTCCGTACTGGCCTGGGGCAGTGGGCCCTATTACTGGAGATCTCTCAGACTCTCACCGAGAGACTCTGTCTCTTCTCTGTCTCTTCTCTACCAGTCTTGGCTTGGATCGATCGATATACCTACATTGCTACTTAGTACCTTCTTCGCCGTATTCGATTTAGGCGGTCCTGCCGTTTCAGGTGTAGTCAGGGCTGGGGGCGACGCCGCTGTTAACGTCTATGAAAACAAACTGCTTCGCCTTAGGCCTATCTCTAGGATCAAGCCTCAATAACTTGAGCAAAAAGGTCTTGTCTTCCTTGGAAACCTCTCGCTCGGTAATACGTCCAAAAGATTTCATCTTCTCGGGGTTGACCAAAACATTATCTTACTTGATATCTATGTGAGAGCCAATCGGGCACCTCGCAAGCTGGAGGATGTACAAACAACAGACCTGTGTGAACATAATGCTCCTAGTGCAACACTTTTAGGGCCTCGAGAACATTTTTGGCAACGTACTTGATTTCGGACTTAGTGAGCCGTTGGGATGCAGACGCTCTCCGGAGATCGTCATCGAGATGTCTTAGTACGAGTGCTGGAGTATTGGGACGGTCATGTATCTCATCAATCTGAGACCGGAGCTACGAAGTCCTGGTTTGAAAGCGTTTGAGGACTGCCCCCTCATTGTCGAGACGAAAGTGTTGAACGCTTTTGATAGCAACGATCTCCTCACTGTAGCTCCTACGAAATCAAGATCAGTCAAGAGAACAGTAAGGGCCAAGGCAACATACGTTGCCAGCCAGATGGTTTCATGTAGTTGCTTTTGGACTATATAAGTGCCGGCACTACCACTCAGTAGTTGGCCTACATGAAATAGAGAAGTCATTAAGATTTCTGTAGAGACTACGAGATTTTCACCTGGAACATATCATGGGTATCGACTGCTAGCAGTCTGCTAATTATCCCTCTTTGGTTGAGTGTAACGCCACGCGTCAAACATGTGTGAATATCCTCGTTCACAATACTTATGTCAGTATGTGAGGTTTATAGATATACTCAACTAGACGTCTCCGTTTTATAAAGAGTGACACCATTGTTTGATTTTGTGATTCTTTATCAGACTATGATGACACGCGACATCCTTCTCACGTGATTGTTGTACAAGCTACGACGAGGCTAGTTGATCGGAATACCTTCCTGGTGTAGGCCGCTCCTCCTGGCCAGACCAGCTTAGCATACTGCCCCATAACAAAATGATTCTCGAACGGACCTGATGCCGTATAGCTCCATGCTCCTCCTGCACATGCCCAGGTGCTGATCACCAGCCCGTCGGTCTTCATGGCCTCTTCTCCCATCCCGGCACCTCCTCCGCCGCCTTCAGAGCCAGTTCCTGAAGCTGTTCCTGAAGAGCGCATCTTTGACTTGCTGAAGCAGGCCGATCCCCAAGAGCTTGAGCGGAGACAAGCCGCAATCAACGACAAGATTCACAAAACCTTTCAGCTCAGCCAGATGAGACTTGCCGAGTTGATTGACCAGAATAGCACGCTTCCCACTACTGTCGCCTCTGTCACCGTTCTTGGAGCCCCCAACACCCGCCATGGCTTTCTCAAACGACTCATAAATCCTCTGCTCAGTGCCAATCGAGATCGCCCTTACACCCAGTCTGAGTTGATCCACGAAATTTCCCTCACTGCCCAGAAGCTCAGAAAGTTCGGTATGAGGCTCTCAAGCTTGAAAACGTGCGACTGCTAACTTAGTCCTTTAGGCATATATCACGAACCAATCTCCGTCCATCTCGACAAGCCATCCAAAACTGATCCTTCCACCACACCTACCGATGTTGCCGTGTACTACTCTGTCAAGGAAAGAAGCCGGATATTTGCAAAGACAGGGACAGATCTTGGTAATGCTGAAGGTTCGGCCTATGCCAATGTTCAGTGGAGGAACGTCCTGGGCGGCGCAGAAACCTTGGACGTGAATGCCTCGATAGGCACAAAGACGCGATCTTCATACTCGGCAACCATTGATACCCCAATCCTGAGCGACCCAGATTTTCGCTTTCAGGTCGGTGGTGTCCAGAGCGCCACACAGAAAGTTTTTGCGAGCCACGAAGAAGTGCTCAAAGGAGGTTGGACCAAGCTACGGTGGCTGACGGCGAATGGATCTTCACATGAACTTGGCTACAATGGATTCTGGCGACAAGTCACGGGTCTCGCGCAGAATGCTTCACCTACCATCAAGAACGAAGCCGGGGACTCGGTCAAGAGTAGTATATCCCACACTTGGACGACAGATCGCAGAGACAACCCGCAATTACCGTCCCGAGGCTATTATGCGAAGACGGCCTCTGAACTCGCAGGATGGGGTCCGTTACGGGGAGACGTGGCATTTTTCAAGACCGAGGCAGAGACACAAACTGCAATCCCAATTCCTTTCCCTGGAATCAGAGGTGATAGTGGAATCAGCTTCACGACAGGTCTTCGTGCAGGACTGTTGTACCCATTGGCGTTGGGCTCCAACCCCAACCCTGAGCTTTCGAGAGTGAACGATCGTTTCCAGTTGGGAGGTCCCACAGATGTGCGAGGTTTCCGATTATCAGGTCTGGGCCCTCACGACGGTCCTGACGCTGTGGGAGGGGATTTGTACGCAGCAGGAAGCGCGAACCTGTTCCTACCGTTGCCAAAAGTTGGCAAAGACAAACCACTTCGATTTCAAGCGTTTGTCAACGGAGGTCGGCTCCTTGCCATCCGGAATCCAAATCAAGATGGCCCTTTGACGAGTAGCCAAGTGAAGCAAGGCGTGTCGGACGCCATCACAGAGCTTGGAAACGGACTCCCCAGTGTATCTGCAGGGGTGGGACTAGTATACGCTCATCCTGTGGCTCGATTTGAGCTCAACTTCTCTCTGCCGCTGGTCATCCGAAAGCATGAAGAAGCCAGGAAAGGGGTTTCTTTCGGAATTGGCATCAATTTCCTGTAGAAGTAGATAAAAGGCAGGCAGGCAGTTGTCAACAGCAAATAATTACGAAGACCATGTCGGTATTGAGGCGATGTGCATACAGTTGCAGAGTTGCAAGAGTTGCGTTGTTGGTGGGGATGACATGGAGGAGTGGCCAGTTGTTCAAAGTTTCCAATTATATTCCACGTATTTTGTAACTGGACACTCCAACTTCGACCCAAGACATCTGCAACTAGTAATATTATGAATTAGGTACACATCTACTACTTTCCACAGTCATCACCATAAGTTTCTGATCTCTGGACTCCTCCGTCACCAACATCACTCGTTCGAATCTCGCATCCCACATTCCCACGGGGAATTTCAACGTCCTTTGTTGGGGTTTCCAGGGCCGTCGCAAGTGCATCAGCAGACCACCACCTTCGTCGCGTAGCAGCCTGCGCAGCCATTACACATCTCACACATTGACTACACCTCACCTCTGACGGGCTCCGGGGGCCGCACCGTCACCCTCACCTTGACCCTCATCCTCTCCTTCACCTTCGCATCATGTCATACTACAACCAACCATACGGCCAAGGAGCTGCAGGCGGCAGCGGCGCCGCCAACCTTCAATTCTACCCCTCGTCATACACAAACGTGTCTGGCCACACCACACCATCACAAGCCTCCTACGGTGGCTATGGAGGAAGCAGCAGCGCGTCAGCATACCCTGGGTACGGAGCAGGAGGATCAGCGGCCTTTGGTGGTCCTGCTGGCGTCAGTGGGCGAATGGGCGACTCTGGCGGTTTAAGAACAGGTTGGCTTGCTGCCTTTGGCACAGAGGGCTATGATGGTGAACCTGGATTGATGGAAGAGCTGGGCTTTAACTTTGGACACATCAAGACAAAGGTAAGGATGAAGAAAACAACCCGTTTCTCCAGCGGGCATCAGTACCCTGCGAATGGCTACCTTCGTAACCGTGTGAACGATTCATGTGGCTGACCTCTTCCATCTGTTGGTGTCGATATAGACCGTTGCAGTACTCAATCCTTGGACGAAACCCTCACCTCATATCATGGACGACAGCGATCTCTACGGCGGATTGCTCTTCCTCGTACTATACGGCACATTTCTAGCCTTGTCCGGCAAGTTCTTCTACGGCTATATCTATGGCATCGCACTTTTCGGATCTGTCGCTCTCCACTGGATGTTTGCACTCATGACACCACCACTGGATCCCAATGAAACAGATCCAATCTCTCAAGCCCCGCCTGACCATACGAATCCTCATCAGACACGGACAGGCGGTCATTTCTCTAGTACCTTGACCTACTCGAGGAGTGCCAGTGTGTTGGGATATTGTTTCCTGCCTTTGGTCTTTACGGCTTTGTTCGGCGTGGCTTTGCCCATGGACACAGCTGTAGGATATGCTACCACGGCAGCGGCCGTTGGGTGGTGTACCTTCTCCAGCTCTGGCATGTTTGTCAGTGTTGGTAGGATGAAGGGCATGCGTGGCTTGGTGGCCTATCCTTTGGCATTGTTCTACGTTGGCTTTGGCATCATGGGCATCTTTTCTTCCAGAGGGAGCGGCGCTCTAGCGGGCAAGGTCTTGTGATGATCATGTGACCAGAAAGGCAAACGAAAATGAACCGTTTTTGTCAACCCCGTTTCAGCCTCGTCGTCTGGCTTGAAGCTGAACGACCACCACCAGGGGTCTGACCAGAACCCAGATTCTGTGTGGTATGGCATGCGATTGCAGATGAGATGCAGGGACTCAATCTCGCTCGCTGGTCAGGCTATTTTTGGTCTTGCCACAGATTACACCTGGACTTCTCCCTTGCGTTATAAAGCAGGATGATCCACCTACCCTCGATGTGTATCTCCTCAGGCACGCGAGGATGATCCTCTAACTGCCCCTGCGCTTCGAGGTGGGATCGTCCTATGCAGGTGCAACCAAGGTTGGGAACAGATCCATTGAAATCGTAGGGACAATGCAAGGCTGACTATGACCGGTGTCTAAACCTGCAACGGACTTACCATCTACTATACAAAAGATAGATAGTTATCCAAGATGACGATTGCAAAGATTGAAAAGACATTTTCAGTTCCCCAATACCTGCATGTCTGAGTCATGGAAGATAAATTACCGGGAATTGTTTATGGAGCTTTTTACATATGTATGGGATAGCACAATAAGGAGAGATGCCGCCAGAACCTTTTAGGTAGTGTGGTGGTCCTCCAATCCAATTCCACTAGCGGACTTGTCCACTTGTCCCTGACTTTCGGCCAGTTTATTATTCAACAGTTACACACGGGATGCTTTGATATTTGACACCATCGTGAGCACGAATTCATGAGGCGAAACTTCTTCTTATAGCACTTACTGTCTTCACTTATTCTTAACAAGCTGTTTATCGTTAGTGGCTTTGGAGATGGAGTTCTATGGTATGAGTGGTGAACGGTTGGGGACAATTGGCCAAACAAAGCCTCCTTCTCCCTCTCCTGCTACCACGGCCGTTTTGCCTCAATGGAAAAAGGACTTTCTACAAAAGCCGTCGATATCGGTCCGCAAAGGGATTGCTTGGGTGAGTTAGTTGGATTTTTATTGTCGTCATCATTACCTTTATTACGACTCTTTCGCTTGGAAATGGGAGTGGGATGTTTCATTGATCGATGGCCGAAGATCGGTGATACCGCCCCTTTGCTTGGTACCAATTTGGGACGCAGCTGAACTTTCATTAAGTGGATGGAAGTGGAGGCTTGGAACATGATGGTGCTGATACGCGATGCGAGAAGACCTGCTGACCTATGAGTTGGCGACAGGGCTACAGTCCGCCATATGAAGACACGTCAACTCTGGTGCTGACCTCTCATAAAGGCGATTTCGTCGACATTCGCTTCCCTGTTACACCTGAACCTGGTCGTCCCCTGACGTCAAACCCTTCATTCTGGGCATTTTCCGGTCAATCGCATACAACATTTGACGAGGAGGCGCATGGGGTGACCATGCCATACTCGGCACACGCCGTTTTTAATCACGTTATCGATTCAAAAGGACCAGGGATCAGTGACGAGGGAGACATGTTTCTTCTCCCCAATGGCGATTGCATCGAGGTCGGCATGATGCAGAATCCTAGTACGGGAAAAGAACAGCTCTACAAAGAGTATTGGACCGGGCCACCGGCTGAATCTGGGAATGATGATGGCCCTCGTGTTAGGCGGTCACCGTGCGTGGTTGCTAAAACCGTAGCGTCGACTCCAGAGGTGGGTGTGGTACGAAACGGGCGCGGAGCTGTCATTCGCATCGGGGATTATTGTCAGGGGATCCTGCAGAGGGACGACGTCAATGGTCAGCTCTTGACCTTGGTTGAGAGATGGTCAAACGCCCCCGACGGGTCCAATGCCGCCGTGCGGCATGCCGAGTCGACAGTCAACGAGGTGAGTGGCGCGCGGTGGATCAAAGACTGGCGAAGCAATACAGTCGCCGATATGCAACATGACTCCGCGATTCCTTCAATTTGGATATGTGGTGATGGTCATAAGGTTGGTGATGAAATTGTGGTCGATGGGGTCACGTGGAGAGTCGTCGAGGTCGAAAATTGAGAAGGGCAAGGAGCCAGCAAGACATGGTCTTGTACAGGGGACTACCGAGTACATTTCGGATGGTTGGTGTCGTTGAACTTGGTCTGCAAGGTTTCTAAAACGGCAACAGCATCGATCGAAGTGCTTGGTAATAGCTTGACGGACAAACCGAGGCACAGCTGATAAGGCTGGCTCGGTCAAGATGAATCCACAACCATATTGAGGCTGCCTGTATCTGATACGACATGTGCAAGTCCGTGGGCACCGGGGCAGATCGGACTCGATGGATGTGCCAGGGGATGTTGATATCCCTATCAACACGTGATACAAGATCCGGCATGCTGGAACAATTGTATCCAGGAGCGGGGCAAGGATTCATTCCACGCACAAACAGTGACCAGGGTAGGAAGAGCCGGCGAGGAAGACAATGACATGACTTTCTCTACACAGGAGGAACTTGCGCGTGTGAAGGTATGATAGGGCATACCCAAAGCGAAGATGAGGGGTCGCGGGAGCGTGGGATGAGCATGTCGTGGAACCGGATTCCCAAATTCCGAGACAAAAGCCGTGGCCCCCAGAACCCGGCGATATTACAACAGGATGATATTGATGCCATGGGTGCCTTGTGGGACTGTTACAAGACTGAGCCGTTGGGACTCTGGGATTATGGTTTTGGAAGAGCAAACACGATGATTGGCGAATCGTCCTCTTGAAGGGGATCGACACTCGAGACGCTCTGGCGGGATCAGCAGATTATCGCCGGCTTCCAGAAGACAGGCAAATAAGACAGGCACATACGCATATGGAGACTGCTCCGAGGTGCCTGGGGTGCCTGATACAGGATTCGTCTTGGGGGGCGCTGGCCATGGTCCATTGATACGGATTTATTTTACTTCCTGGTTCCTGGTCGCTTGTCATCAGTGGTTCCTGCTCCAGACATCTATCACTGCCTTCCGAGAGTTATTAGAGTCCAACCTTTTAGTGTGGCCGAGGATTAGCCTGCGACCAATCTTGTGCTGGGTGTCAATTCTGCCTAAACTGAAAGCCCCAGTGAACCCCTTAGGCCGAGAGGCGCCAAAGCCACGCTGACCTCCAGACCTGGGGCAGCCCCACGACGTGGATTCTGAACAGGCGCTGGCCCGAGTTTCTGAGGCCCTCGGCCCCCCTCGGCGCACCCGTAGGCCCTTAGGCTCCGTGCGTACCCTCACTCCAGGTAGGGTTTCTTGCGACCTCCACACTCATCGACTCACCAACTACTCCGTGGGTAGACCATCTGGTGCTTTGTACCTCGTCTGTCCAATTTGCCCTTGAATCTGCTGTGATCCACGCAGCTTACAGCCTTACCGAAACTCCGCGTTGTTTCCAGGCAGTGGATAATCGATGACATGAACGTCCGCTGCCCAGAACCTGCACAAAGATTGGATTTGGAGGCGGCGACGATCATTCTCCATCATTTCGACTTGATATCGTTCGACATGTCTTGATGTGGCCCAGCGCCTCTAATTATGTGGCTGCTGAAACACAAGCAGATGATTGGAGATAGTGCCGACACGAGACACCCATGCATGCCACAACTGCCGTGCATATGACTGGCGTCGATCGTGGTCGATGTCGATTCTCGTGGGATGACATTGAAAAGTTATGCCTGGCTGGGGAGTGACCTCGAGGCCGAGGGGGCTCAACTGCGCCTGCCCCCCAAGTCCTCGGGTGCCTTCCGCTCAGACTAAGTATTTACGGTGGGGTAATCCAAACGGCAGGTGCCACTGACATCTTTCCCTGTACGCAGAGACATAACGCATGCTATAGGCTCACCTGCTTCCGCATGTGCAGGCGCATGCGCTTCATGCATGTCGCTTGCCGGGCGCAACTGTCACCATCGTACCTTCTCTCCACTATCAGTTGCGGGTCTCCGAAGTTCTTCCACTCTCCACCTAATCGCTGTGTCCCTCTGTTTTCTCACCCAAACGCGTTTTCCTATCATTGCATGCTACGTTCCAATGTCCAACTCACTTCCAAGATATTCAACTTCGGCTGAATTCTCGGTGTGGCCTCGTGGAAACCCGGCTCTTGAAATGCCCTTTGGACCCTCGGTAGGTGTTTTGTTTCATTTTCTGTTTCTCTTTCCAACTCTTTCTCTGTACCGTTGAAACCCTTCACCACCCAAAATGGGCTCTTTACCAGTCCAGACAAGCTTCGACGTCGAAGATGTGCTCTCCCAGCTCGACACCTCGGAGAAGGTCGCCTTGCTGTCTGGCATCGACTTTTGGCATACAGCTCCTGTTCACCGACTAGGTGTTCCCTCAATTCGACTTTCAGATGGCCCCAATGGCGTTCGTGGCACTCGGTTCTTTAACGGTGTTCCCGCTGCATGCTTGCCTTGTGGTAAGTTTCATCCTCCTATTCTCTGCTGTTCTTTCTGATCCGTCCAAGGAACTGGCCTCGCAGCGACCTGGGACACGAACCTCATCAAGCAAGGAGGCGCTCTACAAGGTGTCGAAGCAATCGGCAAGGGCGCCTCGGTCATCCTAGGGCCAACCACAAACATGCAGAGGTCGCCTCTTGGAGGTCGTGGCTTTGAAAGTTTCAGCGAAGATCCATACCTTGCCGGCGCCATGAGTGCTGCCACCATCAATGGTATACAGTCAACTGGTGTGGCTGCCACAATCAAGCATTACGTCTGCAATGACCAAGAGGACCAGAGACAGTCCGTTGACAGCATCATCACCGAACGAGCCCTTCGAGAAATCTACCTGATGCCATTCCAAATCGCCCAGAGGGACTCAAGCCCCGATTGCTACATGACTGCATACAATAAAGTGAATGGAACACACGCTAGCGAGAGCCCTCGTCTGATTCGAGACATCTTGCGCGGAGAATGGGGCTTCGATGGCCTGGTTATGAGTGACTGGTAAGCTCATAAACCCTTCCTGTGGATTGCCTGACTGACATATCTCGAGGTTCGGCACATACTCTACCACAGAAGCCATCAAGGCTGGGCTAGATTTGGAAATGCCTGGCCCCACTTACATCCGGGGGAAGCTAGTCAACCAAGCCCTTGGATGTGGGAAGCTTACCATTCAGGAAGTCGATGCTCGGGTCCGTGAAGTCCTTAAACTGGTCAAGAAAGTACAACCCCTAGGTATTCCCGAAAATGCCCCAGAGCAGACCTACGACACTCCCGAAACCTCTGCTCTTCTCCGTGCCATATCCTCAAATGGCCTGGTTCTTCTCAAGAATGAAGGTAGCGTTCTTCCATTCCATAAAGAGAAAACCACAGCTATCATTGGACCCAACGCTGCCTATGCTTCCTACTGTGGCGGTGGCTCCGCTTCCCTGGCACCCTACTACGCCATCAGCCCTCTTGACGGCCTCCGCTCCAAGGTACCAGATGCCAAGTACGAGTTGGGATGTCCCGCTTGGAAATCGGTACCGCTCATGTCCAACCTTACGAAGACGAAGGATGGTCAAGTTGGCTTGACCATGAATGTCTTCCTAGAGCCTGCCACCGTCCCCAACCGCATGTCGATTGACGAAGTATTTGTCAACAAATCCGACATTCTTCTGGTTGACTACAAGCACCCTTTGATTAAGAACTATCTATACTGGTTGGAGTTGACCGGCACATTCACACCAGAGGAGACCGCCGAGTATGAGTTTAGTTTGGCTTGTGCAGGAAGCGGTAAGATCTTTGTCAATGGTGAGCTTGTCGTAGACAACGAGACCGTCCAACGACCCGGCAACACATTCTTCGGTGCTGGAACAGCAGAAGAGATTGGGGTCCTCAAGCTGGAACAAGGCGTCGCCTACGACATTGTTGTCAAGTTTGGCACCTTCCCTACCATGTCCTTTACGACTCCGGGCACCACCGGCTTTGGCTCGGGTGGTCTGAGAGTCGGTCTGGAACGAAAGGCTGAGATCAGTAAAGAGATTGAGAGGGCTGTCAAGCTGGCCAAGGAGGTTGACCAAGTCGTCCTATGTGCTGGCCTGAACAGTGAATGGGAATCAGAAGGCTATGATCGAGAGAATATGCACCTTCCTCCTGGTGTCGATGACCTGATCCGAGCTGTGGTCGCTGTCAACCCAAACACTGCTGTTGTCCTGCAGTCTGGAACCCCCGTCACACTGCCTTGGCTCAATGAAGTCCCAGCATTGGTCCAAGCATGGTACGGAGGCAATGAGACCGGTAATGCTATTGCCGACATTGTCTTTGGTGATACCAACCCCAGCGGCAAGCTGCCCTTGAGCTTTCCTCTCAAGAACGAAGATAACCCGGCCTTCTTGAACTACAAGTCGGAGCGAAATAGAGCCATCTATGGCGAAGACGTCTATATCGGCTATCGGTTCTACGAGAAAACCAACAAACAGGTTGCGTTTCCATTTGGTCACGGCCTCAGCTACTCGACATTTGAGATAAGTGATCTTATTGTCGACGACAACGGTGTCGACATCTTGGTCTCTGCCTCGGTCACAAACACTGGTAGCATTGATGGCGCCCAAGTTGTTCAGGTTTATGTCTCACAACATAATCCTAGCATCAATCGACCCAGGAAGGAACTCAAGGGCTTCGCCAAAGTTGCCGTCAAGGCCGGCGAGACCGTCCAGTCTATCATTGTCATTCCCAAGAAATACGCCGCCAGTTTCTGGGACGAAGAACGCAACGCTTGGGTGCAAGAAAGAGATACCTTTGATGTCCTTGTGGGAGACTCGAGTGCCAACACGCCCCTCAAGGGCCATTTTAAGGTGCCTGAGACCTCGTGGTGGAGAGGGTTGTGAGTGATATGATAATCACGGGGAGGGTGATCTGTCATGGTCTAACGAAACGATGTGATCCGGCGTATGGGCATACCAAGCATGCATAGATGGCGCTATGGGACGGGACACGAGTGGCTCATTCGCTCAGGCCAATGCTATGATGCATTATCATGGTCTCCGATTTGACGGCCTATTATTTAGCGGTTGTATTAATGGTCTTGTAACAGACTACAAGCGTTTATTTCACCTGTCCAACGCGAGATGTGACCTCTTCCAGACTGTCCAGCGATCTGAGCATCTCATCAGACATGGTGAGAAAGCATGAGCGAGAGGATCGTTCCATTGCTTCCCATTGCTTCTAGATGGCCACGCGGCTTGCAAAATTTGAGTCTCGCACTCAGTGAAAAAAGTCGAAGTAGATGCGCTTATTCGAGATGGACCACCCATAAATGGAGGACACTGATTCACATGGTTCGTGTTTCGAAAATTTCAAAGTCATTTCAGCGCTCGATCAACTCGTAAACCCATAAGTCATGTGCATGAACCACACGGTCGTATTTTGGCTAGTAGCCATGCGACCACAGTAGTTTTCTCATCAGCCAGACTCAAAATTGGCCGTCATTTCAGACAATTTGGCAGCGACATGAGGAGCGATACCGCTTTCAACGATCTGCTGGACCAAGGCCGCCAGCTCCTGACGAGACTCATCGTCGATCTTGCCCGGCGGTAGCGATCGAGTGATACTGCTAGCCAGTACGTCCAAACAATCACGGTAGATATCGGTGTTTTGCGACCGGTCAGCGAAGATGGCCAAGCTCGATGTACAGTCGCGGATGGCTCGGTCGGCAGCTTTTGATATCGGTGTCCCTCTCCGCCATAGTTGGTAGATGATTGTCACGCCGGTTTGGAATTGAAATAGCATCTAGTCAATGTCAATGAGCATGTCAGTGTAGGTGAGAGAAAGCAAGAATTCGGGATGCGATAGAATGCAGAGGGACAACAAGGAGGTACAAACGTACATCAATCCAATGTTTAGGAATCTGTCGCTTCTTCTGCAATGCTCTGAACCCCGTGCACGTGTCGCAACATGCTTGCAGGAGCTCGTCTGTCAATGGAGAATTGATATCAGCCTTGACGGAGCTGTAAAGAAACACTCGCGTGATATCAGCCACGTGTGTCAATCCTAGAGGACTTGCGTGTCCTTCTGTATTTGGGCGGCTATTCCAACTCATCAGCGAAGATCGGACAACATGCTTCTGGCTTCCTCCTCGGCCTGACTTACCCATAAGCATACATCTTATCACGCTGCGACCATTGATCAATCTCAGCCCGCATTTCTTCAATGAACTTTGTTTCCGTCCCTGGTGCGAGATCCTGAGTTGCAGTGAGGATTCTGGAATGGATTCGTCTGATTCGGCACATATGTGCGTAGTAACTCAGGTCAAAGTTGTATATCGCACGTTCTGTCGATCCAGGCACGTCCGACGCCCATGGCATTTCAAATTGCGGTTCGAATCTGCTTTCGTACGACGGAGTGGTGATCCATTCTTCAGGAGGATATGGAGGTAGTTGCAACGTGATTGCCACTACTTTATCCAGTCTTATACGGTCAGTAGGTATCAAGTCTTCTTCAACAGACATTAGTCCAAACATACGAGTAGATACACCACCACGCTTTGATAGACATGATGGTCTCATCAGTCCCATCGTTTACCAGGCGATTGAATCGGTGTAACACTGCAAAGCGCATGACTACCCCAATGATGTGGACCAAGCGTGATGTGCTCTCACCGTGTAGCGCATGGATAGCATACAACAGCATCGCTTGAAGTCGGATTAATGGTTTGTGGGTGGAATCTGTCATGATACTTTGATCGGCCTGGGCTTGAAGCATCAAGTCGCGGTGTTGTCGACGAGTCGTATAATCCAGGCGCGCTTGTCGGAGGATGGAGCCATTCGCAAATATCTCATGAGGTCAGCAGTGGCTATAGAAGTGGGATGCATAGACATACCATCTTGACAAGATATGAGCTCCACGCGCTTCCGGAAGAGATGAAAATATCACCCGTTTTCCAGTCTTGATATGCTCGACTGCATTCTTCAACGTCAAGAAAAGGATACCGTGGATGGACGGTTTCAAAATAGGTTTGAAAGAAACAAGCGCCTTCATTTATGGAAACCTCAGCAACCGTAGGAGCAGTCGCTTGGCTGAGCGATTGTACCGGGACCGTTGTATCGCTTGCTGCAACAGGGCTGGTGGTTGTGTCACGGTGACTAACAGGAGGGATGTGGCTGATAGAAAACAAATTTTCTTCTTGTTGCAGCAAGTCCAGGTCATATAACATGTTATTTGGAGTATATAGAGGAGCCAGATAGGTCATTCCAAGCTGTTCTGGGGCATCTTGAGGGGCGAGTCCGCCGTGATTTAGTACATTGTGATTGATTGGCTGTTCGAGTATCTGTCGAGAAGGACTATCACTGTGTGGCTGGTTGACTATTTGGTTTGAAATTGGTTCACCTGGATGATCTTGGAAGTTGGAGAGCTGAGATTCAAGAGATCTGACATAGGACACTGAGTACATTCCCATAGGTTCATGGCTGGCTGGTATGCATTCTGCGTTGTGTTAGCTCGTTCAGCAAGCTTGGTGTTACGGGCTTTTGGTGGATTAGAGTGCACAAGTAGGGGTGTGTACAGGTCTGGGCGAGGGCTATGTTGGCCCTACAGAGCCTAACATTGCCCCCAAGCATGACTTGGAAGCGCGATGACTGCTGATACAAACGTCCGAGCCGAGGACGTTGTGTAGCAAAAGCCAAGCAAGGTGACAGGAAAGATTGTCGAGTACTGACCTATATTGGCCGAAGCACAGTTCCGGCACGTAGGCACCTGATTATCACATCGCTGCTTCCTCGAGCGACATCTCTGACATGCTTTCGCTTTTTTTGGTCGAGACATGTTGCTTGCCCTTCGAGGTGTCCGAAGGCCCATGTATTCGGCGTTTGGCTGCATGATCCGACAGATGGATAACGGGCTTTGTGTCGGCGGATCTCATATCAGGGAGATGGCATGGAACGTGGGAATGAAGATAGGCCTTTCCGTATCTCTAAGGGCAGATTTCGCATGTTTCTGCGAGAGTGAGGTAGCAAATGCCGTGCCGTTCATCAAGGCCTTCTCTAGGAATATGGAAAGACGGGTTTGTTGAAGGTGTCACCAGCGGCTTTCGGGCTTGTCGGACTTGATCGGACACCTCTCTTGGCGAGATAGGATCCACCTGCAAGTGGTTTTCCCCGCAATTTACACCGACATGAACTGAGCATCCGATTCTTAACTTATCTCGTAATATCAGAGCTAAATCGCAGAACTCATCTATTTCTCCTAAAGAACTCGTGTAGCTTTGGACGACATAAATCCCAATCAAGATGCATTGTGCCATCGATGACATGTCGCTGTGATACCGTAAGTTCCTGGACCATCGGCACAAAGGTGTTGGCCAACATTCGACGATTAAAAGCGGGGTGTCACTGAGTATCTGGACCATAGTATAGCTTTCAGTGATGGAAGTCATAAGTTTATTGAGCAGCGCGGTGAGATTTCTAGTTTTGACTTGGGAAAGAAGCTGCATGGTTGTGAATAACGGTCACGTGCTGCCCCTTTTCTTATGTCCTCCCCATGGCTATCTCGACTGCTTCCAAAATAGCGAGATTCTTCTCATCTTCAAACTTACGGGTGATGATTTGCAATCCGACTGTGGCGTCCTTGAAGATGATCGGATCGTAAAGGTCATAGTTCTCTCTGTCTCGGGAGTTCTTTGGCACATAAGACTCATCCTTGACATCTAACTCTGGATCCACCGTGGTGACCGGAAACGAAGAGCCAGGGTACTCAAGGAGGTTCCACTGGCTGGTATAGAGCCAATAAGTTGCTTTATTGTGTGGATAAGCCGCACCTGGAGCAGCTGGAGAGATGATGGCGTCGACAGGATGGCCGTCAACATCTCCAGTGGCTAGCCAATAGTCATTATATTGTTGTCGGTATTCATTTCTTCGTGCTTTAAACTACACGCAAAGTGTCAGAAAGAGAGTCTCGGCCAAGTCAATGAGTCCGATGAAATTACCTCCCAGACTTCTTCAATGGTCTTGTGCTTGACGCGTTCATTGTCAAAGATCCACTGTGTTAGAGGACGTGGTTGCTCGCCGCCCTTCTTGAGCACCTCCTTGATTGCTCGGCATCCGTCCTCAAAGTATAGTCCCATGGCAATGTCGTCGGCCTTTGCATGGTCAAGAGGAACCCAATCGACTACTTCGAACCTGTCAGGATGTCTACGAAGAGCCTTGGCGACGTCGTCGAGCGCCCTCCTCACCGGAGGATGTGGCATCACGATGCCGTCGTTCCACAAGAAAGCGATCTTGAGCTTGGTCGGCAGCTTCACCTCTCGCCATGGGAGAGGAACCAGTGCAGGGTCGTTATTCCAAGGCTGTGAGTTACAATATGTTCTCATAAAGAGTGACAGACCCGATCGAGAAGTAGTCATCGGTCCATGAGAGCCAATTATTCTGTGTCATGGTTAGACATTTGCCTTCTCCAAAACATTCGAGCTGCAATGAGGAACACTGACCCATCACCGCCTGGAGCGACCCTTGCTCCTCGACGACTAACACGTCCCGTTGTAGGCTTGAAGCCATAAATTCCAACATTTGCAGCTGGGCCTCTGATTGAACCACCACTATCTCCCCCCACTCCCTGGCAATTGTCAGGAATGGACCACGAGGACAGAAGATAAAATACTATACACACCAGGACACTTCCTCTCAATGCTAGTAGAGCTGCCTCTCCGCCCGAACTGCCACCAGGAGTAAGAGACAGGTTGTATGGATTCAGGGTTACCCCATAGATATTCGATGATGTCTCTAGGTGCATTCCAGTTTGCGGCATGGTAGTTCGAGCGTAGAAGACAGCCCCTGCAGCCCATAAGACATCATTGACTGCACTCACACCAGACTAGATATGTTTAGTCACAAAGTCGAAGCATCATTAGGGGAATCTCACGTGGTCTTCATCGATATAAGCGACATAGCCGCACGTCTTCATTCTCCCGAACATCCCATGATGCTCCTTGATCGAGATAGGAAGCCCGTGGAGAGGGCCTACCGGCTCGTCCAGGGAGTCGAGATAAGCTGCCCGCTCTAGAGCAAACTCCGGAAGCACCTCTGTAATACAGTTGACCTGATAAGCGTGATGATCAGTGGAATGATCGGAAAAGAAAGAAGGTCCAAGAATACCAAGGACTGTGCAAGGGCGGCCCGGCGGAGAAATGCCTTGCACACAGTGACACAGGAATACTTCTTGGTTCTGATCGCATTTAGGATCTCGTTAGCCTCGAGCGAGGTAATCTCGATTTCCTCTTTCTCCAATATCTCATTGGGAATGCCGCGAACGTTCTGTGGAAGAGGTTCGGGCAAATGGTTGAGGGCTAAAGGCGGTGTGATACGAGACAAGGAATCGTCTCGCAAATCCAGAGCTTTCTTGATCAAGGCATTAGTGGCCAGACTTGTAGATTGGGACGCCATTGGATGGGGTATCGGTCACTGTGCTATAGACAAACAGAAATGGCTTGTTCTATCGAGGTGGAATGTTGGTGTCCAGGTGATCGGTGTCTTTCAAATATCAGACAGGTGTACCATGTTTCTAGTACGTCTCCACCGATCTCTGGTTGTTGATAACTCCTTCGACTCGAAAACCTTTTCACGGCCATCCGGAAAGATTGAGTAATTCAATCTCATGACTTTCGAGTGCTGCAACGAGAGTCGAATTGATGATCGAAGTCCGAAGCCGTCCGCAATGGCTCTGTCTACCGGGTGGGTCCTGCAACGGCAAGATCTCAACCATCGGCGACCATCGGACTGCCAACGCCGACCAGATGCGACAAATGTTCCCGTTATCTTTCTTCCCCACAAACCGTCACAGAACTCAAAGGTTGACTCTTCATCTTACTGGGAAATGGTGAACAATCTGATTCGACCGGGCCGGGGCCCTCAACTGATGAGCCTCTATCACAAGACATGCCCCCTATCGCGGTAGACGTGCATGTGCGTTGGAATACTTAAAAGGGTCCCAGACTCTTTCAAATCGATGGGCATCTCGCTTCACGCCATAACCTCTCCACCTCAATTCAAGACTCCAGTCTCTCAGACTTTCACCAAGACCAAAGTCGACGAAAAGATGGACATGCAGGTGGCAACCAACTCGTCTGCTGCCGAGACACAGCCTGACCCAATGAACGAGAAGGTCGCTGCTATCGCTAGCACCAACGACATTGGGGCCTCCATGTATGCCCAAGCCCAGAACTATCACTCTGAAAACATCGAGGCCGAAAGGGCTCAGGTCAAGAAGAAGTTGGACCGCATCTTGATGCCTGTTGTGAGTATTCACCAGAGCATGTCTCTATCACCCCACTCTCTTTTCCGTCCTTGGTCATGCCTTCGTCTGGACTTTGATACTGACTCTTGCACTAGCTGATGTTCTCATTCACGTTTCAATTCTTGGACAAGTTGTCTCTGAACTATGCTGCAGCATACACGCTGATCCCTGACCTTGGACTTGAAGGCCAGCAGTATTCGACTGTGGCCACGGCGTTTGCATATGGAAACATCGTCTGGTACATTCCCGCCAGTATGCTCCTCCAGCGTCTACCTGTTGCCAAATACACTGGCACCATGATTGGAATTTGGGGTATACTTCTCATGTGTTGTGCCTCGGCCAAGAACTTTGGCGGCATCTTCGCCCTTAGATTCGTCCTCGGCATGGCTGAGTCCAACATGACTCCCGCCTACATGGTGATTTGTTCCATGTTCTTCACCCGCCAGGAGCTTTCGTTGCGACTGCTGCTCTTCATCGCTATGAACGGCTTGGCGACCGCCGTGGGCTCTCTGCTCGCCTTTGGCTTAGGACATGTCACTAGCACTTCGGTCGCCTCGTGGCAATTGATCTTCCTTGTCATTGGGGCGGTCAACCTTATCTGGTCTGGCATCTTTGTAAGTTGGATCCCCGTGGCTGCATTAAATGACTCTGAACCGGTGCTGACTATTTGCTTCTTCAGCTATATGTTGTCCCTGATACTCCAATGAATGCCTGGTGGCTTACCGACAAGGAGAAACTCATCGCTATCGACAGAGTCTCTCAAAACATGATCGGCATCAAGGATAAGAAGTTCAAGCCACACCACATCAAGGAAGTTTTCATGGATCCCAAAGTGTATTTGCTGTGCGCAAGTGGTTTCGCCATTGGTATTGCCAGCGGTGGTCTTGGGTATTTCGGTTCTGCCATCATCAAGGGCTTTGGTTTCTCTGGCCTTGACGCGACATTGTTACAGCTCCCAACTGGTATTCTCGAGTTCGTCGTACTTCCGATCTCTGGATGGATTGCGTCACGATACAAGAACGTGCGGATCTATGTGACGGTGGTGACTCTACTCATCCCACTCGGAGGGTTTCTGGGCATCCGACTCACGGGGCTCGAGCATCGATGGAGACTTGTGGGGTCTACCTGGCTGTTGTACATCTCGGCTGTCGGTCCTGCTATGTGCTACAGCTTGCTCGCTGCCAACTTTGCCGGCCACACCAAACGCTCGTTTATCAACGGGTTGTGGTTCGTGGTCTGGTCTGCTGGCACCGTCGCAGGGTCCAACTTTTTCAAAGCTAACGAAGCCCCTCGTTACTTTACCGGCATCACTGCTCTTCTGGCCTCTTCAATTGCCTTCAAGGTTGTCCTGTTGCTGTTGCGCTTTTACATGTCTTGGGAGAACAAGAGGCGTGATCGACTGTACGGCGTGGAAGAGATTGTTGATGGAGAAGCTGGCCAGGAAGCCATCGAAGCCGGTTTCATGGATAAGACGGATATCGAAAACAAGCACTTCCGATATGTGCTATAGATTTTGGTCTTGATGGATAGGGTGTTGCCCGACCAGCGGACTTCCATCCTGCTCCTTGCTGGTATACACCCCACGTGGTTAGAAGGGTCCTAAATATAGCGAAGAGCTGTGAGGTGGCTTCAGAAGTACGGTTGAGGGGCTAAGGATATAGTCGATAATGCTCAATATACTGATGTTGAATACGATCTGAGATGCTATAGACCTTCCTAGACTCAACATTTCCACACCATTGAAACATGATACCAGGAAAACGAGCGAGAGGTACTTCAAGATTATTTACAGCTCCTTGCACGATCTAGTTGGCAGAACGCCTATCTTTCACAGCACCAGAAGCTCCAGTAACGAAAAGAATAGGATTCTGCCTTGGAACAGTTTCGGTTTTAAGGATGAATCATTTCGGAAATGTGTTGACTAGCTATGAAGAGACAAAGTCTAGGGCATCTATTTAGTGTCTGTCCACCCAAATTGTCCCGCAAAATCAGGACACAGGAATCGTTTGGGCCGGTCTTTGGAGATGGCACTCAGTTCAAGCATGTCAGATTTGCTCAAAGGCACGAGCTGACGATTCTGCGCTATTCTCGATGGATCAACCGACTTTGGCAGAACAGAGCATCCACGTTCGACTGATTAGATAGTCTATCAGCTTTTTCTCTTGAACAGAAATGTTGAAGGAAGATGTAACCTACCATGGTAGTTGAGAAGGATGTTACCAGCTGGTTTTGCCTTTTGCGTGGCCAGTGCTTGCACAACTGGATCGGAGATCAAAGGTGCACCACTACTTCCCAAAGGAGAGTAAGCAGTATTGTGAATGCCATGTTGACGACAGAATGCTACCAGTTCTTCTTGGGGAAGTCGAGGATGCAGTTCGACCTGACACACGGCTGGGACGACCGAGCAGTTGGCCAGAAGTTCCTTCAGATATCCGACCGAGTAGTTGGCTACCCCGATCGCCTTGACTTTCCCAGAGACTAGCAGTTTTTCCATGTCATGATAGGTTTGGACGTGAGATCTGGTGGTGTCTAGATCTCTACTTCCGTCTTCCTTCATCGGCCGAGTGTCATGATTGCCTATGTCGGGTGTGAGTCAAAGTCGAAATCACCAGTTTAGCACTGGTGAAAAGGGGGATCTGTCCCGTACCATTGGCATTCATGGCAATCGGCCAATGCATCAAATACAGATCCACATAATCCAGCCCAAGACTCTGAAGGCTTTTATCGAGTGCTTCTTCGACGCGGGTGTGATAGGTGCACCACAGTTTGGTAGTGATGAATAAATCCTTGCGGTCGACCACCCCCTCATCCAGGACTTCCTTGAGCGCTTGTCCAATTGACTCCTCATTACCATAGAAGTAAGCTGTATCGATATGTCGATATCCAACTGAGATGGCATGCTTGACTGCTTTGATCGTTTCTTCCGGCGCCGATTGCCACGTGCCTTGTTAATATCAGCGCATGTCTAGTACCAGACTGTAGAAGATGTGGACGCACCAAGTCCAAATGCTGGAATTGCAGCGCCAGTATTCAAGGTGAAGACCTTTTCTGGTTCGATGTAAGACCCCATGATGCCTGGTACTCGGTCAAGGTATGAACTTTGATGTCTTTCCACTGATCCGAGGGTTGTTGAAAGTTCTTAGAGATAGTTACTTATGCCCTGCCCAGTCGAGGTCCTTGAAGGTCAGAGCACAACTGGCTACTTCAATCGTGGCCATGATTGTGTCCGATGACACTGCCCATCTTAGCCGACACGGACCCCAGGTGGGTGTTGGGCATGTCCGATGATGTCCGATTGCTATCATGAAGGAAGCCGTCGGGTCCCTCTCACAACCCACGACAAGATGATCGTGGCTCCACTCCCGACAACTCCGATGGCGAATGACGAGAATTCTATTTCTGGTCACCACGTTCAGTTGCCCGTCTAAGAATGATGCCGATCAATTTTCAAGCAGAAAAGAGTAGAAACTGAAATTGTGAGTCACTCGCACATGCGCACAGGTATGAAAAGCAGCAGTCGTTTCCACCAAAGACGCCAACGCATCTAGCCTCAACATTCAACTCGTGTAGACTAGAGAGATCTTTGAAGTCCGGGTCTCGAACATATCAGCGACGTCTCGAAGCCCGTGGCTCTTCCCTAACCAACGATACATCGTCAAGATGGAGTATCCGGCCGGAAAACACAACACAGTGCACCGGTTGGCACCCAAACGGGCAGCGTACGACCTCAAGACGGTCCACTCAATCATAAACCAGTGTCTTGTCCTCCATGTGTCATTCATGCCGAACAGCGACGACTTCTTCCCGACCGTCATACCAATGATAGGTGCCATGGGCAGTTTCGACTATCCGAGTGCTGACATTGACGAGCCGCTCGATTGCTACATCCACGGCTACGTTTCTGCTCGAATGGCCAATCTGGCGCGCACAGCTGAAGCAAATGGAGAGCCTGGGCTTCCTGTGTGCGTGTCGGCCGCCAAAGTCGATGGCTTGATCCTGGCTCTCAGCGCATTCGCACATTCATGCAACTATCGTTCAGCTTGTATCTTTGGACACGCAAGTCTGGTGACGGATCCGGAAGAGAAGTTATGGGCACTGAGACTCATCACCAACACCTTGGTGGCAGGGCGATGGGAAGAAACACGCCAACCGCCGTCTTCCAATGAGCTTATTCAGACTCAGATTTTGCGGATTCGAGTCAAGAGTGGTAGCGCCAAGGTTCGAGCTGGGCCGCCGTCGGAGGTCGAGGATGACATGAAGAACAAAGAGGTCAGGCAGCAAACTTGGTCAGGATATATTCCTCTGTTGGAGCAGTTGCAAGAGCCTGTTCCAGCCCGTCACAACTTGCTTGGGCCAATACCAGAGCACATCACAAGCTATCGGGAAGCTTTCAATGAGGATGCAAGGGAATACAACGACGAGATGGTGAAGAGGGTATTGGAAGACTCTGCTGCCTTTCAGAATGTGTAGGACCTTATAGACACATTGCAAGGTGTCTCTGATATCGCACAAGGTCTGGCTATTTCGTTGTGTTTCGATATTGGTAGATTGAATTTCTTAGGAAACTAAAGTAGATAGATTGTTAAAGCGGCAGGTCACAGAGAACGCCAAGACTCTGTTCCACGTGACCATGTCCTTATGTTTTCGTATTTTGTGCACATGCCCGGTTTTGCTTTAACAGGAGTAATCGTCGCTTGTTCGCTGCAAAGTGTCTGTGAAACCTGTAGGCAGCAGACCTCCATTGAGATTCTTATCGATGAGAAAAGGCCCTGAGATCGGCAGTCGGAGGTCACATGGGATGGAGTCAGTATCAACCCATCAATAATCTCGTGATTATCCACTTCAGGGCGCAAACCATCAGATTTGACTAGGACATTCAAATGTGGCAGACCAATACATGGCGCAGATGTACGCGCTGGGTTCTAATGGCTGCGGCCAGCTAGGTATTGGCCATACTGAAGATGTGGCAATTCCAAGATTGTGTATCTTCGCCCCTCCGGAGAAAAGACACGATGAACGGCATGCCACAGGTGGAAGCGGCTGCCCCCACATCCGCAAAATCAGTGCAGGTGGTAATCACACGTTGGCTTTATCAACGGATGGAAATTTGTATGCCGCGGGAAGAAATGATGATGGAAGATGCGGACTGCCACTTCAGCCTGGTAAGGAGGAGGATTTGAGGGTAATATTTGAGGAGGTCCACATAGGCAAGATATCAGGGATGATGACTGGGAAAGGTCTACCAGAACCTAACAACCGAGTTTCCGATATTGCAGCAACCTGGGAGGCGAGTTTTGTTGTGCTCGACAGCAAATATGTGGTTGCTTGCGGATCGGGCGGTAAGGGTGAGCTGGGACTCGGCAGAAATATCACGTCCATGGCTACCTGGACAAAAGTCTTGGACTTGTCATCGACCGAAGAGCATATCCTGAAGATTGCTGCCAGCATGTCACATGTTGTGGTGTTACTATCGGGCGGTCAGGTACTTGGATGGGGCAGTTGTCGTAAAGGTCAACTAGGTGCATCTGCTAAGGAAGAAAAAACGTCGTGGTTCCCAACAAGAGTTGAGACTGAGCCGGCCTTCAAAGCGACGGATGTGCTGGTAGGCAGAGATTTTACTCTGTTACTCGCCGCCAGAAGAAAGCCAGAACTTCTAGGCGAATCGAAGTTTCTCAGCGGAGAGGATCTTGAAGTATTTGGTAAGGATGATGTGGCTGTTTGTGGGTGGAATACCATTCACGTGCTCTCCAAACCACCAGGCAGCTCCACGAAAACGACGAGAAGTCTGGGGAAGAATGACAGAGGACAATTCGCACCCAAGACCTTGCCTGATATTCGAGAAATTGCAGCCGGGAGTGAGCACTGCGTCGCCGTGACGATGGACAACAGGGCCATTTCGTGGGGATGGGGCGAACACGGTAACTGTGGCGACAAGGTCGATTCAAAGGGCAATGTCATCGACCGTTATAACGTCATTGAGACACCGCAGCCTCACATATCCTTCAAGGTCAGTGCTGTGGCAGCGGGCTGTGCGACCAGCTTCATCATCTTGAAGGAGTTCGACGAAGAATCGAAAGCACCATGACTGTGGTTTCTTCGATGAGGGACAGTTGATATCACCACTCAATCAAATATGCCACGGACTTGCGACAGGCGCTGTGTTGGGGCAATCTCGTGAGGAAAGGACCGCGAAGCCCTGACTTGTTGTTCCTGTATCGATGCGAATGAATGCAACTCTGAGTCTCGAATTCTTCGGATAGAGCTGGAAGTTCCTGTATCCTGAGCGGTATTATCCCATGTGACGATGTCAGGCTCGTCTTCAAAATTCGGTGCATCCCATTGCTGGTCGTCGTCATCGGCTGGAATGAAGAGACTATCAGGGTTGATAGTGGCGGACGGCGTGGGAGCTACGTTCGCTTGATCTTGCTTGGCTAAAGACGGAGTGGCGTCTCGGAATGTGTTTCGTACTGCCGGAGGTGGCATATCTCCCGAACCTGATCTTGTTGTGGTCGGCGCAGCAGGTGCAGGTGTCGTGGAGCCCTCTGGTGGTCGAGATGCGGGTCGCATGGAAATCTCTCTTGCAGGAGTGCTTGCATTTGAGGCTGTTGGTACATTGCTGGAACCTCTTGTCATCAGTGTGAATTCTGCCAAGAGTCCATTACTCTCATAGCTGATCTGCATTGGCCGGTTGCCCCTGGAATATCTTGCTGTGACCTGAACTCGCATGGCTTCTGCGTGAGCGACGATGGCTCGGAAGTCTTTGACCATAGTGCCAATGTGTAGACCTGGTTGAACGTTAAACCCATCAAAGTCTTTATGCTCGAGAGCCACCGACGTGTGCATCTGTTGTTTGAGAACTTGTCTACCGCTCTGGATCTTCTCCGTGTAGCTAGTAAAGGTGACCTTGCCATTTTCGTAATACCAGTCGAGTTGATCAGTCTTGGGACCGAAATACTCGACAACGTCTCGCAGTGTTCTTGAGGAGACAGTCCAGTGGTTGGTTGAGCCAGCCTTGTCAAAAAAGGCATGCAAGATCTCTCCGCTTTCGTAGAAGAGCCGATATGTCTTGACCACCCCTTGTTTACAGTTGAGTCTGAATATCAATCGACATTCTGTCTGATCAGGGCTGGCTTGTAGTTCACAGTCACATGACTCGAGGGCGGTGTCTTTATCACGCGAGTCGCCAAGTCGTCGCCGGAAGATGGAGAGGAGAGCCTTGTAACGGTCAGAGACCACCCGCTAGGAAGAAAGCGTCTATCTTACTCGATTCTGAAGTTTGCAACTCCAGACTTTTGGCGGGTTGGCCCCAGTGGCGCTTCTCGGACCGGGGGAGAAATGATATTTGTGGAAGAAAGGGGAAGTTAGCGTAATAGCAGCATGGCTGGTTTTTGAGATATTGAGACTTGAGATTCGGAGCTACGCTGGTTAGGCATATGATACAAGACGTCAATAGAGCGAACGTACAAACTGTGAGGTAGCCTCGAGGGAAACGTCTTCATCGAATTTTGCAAGGCACGTCAACAGATCATGAAGGGCGCCGACGCCACTCGGAAGGATAGTGAAGAGCAGGACAGGCATGCTCTGGACCCTTTGACCAGCCGAGTATTGCTTCTTGCTGCTCGAAACTGTGAGAGGTCGAGGTGGTTGTTGAGAGAGTGTGTGGTGTGTGTCGTCCAAATCGAAATCACGTGCATGATAAAATGAAAAGACGCGCCTTCTCGACGCGTTTGCCTGGAATGACATCATCGCCATCTATCAAAATCATTCGCTTGTTCTGCCACGCCTGCACGCCTCTTCGGCCCTCGCCAACCATCTCATCACCTGGCGTTGTTGACCGTATCGTGTCCTGTCCAATTGGAGATCTCTTGGATCGACACCCGTTGCCTTTGGGAACCCTTCCGCATCAGGAGTAAATTATATTGATCAATCGCCCTCATGTCCACCTAGATCTTTAACATTCATCGCGTACTTGATGGGAACCGGCAAATATGGCTTCCTACCAAGGTGCAACGCTACCAGAGGAAATCTTGTCAATGATATGTCAAGAGCTTGGGCATGATGGAGACTTTGGATCGTTGTACAACTGTGCACGCAGCTCAAAGTCATTTGCAGATCCGGCTCTGAGAACTATGTACCAGTATGTTTTCACCGATCTTATGAAACTCGTACTTATTTTAATCGATTCAGGCTTCATCAGAATTCTCCTGCTTTCGAGCAGAGAGATGACTTTGAGGTCCGACAGCGTGGCGTCGATTTTGCCACCAAGGCTGCTGAACAAACCGAGTTCTATCGCAAGTGGACCTTGTTGTGGCGTTCAATCACGCTCTCAAGCCTCGACGACAACAAGTGCTACAAACCATATTGTCGTTACATCAAGACACTAGACTTTCGCAATCTGTCCTCAATGCTGGATGATCCTAAATTTACCGCTTCAGTCCGAAAAGCATTCTTCGCAGGACCACTTCAGCGATTCCATTTCCCTAAGAGGGAATACAATCGACTCGTGGTGGACGTGGTTGCGACGGTCAATGCCATTGGAGATGCCGTTACAGAAAAGACTACCCTTCTCGAGGAGATCGATGGCCACATTAGCCCCGGCTTCCTCCCCCGGTGGATCTCGCGCTCGCCAAAGCTACAGTCCTTGGTCTTGTGGAAGGGAGATGCCCTGACCAACGGGGCTGGCGCGACCATTGCACAACATTGCGAAAACTTCCGAAACCTGACGGTCCACGAGTGGTCCTCCCCAGATGCTGATGAAGCTTTCTCTACGTTTCTTCAAGAGATGAAACGCGACAGTCTAAACTATTGCCAAGTCATTAGTTTCAACAATATCGGCAAACTCTCGTTCGAGGCCTTGGGTCGACACAGGTCGCTTCAGATCCTGGAACTCGCAAATTTGAACCAGGAGGCCATGATGAATCTAAATGCCCTTAAAAGCTGCACCGAAATCCACACGTTGAAGCTCGACGACAGTTATGGCACTGTGCAACTAGAGGCAATGAACAATGATGTATTTCTAGAGGTGGTCGAATGGCTGAGTTCATGCAGCAAACTTCGCGACCTCAGCTTGAAGAAATTCTTCGACGGCCCAGCATTGCTAAGTCGAGTCCTTGCTTCTCCCACTGTCAAATTGACCAGATTGTCTTTGGAGGCCTATACCGTTCGTCACAGCAGCGCACAGTTGTTTCACCTCGCATTGTCGGAACAGAAGACTCTTGAGTCAATATGGCTAAAGGGAAATGGAGACGACACCACTGCTGATGACCTTCAGCTCATGGTCCAAGGCCTCTGTGAGCTCACCAATCTTCGGGAGCTGGTGCTCAAGGATGTTTCTGATGAATTCTCTGAAGAGCATATCATATCTCTTGCACTCAGTCTCCCACAGCTCGAAGACTTTTGGACCAGCGGAGGAGAAGTGTCGGCGGATATTTTGCCAGCACTGGCCCAACTCAAGAACCTTCGAAACCTGACTCTATACGCAATGACTCAATTTACCGTGGATGCCATCATCGACTTTTTGAGTTCGCTGAATCCTCAGACACAGAGGGGATTCAATCTATCACTCATGGCAGCAGATCCTGAGAGCGATCTCAGCGAGATACAGCAGGATATGGTTCGGGAGTTCATCCGAGCCAATCTTGATGGACGCTTCGACTTTGTCCTGTGGCGTGAGGCGGATCCCAGCGACAGCGAAGACGACTGATGAAAGAACCGCACAGGAACTTAGATTGTCTAAGGCTGGCTGGCTAATGATGCTTCAAATACTTGACAGAAATTCCAGATATCGACAAAAGTGTTGTACAGTGGTGCAGGAGCAACTCTGATGACATCTGGCTTTCTCTCGTCAATCACCACGCCCTCATTCTCGAGATGCTCAAGCACGGACTCGAGAAGGCCTGGTGCAAGTCGGATACTCAATTGGGCACCTCTACGTTCTGGATCGCGAGGACTGATGAGGGTAAATTTCCCAGGGTTTCGACCCTCAATTCCATCCAGCAGCGTTTCAAGGTAGTTCGTCAGCCTCAGGGAACGTTGTCGCAGAGCAGACATTGACGTCTCGTTGAAGACTTGCAAGGAGGCGACCACTGCGGCCAGGTCAAGGGCGCTAGGATTTGACAGTTGGTATCCTGCGGCGCCAGGACGAGGAACAAACCCTTGGGAAAAGACATTGTCAACCAGAGCACACCGGGCAAGGGACGTGGTACTTACGATTTGTCATTTGAAACCTGGTACTCTTGTCATCTCCCCACCATCCCGACAGCCGTGGCCAGAACTTTTGGGTGGAACTCTGCATGTCGACCTTGCCAAACCTTTCATGGACGAAAAGCCCGGCGATTGCTCCAGGCCCAGAGTTGAGGTACTTGTACGTGCACCAAGCGGCGAAGTCGACGTCCCATTCATGCAGCTGGAGATCGACGTTTCCAGCGGCGTGGGCCAAGTCGAATCCGACGAGAATACCATGCGAATGAGCATGAGCGGTAATTGTGGGGATGTCGAAATACTGTCCGGTGTAGAATTGAATTCCTGGTAGCAGGATCAAAGCGAGTTCAGAAGAATGCTGGTCAATTGTTTTCAGGATCTGGTCGGTCGTCAAGAGAGGAATCTTGTCGTCGGTGGGCTCAAGTAGGAGCATGGCATCTGCTGGATCATGTCCATGGTGAATGATTTGGGACTCGATGGCATACTGGAAGCTGTCAGCGACCCAGGACAGGAATGCGGACTGGGTCAACAATATCTCACGTGATCACTGGGAAAAGCCTTGCCCTCAAGCAAGATTTTATACCTGCCCTCTCCCTTTTTGGCGGGGCGGTAGAAGCTGGACAGCAAAACATGGATGTTTCCTGTCAACGTTCCCATCACGGCGACCTCTGACTCGAGAGCTCCGACAATAGGAGCCATGAGTTTGGCAGCATTGTCATCCACGTGCAGGAAGGGCGGTAATGGCGAGTCGGAGTGATCGACAAAATGGCCGGTAACGGCTTTGGTCCTCCATTGGGTCAGAAACGCTTGGATGATATCTGCTGTCCGGGTCGGTTGGAGACCAAGGGAATTTCCACACAGATATGTAGACTGGCGCGAGGATTCTTCATTGGGAGATTTGGCTAGAGTTGGACGCTTCAGATCTGCTAGAGTAGGAATATAAAAGTTTGATCTTAATGCTGATAGAGGATCGTTGGTGTCAAGTGAGGCGGCGTGGGCCTTGGATGTGGGACTCTCGTTGTTCGTCATGTTTGTTTTCCAATGTCAAGCTATAACGGTTCCCTATGATGAGATGGATGATGGTTGCAAACTCTTTCTGTGTCTCCCCCACGAAAATATTCTCCGACTACTATGCCGGTATGTATAGGACCTTTTTCGAAATGAGTGTTAGTTGCAAAGTCCACGATTGGTACCTCGAATATAACATTATCATTTCTCTCTCACACCTTTCAGGCTTTCCGTCCCACCAATAATAAGGCCACCGAACCCTCCCCCGTCAATCCACCAATGGGAATCGAGAATGACCAATCATCCTCCGCCGTCGTCGGAGCAAAACTGACGCCGAGGTTTTCCCAGTCAACCGCCGCCGTTTATTTCCAATGCGGCAACGCATTTGATGCGTCATTGCTTGCCACAGAACATACACCTACGGTTACTACATACATGCTATACATCTACCACCAAAGACCTCTAATGAGGCAATGCCAATGATACCATTGACCTATTCTCCCTCACTCACGTAGACATATACCAACACAACACAACACAACTTAAAAATGTCACAAACTCCCCTCCGTCTACTTTTTCGAACCTCTCAACCCCTCCGCCGCCACCACCATCACCACCCCCGTCACCACGAACCAAGGGCGTTTATCCAAGCATGTCGAAACATTAGTACCGGACCATCTTTACGACCAACGAATCATAATAGACCTGCGAGCGCCATTTCCAAGTCTGTGTCTGTTCCCTCGAGTCGACGACCGTTTTCCAGCTCGAGCGCAGTCCGCGCAACCTCCGTTGTACAAAATCCCCGAGTCGACGATGATGGAGTCGATATGAGTATTGAAATCTCAGAGCGGGCGGCCAAGGTATGTGGACAATGAGCCTCCCTCCTTCATATCATACATTTTTCCAAAGGGTCGGTACGGCGGTACTAACGATGGATGCGATTCGATCGTAGCGACTGCGGCAAATCACCAGTTCACCAGCCAAGAAAAACACACTCGTTTCCTCATCGTCACCTTCAAATCAGGACTCTCATTTACGTGTCACAGTCACATCCGGCGGATGCCATGGTTTCCAATATCTGATGTCATTGGAGGATGCGTCGAAAATCGATCAAGAGGAAGATACGGTGTTTGCGGTCGATCCGTCAGATGGGGACGCAGATGGGACGACACCTGATGGTGAGGCCAAGGGCAAGGCACAAGTCGTCATGGATTTGCCTTCGTTGGAACTCCTCAAGGGAAGTACCGTCGATTTCACCACAGAGTTGATCGGTAGTCAGTTTAAAATTGTGGGTAATCCTAGAGCTACCAGTAGTTGTGGCTGTGGAACCAGTTTTGATATTCAATGATGGATGAAGCAATTTTTTGGATTTCAAGTCATGGTCGCAATCATGTTCAGCGCAAGAGCACCACCGTTCAGTTCAGTTCATCTCATCTCATCTCAACTCAGCTCAATTCAACGCAGCCAAGCTCGGCGCAGTTCAGTTCAAGTAAACTGTCTTCCCGTGGCCTCCATATCGACGATCATGATGTGATGGCTCCTGCAAAAGCAATACTTTCTGAAATCACAACTCCGAGCTCCGAGCATCTTCCATTTTGCAGACTGCATCCCGACGGGTTGCACCACTGATGCAATTTCATTTCAATTCTTGAGCAACTCACAATGAATCATTTCGCCAATCTCCAGTGTCGTCTCAGATATACCTAAAGGCTTTATTTCGACCAAATATGAGACCCCTCAAACCGATCATAGCCCAGCAGTTGTCTCGCTCTAGCAGCGGCCTTGGGTGTGAAGAGGAAAGTTGGTGTCTCCCGCATGAATGTCGTCCAAACCAGACACAATCGCATCGGGGTGATTCGCCTAGAGGGAGAAGTACTCATCAAGAATGGACTGAGTGGCTCTGGTCAGCATAAGCTTGTCCGCCGAGTGGGTTTGATTGAAGAGTTCGAGGTCGGCACGACCGAGTTTGACCTTGTCTGAGTTCCGAGACGCCATGTGCCGGGCTAGAATGGGAAATGAAAGCATCTTGTCCGGCGGGTCGTCGGAGTTTATCATGGTGCTGAGGATGGCCAGTTCTTTAACCATAAGACTCATCTGTTTCCAGAGATGGATGAGGCGTTCATGACGGCACAATCTGGAGTGCTTTGCTACGACACTCGTGGCGATCTTAGCGCCCATAATCTTGTCACCGCTGTTATCCCAGGCCCATCCGTCTCGGAGCGCTTGTCTCATGTTGTCGGTCTCCTCTTTTACCAGAGCATCCTGTGGTGAGAAGTGGGTGTCTTTTGCAATGTAATCAACCATCTTGATCCATGCCACTGCGATCTTTCGGACCTCCTCGGCTTTCTGGAAGGTGTCTTGGTTAGCATTATTCCTTTACCAGTCTGTCAAATGCCTTACCTTGACACTTATTACTGCATTTTCGCCCTCGGTGACGCCAGCTGGTTCTTCTTGGTCCAGGCCACGGATCTTGTTGCCTCCAGGGTTGTTCTGGTCAGAGTCTGGGGCAGAACCAACACCATCGCCGTAGGTTGTATCTTTCAAGACAGAATGCCCAGCAACAACGTTTTGGCTATGCCATCCACCGGCATGCATGTTAGGAGCAAGTACATATCCCAAGGGATGAACGACTTGAGTACTTCCATAAGAAGAGTAGCCGCTATTTGGAGGTCCAGCGTACGTTGGAATCAAGCCTGTAGTCGCACCGATGTGATCTGCGCGTTGCTTGTTAGTAGACTGTCTAAGAATGGTAGATCGCCAGCTAGTGGCCTAGGCAGAACAATGTTACCATTACCGTAGTAGGGATTGCCAGGCCATCCTTGCTGCATACGATATTGTGGTTGATATGCTGTGCCCAGTTGTTGTGCTTGATGTGCTGCCCCAAGTTGTTGTGCTTGATGTGTTGTGCCCAGTTGTTGTGCTTGATATGATGTGCCCAGTTCCAGATCGAAACCCTGAGATCCACGAGTCTCACTGCCATCCTGGAATGATCCCGTGGACGGAGCTGTGTTTTGAGGGTGAGTCAATGCTCTTGGTTCTGTTGCCCATCCCCACATTTGGGATGTCTGCATAGGCTCGCGACCATGCTCTGACACATCAAGCCTTCCCTGAGATCCGCTGTCATTGGCCCTCTCAGTTGCCCTGTTAGTCCAGGAATTCAGCAGGTGTCTTTTGCGAGCATTGCAAGGAGTTGAGTTGCCAGAGCCAGACTCGACTGTCGACTGGAAGTTATGAGGAGGATCCATGAATCGTCGCAGCTAGAGTAAAAGATCAGTATATGTGTATAGTGCGGCACGCGGCACAGGATAAGGAAGTCTGCGATCACTCACAAGAGATGGATGAGGTTGTCGCTGATAATATAATAGCGTTGGCAACGCAACTTCGATAAAGTTGAAGATCTGGGTGGGGAGAGGCAGGTAGAAATAGGGCAAAGAAAAGCCCTACATACACAACGAGGAGAGCGTCGTATCAGTTGCAGGAGGAGACTAAAGTCCGCTATGAAGGGGAGCTAGGGATGTTGAAGGATGAGAATGAAGAGAAGACTGGTAGAGAGGCCAAAGACGAAGAGATGAAAAAGAGGATGGAAGTGCGAAGAGGAAGACACGAGTAAGATTGGGTGGGAAGGAGTGGTTGAACAGCGCGACTTATGACTGATCAAAAACATTTGGCCGAGAGCGATGTTATGGACTGCTCATGTGAATAGAAGTTAACAGAGAGCAAAAGATAAACAGAAAAGACCGAGTGAAAGTCGCGTGATTTGTGTTAAATCATGTCCAACTTAGAAGCTGGGAAATTTACACGTGTGTTCATCTATCTGATGATGGAACGAATTGAGTCGAGGGCAGCGATGTTCTATTGTCTTGATCTTCTGGAAGATCTGGAAGAGGTAATGCACAATTCAACTCGCCCCAGTGACCTATCTACCCTCATGTATGACTCAAGCTGAGTTGATCTGGTCTAAAAGTAATAAAGAGCATGAGACTCGTCCCCTGTGATGCCACAGAAAAGGCTTGACTGGCGTTCCTATGATCTAAACAGCGATCAACGGCCAGACATATTTTCAAGTGGATAACCAAGCTCGCTGGGATCAATATCGGGTATCTCAAGTTCCCAATATTTGGCCATTTGACCCTGTAATTCAGACTGGATATCTGCTCTCAGATTATCAATGTCCTCTTGATCATCTTCTCTTTTCTTCCTCCAGTATTCAGAGACACGCATGAGGGTGGAGTTGAAAAGATGTTTCGTGATGGCGCGCTTTAGCTGTTTCGCCTTCTCTTGCATTCATTTGATCTGATTGTATCTGCAACTTGTTGAGGCGGTCGGCAAGAATAAGGTTGCGTCGAATTTCCGCACCACTGCCCGATCCCCGAATCCAAAGAGTGCTATGATCGGCATCTTCGAGCCAACCAGAAGCGATCAAGGCGTCTGTCAAGCGAACGGCCACATCGTGGGCAAGGGCGCGCTCGGAAGTGTTCGCATAGCTGAAGTAAGTGAGGGAGTTTAAGAGTTCGACGGCGAAGACTGCGTTGTTCATGGGATGGGAATTCTGTTTGGAAGGTCAATTTGGTTCGGGGGTCATTGCGGTAGCATTTCACCTACAGAAAGAGAATTTCTTGGTGGTGCCACCATCGTAGTCGGTGGCAACTGTCGAGCGTTGGTGTTCTCGAACTGATCATGTGTGATGAGGGGGCCAAGAGGGAGAATGCTGGCAGATTCAAGGTCCATATATTCGTGAAATACTCCTGGGGTGGCCATGGTCGAAGACTCGTGGCCTCTGAAGAAATTGCAAAAAAGTTCTGGAGTCTTCAGGCCAAACGTGGTATCAGCCACTCGATGAGCGAGCGACCTCTCTGCCAGAGATGACAAGGACAAAGTCGTCAGGAGGCTTCCATGTGCCGCGATAAGGTAATGTTATATACGGATAGTTGGAAAGAAAGGGTGAGGATAAGTGAAGGGGTCGCGAGAAGGAAAGATTATATAGGCCTGAACAGATGAGAAATCTCAATATTAATGATCAAGATCACCGGGGTACACGTGCCTTTAGTGAGTGTATTTGCCTTGAGTGTCCTGGTCATCGTGACGATCTGCGAAGCTGGAAACGAACAGCAAATCAGCCCTTCACAGACTAGATGGAGGAGTAACACATCCGCCGTAGCGCGTGTTAGTGGTGCCATTTCTGTTTTTGGTATTATTGTACTTTTCACCTAGTGAAGAAGAAAAAGTGAAGACTGTGTCAATGAGAGGGGAGGCGGGAAAATCTTGCAAACATGGACACAATCATGTGAGGTGTGGTACAATTTGGAAGGGGAAGGTACATGTCAGAAGGACCTAGTAACTGCACATGGTGGGAATGCGCACCTTCCACTTGTGAAAAACCAGAGGAGTGAGGGATGACGACAGATATGGGACTTGGGTTCATTTAAAGGGAAGTTGGGAGATCACGAGGCTGAAACCAACCACGGTTGCTCCTGCCAAATTCTTACAGAGATACTATACGACTCCTGGGGGTGGAGCGGAGCGTTCTTGGCAGGAGCCAGCTTTTGAGAAGACTGGCTCAAATGTAAGCTCGAAGGATTGGAAGCAGAACAGTTTGCTCCGTAAATCATATTGTACATCTAATTATAATACACAGGCATTCTCACCGCTCAATTCCACCAAATCAAGTTACAAGCGTCACATAGGAACCACCTTCCACGGATCCGCCACGAATTCAAGGGCTGTTTCTCTAAGATGCCAGGGGTTAATATACACTTGTAGCCCAATCCTGCGCGAGTACAGGTTGAACACTCTCATGATCAGGTACAGATCTCGTGGAGCCGTCGTCGAGTCATTTGGACAGGCTTTGTCTCGCATAAGCCTGTACTGATTGCTGCTCATGAAGAACGGAGTGTTGCAGGGCCCTGGCGTGGTCTTGACTTCGATGTGATAATTCACCACTGGTGTTGACATTGACGTCGCGCCGGACCCAAGCCCAAGCCAGGCGGGGTGTCGGAATGTCGTGTTTTCTCGAAGTAACTCCATCAGCCGCGAACAGTTGCCTTCGTACATTATATCCGAGATTTCACGGCCGTGCCAGGGTGGTTCATCTGCGTATTCCGGGAGGACGTTCACGTAGCGACGAATTGAACTCTGCCAATTCTCGATGCTGAAATTTGTGACTCCACAGGTTTTGAGGAACTCAAACACCTAATTCAGTCCAACGTCAGCTACCGTTCAGATATGAGGATACTTCCCAAGATTTACATATAGTTCTCCCGCCGCGCCCACCCGGGCATTTTCTTCAAATCTGCTGCTCCCCGTGTCGCCAAATGTGCGGTAGAACGCTGCGTGGTCAACTGGTGGTTCGGCAAGTTCATCTAGAGCTTCCTCGATCTCATTCAGCGATAGCGATCCTCTTCTCGTTTGAGAAGCTCGCCCGGCACGCCTTGCTTGGCGGATCACTCCCCGCAAGAGCTCTTTGTACTGTTGATCCCGCGCCACCTCTTCCCAGATTGTGTGATGGGAACCAGTTGACTGAACGTGGACAGGAGAAGGAATACTGCTCTCAACTCGGGAATATGGTGCTGTGCTCCTTTCATCCACCCGGGTCACGACCACGTCGTGGTGGTCGTGGTCAGAGGATGCATCCGTTGACGATGCAGGGGTCGGCATACTGCTGCTGTGAGGTTCCGTATCATCCACAGCTGGAAATGGCACTGCCTGTAGTGATGACGCAGGTTTTTCGAACCAGGGATACTCCGGCAGGTCCTCATCCTTCATTATGGTTTCCAAATCTTTCTTGTCATCGTTCAAGATACGATAGACGACCTTGACTGCTCGTTCATCATCGATGCAAAGTACATTGGCAAGCTCTTGAGGAAGCTCGGTGTGGAAGCAAGAATACAGACCATCGTAGTCGCTTGGGACATAGATCGTCAACTTCCCGTCAGGGAAGCAGATGTCGACTACCGCTCGATCACTCCGAACAGTGACTGAGTCATACTCTTCCGGTAGCACAAGTTCTGTCCACATCTCTTCGCAGACGAATACTTCTGCAGCCAATAGCAACTCGTGCATCGTCGTTTTCCGGTTGTAATATTCCGAACTCTTGTAATGGTTGGCACAGCTGATCAACGGTTAGGAAACCTTTTCTTCACGACAAGGGATTGAAACTCACCATGACAATGCGTATGCACGGTCTCTGATATAGCCCTCAAGGGCTTTATTGGCAGTTGAATTTTCCACCGACGTTTTGGACTTTACTAGGCGCGAGAGGAAACGATCCTCCAAATCCAGCAGTCTAAAAAAGGGATACAACGAAGTCATTTCTTCGTGACCAAAGTCCAGGATCATTGCTTCATTGTCAAACAGCTTGCCATATCTCTGATGGTCATTGATGATGAAAGCTTGATCCACGGAGAGTAGTGTCAAACCGTCTGGGCCACGGACTGGTAGAAAGGAAAATTTCTCCAGGGTTCTCAGCTGATCCTCTTTGACCTTGACCTCAGGATCTGAGGCCAACAATTTTCCAATAGTAAGTATGATACGCTTGACCTCGTCAAAGTCTGGGAAAGTCTTCTTCGCTGTTCTTCCAAGCTCCTGTAGAAGAACGTTGATGTTCATAGTCCTGACTTTCAGCTTATCGACGAAGAATTTCTTGAGTTGAGGGTAAACATGGTCCAGTGGCAGACACCCGGAGATGTCGATAGTACAGTTCCACAAGCATTCTGAAGATTTCTGCCACTTTTGACCGACATATATCAGAGCGGTACCATTGAACTCTTGCCTAGGACTGCTGTTAGAGGAATTCGATTCCTTTTTGTGGGACGACCGTACCTAATGGCCTCGATCACGGGCGGTGAGTTTGCCATTACATCAAGAGCTGCATAAACTTTTGGTGCCTTACTCTCGATTAGACCTGTTCCAGCTGTTACTTCCGTTGATAACATCTTCAGTTCGTCGATCAAGTCGTTATAGCTAACATCCCGCAAAGTCAAAATGGTTTTGAAGAAAGTGGAAGCAGATTGACTAGATCCGTACAACGGACTCAATACTTGCTTCGCCCGGAGAAAGCTTGGACCTTCCCAGACACAATCAGTTGACCTGTACCAGGCTTCCTCGTCTGTGTTCGAGCGGATCAACGGTCGCGATGTAAATGCTTGCTAGTCCGAGTCAGTATACGTCTCTGCACTAATGAAAGTGACATACCTGTACAGCTTTGGAGTCTCCGACTGCCGTTGTTTGAGCAATACCGCTGTAGATTGTCTCACACGTTTGCATCAAGGGGCCCTTTTTTACTTCAGATAATAAGGACATGGCTCTTAAGTAAAAGTTAGTATTAGCTTCACAGATCACCCCAAATTCTTTCAAGAAGAACCAAGAGTCGGATTGTAGGGGGTCATAATCTCCAGGCAGCTTTAGAAATGGGAGGAGATTCGTGAGATTTGGGTCTCGGCTCCTATCAATCAATTCATGCGTTGGTAGAATAGTGTCGCAAAGACGTTGTGTAGAGCCATTCAGACATGGTACCTGAGCATTCTTTAGGTCGTTTTTGATTCTGGGTGCATCAACACGATAATCGGGCCAATGAGCTTTTAGATTTGCGACAAAGCTGTCGGGATTATCTCGAGCAATCAGCTCCATCACTGGATGGAGCTTCCATCCAGATGGCACCTCGTGTGCCAGATCAGGGAAGTATTTGACACCCCATCTCCGAAGGTAGGATCTCCAGTCTGAACCATGGCGGATATGAATAGAAACTTGGGATTCGAGGTATTCTTGACGAAGAATCCCGTAGCAACACTTACGCAAATCATCCTGCGGAGTTGCAGCAAGTAGTTTCTCTGCGTGATAGTTATCTTCTGAGGGAAAGAATAAGAAAGGTCCTAGAGCTAGTCTGAGACCATCGTTCACGAGTCGCGGACAATTCTGACCCTGCGCTGAAAGGAACGGTCGCTTTCCAAACCAAAAGAGGATTTCGAGATCCGATGTGAACGTGAACACCGTTCCGGTTCTTTTCCCTGACTGGTGTGCCTCAAGGATCCTCGCTACTACTGCATCAGAAGGACACGAGGAAATTCCGAGACTCGTGTAGAAGCTCGCACGTTCTCCAACTGCAGCGGCTGTCTCGTGAAGCTTCTGAAATCCAAGACCATCAGGTACCTTGATCGATACCGAGTCTTCCTCGACAAGATATGGTAGATATACAGTATCCACGTACAGGGAAGACGGTGAAACCCAGCGATTGTCGTCCAATGGGATGATTTCTAACCGCTCGACATCCTTCTTGGTGTCTTTTTCCCTTAAGAGCCGTTGTATGAGAGCAGCGAAGGCCGTGTGCCACGAGTCATCCAAAGGTATGTGATGTATCGGTACTTCGGCACTTTGTGAGAGACCAAGCTTTATTCTCTCCAAAATTCGCCAGGTGCCGATTTCCCCCACCCAAAATTCTTTCAGGATGCTTACATCGCTTGAATGATAACGGTCCGATAAGTAGATATCTTCCTTCGTGTCCGCCACGATTGGCTCTTTGTCGTGGATGAACCAGTCGGGAAGTATTGCCATGTGGCCAATCACGTGAAGCTTATTCCGTCGTGACCGTAAAACGGGTGTGTGACTTCGCAAGAACTCGAGCAGTATATCCATTCGCAAATTCCCCCAAAAGTCTGGCATTTGTTTTGGGGGGAGATAGCGCATCCATTTATACTCCAGAGGGTCGCCAGAGGTTACAACTGTCTTCACCAAACCGCAAAACGCCGAAGAGACACCATTTAGCAATGCGTTATTCCAATCCGTATCAGGAACACTCTCACGATTAGCCGTAAGGATGAAGTTTGCGTTTAGAAGAAACTAGATTAGTTAGCTTCGCACTGGGAAAGGTGCCAAAGAAACGTACAGGGAGCTGTATAATGCGCTCTACTGGAAGATAAGCGAAGACATGCTGCCCGTCGGCGGGAATGACAGGCAGGCCTTTTGCATCGACCTCAAATGCGACCGTCACATCGCTTTGAGAGCTTGAACGGTTTGTGTCAGAGGGGAGATTGTTGACTTTACTTTGAAACAGCCTGAGGCATGTTTTCGCTGACGTATGGGGCCCAAAACTCCCGGTCACGGTAGTGTTGATGTGTATTTCATCAGAGTTCAAATTGCCATCTTTCTCGAAAGTGATTTGATCTGACCGTCCGGCAACGCCATCCACGACGACGACTAACTTCCTCAGCTTACGTAAAGCAAACATGATTGTTCTGGGGAGTTTTTCAAACTCAGACACGAGACGTGTAGCGAAGGTGGTGCGCCGGTCATAGTACCTCAGTGTCAACCTCGTCCCGACATTCAAAGGCAGAAAAGACGTAACATCAGTCCACACTGGAGTGATCATTCCCACGCCTTCTTCGCCTTGACTGTGCTCAAACCTGAAAGACCAGAGCCCAGATTGGATGTGGACGTAGTCAGCAATGCCAAATACCGATTTGAAACCCAGGCCTTTCTCCCCGGTAGTATCGGCTTTGTTAGCTTTGGAGCTTTTACCAGTATCGCAAATAGATTCGACATTCTCGAGTGTGAATCCCAGCTCGTTAGACTCGATAATCAACTCAAAGGGCTTGATTCGAAACGTCATGGAGGGTTCGATATCATTTGCGTAAGAGGAGTCGTCTCCATTTTGGAGCAATTCATAAATAAGCCTGAATCTGGACGAGTAGAGCTGTTCGGCGACGCTGCTGCTTTTAGCTACCAGTCTTTTGAACAGAAGGAAGAAACTGACGTTCTAGTGTATCGGGCGTACAAGGCCCTGTGCTGGGCAGCTCTTCGACGGTAATCTTCTTGAAAATTCGAATCGGTCTTGCGAATTTGGCTTTCATCGTAGTCGTCGATGATACCCCGATCTCTGCGGATTCTGTTGATCTCATCTCTGGCCGCACCGACATTGAGGGGGCGTCCATCTTTGTCGAAGCCTGGTTTTGGCATCTTTTCTGTGGCAAAGTAGTAAAGACGGAGTGTGCACCGAGTTCAGAAAGACTCGAAGGCACGATTGATATACTGAACACGTCACGCTGAAATTCCATGTCAGTAAACACCAATCACTCACCCTCGCTATCTGCACGAGTTCGCTGGTCGTACACGCCATTGTTTGAGATAAGCGATGTAGTTGCACTCGGCCTGATGTGGCGTCTCGCTAGCATAACCAAGAGCTGGGCAGGTTTCTTTGCAATATAATGTATGTCGGGACGAAGCGAGTTTGGGGGCCACAGAGATTCTAAATTTACAGGTTACATATAAAATATGTTCTTTTGCAAGCTAGTGCTGCAACGAAATCGCTCAGAATACGCAGAGGAAACGTTCTGCGCCTCAGGGGTCGAAACAGTGGGTGTTACATTGCCGTAGCCCCTGATGATACCCCACACAACGTATTTGAACGATGCTATCATCACGCATGAGGATGAAAATTCGCATCGAGTGCCTAAGGACAGAGAGTCGAGGTTTAGGATGGTATGGAGGTACTGCATTAAAAAACCCTGCTCGAGGAGCATGGAATTTGCTACAGAAGTTTGAGGAGTGTTCAACTTCAGCAGCTCTTGGGAGGTGAAGAGTTCCTGCCTTCCTACCTGCGGGGATGGCAAGTCTTCGGCAAGAACTACCGAGATGTTCAGGCGGAAGCAATGGCGACTGCTCCCGGAAGCGCCGAATCTTTACTAAGAGGTACCTGCAGTTGTTAGCTGCGATGACCCCTAAAAATAAGCGTCAAGGGGTGCCAAGGGCGCCTACGGAGCCTAGGGAGCCCCCAAACAAGCTAATATGTACAGTAGCTACCTGTAAGAGGACATGGCGGCCGCAGCCCCTTTCACAAGGGTTTGTTCAACAGAGATGTACTCTGAACATCAGGAAAACTCTCAGACCTCTCGGTCGACTTTCTGGCACCCCAAAAGAGCGCAATTCGCAACCACAATACACGTGGCCGGAAAAGCGAGCAGAACTTCCGCAACTGACATTCCCTGTAGTAGAAAGTCTCACATGAACTTGTTCATTAGATTAACTAGAACTCAATGGGTTTTTTGCGTGATCAGCGTGACTAAGGCAACTCCCTACCGAGGCCAGGGAGGGAGTCTAACATGGCCGAGGGGGGCTCCCTTCGCCTAAATGCCTCGACAATCGGGAAAGATCTACTCGTATGTACTCCGTACTCCGTACTCCGTATATCCTTACGAGTAGTCACCACTCACGTTAAGTGGCATCCGGTCGCGAGATGCCGCACTCTCGAAACTGCACTGGACCTTGGAGGGGTCAAAATTCGCTACTGAGTATAGTGGTATTGGTCAGAAGTACCGTCTATCTATGTACCTTTGTACAGGTAGAGTTTCCTGGGATTCTCGACTCGATTCTTTCTCCTCTGCTTCTTTCCCTTTCCCTTTCCCTTTTCCTTTTCTTCCGCTCCTTCTTTCCCCTCTGCTCCTTCCGCAAGTTCACGATGGTCCCCTTGAACACCTCTCCATCTTGATAATTGTCTTGGAACAATCCTCTCTTGTTGGGTTATCAAAGCCGCTGGATCAAGGTCAAGTCTGGACCACCATGGCTCTGTGACTCTCTTAAAAGAGATGCAGATCCGCCAGAGTGGGTGGTGTGTTGTCGGTGGTGTACACGTAATGTTTGCGTGCGTACAGCTCTGGACAAGTTCTGCTGACCTTGTAGAATTCGACTGTCTTCTCGCCCGTTCGCTTGTAGCAGCCGGTGACACCCCAATTTCTCCAGCCGCCATCGCCGTGGAGGGTGAAGCTAGACATTATAGAAGGTTAGCCTCACACACTAAGTCATGACAAGTTTCTCATCGAAACGGTGTAACTGGGTTGACTGCAAATGCATAAAGGATCTTGCTTACGTTCCATGACCATCGAAAAGATGGATTTCGTATCCCTTGGTCAATTTTCTTCCTCCATAGTCGACGTTGAGCTCAAAGTGCTCATGGTAGGGATTTCCATACAAGCACGCCTGACTCTTTTGGTCGTGGAAGATGAGTATGTTCTTCTCAGGCAGCAGATTCGACAGATTCGACAGCGTGTCTTGGACGAACTGCTCCTCCCTGTTGGTTCTCTCTGCCCAAATGCCCTTGTCCGTTCCGCGAACCATAAGAGTGCCCAAGTGGGAGATATCCGATCCATCGAAGTCTTTGGTTGCTTGTTCGCTGTCACTGAAGCCGAGGGGGTTGGAGTTGGTCATGTTGACCAGCGCACCGTGTTGTTGTTCAAGCGGTGCTGCAAGGCCAGAGGCCACCAGAAGCATCGTCACAGCTAGGACGAAAGTCGTTTTAGGAATGAACATGTTGAGAGAGGAATGTGTGTTTGCTTCGTTTGATACAGAAGAAGATGTGATGACAAGAGAAGAATTGTTATTGCATTGAACTCAAGGGGAAAACGCCAGTCTTATATACACAGATCCGTTCTGCAAAAACTCTCATTGTCGCATGACCGCAGATCACAAGGATTTTGTCCATTATATGGTTCAGCCTTGAGGCCTTTGGTCTCCTAGAGTACAAAGTCAAAACGAAGCCAGTGTTGACTGGGTCCTCCAACCAGATCGCACACCCTCTAGATACCAGAACTTGACGGAGTCCATGAGTCGGAAGATAGCAACTGACTAAAGTCCGGCATCATCACGCGCTCGCATGAATGTATCTCGCTAGTAGATCTGTCCTTGCACCAATAACCTCCCACCAAGGCATCATAATTTATGTGGCATGAAAGACTCCGGAATGAAGTTGTGGTTGGCCAATCACAGCCCAGACTTCCCAAACAGGAATGCTCCATTCTCGAGGACCTCATTTCTCATCCACGCACACCCTAGGCACCCGATTCGAAAACGGCGCAAGGCAAGGACTCAGAACAAGACTCCGGAGCTGTGTCGAATGCGATGGCGAAATCTTGTCATACACATATGCATTTCTGTCGCTGCTGCGGTCCACCCCACCATAAATAAATCCGTGATCAATCCACCAAAGTTTGCTAGCGTCTCCACCTCACCACGGATACCGCAGTTCACGGCAGCACTTACCATGACGTACTGACCTAGTCTTTGTAGATGATATCTCTAAAGTTCAAGCCTTGGTACTGTGGTAGGAAAGGTACCACGGGCGGCGGTGATAGAGCCAATGGCGACAGTTGGCTCTCATTGAAAACCTCTGGACCACACGGCATGTTGTCCGCTCCCACTAGTACTTTCCCCTCCGTAGTCTTACCCACATTGTCCCATCTTGATACAAACTCTGCATCTGAATCAAGAGCAGCATCCCAATCTGTAGGCTTGATTTTGTTGTATGTGTCAGGACACCCAACCTGTGGAGTTTTCAAGATGCACTTTCTCGCATCGATTGCCAGGGATTCGAGTTCTTCCACCAGGATCTTATCATCGGTGTCCTCGGGAAACTTAATAGCCTTCAAATCACGGGGACTGAATTGTTGATCTCTTTCTTGTCTGGCCAGAATCTTTGCTCTCTCCCAGGTAGCGGTCGTAGTGGCCGTGGTGGCCTGGTCTCGATTGGCTTTTTTGATCGTCGACTTCGACTCTTGCACCATGTGGTCGACCGTATTGGCCACTTGACGTACCCGCTTCTCCAGCATTACTAGCCGCCTCTTGCGTGAAACTCGCTGCTGCTCCAGTCGGAACTGCGCAAATGCCGCGTCCGTAATCTCCTGGGCATATCCGTCGCTATATCCGCATGCCTTGAACGCAGATAGCGTCGTGGTTCTGGCTAAACCCCACTGGGACATTAGAACTTGTGGGTCCATTTCCGGTGACACTTTGGCAAGGAGATTGAGGTTCGTCAGAATTAGCTTGAAAGCAAGCTTTGCGGCCGAGTTTCGAATCTGCAGGTTCCGTGATCAGCATTTGGCCTGTAAAGGATACGGGAGGCGGGGACTTCTAAGAGATAGGGATACATAGTTGATTTCGGCATCGCCCTCGGCGATGCTCGCTGGAGTGGTCATATCTCTCTGGTCTCCGAGTTGCTCAGTATCTTGGCATTGTTCCAGGATCGTAGTCTGACGCTCTGTAGGTGTATTGACTTTCGAATTTGCGTTGCAAAGGTCAACAAATCCTGGCTGGCCCGGAAAGCTTTGTGATCTGAGCTGTCCCAGTCATCAAGGTTTTCCGACTGCATAGCGGTTTAAGTAGTACGGTGAAACGGAGTTGATCCCGGAGGACATCGTGAAGGTCTTACATCGCAACAAGATGGTGGGTGGTGTCCTTAACGTGAGAAACATATCACAGAGAGGGGTTGTACAAATTTTCAGGAAGCTGCCACCTGTCCCATTGATATATTGAATTGCAAAGTTCCCAGTCACCGAGGGGTCACCACTTTACTGCGAACTGTCTCAGATCTGGCGCTATGTGAGCAGCCAACAGTAGTAACACACAAGGAAGACATGTGAATAGACAAGGATAAGTTGGAAGACCAAATCGATAGTCACTTCTACCAGAGTGGGATAATCAATCATTTCTGGGCCAAAGTGTATGAGATCATTTGAGAGCCGACCAAGTGTTTACACAGACGGACAGTTGGTCTAGATTTCCTTATGGGAACCATTCCTTCCATCATGGCAAGCGTGGGAAACAGGACCTGGGGAGCTATCACGTTGTTCTGCCAGCTCGGTTCATGGGACCCCAGTTTTCTCTCGGGTTGGTCTGATATCGAACCAACTTGGAACGTTGTTTGTCCTTGCCCAGTTCTTCGTCAAACACAATCTTTAGTTTGCTTGGATCGAAGGTCTCCGTCGATGCTGGACCAGGACTTTCGGGGTTCTCCTTTGGAATCTCGGCGTTATCTCCATTTCCATTGACCTGTGGATCATCTTGATTGGAATCTGCCCCTTCCGCCCTCTCATGATCCAATTCCCAGAGCATGCTTTGTAGGGCGGCCCTCAAGTCTTGCCTGTTTTCACTCCGTCGGATTTGGGACAACCCATCTTCTTTCAGCTTCGTCACGATATTTCCTTCTGTACCTCTTAGTCTGGCGAGGATGTTCCAGCCAGGAGTTCCCTTTTTCACTGCACCCTCCTTAATGGGGTACTTGGTCCGCATGAACTCACGGACAATCTCCCACAGGACGGTGAATGGCGCATTGGTCTTGATGCTACCGGCTTTACAATGTGATCTCGACACACGATAACCCAGACTGAGAATGGCGCTCCGCATCATTTCTTCTGATGGGGTCGTGCAATGGAGTATTTTGGCGAGAAGGGTTGGCATGACAAAGAATGGTGACGCATCAATAGCTGACGGCGAAAGGCGAGGAATTATCTTGGGATCAATGGGGCCGTGGGCCTTTGCTGGTACCGTGGACGGCGTTGTGCTAAGGTCTTCCTCGAGAGCAAGAGTGAGCATTCCTTTCATTCGATCGGTAGTGCCATAGACCGCGGTGTCCATGCTTGGCAGTTTATCCAGCATTCGCTGAACAAAATGTGAATTGTGTATCGGCCCAGCCCACATGGGGCCAACAAGGTGTGTTTTGAAACCACAGTGCTCACAGCTGGGAGCAGATGTCGGTGCTTGGGCAAATATGTATTTGTAAAAGACGTCACCATTTTTGGCGGTCTGTGACTGATTACGCAACAATGGTTGAGTGGTCCAAGAGCCACAGCCATGACCGCAGCCGTACACAATCATGGTGGAGCCAGGAAGAAGTTTGACTTCGTTGGGCTTTTTGTGGACACGGATGAATAATCTCGCGTAGTAGTCGATGTAAAGCGACAAGAGTGGCTCGATGGCGAGCCCGTATTTTGCGGCAGCCAGCGCAACTGCGTGAATGATCAATCTCAAACCCCCTTCGTGGGCATGTGGGCCCTTGACAGGAATACCACCGTACATGGCGTAAGTCTTCTCTGGATACCCTGTTGACGCGAAGATGGCAGCATCGGTGCAGGTCACGCACAAAAGACCTCCATCTTGGAGTGCTTGGAGGCTGGAGTCGAAGAAAGGGGCTGCTGTGCCGTAGGGGTCGAGATCAATGACATCAAACCGATGAACATAGCCCTCTGGTGCCTTTGAATGCTCGTTGCCAACCTTGCTGTACATGAAGGCTCGAGCATCGCCAAGGTTGGCATGGATCTTGCCCTTGAGCCCGTTGTGCTCGACATTCAGGTTGATGGCTTTGACGGCTTCTGGGGAGAGGTCGTTAGCAACGACTTTGGTTGCAAATGGAATTTCCTGGGCGTATCGCAAGGCTCGAAGTCCTGTTGCTGAGAGAGCGTCGAGGATTGTGAACTGGGTCTGTTTCGGAGTTGGCTGCTGAGGGGTTTCAGATGTAGGTTCGCTGACGTCAAGAGCGGCAGAGGGTGCGTCGCGTAAGGCTGGGGCCGAGACTGGCGCTGTTTGGACAATTTCGAGATTTCCATCCTGGGGGTTTTCATCCAACTGAGCTACAGGGAGATCGTCCTCGTCTTGGAAGTCATCTGTCGTTCTGGGTCGCTTGGCTGGGCTTTTCGGGAGTGCGTCTTCGTTGGGGGTTTCAGATTCCTTAACCTTGCGCTTCAAGTTATTTGCAGTGTCCTGGACCGAAACTGCCGTGCTATCCTTGAGAGGCTTGCTGAGAACGTTTTGTTTTCTCTTGTCTTTGGACTTGGAATATTTTTTGCTGATTCGCGCCGACTTTTCAATGACGGCACCTTCACCATGAACAGTAATGGCGAGAACGCTCAGGTCTCGGTTGAATTGCTGAATGGGATTGTAGAAGACAGCCTGATTGCCTTCGTCATTGTTCTTGACTTGATTACCAGCAGGGGGTTGATGTTCGGTGTCTGCTCCATATGGAGCTAAGATAGAGGCCAACCCCTCACGGACGGCCCTATACTTGGTCCCATTCAAGACGACAACTTGAGACGTCCCGTTGGAGGTCATTTTGCGTAATGTGGAGTGGAATAACCTTCTCCCTATGCAGATGGTGTCGAGTTGAAAGGCGCGGCCGCGCAGAGTCAACGATCCAACATAAGAAAAGAAAGGGCGGACAAGACGCAACCCGTTGACGACCTTCATACACGACTCCAAAAGCGATACTCTGACTGACTACGCAACGCAATAGGCTCGACCATGCAGAGTTGTCGTCGCTTTGGAAAATGTGGTGAAGGGTGTTGAAAAGTTCCTGTCGTTAAATTATCTGCCAAGAGGAGGTGAAGCGTCGACCAGGGGCCACCCTCTTTCGGGATTAGGGTGATGCTGCCCTATGCTCCTCTGAAGCCAGCTATGGCCATGGTGAGTCTCACCAGGCGGCCTCCAAGATAAATTACAACCCGCCATTTTAAGTAGACACTAGAGCATAGCACTAGTGGAGCGAACCCGACATCCTCTCTACTAACATCTAATTGCATGACACCCACCACTTCTGCACTTCACTGTCAACAACTCGCTAGAAGAGTACTGTGAAGAAGTCCCAGCTGCAGCAGATATACGAGCGTCAAGGTCATTTGGGCATTGGTAAGTGACGCGTCAACCATGTTCAAGAGCTTCAAACATGGTCCGCGAGTGGCAGATGTCAAAAGCTGCACTGCGATGGAAATCGAAAGCGCTTTCGACGGCAGCGGTTGTTTTGCAGTGAAGTCGCGTTTATATTGGATGAGTGCTCGTTCTCCTGCTACAAAATCGGACATCCATGCCTGTTAGTGACATCCTAGCCTCCAGACTTGGGACAACTCTTGGTAAAGGGTTGATTCTCAAAGGTTGTGTTGTGAAGCCACGGGCACATGCTTTCTTGACGCATTCAGTGACTACTAAAGATCTCCGCCCACTAGGAGACTGTCTTTCTCTCTTTCTCTTTTTCTGACTCTCTGTTTCTCCCTCTCAAATTCTTCTCTTCTCTCTCACTCAAGATCTGTCTCCCTCCCTCTCTCTCAAGATCTCTCTCACTCTCTATCTCCCTCCCTCACAAGATCTCTCGCCAGAGTCATTACACCAACACTACCTAGTGAGCAGCATCCCCAGTTCTTTACCCTAAGAAGATGTTCTGATCTTGACTTCAGAGTCACCTCTGCTTCAGGATCGTATTCACTCTTGCACAAAGTCTCCAGGTCGTGTTTGGAAGACACATATAATCCCCCACCCGGTCACCATGAGCTCTGAACAAGATGTCTCACAAAAAGAAGATTCCTCCGAATGTTTGAGATCTCGGATATTAGGCTGTCTCGATGGAATACATGGTGCAGGGTCGTTCGCAACATCCGACCACAACGCCGAGCACGTTCACCCTGGTCTAGTCGTCAAAAATGTCGGTCTTATCAGACTTCCCTTATCTCCTGAAGATGCGAAGGCTCTCATTCGGGTGAGCCGGCAGGCCCCTGCTGGCGAGGGAGGAGAAACCCTGGTTGACGAGACTGTGACCAAAACTTGGGAGATCGACGCCGAAGAGTTGTCGTTCGAAAATGAAGACTGGACTAACTGGCTTGATCGTGTTCTTGAATATGTCTCCGAGGATCTAGGTATCCCTGATGATGCTGGCCGCATACAAGCTGAGCTTGACAAGTTACTGGTCTACGAGGAGAGTGCCTTCTTCAAACATCATAAAGAGTACGTCGGAGTCAGAGGTTTACATCTTGCACAGTTACTGACAGCTGCAGTACGGAGAAGACCAATAACGCGTTTGGAACACTGGTCATCTGCTTGCCCTCTGAACATGTTGGCGGCGGAGTTCGCTTGATTCATGGAGATGAAGAAAGAGTTCTCGAATCAGACAAGTGGTCGTCTTACGGTGTCTCTTATTTGGCTTGGTAACGTTGCCCGCCATCCAATATGTTCTAATACTAATTGGTTTTGAAGGTACAATGATGTATCTCATGAGGTAGGGGCAACATATTGGCTAGGCATTGTGTCACAGCTCACGATGACAGGTGTTGCCGATTCAGTCCGGATATCGGTGCGTTTTGACTTACAACCTCATCAACACTGTCATTGAGTGCCATCCTTCGGCTTCCGCACGAGGCATTGAACAATCTAAAATCGAGAGAATGCTTGTCGATTGGCACGCAATGCAAGACAAGGAACCTTTCATGTGTTACGCGCTTCAGCACAGATACCTGAGTGACAATCTCCAACTGGACAGCCTGAAAGGTGACGACCACTACCGCTGTTCTCAGCTTGACAGAGCTTGTCAGTCAAATGGTCGCTTCTGTATTTTCCTATCCAGGTTGGAGCTGACCGACAGTGTAATCGACGACGGGTCCGACAAACAAGCGGTGGAAGGGGACGGGCTCCGTTTAAACGGTGTTTTCACTCTGCAAGGTCTCAAACTTCAAGATTCTTTCTTGATATCGCACTCCCACCTTGCCCAGAGAAATTTATATGAGGCCCGTGATTGCGATGATGTCCAGAGACGCACATATGAGACCTATGATCACACTTCCGAGGACTTGGTCAATTCTGCTGAAATCCAACAAGTTTACCATGATGTTGTACGTGATTTCCTAATTTGGAAAATCCATGCTTACAATCTATACAGGTCGCTGTTATTGTTTCTCGGGACCACATGACGGAATTCCTCCTTACAGATCATGATTCTCCTGGGGGTTACTCCTTCTTCCTCAAACGACTTTTCGCTGGCCTCACAGACCAGAACGGTGATGAATGTCAACTGTTCCGCGAAATGATCATCCAGACGTGCCAAAACCACATTAAAATGTGCTCTAAAACAGGCACTTCAAGATGGTATGGGTGGGATCATTTCCTGCGCCTAACAGCAATTGCGTGTTTGCGTATCGAGAATCCTGTGGCAGCTAAAGCAGCCTTCCAGGCTATGGAAACCATCTTCCACACATCTACCTTCCAGGACCTCGGCGGGCTAGGTTTCGAGAAAACCAGAGAACTGTAAGTTCGAATGTGAATTATGCCCTGAGCTCAACTAAATGACGAAAATAGTGCCACAGAAGCTTTTTCTTGCATTCCGTCACTGCACCTAGTTGGTCGTGGGATGCGAGCATTCCGATTTGGTATAGCCAGCGCTGTTCAACCCGACGCTATCGAAACATCAGAAGACGCTGTCTGCCAATGGGCAGTGGGTATCATCTGCAAGGCCCTAGATTCGATTAGAGTGGTCTCGTCTAAGGATGCAAGAGCTGTGGTTCAGATCATGGTTACCTATAAAGACGAAAGAGTCTGTAAAAGGTACCTAATCCAACCGGGATACTCTTCTCCTTACTAGAACACTGGCTAAGTTATACTCATCTAGCATGGCCGCTTTTGTAGATCGCTTTTTGAAGAAGGTGGTCTTCGCAAACACCCTCGTAGCGGAAGTCCTTTGGTACGCCAGACAAGCACAGAAACCAGACTTTGTTGTCGAATATCTCCTCCCACCAATTTTGAATAGGGCCGCCTCCTTTTTCCGGTTGGAACGATTTTCGATTTGGTCGAGTAACCGGTTCCCCAGTGAAAGGGATCCCTTTTCTCTGCTGCCAAAAAAAGACGAGAGTGGCAGAATAGGCGCCTCTGTTGTTGCGTCACTGTACCGTCAACTTGCGAGCCACGATTTAGACAAGGCAGGACAGCTCCTTGAAAAGATCGGGAATGACACTACAAGCATTTACCAAGGCAACCTTGACGACTTTATTATCCCACTCCTCGTCGAAATGATCGACATCACCGAGCATCAACCATATGAAGCTTCTCTGTTCTACGCCAAAGCCATCTCTACCTATACCGAGAGGATGGTTAAGAAGGAGCCTCCAAAACCACAAAATTGGTCCCTGTGGGAAGATTTCAAAATATGTATTCGGCCAGAATGCCCTCATTGCGATGTACGGTCTCCTGTACGACATTTTCTATCAGATCCAAACCAAAAGGACAAGGCTTTCGCTATTCCTGAGGATCAGTGTTACGACTTCAAACTCCACCTTCCGAATTACTACAAGATAAGCAAGTGGAGAAGCGGAAAGGATTACGGAATCAGGGTAACTAAGACACTCGGGAGGTGGGAAGAAAAACACAAGAAATGGCAAAGCAAAGCTGACCATGTCCAATCGGCTCTTCGGTCGCTGCCTGAGACACCACTACGCAAATGCCTTGGAGACGACAAGTATCAGAGCTTGATGGACCTACAGATTGTCAAAATTCCAACTAAAGATATTATCAAGTATTCGCCAAACTCTGCTTAGGCAAAGGCTGCAGGGGAGAGGGAGGGAAAAGGGGAGGACCTTTGATCATGAGCTACAAGACGACTATGCAGCTTTCCGCAACTGTGATATGGTACTGGTGGAAGGGGATAGGGCTCGTCTTACGGCAGGTGGCACTAGCTTACCAAAATGCTAGGCAGATGCACCGACCCAACGTTTAGTTAGCTGAATTCTCTCTCATCTCCCAAAAAAACAAAAGTTGAGTTTAGAATACTGAGCCAGTGCTTGTAGCAGCTCGTCTTTCTATCTCCTGGTAAACAAGGCAACTCAAGGAGGATTTCGCTGCATGTCTATGATTGAGAGGGAGACTCAACACAGGTCATCATGGACTAAGTGTGGTCGAGGAGACTTGAGTGAGGCTGAGATTCTCGAGGGACCGATCCCTGCTCGTACTTCGCCAGGACATCATGCAAGGCTGCGAGATTCCCCATGAGATTCAGGGATCTGGAAGTTCCGTGGTTATTCCGGAATCAGTCACCTGACTGGGACCTTCAATCCCATAGTCCTAAAACTGCCAACTGCCAACACAAGAGTAAGGTAGTTGAACATAGTTAATTCCCTATCTAAAATGGTACAAGAGACTACAGCGCTCATCTGAGCGAGTCGTTCGAAACATTATGTTGATACACGGTGTGCGCGAACAGAAGCTAGGTTCCTACTCTTCATCCACTCGACGCAGGAATAAGATCCAGTTTCGGTGAAGGATCTAGCATGCAAGCCCAATCCGGAGTGGCGTTCTAGCGTCTGCCCTTGTCTCGTATTGCGACGTCCCCAGATCGAGAGCCGGGGCCTCTCTTGCGCAAGTTGGGAGGTTGGTGGATGTTGGCTTTGGCTCTACACAAGATCATGACCCAACCTGGAATGGGAGAAGTACCAGGAGCTCTTCGAGAGGCGAGTAGAGCGTATTGGATACTTCTTTGAGGATAGCATGCGCCGTTCCAGCATCCAGTTGTTAGGGTAAGACGTCATCCATCGATAGTCTCTGAGAGTAAATTGGATTCTCTGATCGCGGAAGGGGACACCCATGAAGCTCTGTCACGATCCCACAGCATGGCCCTTGCATTCCGGCATACACCCTGTCGGTTTTCGTGGATCGTAATAATCTTCAGAGTCCGTAATATCGCTGTCTGGTTCTTCGGCAGGTTCCTTGACCAGGTCTTGGACGGGAGACTGCGTCCCCTCGGTGTCATTGGCTGGCTGATCATCGACCGGGGCAAAAGCATTCTTGAATCCTCCCTTTTTAAAACCGCCACCGCCAGAACCATTGGTTTTCGCGGGACCAAGTTTGATTTGCATCAATGGGCCCTTCTCCTCCTTTTTGGGTGCGACTTGTCTCTGCATTTCCTTCATCTCTTTCAGTCGCTTTTTGTGTTGGTGGTCGTAGGAAGACTCATGGGCCTCGAACTCGTTCATTCGACTGTATCCTTTCTGGCATAGTGCGCAGAAGAAGGCACTCCTTGCCTGTTTGGCGGATTGGGTATTGGCTGGAGGGAGGGTGAAGCCTCGCTGCAAAAGAGAATGGACCTTCTAGTCAACATGTTCGCCGCGGTTGGGGAGAACGACGAATGGGCGATGCTCAAAGGATGGGGCGATTCCTCACGGTGATGGCAGACAAGACTTACCGGAGCCATGATGAAGAAACCCGGTCAACTGTCCAACGTCTCTTGGTGGAGAGGACTTTGAAAGAACCGGGTGAAAGATCTTGAATGGACTAGCCCTCTCGAACACAGCCCAGACTTGTCGATTATCATAACATGTCACCTGAGAGGCGCGTTGTAGTGGGGAACAATTGTTCAAAGGCTTCTGTGAAATTGAATCTCGCTGGTTGGTAGGCACCGTGACACCGCAGATGTTGCTGCTACACTGATCCGGAAAGAGCACACTTTATATTTCCGTACGGCGACAGTGCTCGTTACATCCTTCCCTCACGGCTGATCTTGCCGCGAAATTATGGTGCAGCCAGTAAGTCACGTGGCAAACCGCCCAATCATTCTCATCACACCACCTGACTGCCCGCTTATTTTCATCGGCAGGTGCTGCTCTTGTCGCGGGGACTTGAGGCCGTCCAGACTTTTTATTCCGTCTTGTCTGATTGGCAGCATCTTTGGTCCTCTGACTGGTTTTCCATTACCAAGCGGCCCGCCCAGCCCCAGAATCCTGAACCCAAACCAAGGGTCTGCGTGTCCGCCCAAGGACAAAACTCTAGGCATGATGCCACCTGCCCGTGGCCACCCATAACCACCCCTGTGCCCCTCCACGCTCACCCCTCCTCCGTGCTTGACTGCCGCTCCCAAACCCTCCAAAGAACTTCGCTTAGCCCCTCCCCGCATTTCTGCATTTACCACAGATTCACATCGGAATTAGATTTACCCTCGTACACCTGTGCGTTCAAGGTACATCTGCCGATTCAAGAGCCGCCCATGTGCCGACGTCTTTTCCACGACGGATGATTTCCATCGACGCTTAGGATCATGTACGAGATATAAAGGTAGATCAAACATATAACCCATGTGCCATCGCCCCCAGACTCAACCCTTCTTTTTCATTGATAGCATCTTCATTTCTGGTCTTTTAATCAGTGCCCCTCACCTTCTCACAGTTGTCACTCGGTCGAGCCTAGACCAATCTCTTAAATCCACCACACTCACAGAAGAATCTTCAACGTCATCGTCATGGCCACCAACGGGGTCAACGGCACCAATGGCACCAACGGTGTCAAGGCGCAGACCAGCAAATATGATCCCAACTTCACAGCCCACGTCATTGGCCTTATGAGTGCCGAGACCAACCCCCGACACCGAGTTATCCTCTCCTCACTAATCACCCATCTCCACGACTTTTGTCGAGATGTCGAACTCACCCAAGACGAATGGATTATTGGTGTCAACTATGTCAACTCGATTGGCCAAGCATATAAAAAGAACCGAAATGAAGCCTGGAGAGTGTGCGATGTTCTCGGTGTCGAATCGTAAGTTGGCTCCCGATAAACAAACACCTCTCACAAACCTACTAACACATGTGCTCTCTAGTCTCGTCGATGAGATCAACCACAAGATTGTGACAGAAAAAGAGCTCAACCCCACATCCTCCACCATCCTCGGACCCTTCTGGTCGCCCGAGACCCCATTCAGAGAGCTGGGTGGTTCCGTCGTGCAGGACATGCCCAAGGACGGCGAACTCACCTTCTTCCACGGTGTCATCAGCGACGCTGAGACTGGCAAGGGAATCCCCAACGCCGTCTTGGATATGTGGCAAGCCAGCACCAACGGCAAATACGATGTTTTTGACCCCGAGAACCAGACCCGTCACAACCTGCGTGGCAAGTTCCGAACCGACGAGAACGGCAAGTTCTGGTTCTACTGCCTCAAGCCCACTGAATATGCCATCGACACCTCCGGTCCCTCAGCTGATCTCCTCCGACTCATGGGCCGCCACCCTAACCGACCCGCTCACATTCACATCATGGTCACTCACGACGACTTTGTCGGCGTCACCGCCCAATTATACCCCAACGATGACCCCTGGCTCGAGACCGATACCGTCTGCGCCGTCAAGGACGATCTCCTCTTGAACTTCAAGCCCGTCACCAACGAGCCCAACGGTGCCGTTCTCGACTGCGAGTATGACATCCGTCTGCTCTCCAAGAAATATAAGCCAGACAACACAATGTTGATGGGCAATGCCAACCAAAACAACTTTTAAATTTTGGTTTCGACTTTTTTTACAATCGCTTGCAGCGGAGCAAAATGGTGGACGTGTTCAATAACCAAATCTTCCTTCACGCAATGTCGGTTGAAGGTGTTATATATGTACTTTGCATACGGTGTGTCCTGAGGGGGCTGCCATATTTTATGACCAGATACCAATGAACAAATCACAAACCTATCAATTTCAAGGTGTGAATGAGTAGAACAAGTAGACGTTTTTGTATGGCATGCACCTGTAAATCATGTTCCTGCGGATGCACATGCAGATGCGAATATGGGAATTTGGGGAGGATTGTGCCCCGAAGCCTAATCATAACCCATTTGGGGGGAACTCAACCAAGTAATCAGGCCGACGCCAATTGGCTGGACTTCGACCCCTGCAATGTCACTGCTCTGCGTCAACATATTTCCCATCGAGTTGGTAGGTACCTTAAACGACCACACCACTGCCACCTCATCTTTGTTCAAAGCATCATCGTACTGTACTACTCCTTTGCGACCTCTTCCCCGACCCGACATGTTGAGTTGAGCATTATAGTACGGTGCAGTGACTTGTCTCACCGGCGAGAAATTATCCCATCCCATCCCCAATTACCTACCCACCTCTCCCTCTCTACCTCCCAACCTGCCCGTCCATTGAATCAAAATGTCCGCACCTAAAGATCTCCCACCCTTGACCACAAGCGACACTCGATCCTCAATCTCGGCAATACCCATGCACGAGGTCGAACCCAGCCCCGTTGACGACGATGAAGACGAAAACTTCCCCGCCGGAGACGACAGTCAATACCCCCCAACCAATCCCTCCGACGTTGAGAAACAACGACTCCCAGCAACCGCTCACACCACCACCAATTTCCTAGGCCTGACACCAGCAAGGACATTGAAGATACTCTCAGGAATACAGAAATACTCGACCGTCCCGCCGACGGTGTTTCTGACACTACACTATACCAACACAGCGTTGATCCCGTTGATGACAAGGTCGGCAAGGGAGGCGGATAAGTACCTCTTGCTGACAAGGCCCTATTATCAGTCATTTCCGCTGGAGCCATTGATTGTCTTTGGACCGATTGTGGCGCATGTGCTGAGTGGGTTGGCGTTACGCATCTATCGACGGAGGGTGGCTGCGTATCGACATGGTGCTGAGACGCATGCTCAGCGAAAGAAGATTCCCTGGCCCAAGTTGTCGCTGACTTCGGCTTCGGGATATTCGCTTTATCCCATGTTTGTGCTGCATGTCCTGACCATGCGCATCGTTCCTAAGAATGTGGATGGAAGCTCTGCCGCGGTGGGGCTCCGGTATTTTGCTCACGGTGTGGCTCATCACCCCTGGCTCACTAATATCGGGTATTCTGTCTTTGTCTCGGTGGCTAGTTTTCATTTCGTCACTGGTGCGGCAAAGTTTCTCAGGCTGTCCAAGGAATACATTACCGAGCCGGGCCATTCGGGTCAGTTGACGAAGAAATGGAGGGGTCGTCTCATCAACTCTGTTGCTGCTTTGACTGCCGCGGTCTGGATCGCTGGTGGTCTTGGTGTCATTGGTCGGTCTGGCATGGGGGTCGGGTGGGAGGCCAAGAATTGGGATAACATCTACAAAGCCGTCCCTTTGATAGGGATGACCTTTCGATGAGCACGCCGAATTCGCCCTGCTCAATCCTCCACATGTCACATCAACAGGGATACCCTCTTGTACTATATTACACAACATCAACCTCTGTAATAGTAGACACAGCGCAGGCTACAATTTGAAGACTGAAGCGACCATGTTCTAAGAAGACTATGGCAATCATATTTGAGCATGCTCAAGTTTGATGCCTCCAAGACCACAATGACCATCAAAGCGTTCCGAGGAACAGATTCACAGATCCAAACTTTGGCGATTTGAAATGACCATCACCTTTGAGACTTCTCCCTCATCGTTGTCCTTGCTCTGCTCGCCACCGACACTACTCCTTTGATGGATGAGTTCAAGTGTGACCTGTCTGGTGTGCGGTACGCTACTTTGCATCGCGTTAAGTTTGTCGACGATGTTCAAGCTGTCATCAGTGGACGTAACCCCGAGTTCGAGATGTGTGACTGAGTGTGGGATGCAGTCGAGGAATGCAACTTGAATGCCAGGCCACATGAGGCGCAGGGTGTGGAGATTTCGTGTGCTCCCGAGAAATGCTGTGATAGCACTTAACATCGGGGGTGGAGGAGTGTGGTTGTATGACAGCTGTAACAGTTTTAGACTTTCGCCGAGATAGCTATGCAGACTCTTGAGAATTTTTGTTGTCAACAGTGCCTCGGGATTATGCGGGCCTAGACATTCGCGCACGCTCAAGCTCTTCAATGGAGGAAACAGTGCCAGGGCTTGATGACTTGATGGCCGCTTGACCTTGTTGTGAGAGCCATGGGGAGGTCGCAGGTGAAGACCTTGTTGGGATCCATGAATAGTCACACTCTCAAGACACCTCGATTGAGCACACCAGTTCAAAAGATCCGCTGTACCTGATTCTGATAGCCCTTGTATCTCAAGGATCCTCAAATTCGCACCACCACTTAGACTGTCGAGCTGAAATGATCTGAGATCTAGTGCGAGTTGTTCAAGCTTAACGAAGTGATTCCCTGCTCACCTTAGCACACTTGTCGTAAGCAAACCAGAGGGAAGAGACATGGTAGAATCCTGCGGACCGGCTACCCGAAGCCGGCAGACGTTTGGTAATCTGAAAAGCGCGGCAAGGATCCGATTGGTCTCAACGACGTAAGGATGCTCGTCTGATGGTGTGGAAATGCCCTGTATCGCTCTTGCGAGATATGGGTACATAATTTCGCGGTTGACCTCCTGAAGGCGAAGGTATAGATTGGTCATTTGGCTCAAAAAGACATCAGTGTGGGACTGGACAAATCGTATCAATTCTTCCTGAGACTGGACAATCAGCGGTCTCTCAAAAAAAGATTCTTTGGCCTCTTCATAGATCTGGTGGCAAACAAGCAGGAGATTCTGGTGATCATGCAAGGATAGATAGAGCATCTGCCTGTAGACTTGTCGCCGGATTTCTAGCGGGACGGTGAGCAAGAATGGCATTGAGATAGAAGACATTGTTGACAGTCCCCTGGAGAAGGGGCTTTGAACGGTGCTGTATCTGAAAATTCCCACGAATTGGGGGCCATGGAAGCGAGTACGCCTTGAACTTGCCTCACGGGGAGAGAGGTAGATCTTTTTCCACAGTAACAACCAAGATTGGACGTGAAGAAGCGTGCTTTGTAAATGGGACTGATTGATTAACAGTCTCTCCTCTTTTGGGAGCTAACTGCTTCTGATCACCAGAGACTCGTATGGAATGGAAGGAGGGACGAAGCCGTCCGCTTAGTACAACAGACATCCTCCTTTGGAGGGACACCATCGGAACAAAGCAGACGTCTGACATGATCAATATGAGAAACGTCATCCTTGGTAGAGGTTCCATTCCCCGCAACCATGATGTTGTGACCAGTGGTGAGGAAAGTTCGGAAAAGAAAGGGTGGGAGTCAGAAGTGGTGTGACTATGTCCAAGATGAGAACCGACAGTATTGAAAGAGAAAGTGAATCGGCAACACGGCGTCTCCCTAGAGGAGATAAGGCCCGATCTGAACACAGCCGTCAAATAGGTGCGGTCGGCTGGATCGCGAGAGAGGCTGAATGTAGGATTGCTATGAAGGGTATGCGTTTTGATGGTTGGGCCTCACAGACCTCAGCCAATTGCAGGGCAGGGCCTTGTCAAGCCGTCCAAGGGAAGGTCCAGACAATATCAAGCCGAATCCACTGACCATGTGGGCTGTCATTGCCTAAACGAGGTTTGAAACAATGGGCTTGGGTGACATGATAATACTCGGTAGCTTACGAGAAGCGAGGACTGGTATCAGATACTTGGGCACATTGGCTTTGAAATTGATGCTGGCCGTGGCCTCAAGAGTCCTCAAAGGTGAGCTAGCCAAAGTCAGAGGCACTGTGGTAGGACACAGACTCCCCCCAGGTTTGTATAAACTCGTCGAGTCGCAACAAAGTGTCGAGGCTCGATATTTCATACGGCCGTCCGAAGACCTTGATCATAGTGGGGCATCAGAGAGACTGGTGGTGGTGGTGGTGGTGGTGGTGGTGTGTGTATGTGTGTACCCGGTGCGTGACTCTTGTCCGTAGCATTGTGGCCGGCCAGCCCATTTTCCTATAAATTTCGAAGATACTCAGATGGTAGCATGAGACGAGATGCGAGTGGGGAAGCTGAGTTGAATGCTGGAAGGGCTGGAAAGCCTTTGGAGGGTCTAGGAAGAGCGATTTTGTGAGAAACACCAGCCCGATCTGGTGCTCTAGCCTTTTGAAGAGGGTCAAAGAATTGGTGGTGATAGTGGGGGAATACGAGTATGTGATAAAAGGACCAGTCGAATATGACTGCATTGACATGCCGGTTCTCCATCATGACTTGCGAGCTGGATCGGAATGGGTCAAACGGCAGCGTGGTTCCAGCCGAATATGGTGGTAGACCGAGCATATCAGCTAGGGTGACGTGAGAGGTGGAATTTAAAGCGATTACCGGGTGCGCCAACAAGCCACCAGGAAACAAAGCGCGCTGAATCCAGGGGATGATGAACAGGGGCTGACGCTATGGAGATATCGTCAGCGGAGCTAATGAAGTGTTAACAAGGCTTGGTATCAGAACATTGAGGGAAAGTGACGGCCAAAAGACCTCACAGAGAAGCAACAGGCTGGAGAGAGGATGAGGGTGGTAGGGTAGCTCAATAATGATGAGGAGGAGAGCGCCGCAGGGCCCAGACCATCGACTCCTGCCTTTTATGAAAGCTCCGAATGAATTGTGTGGAAAGAACAACTGTACGTGTATGATCCAGGCTGAGACGATCCTCTGGGTCGGATCGCCCCTGCCGCCAGCCACGCCATGTGCCTGCTGTGTTTAGTGCATCTTGCTCCGGTGTTGTACCAGGGTACCAGGGTGGCTCCTTCCCTGGATGGAACTGTCTCGACCTCAAGTTACCGCAACACACCATCACGTGTACCTAAAGTAGGGAGCACCTTGAGCAAATAATCAAGTACGGAGATGATGCTGTGTCACCAACCTCGACTCCAGGCGAGTTCCCATGTGCTTGTCACACCGCTTTGATTTCGGATTTTCAAGCCATAATCTCTAAGCCTGGCCAGGAGGGATCCGGTCACACAGCAGGGTCTCGATTTCTCATCCGCATGATTGAACCCTGCACCATGCGATTGGCCGCTCGAACGACAGCATTCTCCTCCACGACTGTCATGAATCGCATTCATCAATGAAATGCACAGTTAGCCAAACACCTGTGTCAACGGGGATCATGCACGTGGCAGCCAACCTATGTGCCTGCCCGCATGCGGACCATGAGCGAAGCCGGATCGACGAGATCGCAACATCCAGATCTGGCCGTAACGCAGCTGTTCAACCCAGCATGGCTGAAGTCTGTACCACCACGACCACCTGTCCAAATACCCGTATGAAAGAAAAACACAGAAAAACCACAGAACCCAATGGTCGGACTTGTGTAGTATTGAAGCTGAAGCTAGATCCTCACCCACGTGGAAGCCACCACGTGCCATAAACCCGAACCAACTGAACCCCAGCATCCCAGCTGAAGAAACGCTGCGCTAATACATACATCCAGAATAGCTTTTGAGAGCCCCGGCATCACCCTTTCCTCAGAAACACTCCATTACTCTAGACCTTGAGAAGTTTGGCGGCATAGTTGGTGATGGTGTCAATCTGAGGGAAGCTCAGCTCTTCCAGCTTCTGGGCATACGGCGTCGGCACTTCAGCGCCCGTGACGCGACCAGGAGGCGCTTGTAGATAGTCAAATCCATATTCCACGGCGAGAGCCAGAATCTCGGATGCCACACCAAAGGCTGGGAATCCAGACTCGACCGCCAGTAGATGTCCCGTCTTCTTGACTGATTTAATAATGGCCTCGACATCCATGGGCTTGATTGATCTCAAGTTGATGACCTCAGCCTCAACCCCGTATTGCTTCTTCAATTGCTCGGCGGCCTCGAGAGATTGGCCAACGCAGCGTGACAGTGTGACAATGGTGAGATCTTTACCCGGTCGCTCGATCTTGGCTTTGCCAAAGGGCAGGACAAAGTCGCTCTTCTGCGCCTCTGCGCTCATTGGGAAGGCTTGGCCGTACAAAAGTCTACCACGGTCAGTCTCAACTCCAGGCAGACGCAGCGAATGCTTACTCGTTCTCCAAGACCACCACTGGGTTGGGGTCACGAATGGCAGCCTTCAGAAGTCCTTTTGCGTCCTCGGCGCTCCAAGGAGCAACCACCTTCAGACCAGGGATGCTTCCATACCATGCTGAATAATCCTGCGAGTGCTGAGCGGCAACACCAGCGGCGAAACCGTTGGGTCCCCGGAAGACAATTGGGCATGGTTGAATGCCGCCAGACATGTAGTGCGTTTTAGCGGCCGAGTTGATGACTTGATCAATGGCCTGCATGGCGAAGTTGAAGGTCATGAACCTGAATGCTTGTCAGTGTGGTCTTTGCGATGGTCAAATCGTCGGTGCAGCCTACTCGCAAACAGGATGAAGGCCTGCCAAAGCCGCGCCTACAGCCAGACCACAAAATCCAGACTCTGTAATGGGTGTATCAATGACACGTTTGGGGCCAAAACGATCAAGCAGACCCTTTGTCACTTTGTATGCTCCTGCAATCAGGAGTCAGCATCTTATCCCAGATTCTCGCGGTATGCTCGTATATTCGGCCTCTTACCATTGTACTGTGCAACCTCTTCTCCCAGGATGAAGACCTTGTCATCTTGTTCCAACTCCTCTGCCAAGGCTTCGTTGAGAGCATCTCGGACTGTGAAAGTCTGGCTTGATGACTCGGAAGCATATCCTCTTATCGAGGGGAGGGTGGCGGGGGCGACTTTATGGAAGGAAGGGCGTAAGGAGGAGGAGATGGCTGTCCGCTGTGACAGTAGCCTAGAGGCCGGTCGCGAAAACCTGATGGTCGACATATTATTTGGGGACAGGGGAATTGATGATGACGAATGGTACACAAATAACAGCTCTCGACAGAGGGATGATAGGATTTTTACACACCCTCTGAGCAAAAGAGAGCGATGTGAGAAGAATCGGAAAAAGACAAAGGAAGGAGTGGGAATGGAATTGAGCCAACGGTGGATGTGAAGTCTACCTGTTGCTTTGAATTCGAGCTGGCGGGTTGGGAAGCTCCCCGTTTCTCACCAACAAGTCTGGATATCGCGCTAACCCAAATGAGACAATCTGCACCCTCCGAATCCATCACCGTAGCCTATAGTCAATCCTTTTCTCTTCTTCCAGTGTACAGTCTCCCCAAATAACTTGATCACTTCACCCCAATTGCTTTGCTGTACACACAGATAGAGGATAGTGCTCTTATTCTGTGAGATTTTTACTGAACAGCAAGGTGTTTATCTCTACAGCTTGTCGTGGGTACCTCATTGTAGATGGTTGTGGTTGTTGGGAGTGGGAAACGGAGCCTTGTCGGAGAAACTTGAGTTCCAGGCTCCACCTTGGGCGGAGCACAAGCGCTTAGCCTTGTCCGCAATGACGCTGGGCCGCGACTGCGCTTGTCTCCTGGTCCTCACTTTTTGATATACAGATAATGAGATAGTCGGGTGTTTTGGGCGGCCAATCTAAGAGCATTCGGTCCCAAAACGTGTCTTGACTCGTTCAGCTACACTTATGTAGCCTCGGTGAGTTTATGAAGGTATAGAAGGCTTCTTGTTCGGGCAATCGAGTCAACGAGGCATCAACTCGACAATGCCTTTCCAAACCTCCGTCCTCCTCGGCTTGCTGGCCATCCTTTCTCCTTGCCCTTCCTTTGCTGCGCAACCAGGTGCGCCCAAACCTCTGGCCGCTCCTCTGCGCGACCTTCCTCTATCTGACCTCAACTTCCTCCACACGACCGACACCCATGGCTGGCACGCTGGTCATTTGCTTGAGCCTTCCTTCAGCGCCGACTGGGGTGATTATGTCGATTTTGCCGACAGACTCCGCGACAGGCTCGAGTCCGAAGGCAAAGATCTCTTGATAATTGACACTGGAGATCGAATCGAAGGAAATGGTCTCTACGATGCGTCGGAGCCAAAGGGCTTGTTCACATTTGACATTTTCCGATCACAACACATGGACATAATATGCTCCGGAAACCACGAATTATACAAACAGAACTCGTCTGAAAATGAGTATCTGATCACCGCTCCCGCTTACCCTGGCAGCTATCTTGCATCCAATCTCGACATCCGCCATCCCACTACAGGCGAACTTGTCCCTCTTGCTTCCAGATTCAAGAAATTCACCACAAAGAAACAGGGCATTCGTATTCTTGCCTTTGGATTTCTGTACAACTTTGACCGCAATTATAACAACACAGTGGTGCAGAAGGTGGCAGAGACTGTTAAGGAGCAATGGTTCCAAGACGCCATTCGGTCTCAAGATGTCGACTTGTTTGTGGTGACTGGACATGCAGCTCTACGGACAGAAGAATTCAGTCTAATCTTCAGGGCCATTCGGTCTGTTCATCCATCTATTCCTATTCAATTCTTTGGAGGTCACTGGCATATCAGAGACTACAAGAAGTTTGATGACAACGCGTACGGTCTAGCCAGTGGCCGTTTCATGGAGACGATTGGCTTTCAGTCCATCGGGGGCTTTTCGACCAACACCAGTCGCAAGTCATCCCCGACCTTCGCAAGACGATATATCGACAACAATTTGTATTCACTCTACCATCATTCCGGCCACCACGCTTCCACATTTCACTCGGAGCGCGGTCGAAACATCACCAAGGCTATCACTGAGGCACGCCAAGCACTTGATCTTGATCAGACATATGGGTGCTCCGATCGCGACTTATGGATGGATCGAGTTAGATATCCCAGTAAAGACAGCATTTTCTCCTGGCTGGATCAAGAAGTGTTTCCTGGCATCGTCAATGACACAAGCCGCAACGACAAAGCTCGCCTCGTCATCACCAACACTGGCGCAATTCGCTTTGACATTTTCAAAGGCCCCTTCACCAAGGACTCTACATACATCATGTGTCCTTTCACCAGCGGATTTCACTATCTGAAGGACGTGCCTTACAACAAAGCCAAACATCTCCTACATTTGTTAAACAGTGGTGGAGAGATTTTCTCGCAGACGAATGCAGAGCTGGCATTGTGGAAGTTGAAATCTCCACAACAGATCAATCTTCACCAGGACAATCCTCATCTCCAATACTCACAATCATTGGTCGATGACCAGACGTCTTTGTCAGACCACACAAACTTGATCCCAGGCTACACCACTATAGATGATGATGGCACAGATGGAGACGATACCGTACATGCCCCCATCAACTTTTATCAGCAACCGAATTGTGTCCAGTCAACCATTAATCCTCAAAACGTCAACTTGGACGATGAGACGGTGGATATCGTTTTCAACGAATTTATCCAACCCTGGATTCTCCTCGGATTGAGATTTCTTGGACTCAGTTACGACGACGCCGACGTTGACAAGTACATGCCTGAGGAAAACATGACGACTTTGATTGCCAGATGGGTTAGTGAAAACTGGTCAAGGAACTGTTGATTGCAAGGTATATGTGTGGCCTGAAAACTTTGCAGTTGTTATCCACCCAATTTAACAGAGATCTGTGACATGCTCACTTGGCCCACTGAGCCTTCTGTGGCAGTGGTTAATTCAGATGCTCTTCATATATCAGGGCCCATGTCTTGACACCCTCACCCCCTTCCTTAGGCCAGCCACTGGCATCAACCCTTCCCTTGCCTATGACTACCTCTTCGAGCACCTTGAATCCCAGCTGTTGATACTCATCTCTGGACGACACTGCTGCAGTCTCTAGGTATACGGGCACCCTCTCCTGTTTGGCCTTATTCAAGAGCACATCCATCGTCGCGACGAAGGCGGCAGACGACTTTTTCTGATCCACGTCGGGATCCCGGGCCAGTATAGCCAGGTGATAAAAGGGTCGGGTCTCATAGTCGGTATCTTTGTTGAAATCTGCAGGGTATGGGTCTTCAGACGGGGCTCCGGAAGATTGAGACGGAGCTGCAGGCTGGTCGTAGCTATGAGGGCCCGTATCTGGGACAGCAAGGTATTTTGCCTTGAGCTTGCGGGCAGTGCTTCGCCATTCTTGTAATATAGGACCAGGGTTCGCACGAGCTTGGGAAGGAGGAATGCCGCAAAAGTCGGGTGGTTCCCAGAGCGCCGCAGCGGTAAAATCGCCAGACTCGACTAGAACCACGTTGCTCCGAGCGGCAGCGGTAATGCCCAGTGTGAAATGTTTTGTGAGACGGTCTGTGGTGATAACATCGCTTCGATGGGCCGAGGACGGGGTCTTGTCGATTTCGGTGATAAAGGCAGTGGTCAGTGGGGTGGAAATGTACGAACGGCTCAGGAGACTGATGAACTTCTCGATCCAGACTTTGTCTGGCGAATAAGTGATCCGAGTTTCGGTCGCCATGTTTGAAAATGCACAGGCCGAGCGTTAACTTGTAACCAAGTGCCTAAGCTGAGGCTGACAGGGAGTCGTACAGAGGTGTCAGCAGATCGGAAACAGGCTCAGACGTGCTATGACGTTATTCAATGTCGGGGTAACGTGAGAGAAATCCAACAACAGTTCTCAAGAGCCTTGGAGTGGTAAGAAGGTGAGAGTATGGACAAGAAGAAAGGACGGAGAGAACGAATCGAGAGAACTAATCGAGTGAGGAAGGCTGAATGGGGAGGATGTCAGCAACAGCTGATACTTTCCATCTCTTGACGAGTGCCCTGATCAGGGAGGGCATTCATGGCAAGCGTTATTGGCTGCGTCACAATTGGACCCAAGTAACTTAGTAAAGGTTACAAGCTGGTAGCAGGGTGGAAGCCCCTCGGCCCCTCAGGCCGAGGGCGCTCACCACCCCCAGGCTGACGTGCGGCAGTGCGCCGCTTGTTGTGCCAACGAGCGTACCAGCTTTTGCCAAAGGCCCAATAACACTTGCCAGGCACATCAGGGTAACGGAAAACTCCCCTCAATGGCTTGTTGTCCCCTGTAGATCCATCCTCTTGGGAGAATGCGGGGTTGGGGGGACTGGTTCAGGGACCGCTGGGGTAGCTCCTAGTCATAGCAACAGTATGTCGCTGCAAGACCACTCTTCATAGGTGGACGCCAACTCAGCATCAACCTCGTTATCTCCTTCGATGTAGTTGTAATCAGAGCTTTTTTAAACCAAACTCATTCAATTACTGTAAGTAGAAAATCACCTTCAGTGCCTGATCAAGCCAGAACAAGCCACCAAGCTAACAAATGGGGTCTAAATCTATAGCCGACTATTAAAGCAAAATACGCAAATCTACACGGCGAATCATTACATCCATGACCGATTCCCAGATCTGGAGCCTTGGCATCTTCCTGCCAGAAGGACGAGGATGAAGAAGTTGGTCAAAGCGGCTACAACCCCTCACCTACTAGGCTAGACAACAGCGCCATCTACTCCATAAGCTACGAATACTGTACCTTAGTTGGCGCACGTGACAAGCCACTGCCCAGACGACTATTCTTTTATACACTTTCTCGTCAATCATCCTATTCTTTATACAACTAGTAGAGGTGACTTGAGCTGCCTGTTTGATTGCTCAGCACGCGCTTGCATATAGCACCCTGAGGAACCAAGTGTTGGCGGATCTGGGTTTGGTTGACAACGACCACTCCTCCTACTTTGTTCATTCTACTGCTCCAACAGGTCCAGCAAAAGAGCTCCCTCGCTATGAAGTCACCGATCCCCGACTACTTGAATGCCTTGCTGGAGAAGGCCCGGCCAATCGAAGATGGCATGCCGGCTCAGTATATCAAGACGCTGGCCAATGCAGACACATCTAAGCTAGCCGTGGCACTCGTCATGGCAGATGGCAATGTTTACTCAGCTGGTGACGACAAAGTGGAGTTCTCCATTCAGTCGATCTCAAAAGCCTTTGTCTATGCGATCGCAATCGAAGATGCCGGGCTGGACCGTGTTCTGGAAAAGATTGGTGTAGAGCCATCCGGCGATGCCTTCAACAAGTTGTCTCTCCACAAAGGCAACAATCGGCCGATGAACCCCATGATCAATGCCGGTGCTATTGCGGCTCATTCACTTGTGGTCAATCCTAACGCCACAGCCGAGGAGAGAACCGACCGCATCCTCAAGACCATGTCTAGGCTGGCCGGGCGACAGCTTCATGTGGACGAGGAGGTGTACCAGGCCGAGCTTGAGGATGCCGACCGCAATATGGGAATTGGCTACATGCTCAAGGCGGCTGGCGTTATATCGTGCAAACCAGACGAGGCTGTCAAGGGCTACATCCGTCAGTGCTCCATCAATGTCAACGTCCGCGATTTAGCCATGATGGCGGCAACCCTCAGCAACGCCGGTGTCAATCCCGCCACAGGTGAAGCCATCATACCAGTGGACAGTGTCCGCCAGGTGCTTTCGGTCATGACCACATGCGGAATGTACGATGGTGCTGGTGATTGGGTGTCCCGAGTTGGCATTCCAGCCAAGAGCGGTGTCGCTGGCGGAATCATTGGTGCCCTGCCGGGACAGGTTGGCATCGCCGCCTTCTCACCCAAACTGAATGACCGTGGGAATAGTGTACGCGCGGTGGCAATATTTGAACAGTTATCACGCGACATGGGTTTCCACATGATGGACGTCAGCCAGATCGCCAGAGCTAGTGTGAGTACCTCGGTGGCAAAAATTGTCGCTGGGAAAGAAGACCCTCACCACCGTAATTGCGATCGAAGCGTGGTCATCTTTGCTCTCCGAGGTGCGGTCCGCTTTGCTGGCTCTGAGCGCCTCACGCGCGCAATTGTGCGTGAGCTCGGCGATCCCAATCCCAAGGATCCAGGTTCTGGAAAGCACCAGGACGCTTGTGCTATCGTGATTTCACTCCGCGACGCATTTTCTCTCAATGCCGTTGCCCGCAGGGTCATCCATGAGAGTATAATACGTCTACTGGCCGAAGAAAAGAATGTCGTGGTGATTGATCCCAACGACGTCTTGAAAATGGATCTGGGCAAGCTTCCCACGTCTCAGCACCCTCATATTGTTCAAAATGAAAAGGAGGCAAGAGAATATATTGGAGGAATAGGTTGTTCGGCCGTCATTCAATCTGACAATTGGTAGGATATTCATGGCTATCAGTTGAATCCAGATCTACGTTCGTACTACAAGTAAGAATGAGTTGGTGGTCATTTGACGCACCATCTAGTCTTCAACAACACAGTCATCTTTATGAACCCAGATCTCCAGTAGTATATGATTAGCAGCCATCGCCTCATAGGAGACTCAGGCTACTTAGGTCCTTTTCATAGCTGCAGGAAGCTGAAAGTATCTTAAGAGGCGGACAGTGCTCGAGTATCTTGCAAGGGAACCAAGTACTGTCATGGCTAGGTACAAATCTGGTCCCTTTGAAACCTAATCCCTGACAATGCCTTCTCACTCTTCCCTCGGCCTTTCTAGCTACAGGCGTCAAAGCAAGCGCCTTGTTGTCTGGAGTTGCCTGTGATTTTTGTGGATCAGCCATTTAACGTTGGACATCACCATCCTAAGAGACCACACGTACGGCAACTATCAGCTTGGTTAGAATCTCTTCACGGTAGAAGCTGGCTGAACAGGAAGGAAGTGTTTGAGGTACGTACAATGCTGGCAGGTTTCCTAGAAATGCACAGTAGGCCAAACAGGTGCTGCAAATAAGACTTTTGGCCGCCGCAGCGCATATAGCTGAAATAAGTATCGTCAATGTATTGTCCCAAATTTTTTCATTCCAAGGCAGATGAGTATACCAGCATTGTCAGATTGTCGTTCTACAATATCGCTTGCTCGATCACTCGGAAGGGGGTTTGAGGCAACGGTGACAGCCAAAGCGGCAATAGCAGCCAATTTGAAGAATTGCATGGTGGAGATGTATAGAAGAAGTTGTTCGAATCGCGGCAGATAAGTAGGAAGGTAGATGGTGAATAGAAAAATTTGTGAGACAGAGGTTCTTTGAACTGAACAAAGAGGAGCTATGTATATGAGTCAATTACAAGAGCAGCAACATCCATTTTAGACAGAATACCTCCTCTAATGGAGGACCATCCTGTCATCCATGGGATTGTCAGCTCTATCACAGTAATATTGTCAGCGCTGGTATGCATGCTCACGCTGCTGGCCTTAGACAGTCAATATAGAGTGTAAATATAGTCCAGATTTGTCGTTGGCGACCGGGAGAGAGTCAGATAGGCTATCGGATCCTCTTCTTGATGAAACAGAATGAGATGATAGCCATTTCTTTGTGAAACAGAATAAGACAATAGCCACAATGCTACTACACTCCCGGCTTAGCGGGTGATAATATTTATATCAGGACGAAGAATGATTTGACATCTCCCCGCGGAGAAGCACTTCAGTAACCACCGTTGTTGGAATAGAGGATTAATGTAAGCTTCCTGCTTCCTGCTCGGTGGTCTGAAGCTGGTCGCCTCTGAGTCAGAGCGGTCAGGGAATTCCAGCCCGCTGCTGGCAGAGCTGTTGAATAGAATGATATAAATAACGGTTAGGTTGACCATGTGCTTCATATGGACTGCCGCTCACTTACATCTACCAAAGCTCAAATACTTCCAAAGACTCCTTGTCAGTCTCTACCCTCACAAGCTACCAACAAGAAACACCAACCGTTGTTCATCAACCTCAGCTAACACCTCTACCAATATGCGCTATATCTCGATAATTGTTGTGGCCTTCATCGCGGAGACCGCCTTCGGTGTGAGTTGCGATACTCGGCCCCAAGCCAACCAGGAGCTTTTCGAGCAAATGATCGGACATCAATTCGCAGTCCCATCTCCACACAAGGTGTCTGGACGTGACCTATCTCAATTTGACCAATTTGGAGCTATGAAATTGCAGATGAGAAGAATCTCGAGTGGCCTGGGATCTACCCACGTCAGCTCCGAAAGTGTAGGAACGGCGATGAAGGAGATTCTCCAGAAATGCTGCTGCGAGAAGGGTATTAGCAACTGTGTTGGAAATACAGACATCTTCGGAGACCAAGGTGATAGAGTCAATGTCAACATCGCATCCGATTAGTCTGCGACTTGGGTGGTTTCATAGTGTTCATGTCTCTTCGTAGCCCGAACAGACAAAGACTCGAGACTCGGAGCAGCAATTCACACCGCCGCCGCCGCCTTACTTTGAGTACTTTAGCGGGTCGCACTTACATACCTAAATCTATCTCTGATTAAGACACTTATTGTCAAGGCAATGGCGCGATTAATGAAAGTCAATTCTGTTATTATTCCTCTTAAGGAGAGGAGAGAGAATCTAGCTAAATAATATTACTGAGGATACTTGCCGTACTTAGTATACTATACCTAGGTACCTAGGTAGGTACTTACCGTAATAATTCCGGGCCGAAAAACGTTAGCGTCTTTACTAACATATAATAGGTAGTTATAGCTATAGCCTTTATTTAATTAGTTCTTATTTATATATACTCGAGGCTGACAAGCCTTCGGAGGGAGAGTTCTTCTACACGGAAACAAGACGCGTTTATGATGCTGTCGAACTGTTTCCATGGCGGGTCTGCCAATACAACCAGGAATGAGAAACGCCTGATTTACAGTTGCTTCATGACAAAGGGTCTTGAGACAGGTCAGCCCTTCTTCTTCCATGCTATGACCATATCTTGTTCTTCGGTTGGCTGATGGTCGAGCACTACAGGAAGAAAATCAGCACCTGGCAACCCCCCTCGACAAGGTCAGCGACTTTTCCGAGCACATGCAGAAACTCATCGGGTACAAGGTCAGCAATCCATTCCTGGGATAGGTGGATTATGGTGATCCGGTTATGGGAAATGCGTACCCTGGCACAGAAATGCACCCACCAACTATCTGGACACTTTCACTGGGTTTGTCTTTGCTCTTACCGAGACTGTGAGGCACTCTCACCTTGAGGTAAACAATATCTGAGACTTTGAACACCCACTTGTTATCTTATTGGGCTCACTCTCATCACCGAATAAATTCCCGACGCTGAAATTCCAAGGTGTCTAACTAAAACTGGAGACGCCACTATCTCAGTTCTTCACTGGTTGACTTTTGCGATCCATGATCCCTTCCAGAATGTGAAAGGTCAAAATGATGCTTACTTGTTCGCAGCGGACTTCCCCTTTAGCTTCTCGTCAAAGTTCAACACGGCTCTCCCCAGAACCAGGGTGCCGACGGCGCAGTCCTCCTTGCTGGTCCACTCCTTTGCACAGTGGCTCCAGCCATTCTTAGAGCGTGCCAACACCATAGCGGTAGGCACCAAGAGCTGGGTCATGGTGGAATCGTGCGCAGTCATGGTCATGGTCTCCATTCCCATGTCGCCACAGCCGGCCTCGACACAATCAATTGCCTCCTGCCAAAACTTGCCAGGAAGTAGGTGCATGATACGGTCGTTGCTCCATTCTAGACCGTGTGCCGCGGCAATGGCTGCCGCTCGTTCCAGAATGGTGTCAGCCATCTCCAGCAGACCCTTCTCCTCCTTGTGCACAATACCAAAGGTAACTTTGGAGGTGGACTGAATGCTACCTGCCCCAAAAGGGCCGGATCTCAGACTGGTTACGGTGGTATAGCCATTCTTCTCAAATGCAACTTTATCGATCTCGGCGATCAGCTTTCCAAGACCTACTACGGCGTCCCGACGACTGTACATAGGATAAGTCGTGGCATGGCCGTCATCTCCAGTGAAGAAGATATCGTACCAGGTCATACCAGGCCAGCAAGTTGCCCATCCGACGGCCTTGCCGCCCTTCTCCAGTGATACGGCCTGTTCAACATGAAGTTCGAAATGTGCAGAGATGGGGAATTGCTTGAATGTGTTTGGACCGTCACCGATATAGCCTATCTTGGCCAGTGCATTACCCATCGTCTCTGGCGAGCCATCGTTGGATGTCGAAGCATGCGCATCCTCAACCTTTGCCTGACCTGCGTACACACAGGACGAACCAAGTGGTGGGAAAAACCGAGCGCCTTCTTCGTTGGTCCAATTGCACAAAGCCACAGGGGCATGTGGTTTGATCTTCAACTCCTTCATGCTACGGATGACTTCGAGGCCACCAAGAACCTGCACCACGAACGTTAATCGTGATGCATTTGAAAGGAGAAATCTCAGAAGGGAACACGGTGATGCCGCGTGCGATGTAGTAGAAGAGACACCTACCCCCAGTATACCGTCGAACTTTCCTCCTCTGACGACAGTGTCCAAGTGGCTTCCCATGGCAATCGGAGGGATGCTGTTGTCTTGGCCCTCAAACACGGCAATCTGAGTGCCTGTAGCATTGACCTTTGGCCTTGTTAGTATGTCATAGACGTAACAGCGACCGATTTGGATGGGCCAGACCTTGTACGAGCCACCCAACGACAATATCTGGTCTTTGAACCAGTCGCGGACCATCTTGTCATTTTCATCGGCACATAGGCGTGTCACACCGCCGTCTGACGGTGCACTCCATTTCGCTGTCTCCTGGATGTCATTCCACAGTCTGTCAGCATTGACCGCGAGTTTTTCTGCCAAGGGCGAGTTCTTCTTTGTCGCGTAAAAACGTTGATCACGGCGTTGGACGTCTAGTAGACGGCTGCCGCGAGTGAAGTGTGTGCAAGCGAGACTGGCTCGGACAGGGTCGTGCAACGAACGCACTGCGCCGATGAAGGAGGAATGAGTTCGGGGCAGCATCTCCAGGAGCTGAGAATATGTTAGTTGAGATTACAAATATGCCCTCAAGCAGCCCAGTGGCTTGTATATGACCGTCGACGCGATCGTAATCGAGGAGCAGAGCTTCGGATATCCCATCCACGACTAGCCTTGCTCTGCTCCGAGTCTAGAGACCAGTCCCATCGTATGGATCTTGCATGACCCCATCTCCAGAGTGTAGAGCGAAGCTGTTCATTGCGGCTAACCAAGAGCCCGTATCGCGAGCGTCGAACTCCATATCTGTGGGTAAATAGACTCCAATGCGGTAATAGACTCGATTGCAGTAACAGTCTCCTTGCGATAAGAGTCTCCATTGCGGAAATGGACTCCATTGGCACCCTTGTTGGAATGAGAAAGGTGGGGAAAAGCTAATTTGCTTGCTCAAGACTTACGAGTGTAGGGATTGGATAAAACCGGCGCGGAAGTCTTGAGGACGGGTAAGTGAGGAGATGTTTTTCTGGGGTTGACAAAGTCCAAGGTTGTGATAAGAGCATTGTCTAGTTCCACACGCGGCCTCTTCAGGCCCAATCTTAAGATTCTGTCGAGTGATAAATGGTAAGACATTGCACAAACCATGATGATGGACATGGTAAGATGCCAAGTTCCCGATCGAGATCCGACTAGAGGCCTACGGATATTCAGCGTTATTCTGGCCAGTCCATTCGACTTGGTGGTAGATTGCCCCACGCCGAGGGCCATGAAAGGATGACCCTTCGTCCCCCATCATGCTTCATCGCATTTTTCACTAGATCTTACTAGCTGCTATCATGATGCAAAGGTCCTTCTCGCAAAAACAAGCATTGGCGCCACTTCGGCGCCACTCTAAGAAACACCGCAGCACGGTAACAGCGACAGTCTCGGGCTAACCCATGAATTGTCCAACTTCGCTGCAGAACTACGACTACAGACTCTTAGACTTGCGGGCACAATACATCATGTGGTTTTTTCGCCCCGAGCATGCTCAATGCTGTGTTTAAGGTTACCTAGGTATCTTTGAATTGGAATTACAGAAACCGCCCCACAGCAGGGCGATGTATCATTCGAATAAAGCCTTGGCCGCAATAAAGGTCGGAGAACCGCAGGGAGCTTGTATGCAGCTCACCTCGATCGTGCCGCTGTTGAAACCCGTCACTCGCGATTACCCACTCTTACCTTTTTTGCGCACCCGTCGTAGAGCTAAGAGCTGTTGAAAGCAGACCAACGATGAATCCTAAGCTCCAGCTGAAGGTTATATTTAAGAAAGTTGCTCCTACCGAGAAGAGTAAGTGTGTAATATCAAGACGTATATGTCCAAGTTAAGAAGAGTACTATCGTTGTATTCTGGAATACTATCTTCGGTAGAAAGCACGGGTTCCCCATTTCTCAAGATTTTTGGCCTGAATCATAGCCCTATGAGAAGATAGGGGAAGATTGGGGAAGATAGGGGATATACCAAGTAAGACAATTATGATATAAATATAATGATCGTTAACGAGAACGACTCCCTCCTCTCGATAAAATCACCACCTGTTGTTTAAGGACTATCTTGAGAATAGACTATCGCGGGGTCTAAACTAGCAATGGTCTCGAGTCAATTGTATCCCCTCAATGGCGTCAACACGCCGAAGTTGATATCTTGGAATAGGCTATGCTCTCAATCTGGTCACGTAAGTCGAGGACGACAGGGTCCATAAATGGCAGCATCGAAGTACAAATCATGCCTGCCACTCTGGAATGTGGGTCTAGCCAAAAGTACAGGTTGCCCAGACCCGCCCAGGATCCACTCATCCTTCTCCGTCCCTTAGGCAAATCCTCCAGATTCAACAACAGTCCGCAGGACCAGCCACGCGTTTCAACAGGAAGGGTCGACATCAGCGATCCTCCATTAGAAAGGCTCGGCATACTCGGTCTGATCTCACCAAGGAGTGTCCTGTCGACATGTGAAGGCAAATGGTCCGTGAACAGATACTCTCGGATAGTGCTGGGTTTAAGGATGGTCTTTTGAGTGACGGGGCTTATTCCATGGTTGAGAAGAGTACTCAATAACTGCGCGAAATCATTCATCGTTGAGTATAGGTAAGCTCCTCCTCCCCAAACCTCTGGATCTGTGGCGTTTCTCGCGAAATCTTCTCTGCCAGTCAGCTTGTCGTCAGCCTTGTAGTGCACGAACAACCTGTCTCTTCCTGGGACTGGATATGCCCCGCTATCACTCATGCCAAGGGGCTTCAAAATGTTCTTGTCGATGTATTCAGGTAGGGGCATACCACTGGCAGCTTGAATCACGACGCCGAGCCAGTCGGTGTTTGTCCCGTAGATATAGTTCGTGCCTGGATCAGCAACTAGAGGAGTATCGAATTCACTCCATTGCCCAGTGCTATAGTATCCGGCGGGTGAGCGACCCGAGTGCTTACGATATTGCAAGGTCAACTCGTTGAAGAAATCGTAGGAAAACCCAGCCGTGTGATTGAGCAATTGCAGGATCGTCGGCCTGGATTTAGGCTGTCGCAGAACGAGCTGCGATACCCCGGACCCATCTATCGTGAAAGAGTCCAGAACTTGCAATTGCGAAAACTGGGACACATACTTCTCCACAGGATCGGAGAGGGAGAGTGCACCTAGCTCCATCAACTGTAACGCAGCAATGGATGTAACAAGTTTGGTGCAGGAGAACATTTGCAGGACCGTGTCCGGCTTGAAGGCCGAGGCATCGGGATCGTCGATGTTGTTCGTACCGCAGGTTTCCCTGAGAAGAAATTCTCCATGATCATCGACGACGAAGGCGCCAATTGCTGGAACTTCTCTCTTTGCGACCGCAGCTTCGAGCAGACGCCTTGCATCGGCTGCCATAGTCAGTTTCCCACGACCCGCCTGGCTACAGGCAGAAGCAAAGTCAAGGTCTATCGTGTTTCAGGCCAATCTCGGGCCAACACTGATGGAAAGATCCGAAGAGTACCTTCTACACGTCCGAAAGGCGCCAACAGCTTTGTTCTAAAGAGGTTCAAGTGTACCATAAATTCTAGCAGACATCCATCTCCGCGCATTCCTCCGCTCCAGGAGTTCGACACTGCTTTATTTGATCAGGCTGATGCCAGAGCTAGTCGGCAAGACCTTCACCAACGTGTCACTCGATCCTATCTGGCCAGGAAGCGGTTCCTTCGGCTCAGGACCATGATCCAGAGACGAGATAAAATCCTGGAAGATGTGGCCCGCTGTTTTCAAATTCGCTCATTGGCACTACGTATGGACCGAAAGAGCCGAGTGCACCGACCCTATGGGGATTTTGAACCGCGAGGGAGGGTCCGGCATTCGCGGTCTATTACATCTGCTGATGGACTCTACTGGTTCTTAATCTTGTCTGAGCCTCGATAGATGCGATGGTCTTCTGTTCGGACACTGATCCTTGTGACTTCATTGCCACAGCAACTACTTTCCCACATAGATCCGACGGCATTTCAATTCCTTTCCAACTTATTGCAGGTCACTTGAGTTAGGTGTTGCTGCGATTGCCATCTTTCGTGCCAGTCAACATGATTCAGAAACGTCCAGATGTCATTGTGGTTGGTGCTGGTCCAACCGGACTTTGGGCGGCTGCGGAACTCAGAAGGGCCCAACTCGACGTGGTCATCATTGAAGCGGCAACGAGCAGAGACCCACGATCCAGAGCTGTGGGGATGGCAGCTGGCACGCTCGAGACGTTTGCAACCCGGGGTGTGGCCGAACAGTTTGTCGATTCTGGTGTCCCGATCTCCTCCGTACACTTCGGTGCGGCTTCTACCCGATTGCAGATCACCGAGGAGCTACTGGGAACAAAGTATCCTTGGAACATCTGCATCCCGCAAGTCGTCACCGAGAATATCTTGACTGAGTACTGTGCTGCGGTGGGTACGCACATACGATGGGGACAACGCGTTGTGGGCTTGAGCCAGGGAGACGATGCCGTTACGGTCACCCTGGAGTCATCCACTGGCGAGCGCTCTACAGCGACGGCATCTTGGGTCATTGGATGTGACGGTGGCCGGAGCAGTGTCCGCCAGCTTGCCGGGATTGAATTCCCTGGGACTTCCAGCAGCATAACCGGCTGGTTGGCAGATGTGCTGCTCAAAGACCCTCCAAGTCACCCGGTGTCGGTGAGGGGCCCGACCGGATCCTTGTTGGTGCAGCGAATGGGTAAAGGTGATTACTATCGCATGGCCGGTGTCGATGTCGAGACGAAGCATCTCCCGAGCAGTACTTCCCCAACTCTAGAGCAGATTCGCAGTTGGGCCAAAACACTATACGGTACGGATTTCGGGGCACATTCTCCACTCTGGCTGTCTCGGTACGGCAATGCAACACGTCTGGCGTCTGATCTACGTCACGGCCGAGTCTTCATCGCCGGCGACGCCGCACACCAATTCTTCCCTGCGGGGGGTCAAGGCATCAACACCGGCTTGCAGGATGCGGCCAACCTAGCCTGGAGGATCGCCGCCGTTCAGACAGGAAGAGTGACGGGAACGTCGGCAAAGCAGCTCCTGGATGGCTACAGTACGGAAAGGAGGCTAGCCGCTGGCCAGGTCATCCTCAACACGGGAGCCGGGCTATCTGCATTCATAGCCAGCGAACCACACGACGTTGCCATGGTCACCATCTTCTCGGAAGCGTTGCAAGACAAGGGCCTGAATGGGAAATGGGCTCTCCGAATGACGGGCTTCGGAGATCCAATTCCACAGGCCTCTACAGAGCAAGATCCTCTGATCGGGGCCAGGCTGACTCATGTCAAAGTCAGAGGCACCTTTGACGACCTTCATCGACGTATGACGGTGACCAACTTCGTCTTGATCGTGCTGGATCTGGTATTGGAGCAGACGATGAAAGAAGCGGTGAAGCCTTGGGGAGCGTGGATCACCCTCATTTCCTCGGAAGATGGGCCGTCGGCATATGGTGACCAGTGGCAGGGCGTTACTGGCATACTTCTGAGACCAGATGCCCGGGTGGCATGGGTAGGGAGGTCGTCATTGAGCGTTTCGGAAATAGCAGAAAGCCTTGTGACTGCACTACAAGGCTATCTCGGTGACGGCGAGATACTCTCTGCTGTGCTTTAATTTACGCCGCCAATGCTGTCATTACCCTCACCAATTCCCCCTAAGCTTCGTTCACAGTAGAAAATACGCAGGTCTTTTCTTGCACCCGGGCAGGCCGTTGAGTTGGGCTGGGATCTGAAGGGACGAAGCCCAGTAGGCCGCCTCTTGTTACAAGGCATCTCTTAGGTGGTCTACCTGTAGTATCTTCAAGCCGGCGGTATCGCCGCAAAAATTGCCATTTCATATCTCCCAAGAACGAGGTCCTCCACACCAACGCATGTCCAGGCAGGCTTGTGTTCTCCGAGGGTCTCGCTTGCTACCTTGAACATGGAATTTACCGCGGCGTCGTCAAGATCGCCCTTAATATAGCTCGTAATTTGATAAACTGACGACCAAGCCTGCGTCTTTGTCAAAAACGGTGCCGCCGCCAGAATCGATTTTTCCACGTTCTGCACCAAATTAGAGAGATCCGAAGCAGATATCAAGTACTCGCTGCCCTCCACCGTGGTCGCATACCTCAAAAGTCAGTCTTATCTGTTGCTCTATAGTATCAGCCAGATTTCCTTCAGCGTCAAGCCCAACGTGGCCTGATGTGACCAGAGTGAGGTAATTCGCCGGCACAACGATCGCGGCGGCAATGGCATAACGATCAGTGATGGCCTCGTAGCCGGGGAATGTGATTGCCTTGAGTGTGACTGGGGCCATCGTGCTGTCCTTGGTGCTGGAATGAGACGAGTCGAGGGACATGTGTTCTGGACGGCGAATTGTGCTGTCCTTTGTGCTGAAATGATACGAGTCGAGGGAGATGTGTTTTGGACGGCGAGAGCTTCCTGAAAAGGCCTCCGGATGGGCTGTCCGCGCACAGAGGTCTGACATGGAAATATGTTCAGGCAGTCGGGCATGCACCGAGAGAGCCGAAAAGACCGTGTTTGTCGGGGCTTTGGGCTATTGATCGGTCGTGACAAGAGCGACCTCTAGGTGTCTGTGATTGCGAGCGACGTCCAAGGCTACCTAATTACCTCAGTAACCGCTTTTAACCTTCGTTGCCAGGCAAGAGAGTGTCTACAGGGAAGGAAAGTCGAGTTGAAGTCGTTTCTTAAGTCACGTGTTCAATGTCACGTATTCACTGTCTTTACTACTTAGTGTGGTTCATAAGAGACTTGGCCATTCGAAAAGATAGCTAGCTAACTATCTAACTATACTCCGTATACAATTAGGAGGCATAGTAGTACTAAGGCTTTATGGCCTCGGAGATATCCTCTAGCCTTTAAGGTAGGCCTTGAAGGCCTAGGGCCTGTAGTCTTTATAAAGGCTCGGCTCGCCGAGCCCTTGAATTATACTAGTAGAGTCGAGTTGGTGAGTAGAGGATTGAAGGAATTTTGCCTATTTGAGCTACCTTATTGGGACTGCCTCATGGGGGTCAACTTTCAATAGACTGACTGTCATGGGCATGTCGATGGATTAAGGCACAAGGCTGATGCGTCTGACTACGTTCGATCTCCGTAAGTAAAGCCATACTCGGATCAGTTAAATCATCGAAGAAGATGAATTCGACTTCATTTGACTACATGATACATACGATCCCGCTCAACTGATCCCTCCAACCCAACTCAGGTATTTCGCATGGCTTGGCGTGTCCAGTATTCAAATGTAGCGCCTACAAGCCTGGGTCGCAAAAGGTAATCGTGTGCCTCGCTGGCCATGTCTGCCCTCAGTGGACTCAGTTTGCCAAATGGCCGCGCCCGAACTTGGGTGCGAGCTGCCCTTTCCAGATATACTGCTAGATAGGTCGCTTCCTGAATAGAGACGCCTGCGGTCAGGGAGCCGTGATGGGCCAGCACGATGGACTTTTTCTGGCCCAACGCCCCAGCAATAATGACCCCTTCTTGATCTGCGATTGGCACGCCGGGCCACTCGGAGAGAAATGCACAGTCGTCGTAGAACGGCGTCATGTCCATTTGAGCGACGACCAAGGGTTCGCCTGCCGCAACCAGGGCCGAAACCCACGGCGAATGCGTGTGGATAATACATTGAAGGTCCCGCCTCCCGGCATAGACCCAAAGATGGAAGCGCGTAGCTGGGTTTGCCATTCCCGTGCCAGAGGTCGTGCGAAGGTCGCCATCCACTTCGATGAAATCGTCGGGTTCGGCTTCATCCCAGCCAACACCGAAGCGAAGCGTCCAGTATCGCCCTTCGTGATCCAGGGAGCGAGCGGTGATCTGCCCGGCGAGCCCAGCATCTTCCTGGCGCATAGCAATCAAACGGCAAGCACAAGCCAGGGTTTCCTGTAGCGTCCGGCTTTCAGGTTTCAGATGCTCCTCCATCTCTACTGCAGCACGATCACCAAAGTAGCTTTTGGGTCGCAATCGACCGTGCGCTCCGTTCGCTTGGATCTCGGTCGCTGAATTATCCTCCATCGTGTCCAGCTCAGTCGGCTCCAGTTAAAATGCCACTTCAGTTCCAGCCTAGAAAGTTGAAGGCGCTTTATAAGAGAGATGCTCACTGCGATGCTCTTGCTGCTTCGTTGTCCAACCCAATGAAATTCCAGATTGACATAGAAGGCTCTCTGAACTGGAGCAAAGGATAACAACTACTGTCCCAGATCCAGCAGCTGCGTGGTGTCTATCTATTTACTGTACAGATGCAGATATATAGAACACCTTGTATCCACTTTCTGGCCTCGGTGCTCTCGGCGCTGTTCGATATGAGTGCAAGGTTTTCACCCGTGTGGACAAGAGTCCTCGGCTGTTACGGTCCAATTGAACACCAAAATGTTAGCTTTGGAAAAACGGGTGGTATTTCTGATTCTCGAAGCTAGCATGGCGACAGCCACCGACCGCTTTATGGCGTTCCCTTTAGTATCTTTGGATCTGTCGCGCCTTTGCAGCTACTTCCAGGACGTTGGCAAGGGAATGAAAATCTTTCGGAGCGCAATATCACTTTCCCTCTCCTCATCTCTCATTTTGTCTTTTATTGTGCATTAATCGGAACTTAAAAGACCCACACACTCATCATATTCTTTCGAAGACCTCCGAAGTATTCTTCTCGTTTAGGCTCTGCTTGAAGAGAGTAAACGTGGCCAGCAAAGCCGAATATCCCGAATATCCCGAGATGGCCTAGCCTGTCAACGTGTATATGGCCGCATGCTATGTCCGAGCTTTCCCGTTCCCATATGTGCATTGCCACCGGGCGCAGCTAGAGCTTTCATAAGGCGCGGTGCTGTTAGTATCTGTGGGTGCGGCCTCACAAGTCTAAACCACCGCCACTTAATGGTGACCATATTAACATCAGAGCTCATTCTAACCGTCGAATTCGTCATCGAGTGAAATAGCACCACAAGGGCCGGTTTTCAGCGTTACGTAGAAGTCAGGGGAAGACAAGGCAGTGTTCTCCGCGCCTTAATACCGAAACTTTGGCTCCTACCGTGACCTTACCGCCTATCAGTCCGCCAATGAGTACATGTTTCTAGGAACGACATTTAGGGTAAGGTCCGGACACTGACTTACCAGGCTTGTGATGCGTAGCCATCATACCAAATATGGCGGATTGACCCCACACCGGGCTCGGATCTGATTGATGGTTCCTTTTCAGCCACGAGGTAGGTTGGCACAGTCTATCGATCTTTCCAGCCTCGGGGTTCACGTTGGGAATTTGGCATCTTGGTTGACGACTGGTCACGGAGATTTTCCCCACTTCTTCTACGTGGATCAACTTCCAATCCTCCTCGTCCCAAGGCTCTGCAATACCCTTGAGGATGAAACTTGGTCGAAATCGATCCGGCGAGACCGTGGTGCCCATTTCGGTCGACAGTGTCGACAGACTTTCCTCCGTCACAAAATGGATCGGCGCGTTGTCCGTGCAGGCTGTGACGATTTGACGCGGCCATAGAAATCCGCTCCAGTCCATATCCCACCTCTCAAGCGGATTGCCGTGCACGACCCGGTTGGCATCACGGTAGACGAGTCGACAACATTTGCCCATGAAGGAAGTAAAGAAGTCGGTATAGGCATCGCCCATGTCCAACATGTTGGTATCCTCGGGTATAAAGGGCAGCTCTGTAGGGAGCACTCGCAACATATCCGTGCTTTTCATGACAGGTCAGCGCTTGTGAGGAATGATGGAGCATATTCAACGCCGTACAGTGGCTGCAGAGGAAGTTCGATCGACAACCCAGTGTCTGAATCGGTCACTGTCACGGTGCCTTTACCAGCGCCATGGCTCGGACGAATTGATTGATGCAGTTTTGCCATCTGTGTAGCTTTGTCAGTATCAGCATGTCTAGCCTGCATAAATTGTGACCTTTGGATATCGCTTCTGGCTCATGGATTTGAACCGGCCAGGAGTCTTTCTGATTGGCTCAACAATCATGTAGATCCGGTCATACTTTAAGCCAAACTCGTCGATGTCAGCGCTCTGCACCTGGATGCCTCGACAACTCTTGACAGGATAGATCCAAATGCCGGTGACCTTGATCCCCATCTTTGCGCGGTGACACCTTGTGCAAAGGGACCTTTGCACAGAACAGGGGCGATAATGATGAGTGAGTGACAAAAGGTTGCATAGGAGCTTGATTTTCTACGAGGCCTGCTGTAGTATATGTTCATTTCGGTCTGGAAGCAGTGAAAATGGCAGGAGGTCGAAAAGCCCGAGAGGTCCGAAGGGGAAATGATCTTATCGTGGTTTTCACAGCTAGATACCATCGGTGCTCATATTACCCGTTAATATTCTAGCAGACCTTCAGATCGAAAAGTGAACTAGCCATGGCACACGGCATGAAAATGAAAGCAGTAGGCACATTCCCTGGAATGCCAGAGCACATTCGTCTGGTTTTGCTAAGAAGGCTAACTAAAGACGACTGGTGTGATTAAACAAGTACAGATACCGAGACATGTGGGATGTAGTTAGTTTGACTGAAAATAGGTGACGGGATTCCGACATCAACATCGCTGCGAATGACTCTCTGTGCCATTGCACGGAGTCGGAACGTCCAGCGGAATTGAGGCAGGGTTTCTTTACATCGTGTATTGGAAATGTAGACCTTTGTCGCCGGACTTTCCATTCTCTGTCGCTCCTAGGGCGAGCATCTCGGCCTTCTTGTTGTTTCTCGACTTGAGTATAAAGTAAATCGCCAAGATGCCGACGAATGCGAGGACCTCCATGCCGAGTGAGACAGCATTTCCTTTGATGTATCTCGGTCTGTCGGTGGCTGGGTAGATTACAGCTGACACGAGACCAGAGGTAGCGGAGATCGAAGCAAAGAGCGGCAAGGCGACCGATCTCTTATAGTCCGGGGCAAAATTGTTGGAAACCCATGTGAGTAACAAGCAGTTGAACGGATATATACCTGCGGACGAGATGTGAGCGACATCGGCGGACAATGAACACAGAACCCACCAGAGCCAACCATGAACATGGCAAAGTAGCCAGCCGCGCCGTTTGATGTGGCAATAATGATGATGTAGCCGATGATGACCACTGAAGGAATGCACATCAAGAAATACGACCGGCGCCTGTACTTGTCAGAGAAAGTACAGACTGCAATTATGACCAGGGTTGCAACAGCGTAGACAGGAATCGAGAGGTAATTTGCTTGCAGCGATGTATATCTGCATCAAGCCTTCAGTATCGCGCTCGGCTCCCCTATCTGCGTGGGAATAGACTTACCCGAGGCCAACAAGGATCGTTGGGAGAAACACCGCAAAACCTGTTGCTGGAATGCTCGCACAGAACAAGCAGATGGCTGCCACGTAGACATGGATGTCGGAGAAGGCCATGGAGACATACTTCCAGGAAAAGTCGTTGCCACCCGAGTACGAGGCATCGCGTGCTCTCCTCGCTCGCATGACTTCACGTTCCTCTTGGGTGAGAAACCAGGCTTCCTCGGCACTTTTGGGTAGAGAGAGCCAACCCAAGCTACAGACCACGATGGAGACGGCGCCTTCGATGATGAAAAGCCAGCGCCACGCGGCTATGCCAAGTCGGCTCCCCATGGACTGGATGCCGTAGGCAATGAGGCCGCCAAATGCTCCAGAGCAGGTGACAGCATAGTAAAGCACACCCACCCTGCGTGCTTGTTGCTCGCGAGAGTAGATCATTGAAATGAGAAAGGTAAGACAGCAGAGGAGTCCTGCCTCGAAGAGGCCCAAGAGCAGCCGCACGGCGATTGCCTGCCCATAGTTCTGAATAAAGCCAGTGCCCAGGGTGACAATGCTCCAACCAAGCATGGCGACGACCAACACCTTGTGTCCACCAAATCGTTTTACGCACATGACCCAAGGAATGTCAAAAACAATGTACGTGACATAGAATATCATGACGACGTCGTTGAACTGGCGTCCAACCAGGTTGAGGTCCGTACTCAGCCCGAAGACGACGGCGTTTCCTGGAGATCTAGTGTCAGTTACAATAATCACGGACGATAAGACGAGCTCAAACGCACCAATGTTGGCACGATCAAGGTACCCTATCAGCATAATGATAGCCATCTGCGGAAGAACGAGTGTATCGAATTTCCTGATTGCCCTCTTCTCGATGACTGGGTCAACAAAGATCTCTGCGACGTCGACCGCATGTTGACTACCTTTCGTAGCAGTCAGCTCAACGGGAGACATGTCCTTGCTAGGTGTATCGTTCATGGCAACCGAGGTAAATTCAGTAAGTGATGTGGAATGTCGATGGAACCGCTTTGGAGGGAAACTTGCCAAACGAGAAGATGGGTGGTACTTCCGACTTTTAATACTAGAGCTTCTATATCTTCCACAAACTTTCGCATCGTGTTGGAACTCTACGTAGACAGCGCTCGAGGCCCCTTTGCCCTTCGTCGCGTGCCCTGCGCCGAGATAGATTTAGTGAGCACTATCGATCCGTATCAAGAAGCTGGTAGCAGCAGCCAGCGATCGACATAGCTCGCTCGTATAGATGGAGGATTCGGCCTTATCGGTCCCTAGTTTAGTTCTAGAGATTGTCCTCTGTGGCCATGAATCAAAGCCAAAGCTTGGACTTACTAATAATTTAGAGCCACGCTAGTCCCCTGTTCCCGTGCTTATCTCGGCTCTCTCGGTCGACTCGCTGCTTTCGGTATTCTCCAGCCATCGCTAGCACTGGGGAACAAGAGAAGACTCGACAGACGAGAGAACCGATAGATCCGTTTGTCGCTTCGCACGACCGCCTCAAATCGAATGAGGCAGTCAGCTCGGATTTGAGAGCATCTCAGTCTGTAGACCACCGTATCCGCCTTTCGAGCTGACGGCTCACCGGCCATGCCGAACGCGACAGGACAGGTGCGAGTTCTGAGCGCGGGAGAAGGCCGACATGGGCGTTCCTGTTCGCTATGTTATCAACGCAAGGTGAAGTGCAATCGCACCGATCCATGCCTGAACTGCACCGTCGCCGCAGCACCATGCGTCTACCCTAGCGGCCGCATTCAGCGGCGGCGGCCCAAGAAACCTCAATCGAAGAATTCCTCAAGGGGTGCAACGCCCAGTGCGAAAGGCACGCAAAATGAGCAAATCTCTTTCATATCAGATAGCCGACCTAGCTGCAGCCCGTCCTCAGCAGCCACCGAAAACAGTGACGCCTGTAACGGGCGTCTGCTTAGAGATGGGGATGGCAATTGTCGCCTAATCACTGCAACCTTTTGGGGCCGCCTTCCTCGAGAGGTAAGTCAAGACACGGCTCTCAGAGAGGGTTCTTGACCACTAATTAACAGGTGGCCAGGTCGAAGACCTTGGCCAAGTCCTGGCCGACAGTCCCCGAAACGACCAGGGTCAGCACATATCCGCCTTCAGCTCCGATCCAGTGAGACGCAAACAAGCACAATCTCCGTCCGAGTGGAAGCCGTTATATCAACCTACCAGAAGTGGTCTGCGCAGGCTATGGAGCATCTATCTCGAAAACGTCGACCCTATCATAAGAGTGATTCATAGACCGACGGTGAAACGGGTCATTGATCAAGCGGTTTTCGATGGCGGCGTCACTGGCAAAGGATGGAATGCGCTTGTGCTCGCAATTAGTTTTGCTGCTGTCGCCAGTCTCGCACCAGAAGATAAAACAGGAGTGATTGGGAATGATACCGAAGCGCTGTACGTATCTTACAAGGCCGCCACCGAACAAGCCCTCAAAGATGCCAACTTCATCGAAACCCATGACCTGCAAGTCCTGCAGGCTTTTGTCATTCTACTGGTCAGTGATCATCCTGTCACATGAGTTTATACTCACATGGTAATGCAGAGCTGCGTAAGAAGGCATAACACCCGGTCCGTGCTCACACTTACAGGCCTCGCTCTCAGTATTGCCAGAGCCATGGGACTGCACAGAGATGGCAGTCACTTTAACTTCTCCCTCTTTGAGATTGAGATGCGCCGCCGGATCTGGTGGCAGATTTGTATGCTTGACTATAGGGCCTCTGAGGACCACGGTTGTGACGCCAGTATATTACCCGTATCATTTGACACAGAATTACCGTTGAACATAAACGACGCCGACATACACCCCGACAGCTCAGAGATATCTGCGAGACCCGGCTGCAGCGAAATGACGTTTGCACTGATTCGTTTCGAGAGCTGGGTGACTCACGCTGCTTTGACTTCTTCGACCGACATGCCCATTCTCTCAAGAATGGTGGAGCGAGAAGACAAAGACATGATTCTGCAAACCTTTGAAAAGACTTTGAGGGACCGGTATCTCGATGCTTGCGAGCGTGAGCTATCAGAACCCTTGAATCGATGGTGTTCCATGGTTGGAAACGTCCTCACGGCGAAACTGAGGATTGTTACCGATCACCCTGTCCAGTACACGGCTACGGACCAGGACTCGACAGTTGTATGCGACGAGACCAAGGCACAATTTGTCAACGCGCTCGACATCCTCACTCTCCATGAAAGGGTGAAGCTCGATCCCGGGTTGGCTTGCTGGCAATGGTACTTTTCCGTTCACACGCAGTGGCACGTCACGGTGTTGGTCCTACGAACCCTATGTGTCTGGACGGAGGGCGACGAGGTCGAGAGAGCATGGGAGATCATCGACCGCCTTTTCTCCTCACAGACAGACCCAAAGTCAGCCAATATGTGGAAGCCACTAGGGCGCTTGAAAGAGTACGCGGCCAAGGCCCGGGCAGAGCGTCAAGGTGAGCAGTCTAAGGGCGCGGGATTATCCGATGATATTGTTGATCTCGACCTTTTTATGGGTTCATGGGACCCTTCTTCAGAGGTAGATCTCAGATGGTACGACAGCGGATCTTTAGAGACTTGGTTCTCTAGTACTTGAAAAACACAGGGTTTATGTTTGAATATTAGTAGATGATTGCGTATATCTATACAAACGTGACAATGCTATAATGGACATTGGTAGGAATCCACACCTTTTTCTACTTCTATCCATTTATGACAGTGGCATTGACCGGGAAGAACAGTGTGTCAATTTCTACGACCTCGACACCTACCTAGGGTCTCTCGTTCTCTTCTCCTCCACCAGCACCTTAAACAGATCCCATTACCACAACTTCAACACGGCAGCAGTCTTTTGGCTCAATAAACTTGACGGCAATACTACGGAAGCAGGTGTTGCCGTGGTCACTCGCAAGCCAGGACCTAGCTCATTATAGTGCTCGTCGATTTACTCGAGACTTAGGTGAGTAGTTTCTGGGAGAAAAAGAAAGCACCCGACGTAAAGGATGATGGACAACGGTGGTATTCGTCGAGTAAAAAGGGATTATTCTCTAGCCTGATAGGTGCGGTGTTGCAGCCGCTTTTATATAAATGAGTCGTGTTGATCAACCGAGCCCAGCGATAAGGGATCTCCAAACCACACAACCTGTCATGCATGTAACCTGCCACGGCTGATAGTATATCTACTAGACCACTCAAGTCTACTCGTGAATAGTCACGGGATTCTACTTAGTCATTTTGGTGGGCAATCCCAAAGGGTTTAGAGTGGTTCCTAACAGAGAGTGGGATGTCACCGAATCTGACTTGCATGTGATGAACGATGATTGATTGTTGGGACGATTCGCTAATATCACTTGAACCAGTGAGAAGAGGTTCACAGTACCCCATTGGGAATACTTAAAAATATAGCATCTTCAACGCGTATCTCATTTACGAGACCCCGTTCTGAAGAAGGTATTACACTACGGAGTATCTCAACTACTTACTGCCAAGACCAAAGAGTCAAGCCAAGTCCGTGGCTGATAAGATGTCATTCTCCTTAAACAGTCTCCATCTCCCAATCTTTGCTTCAAATTCCACTTTATTGATGGAGAGGTGACTTCGGCATGTTATACTCGTTACGTTTGGGAGGAAATTGATCACGGTCTATCCAGACTTATACCAAACCTGGACCTGCCAATCAGTGCATCAATACACCCCATATTAAGCTATATCAACCCCCTCATCCTCATACTCATACTCATACTCCTTTAACAATGGCGACCGAAACAGATACCAGAAAGACCGTTCTCATCACAGGTTGTGCAGCTGGAGGAATCGGTCATTCTCTTGCTCTTTCGTTCCACAAACGCGGTTTCAGAGTCTTTGCCACTGCCAGGTCACTGCAGCAACTGACAGCTCTGGCCGAGCAAGGAATCGAGACACTGGTCTTGGTTGTTGATGACGATGAGTCGATTCTGAAGATGGTCAAGACCATAGAGAATTTGACGGGTGGCCGTGGGCTTGATTTCCTCGTCAATAATGCAGGTATGTGTCTCGATGAAAGGACAGACTGGAAGATAAGTCTAGATATGGACAGAAAAGAAACCATTGCCGTTGCTAACCTATTCTTCCCCTCACAGGTGTCAATTACACCATGCCCGCCCTCGACATCAACCTCTCGGAAGCCCAGAAAGTCTTCAACATCAACGTCTTCGCCGTGATGCGACTCTGCCAAGTCTTCGCACCCCAACTCATCCAGGCTCAAGGCACGATCGTCATGATCGGGAGTATAGCCGGGGTCATGCCCTACGTATTCGGCAGCGTCTACAACGCATCCAAAGCCGCACTCCACGCCTACTCCAACACATTGAGGGTAGAACTAGCTCCATTCAACGTCAAAGTCATCAACATTGTCACTGGCGGCGTCAAATCCCGTCTTCCATACCATGTGGAACGATATTTGCCGTCGACTAGTGTCTATGGACCGCTGGAGAAGAATTACATGCGTCGCCAGACGCATTCACAGGAAGGGGCTATGACTAATGAGTCTTATGCAGAAAGCGTGGTTGCGCAGATTGTTCCCGGTGCGGGACCTTGGCCGTGGAGGTGGTTGATGCGTGATGCGAGGCGGAGATGGATTTGGGAGGGGAACATGAGTTGGGTGGTTTATTATGTGAGTGGATCGTTCACTTGGTCGGGGATTTTTGATTGGTATATGACCATGTTGTTCAAGTTGTCTTCGTTGGCGAAGAATAAGGAGAAGAAGAAGAATAGTGGGGGGTCTTGAGTGGGAGTCGGTATTGAGAGCACTCAGCTATCTACGCTCTTTCTTATCTTGTATATAATTTCGCTGTTGCGGCTCTCCCAGGTGGGATTGAGCATTTCGAGAAGTTCAACAGTATCGTTCTCCTGGTCAGCGGAGCGGGTCCTTCGTGAGGAGCTATCATCGAGTAGGTTGAAGGGATCTGAAGGCGTCTCGCACTCTACAACGTATTCTCTCCGATCTCCTGCTTATGCAGTGGAACACATTAACAACCATGACGCAGTCTCAAGTCAATAACAAGTCATAATGGCCCAGGCCAGAGTTATCAGTACTCCATGGCCGCTGGGGTCAGCGTCAAATCATCCAACGTCGAGACGGTCGTGCTCGAACGCTTCTTGTGCGCCAGGACCGGACTGTTCGATACACTGACGCGCTTGAAGCATAACCAGGTCGATGCGTACATGTTGACGCTGTTGTCCTTGTATGTCAGCAACGATTCTAATCTGATTGGGTCCGTATGGCATGGCAAGCTTACCGATCAATGCATTTCCCAGAATCTCGGCGACCGACGCATCGTGCCTCGAATCCGTTCTGTTCAAAGATGTCTGTATACCAAGGTCGAAGTGCAGCGGATCGGAAGAGTACTCGACCACCCAACTTCAAGACTTTGTTCAGTGCCACAATTTGTTCTCTCGCGGCAGGTTCTGACGGGTTGAACCAGTCCATTGAATCCATGAGCTAGTGGACAAGAGCGGTCAATAACCAGTCTCAGAAGAAGGGGATGGACGAGGTGCTTGTATACTGAATTGAATATACTTACAATCGCAATGGTCAAGGTTGAGGGAGTGATGCGGGCAATGACTTCCATGAACTCGTCTGTGTGGATACGCAGACCGTCAAATGTGTCCGGTTTCGAGAGTTTGGCGTATGCTTTGGGACCGAGATAACGAGGATGGCATCTGTGACGTTAATTTAGACTGCAATCCGTGACCACGATGGCTCTGGTCAGAGCAGGGGAAGAGAGCGACCCACTTTCTCGAGTACTTCGCTTGCAAACAGACATAGTAAAAATAGTTGTCGCGACTGAGCTGAGTCGTTTCCACCACGGGGTCCAATGTATCCACAACATATTGCCAAACGGCTTCGCCACACGCGGCTTTTGACTTGGGTTGCTGGGACTTCTTTGCAAAATCATCCAGGATGAGGGCATGTTGCGCAGGGGGCACTCCGGCGGCTTTCCAAGCCCACCATTCTGTCGAAACAACGAGACGATGGAGAGGCCAGCTGAGGAGCAGATTGCGTATCACTGGCCAGATCTCGCGCTGCTCGTTAAGAGTCTCCACGTTGCACAGTGTCTGGATCTTGCTACTCAGGCCAAAGAGTTTGACCAGTCGTCGGACGAGTTTGATGGCATGACGCGATCCTCCTGTCTCATAAAGTCCACCACCTTCGACGGAGAATACATGCGCCTTGTTCAGCCAGTACTGGAATGCTTGGCTAGACATGTGGGCGCTGAGTTTGTGCAAGAGGAGATTGCGGAAATCGGGGTGCTTGCCTTCAGCGAATAGCAGCCAGATATCTGTATATGGCAGTGCCGTAAAGGCGGCGACTTTGAGCTCAAGGAGATGGTTCTGATTGGGATTGAGGTCGACGGCGTGAACACGCTTTGGTTGTTCGAGAAGATAATCGAGAATGTTGTCACCAGCACTCGTGATGGTCAGGATAACATCGTCTTTGGTGATGTTGAGCAGCTGACGGTCGACTTTCGGGTCTTCCCAATTGAAAGCGTAGATGTATTCATTGCCAAATTGCTGGTGTTTCTGGAGTAGATCGTTGTAGTGAATGCGCCAGTGATGCTCCTGGTAGAACGCTGCGGGCAGTGGCAAGTTCGAGCTCAGATTGACAATGGCCGATTCGTACAGCTTGGATCGAGGAATATCTTCTTGGGCTAGCATGGTTTGCTGTTCTCGAAATTTCATTGGTGAAAGATAGGGCGATTCGGTCAATGAGGCGTCCAGCTTTTCCAAGACATTGTGGCCATCACCTGTCAATGAGCCCGTTTCTCGTCTGCGTCCAACGAAAATGTAATAGGGTATACTAAAGTAGAGGCACGTATTAGGGTCCGCAACATCGAGCTCAACAATTTCTCGTAAGGGAAAAGAGGAATCAACTCACCCGCCAAGCAAGTAATTGCGCTCGCTCACGGATAAAATGGTGCCGAAGCGATATTCGACGTAGTCTCGTCTGCCACCATCGAGATTTACTCGATCCGCGTCGAACCACGTCCTCCAGAACATCCTTCCAAGCCAATTGACATGGCGATTGAACGTCCCACCAATATAATTCCGAGAAGAAACATCCACAATACTCTGGACGTAAAAGTCGCAAATGCCAATAAGACCGGTAGGGGCGAGAAAGCCGGTTAACATGTCGACCACACTGTAAAAGTCTGGAATCATGGACAAACTGTAGCTCATGGTGATCAGATCTGCCGAGGCGGCTGAGCAGGCAATACTGCGGGCGTCTTGACAAAGGACAGTGACATTGGTCCAACCCTGCTTCCTCACACGTTCTCTTGCAATCTCGCACAGAGACGGCGAGAGGTCGACGAGAAAGACATGCTCAAAGGAAGACTCGATTCCAAGTATACTATCCATCACCTCGATGTTGTAGCCGGTGCCTCCACCGACATCGTACCATATCGGCTTCGGACCTTGTTTGGCACGGCTTGAAGCCTGCAGTTTGGCAGCCAAGATTGCGAGCATGTCTTCTCTGCCTTGAAGCAGGCGCTTCCGGGTCGCATCGTAGACATTCGCCTAGCAATCATGAGTGGGGTGGATTGAGATGTCTCCCTGACGTAAGTACCTGTGCGGCGTAAAAGCTCTCGAGAGCAGATTGTTGGCCCTCAGCTCGACCTGCCCGGTGCGGCTTGAGGAAGCTGGCATATGCAAAGCGCAAGTAAGGAGTGAGGAGAAAGTCATCCACTTTCAGCTGCGTTGCGATTCGGTACAAGCACAAGAACAGTGTTGCCACGAGTGCAACAGCACCGAACGCGATCAATGCGATCTCAGGGTGAAAAGGCTCCAATCTGCGCCATTCAGCGAGGGGAAGTGAAATCATGATGTCGAGCAAGTCAACCACGATTGTTGCTATGGACCTCAGCAATGTGAAAAGAAAGACTGGGATTGGAAAAGAGCCCAAGTCGGTCTCACGACCAGAAGTTGAAGTATTTGAGACCAAGATCTGAGCCGGAAGTTCGCGTGATTGGGATCATCCGTAGGACGCATAAGGGGCCGCCAGTCCAGCGAATCAACTGTGTGGCCAGAGCCATATGCATGGTTGAATGGCGACGGGTCGATTGCAGCAGCATTTCGGAGTCCAGTCATTGATTGGAACAGGAGTATAGTCAGGTGGAAAAAGTCAGAGATCGGAAAATGTCATTCATGTCTGATGGGAAGAAGCATGAGGGCAGAGCACGACGGTTCTCGTCGATGGAAGATGGCATGTCGTGTAGGAGCCAATCAGAGCGACAATCGAACCGCGTGCATCAAAGGGCTTGGCCGCGATGACTTTCTGTGCTGAAGTAACGGGTCCGACCGTCTCGAACAATGTTGGATCTCCGGCACACGTGCTCCGCTAGCTGTCGAAAGGGTGTCCAGATGGTTCGTTAATTCACGTCCACGTGGATCATTCTTTCAAGGATTTCAGTGCATGTCATAGATATCACTTGCAGATCAAGTGGGTGAAATGTCGTCACGTGCCTGGCCTCGCAATTTGGCGAAACGAGCAGCCGCCTGCTCACGTGACCTTGTTGCCCTCAACATATAGTCCTGTGGGTTGACCTGAATGTCTGAGGCCGCCATAGAACCTACATCACTCAGCTGATCATCCGGTGCTGGGAAAACACCACAGGTTTCGTAGAGATCGGCAATCCACAGATCTACCATGGCACGCAGTCTGATCAACTCTGGCTCATCCATGTACGGCAAGGTACTCATGCAGTCGTCCATCTTTGATGCAATTTCGCTCGCTTGTTCCAGTTCCCCCAGCTTTGTGGCTAAGTCATGGTCCCTAGACTCGAGTTCGCGGCGTTCTGGTGATACCCACACCTCGTTCTCGGCACATACTGCGTAGATCCAGATGTTGAACATGGCCAGGTAGAAGTCGACGGCGTTGACAGACTCGGGCCAAGACTTGTGATAGGGATGGCGAACAATCAGAGTTTGATAGAGTTGCTTTGCCTTGTCCAGTCCGTATCGAGAGATCTGGGCCGAGTTTACGCTGCTTTGCTGTTTTTGCGATGGTACGTCACGAAGGAGCACCTCAGCAGCGATGCCCATGAATCCTTTGTTTCGCACAGCAGCACTGCGGGCAACGGTGCTGTCTCGAAACATCAAACCCAAAGCCCGCGATGCTCGACGGTAGTCCTGTGCCAGGATACTGACATGGACAATGGACGTCAGGGTGGCTAGGTGTTGTAGATGTAGCGATCTTGGAACGCCCGTCCGATCTCGACCTCTTGGTGTCGAGGTCGAGTGCTTAGGGGTTAACTGTGAGTGTGGAAAGGGAGGATCCGGAAATGGTTGGTCAAGGGGATGACCGGCCACACGTCTTTGAACACGCTCTAGAGGTGTTACAATAGCGGTGTATTCCTTTGACGGACTTTGATGTGAAGTGTGAGACGGGGACAGTGCGGCATCCTGGTCCTCATCATAATGGCCCTGGTCAGTCCTCTTACGTTTCGCAGCCTGTGACTGGGGGGTCTGGGAGAGAGGCGCCGGATGAGCTAGGTTGACAGGAAGGCAGAAGATAGACATGAGAACGAGTTGGGCTCGCCAGTATCTAAGATTGAAGCAATCACACGTACGGAGTAGTGTTGTGTTTCCCTGCTTGATCGGCCTAATTGTGGTCTAACTGCGAGGCTGCGCTTGCTTTCCGGGGGAGATCAACAGCGAAGATTGCTGGATAGGATGGAAGGGATTCCATGGAACGCTAGCAACAGTAGCCGAGTATCAGGTTGGAACGATGTTAGGTTATCATCGGGCGTTGTTCACTGTGACTGTCGGGCTTGGTTGAGTAACCGGAGTATTTGTTTCAGAAGCTTTGTTGGTTGATCATGAGACAAATGTTGGTGTCTGCCTACTGTGATGGTCTTTGGTTCGCATCGAGTTTGCAGGTTAAACTGTGCGACTTGGATTCTGAGTCCCAGGGGATTGAATTGAGGATGAGTTTGATGAGAGTAGTGGAACCAACAACGAACATGATTGGAACGGCAAACAATGTTGCTTAGAGCTTGTAAGCTTTGTAGCACGAGATTTTAGTGGAGTGGACACAACTGCAGGTTCTTGCTTACCTAGGTACGGAGCCCCGTCGGCCTCTAAGTGTGCAGAATTTCGCATATCTGGAGCCTAACTTGCTTAAGTAGAATGATTATCCTATCGCCTAAGGGAAGGGCCGAGGGGGCTTGAGATCTCCTGCGGGTATCTGGAAGCCTAATAATGAGGGAGATTTATCGAAAGCTCAAGGCGCCATTGACAAAGGCCATAAAGTGTGTGTGTGTGAATGCCGCATTTATACTACACCTACAAGTATGTAGATTATGATAATCTTGCCCGTGAAAACTGTGTTTCTTTCAGGTTTCCAAGAAGGTTGTTGTCGTTTACGTTAAAACCAGGTTTGGCCTCCGAATACCAATGCCCAAAGAGCCGCCCAGCTTGTGCCCTCGGCGCATTTCGAAGCCAAGCACTCCAGAGGCACACGCCTACGGATGCCTAGAATGCCCCCGGAAGCACTCCTTGGTTGACTTGGTCGGTGCCCTTTGGCACGCGTTATTAGCCAAATAGTTGGTGGATCTGTGTATGGCTTTTCAGTAGTGTAGGCTGCCACTACGGACTGCCTGCGCTTGGACTGGTGGGTTTCCAGGCTGCCGAATCTGGTAAAGATGCGGCCTTTCGATGTCCAGCTGACGTTTTCGTTCTCACTAAAGCGACTTGCAACCTGCGCACCGACATTGACACCAACGGCAAACTATGAATGGGTGAAAGGGTACCTAATTAGCTGCTGCGAAGTACGGAGTACTGTGACCACCAACTGACCAACAATATTGCCTGCGTGACCACTAACCTAACCTACTTCGCAGCAAGAAGCCAGACTGACTTCACTGCCTCACAACAATCCTCATTCACTGTCCAACAATCTAACAATCCAAACACCTGCACATCGTCGACGGGCCAACATTTCATCTTATCCATTTCTACGCATTTGTTCATCGCTCACATTACTTGTCCTTCTTTTGTTGCTGCGGCTTCGAACACCATCACGATCACAACCACCGTATCTTTAACAATCTTCCAACCATCCTCTCAACCACTCGCACCTCATCTCCGCCCGAAAGCGCCTGCACAAGATCCAGTCCCTCGCTTACTGAAATTGAACGATTCTACCTTGACAATCCCATCCTCTACACTGCGATCACCGCCACCGCCACCCCGATCCCATATTCTCTCTCACACGCCTACTCCTGCTTTGCGTCATCAAAGCCTGCGCCAACACCTCATTCTTCACTACGAGAAGGTGTACATCGCCACACCCTGTGAGGACATGCGACCTCGATAGTCATCTCGATCGAGCCCTCGGCTTCTTGAGCCCAACATGGGAAACAACTCCTCAGTGCCTCGTGCTCAACCTGACGATGGACAACTCGAAGAGCTCACACACCAAAATACTGACACATTGTCCGCCGATCCTGATGTAGGCTCTCGTGGGAGGACTTCGCGGCTGGCCCGACGAAACACTCAGTCTCTCCGTGCAGTAGGCCAGCGAGCCAGCATCTTCTATGACACATTTCGACGTCAACGTCCCCACGATACATCGAACGTTGGTATTCTCGATCCCCAGGCCCCATTGCGGCCCTCCGCCGACACCGAATTTGAGCAAGAGAACAGACCTCTGGTTGGGTCCCAACTTCCAGACTCTAACATTTCCCTCACTGTCACCCCTCAAACGACTTCTCGCAGGCGTTCCACAATCTCAAGACTAGCATTGAGAGTGCTTCCTGAGCCAATCGGCCGATTACGCGGTAGTCCTTTGGGCAGTGACACTGTCGAGGAGAACACCTTGCATCACCCCGCTGACTCTGTCTTGTCACTACGCAGCACTCAATACCCCGGACATCATAATATTTCAACCAGCAGACTATCACTTATGGCTCAAGATTCAAGACAGGAAGATTTGGACATTCCGAATGATGATCTGGCCGCTTTCCAGCGTAGTTATCAACATCCTTCAGATCCCTCAGCCTCAGAGCCCTCCTCTTTTGATGGAATGCGAGAAGTTTCAAACCAAACCTCGTTTCCGCTTCGATCTCGAAACAGATTTGGCCGAGCCCGCGCTTCGATTTCCTTGTCTTCCCGCATTTCAAGCCTCCTTGGCCGCACATCTGAGCAGTTCCAGTCCAGCCAGAATTCGCGAGACTCTACTACCCGCACTACTCGAGTCGCTTTCGCAGATGATTCAGATCGACTTCTTTCTCCTTCGGAACACCGTCGCGACCCTGACGACCAACCCCACGAACTCGACGCTGTTGAAGCAGAGACCAGAACAGGCCTCTCTAACCCACGAGTCACATCTGGCATGAGCACTATTCGAAGGTTCCAACCCGGACTTCGGTCTCGGTCGACTCGTCTTATTCGACGAGGAGAGCACCCTCCCCTGTCTCAAGTCCTTCAATTGGCAGCTGCCGCCATAGCTGCCCAATTGTCGGGCCACGGGCCAGGACCCCACGCTGGCACACGTGCTCCAGGCAGCGAAACTTTCGATGGAAGTATACAAAACTTTGTTCAGACTCTCCAGGACGCCGCGACTGCACAAGCTGGCGAGAACATTGACATCAGCTCTACAGATGGCGATCTTCCTCCGGTGAATTTTATGAGAGTCTTCCAATTTCCCAACGATGAAAATGGTTCCCCGATAGCGTCGCAGGCACAGTCCCGGGACGTTGGCCAAGCTGATCTGGACAACATCACCGGGCCTGACGAGACTGATCGATCCGTGACATTGGTTTTGGTAGGCGTGAGATCTCTGCCCCATGGCCAAGATGCAAGCAATGGCGAGAATGGGTCACTAGGCCCTAGCCTCGACACTCTTCTGAGCTTGCCCTTCCTCCCTCCAGCCAACGTCTTGAGAAATGGAAGTTCAGGAGCTCTTTTCCGCCGGTCAGATGCGGGAGCAAGACGATCGCATGCCCGTCGGCACTCGATGACCAATTACAGTTTCCCCTCACAATATGACAGCCAGCGTCACCAACGTACACGAAATTCAGTCGGGCGATCCTCTTCCAGCGCAGATCCTTCAGCGCTAACGGCGTCGGAGTCCAATCCTACGACTTCACACGTATCAGAAAGCCCGCCAGGACCAAATCCCCCTCCTTCCACGCCTGCAGATATTAGGAGTGGACAAGTGTCACCCGCTCGCCGCCCGTCGTCGGCATCGGCCGCGAATCGACCCCAGCTGCATGAAGCCGAAGAGGGACATTATCAGGCTCGAGAGCCAGCAATGCCAGATACGTCTTTCAACGCCGCACGGCAGAGAAGACGAAGTGACTCCGAGTTTGCACGCCGTCCAGAACTGGGATCCGGTGCAGCGCGCCGCAATGGGATGGTGGAGCCAGATCATCCCCCTGCTGGAGTTGGGCGAAGTTGGCTCATTTACGTTGTCGGCACCAATGTCTCGCCTGACCATCCGGCGTTCACTATGCCCAGTCTTTTCACCGATAATCCATCATACGAAGATATGCAAATGCTGTCGACGCTTCTCGGACCGGTGAAGCCTCCCGTCGCTAGTGAGGATGATGTCAATGCATCTGGCGGATTGTTTCTACTCGAAGACCGTGACGGAGTACTGATGGGGCAAGAAATCTCGGGCGTTCAGGGAGAGACTCTTACGATCGGGGTAGGGGAGCGATGTTTGATTTGTCTTTCAGAGTTTGTGGTCGCAGAGGAAATTCGTCGTCTTGCAAAATGTTCGCATTCGTATCATCGCGAATGCATTGATGAGGTAAGAGTATATCCCAAAGGATTGACAACGGAAGCTAACTTGAGAGTAGTGGCTTACGACAGGTCGCAACAGCTGTCCCATGTGCCGAGGCCAAGGCGTGCAGGAGCAAAGCGCGCAGACGACTCAAGCGACACGAGGCAATTGATCAGGAGTACGGGTAAAGTGGTTACAGCGAGGTAACCGTGTGAGGAGCTACAGGGCATGTTTTTTTGTGTGCATCATCACCATGAGCCGCAACGATCTTGGTTGACCATTATTGACGGCGAGAGAATAAGACACGATGGACTGTGCGATACGACACAGAAGAAACGACTTCCAGGATGACACGAACTTGTTCAACGACTTTTTGCTTTATTGGAAAGGGAGCCAATCAGGCGTCAGATGGATAGGGATTGAATTGCGAATGCAAATGCGAATGCAAATTCAATGCGCGGCACTGTACGGTCGACTAATATTTGCTGGCCAATGAATGACTTTGGGCAGACATTGAATCTCTTCTTTTCTTGTTGTGATGCGATTTTTACATACCCCGTCAGTTGTTCTGCTACCAGCTTAGCTTTGGAATGTATATCTTTTCAACTGATGTCTACAGTCTTTTTGTGTCCGAGTTGGAGAGATGTTTGTGAGAATGAGAAACCCGGACGATGAGGATCTGTGCACACGGGTTTGCCCGGATGGGATGATAGGGGATGGATGACGGCTAGTGTCGGTATCTACAACCAACTCGTGATCGTTGCATCTGGCTTGTCTGGCCGACGCTGTCGGTACTGGAACCCGGATGTGCCATGTTCTTACCGTTGGGAGATCATGAGCATGTAGTGGCTGGCTGGCTGGCTCGACAAATGGAGGGTAGTATGTTGGCTACGACCGTAAGATTGTGGGAGGGCCATATTGTAAAAGTGGTTAGATCGGTCGCCGTTTCCGGTTTATGCGCAGTGGACGGGGGAAGGAAGGATGTGTGTGACCTCCTGACCACCTGGCATCAAGTAACAGGCATTATTCATTGTGAGGAGGAGAAAATGGTTTAGGTAACCAACATGGATACGGACATATTTACCAGCTTGCGGCGGTTGCATAAGACATCAGACAACCTCGACATACCTCGAGTCCCGAGTAATGACCGGTGAGGGAAACGGGTAATGGGAGGGAAGCAAGAAGCTTGGTGTGTGACATGTCTCTTGTCTCGTATAAAGTATGCCAGGAACATACCTATGGAGATACCTGCATCGCCATCTGCATCATTGTCGTTGTAATCGTATCGTGTGTGTGCGCGTGGGGTAGGGTACACTGTGTGACTGTATAGTACTGTACTGTAGCGCAGTGTGGGATTCTTAGTGTTTACTAATACTGAAACTCGACGTTCTTGATGAAATGAAACATGCATCAGAAGTTTCGAATTGGAAATTCCCCTGATGAGTACTCGTAGGTACTTTGCTCTGCAGCAAAATACACCAGCCGGCTACAACGGCCACGGCCTGCCTGTGCCCAGGCAAGCTACAGGTGTAGAGCCGCGTGGCTGCACGTTGCCGCCTTGGGCAGGGAGACTGGGCCGTGGCCGTGGCCGAACTGCCGTGACTATTCTGAATGCAGCCTGAACAAATTCATGATCGACGGTAGATTTTAGTTGAGAGCAGCCTTGGTCGGTGGTTATTTCAAGTTAATTTGGCTCGCATTCGTCTCCTGAAGCGTGAAGTGTCAAGTCAAGCTTTGAGTCGAGTGCGGCGTTAGAAGCTGTCTGACTGACTGTCTGTGTACCTCCTTCCTTACCTGCGACGCCGCGCTCACCTGCCTTAGGAACCTCAGGCATGCTGGATGTGCTATTGAACAAACATGCACTCTCACTACCACCAACGGCGATGAAGAACGGTCGTCTAAGCCTACAGCATCTGTCCAGACTTGGTGGTGGTTGAGGCGTTGCACTTCTGCAGCTAACCTATGCATAGACTTAGTTGGGTAGTTTTAGGCTGATGATCACCCGACGGCTGACCCCCGGTCTTTGCACATGGTTTCGAGAAAAATGGATGGTCCGGTAGTCCCAAGCCTCTCGAACCGTTGTGACTACTTAACATAGAGCCGTTGATTCGAGCAATACGTTTTCCCGCCGCAGTCAGCAGGGGTAGACTGCGGCAGCAACGGCATCATATCGTAAGTCTCCAAGATGTCTGTCTGCCTTAGGGTGACTTGACTAGGAAATTGCAAGAACTTTGATTGCACCCATCTCATCCAATTTCTGATCGTGGCATCGTATCAGGACCACAAGGGGGGAGGTTCGTTAATGGTCAGAAAGAAGGCGATCTCGCACTATGCACCAGGTTTGAGTTGGGATTCTGCAGGATTGTGAACCGAGGCTCAATACCGACGTACATCACAGATCTGGATCAATCATGTCCCCAGTTACATCCGGGTGGCGGACGGGCGGGCAGCGGCGGTGGCGGCGGCGGGAGTCACAGTAACGATAGCCAGTGTGCAAGATGGACAGGAAGAAGTCAGATGCTATCGTTCGAAGCTTTTATTCTCCATCGGGAAAGATGGAAGGTGCTGCGTGTTCAATGGAGTTTAGAATGGCAGTCGCATTGCCTTGCCTCGCCAGTTGCAATTTCCACGAGACTAAGTTGAGCATGTTGAAGTCGAGAGCAAGTCGAAAACAGGGTCCTGGAAAAAGAAAAACGTGGTCTGCAGAGTCCACACAGATTGATGTTGGTTTCCATCCACTGTCACTGTCAACCAAGATGCCATAGATGCACATGTCTCCAACGAGACGATTGTACTGACAGCATCAATGATGGACGGCACAACACCAGAGGACGCTACTACGGAGTAGAGATGTGTCAAAGGCATACCCATAACGTCTGCGCACCCCTAGCTTGCCAGCGCCTCGGGTTTTTAGGCCGTGGTGGGGAATTTGATCTGCAACAAGGGTCGTTAGACTTTTGTAGAGGAGGCCATTTTGATATGTTTGATGCCTAGTGGTAATACATACTCCGTAATGCACACCAGGACGCCGAGACCCGACTGAATCGACTGGTGTCCATTGGTACAGTACCTGTGGTGCCGTCCTTAAGGAGAGCGCCTCCCATTACATTGGGGGCAAAAATCGTCTTGACTAAACTGGTTAGGGAGTCATGGAAGACTGTGGGTAGGGGTGCCTAATTTAGACAGGCCCACCTAGCTTAGGGCGTGGGCGATGGGCGTCCGGGCCCACCGCCCTGCTCGATTTGAACAATGAACCAAGATCCCACCAAGCTGCGAAAAGGCCACCTTGGCAACCGTGGCACCAGTAGCACTCTAGCTGCAAACAGTCCAGTCATGTATGTACGGAGTAAACAGGCACTCAAGTCAGTCGGCCAACGACAAGCTGGCCGCATATGCGTAAAGTTGACTAGGAGTCTAGTGGTAGCTTTGGAGTGACAAATCGCCGATGCAGTTGCCAACGGCGTCGGCCAACGGCGTCGGACGAGATTCCTCATCGGGCTCGCAACATGCCACCTCCACCAATACACCTACTTATTGACCTCAGATCCAAAAGCCACAACAAAACGGCGCTGCAGTTGTCGAATCCAAGGGTTCTAGCAAATTGACACCCTGTCGACAAAGCTCGCCCATCCTCTTTTTCCTCGTAATTCCACGTTGTTCTCGCCCAGCCTGCGGTATTTTCCAGCTAAACAGCAACTCAATCAGCTCTGGGAAATACACAGATGGGCACGCGTTGAATGATGGATATGCGGGGGTTCGTAGGGGAAGACAATTGTAAATTCCGAGGGCCAAGGGAATCGACTTGTTCCGTCCCTAGGACTCGTCTGTGAGAGATGCGTTTGATGGCACGACACGGAGTATGCTCCCCGCGGCGCACCGTACAGATCCAAGGATTGATTGTGGGAAAGACGAAACGACTTTCCTTTTTCTCATCCTTCGTCCTGTAGCGCAAACTTCAAAGCATACGAGGGTGCGTATTGTGGGAAAGGTGCCGACTTGACAGTGAAGGGTCCACTGGGTGCAAGTTGGTGATGGGGCAGACTGGTGGCTGCATGTTGCCCATGTGTGCCAAGGTGACTTGTTAAGCTCCACCATGACCATGCCACACATGCCTAAGCCAGAATGGTCAGCTAGGAGTGAGATCCAAATTGTCTTGTGCATTGCATCGAAGACATACTTGTTACCGGATAAAGAACACAGACATACTCCGTACGGCTGATAGGTACGGATAGGTGTGGAAGACGGGAAAGTTCCGACTGATGATCCAAGCTTGAGGAATGTGCAATGGAATTGGTGTTTGCGCCCAACAAGCCTTCAACACCTTTTTTGACAGATGTCCACAGATACTGGGAGCCAGTTACCCAATTAGCGGCCGCATGATCGTACCTGACTCTGCTGGGTGTCTTGCTGGGGGCCTGCCTGTTGGTGTTGGGGACCTGCCTCTCTACAGGGTATCGGTGCAGGCATAAGCAGAGGACGCGGGCTTATGGCATGCCTGTAAGCTGCCCACCGCAGCTACAAATAATAGTCCCAAGTCACTACACGGAATAGAGTGCAGTCTTTCCCCACCTGCACCCAACGTCTCGTCCCCAGAGTCGCTGGTTGCAAGCCACTGATACAAACAGTCCACTCGTGCCAGGCAGACACGCACGTCGGCCGCTACGGAATAGTACTGCATCGCAAAGTCAATCCACTGCAGAACGTGGCTCCCAGATACCTAGTCATACATACTCCGTCTACATGTAATGATTTTTAAAGTGCAGACGGAGTAGGCATAGCAGGCCTGAGCCTTCGGCCTCGACTGGTTAAACTCAAAATCAGTGCCCTGATCCTTGGGCTGGTGGATGTGATGTTTTCGAATCCCAAGTGGGGAGAAAATTGCTGCTCATTTGACTCTGATTTATGCACCAACTTGAGATCATTCTACGATACCCGACCATGTACTAGCCTTGGTGTCGCATGCGAGCTGATGCGACCTGCAAGATCGAGCCAGATCGTAAGATGGACGTTTGGGGGCGAGATTCAACGGCAATGCAAACTTTGGTTTCGCAACTACAAAGTTTCGACCACAGCATAGGCCAGAGCCCGATATACGTACTCCGTACTTGTAGTCAAGAGAACACCGGTCTTGGGCATTACTCAATACTCGAGAGCTAAGATTGCCGGAGTTAGCTAGTCATCTTAATCCTAGTAGGCGTTTGCCCCAGTGATGCGGACCAAAGACAGATCTAATGATAAGTAGAACAAAGTAGGTTAATATGTGTTTATTATTGACAGTACGGAGTACGGAGTTACTCCGTAAACATAAGGGATCTGTGAATAAGACCAGCTAGGACCCCCCACAGACAGTTGGTCCAACAACCATGTCCCATGCTGTAGCCCAGCATCTGGAAAGGGACAGGAGACGATCGTATTTACTTTTGAGTGGAATCTGGCTTGGGAGGAAGATGAACCTGGCTGCCTGGGTGGTCACAGGCTCACAGCGACCTTTCAACCCAATGACCGCGGTCCGTCCCAGGCAAAGCCTTGGGTTTGTGATTGAAGAGACGGGAACCATAATTCAAAATTACCTACGGAGTACTTGATGATGACGATATCGGTGGACAACCCCTACCAGTCCCCCCTGTCTACTCCGTCAGTTCCGTATTGTTGGTCGTGAAGTTGATTCCTGCACGACCTCCCACGCTCGTGCCCTGGACGAGAATCTACTCCAATTTATTACTGTTTGCAAACCAGATTGTTAGTGACCCTTTGAACAGGTAGAGCGGGCCCATATGAGCGCAAGTCAGAACAAATGCACCACTACGCTCCACCAATTCCCTCCCTTGCCCAAATGCAAACTAACCCACTTGCCCCAGGCACTAGCCCAAAGTCGGGCATTGGAACATACGAGCCCAATCCCAATCGCAATTAGAGACTAACCTAACTACCTGACCTACCTGAAGCACCGTGCGGCCATGGCCCCCCGAGGCAGTTGCCCCCCAGTGCCCCCATTGGCCCGAGGGGCCACCTTGAACGTTGCTTCGTACCGGAGCTTTCCATCAGACAGGTTATGATGGTGGCTACTCCGTACTAAGTAGTCCCATCTGCCCCAGATGATCGCCTCAGGCGGCATCTACTGTACCAGCCAAAACTGCATCTGCAGGATGCGTACGCGTATAGTCGTGTATGCGTGGCGTATTTGTCTCGATCTTTGCCCGTCTCTCCCATGTTGCTCTATCGAGATTCGATTGGACAAAGCGCCAATCCATCACCAGTTCTGTTATTCAATATTAATCCCATCTTACTTGTCCTCGACCAACAACCATAGTATAGTGTAATGAGGTAGATAGCTGTTCCGACCGGCTTAGGGAGGACGATAGGGATGCGTAGATGGAATGGAGGTTCGTGAGGTTACAGCCTTGGGCTCCGATCGAGTGATTTCGATCGACCTGGTCACCCTGGTATGGGACCCCTGGTGATCTACGGCAGCCTTTGCCGCCGTCCGCGCTGGCTTGCGAGAGTTTTCCTGAAGAGCCACAAGAACAAAGACGCCCGTGACGGTAAGAAAGCTGCTGCACTGGCACCTGGCATGACTGGCTGGCCGTCAATCAATAATCACGGAACCACTGGCATCCAGACTGGGGTGCTTGTGCGTGGTGGACCGTGGCAGCGTGGATACTGAAAAGAGAAGCCTGTGCAGGACCAGTTGGCCCTTGCCAGGCGTGCCAGGTTCCTGGTTGGTGCCTTGCTCCCAGGGTCATCAGCATGCCACGACCTTTGGCAGTTGCTGGCCCCGGGTTGTCTCCACACACGATTCACCCGTTCGTTCGTCCGCCCATGCAGCCATCAAGCCAGTCCAGCCAGTGTCCTTTTTCAGTGTACTTTTTTAACTAAACCTGCTTAAGTCTTAACCCTACCATCCATCCCATTGCCCACCCAGGCTGCCAGGTTTGCCAGGCCTGCCAGGTACTATCGGTCCATTTACCTTACTCACGCAGGTTTCGGTACAAGACAGACTAGTTGGCACTCAGATTGTTTTCTCTGTCACCAGCCCAAGGAAAATCAAAAATCAAAAAAAAAGAAACCGAGAGGTCCTCGTGCCTCTCTGCCTTGCCTCCGTGTCTCCTCTCTTCTCACTCTCTTATTTGGTACCTCTAGTACCTACTCCGTAGTAGTAGTGTTTCGGCCGATTCGATTTCATCCTCGTCGCATCTTTTACTCCAGGCAGGCCAGGCCATACAACACCATACACTTTGGGTCGGGGCGCCGGGCTCAATCTTGTATCCGCGGTGCAAGTTCCAAGTTCCAAGTGCCAACCACTACTACTTTGAATCTTTGACCCACGATCTCTTTTACAAAACCCAATCCCAACCCCCAACCCCAATCCCATATCGACAGCTTTCGCCACTTGCGTCGACCACGGCCATATCCAACGACGTCCTGCTCCACCCGCCTGGTCAAAGTCCGACTCAAACCCTGTGCTCCATCACCATCCATCTGTAAAGCGGGGCTTTTGCCAATTTTTAGATAAGCCCAGAGCCTTTCACTTCCGGTACCATCTATCTGGACCCTCGTTTTTCACCATCGGCCGTTCTGTTCTCAACACCTCCACCACCTCTCATCCTTTGTCCATGAACCTTTACTTGCCACCGACCCTCTTTCTCCCGACAACAACTCTCTGCAGCCCCATTGTTATTGTCAACATTCAGCCTTTGCATCCTGCCCAAGCCTTCCACTGTCCTCCACATGGTTTGGTTGTAAAGTCAATCTCTCCAGCGTCTTAACATTTACTGTCCGACTTTCAGTGCCATTAAACCTTCTCAGTGATCAACCGATCTTTCACCTTGATGCGTAACCCTGTCATCCAAACAGAAATCGCACACATTGCCTCTCTTGGGACCCAACCCCTCCGAGACCTTTCCCTTACTCTTTCCATCTGATGACATTGGCTGCCAAACAATCAGGATAAGATATTACGGTTCCTACAGCTCCTGCCTTAGGCTGGCCTTCATCCCAGCGCCTCCACCACAATCACAACATCAACACCATTAGCACCGTGTTATCCTGCGTCGGCCCGCCAAATCACAACGGCACCCCGAAAATCAGGATACCCTGAAATCTCGGAGATTGTCGTCAGCCCATCCTCGAAACTGAAGTGCCGGTACCCTTGCGTACACTTCCAGCTATCGGGGCTGTGGTGAAACGTATCCCCTGTGGCGGCCATGAATGGAATGTATGACCATGGCATCAATATGCCAGAACAGCCGTATCCCAATATGATGGAGCAGAGTTACCCCATCTACGATGGCGGTTTCAACGCTCCATACCCCCGCCTTTCCGGCCCTGCCACTCACTTCGATGGCGTCGCTTTTTGGTATAATCCAACCAACAATGATCAAATGTACGAGCGAGATCCGAACATCTTTGCAAGTCGAGGTGCCATCACCCCAAATGCCATGGACTCTGCATCTATCAAACATCGAAGGACCCGGAGCGGCTGTTTTACCTGCCGGAGTCGGCGAGTCAAGGTGAGGAGACAAATGAAATCGGATGATTTGAAACTTTGTTGACCTTGAGGCACAGTGCGATGAGACAAGACCCATATGTGATAGTATGTCTTTGGTATTTCACCTGTTCCGCTCCTGCTAACTATAGCATTAGGATGTAAAAAGGGTGGCCGTGAATGTGAATTCCCTCAGACAAACTCGTCTTCGAAACGTTCACGACAAGGCGAAGGTCGAAGCCCCAAAGACCAACAGGGGAAGCACGAAGCTAAATCGGAGCGAAATTCAAATCTGGAAACTATCAAGGACGAAAGCGAGGAAGAGGAAGACACCGACTTTGCATCAACCACCGACCGAGTCCGCCCTTCTCTTGGCCCCCTACGTACAGACAGTACTCCCTCAACAAGCTCGATTCCTGCCTCAAAACGAAGCGAAGCATCCACGGCAGTGCGAGATCACATCAGTCCCCAATCACCCGACCTCTCTGACGCACGTTCAAGAGACGAAACTCCAGCTTCATCCATGGGGACCGCCGCTAACACCGCAGAGGTCCAGGCAAGGCAGGCCAAGATCAGAGCGCTCAAACCCGACATTCAAAAGTATCTTCGGTTCCAGCAAGAGTATATGAACAACTACCACTATTTCTATAAATTGGACCCCACAGACTTCCTCCACGGCGAACTCATCGATCTCGCGCTTGGCTTCGAGCCACTTTTGTACGCCATTGTGGGCTTCGCCGCATACCATTACGAGCTTCGACAGAAGAATCCCAAACTGTCTCATTTCCTGGGCTACCACAGCACTTCCATGTCCATGCTCCGCAAGTCCCTTGAGCAGAATGCCAAGGTTACCGAGGCCACTATCTTCACCATCTTGCAGTTGGCAACCTTTGAAGAATATATTGGTGACTGGGTCAACCTCGTTGGCCATCATCGTGCCGCGTTTACAATGCTTCACGAGATGTACACCCCCGACACTATCAACGATACGGAGCTCGGGAGACGCTTATTCAGTTGGTATGCTCGCCTCGATGTCGTGGTGGGCTTAATGGCCGGAAATGAGACCAGGCTGGAACGCAGATGGTTCGAAACTAACGGCGAATGGTATCGAAAACAGATGGTCGAAGGCGCTGGCACAGATCTTGATCTCGAAAACACTCTGGCATATTTTGTCACGGAGAACAGACTGTTAGGTATGGACATGGCCGCACTCTACGCAAGACTCCCCAAGCGAGAGATCAGCGTCGAAGAATTCCACACCGAAAATGCCAAATTAGAAGCCCGCCTCGGGGAGATGAAGCGAATGATCGAGGCCAAGAATGACGCATCCTACCGAGTCCAAGAATTCCCCATGGAGCGCAAACTTCCGCTGACTGAGGCTGACATTGTCAATCCATATGTTCCAGGAGGGCTGTTCACTGGAGCACTTTGGCCGCTGAACCACATGTGGCTGGACTGGTATGGGATCGAATTGATGCAAAAATACCAAATAGCCTTGATGTTCCAAAAGCCAATTTTAGACGAGCTGGAGCAGTTGAGCCTGGAAGTCTGTCGCATTTACGAGGCGATCGAGCGATGGCCTGATGCACCCAACGACAGCACTCTTGCCGCACACGCTACCCTAGGCCTCGCACTGGTGCTGTTGCGCAAAGACAAGAGACACATTATGTGGGCCCGTAAGAAGCTCGCCGGAATCGAGCGCATGGGTTACATCTACCCATATACGTTCCGACGGAAAATGGCCGAGCTCTGGGGCCTGACTAATGATGAGGTTGGCGAGGTGGAATCAGTGGAATCCTGGTGGTTGCCAAACAATGAGGGAAACATCCCCATCTTGACAGAAATGCGCAGGGTTGTCAATGAACGCCATGAAGCCGATGGTCAGGGTATGGAGTCCCTCACCAGTATCCGTGATGTCAAATCCATTTTTGCTAGACTCGACATCCGCAGTCAACGTACTCAAAAGTCGAGCGCAAGTGCCGAGGGCATCAGCCCACGCAGCGACATTAGCGGCGGTGGTCAGAGTGATAGAGGCAGCAGTACGTCAAGTTTCAGTCCAACAAATCCTAGTTTTGGCGATACGCGCATTGGTGGGGGAGGAGCTGGAGCAAGCGGTGGCGGGAGTATCGCCAGTATGAATCAAGAGACCGGATCAAGATGGAAGCCAAAGCGAGCGAATTCTGGCTCATGATGGTTGCAACAGAGTTCGGTATTCTCTTCCACCCAGATCATTTTTCCTCACCGCGATCAGCAACTCAATTCTAGCCTGTTGGCACTCAGTCAGCACGCTCTAACCGAACGACTGACCATGATAACCCCTGGTATAAAAAAATACCATCAACGAGCTATCGAGCTATCCCAAATTGGTCACCATTGTTTCCCGAGAAAACATGAGATTCTATGAATAGGGACGTCTTACGACGGACGAATCATGAATCCAACGACACTGTCAACACTCGTCTCCATGACAGATTTACGGACAAGGGACTGTAAGTCTACTTCTTACGTGAGATATCCTGATGGATTCACTCGAATAAAATTTTCACCATTCAAGTCAGCGCATTGTCCAGGGACCAGCGCGACGATCCAATTCTACAACCTGCTATTACCTCGCCAGGCAGCGATTTGGAAAGAATTTTTCGAATATGGACAAGCATGGGTGTGGCTTCTCCTTTCTATTCTAGCGTTTCATATGTCATCAAAACAAAAGCATGAGTCTGTTTTTTCCTTCTACCATGGCCATGTTTATCATGTTTCGCCAACGGACCTTGAAGGGACTCTGGAAAATAACAGCCAACGGAACAGACGTAGGCAGGCAGATAGATATGGGTTTCTGAAACCAAAAATTCCATGGAATATTCCCATGGACCTTTCACCAACTACCATCTTCAGTATTCATGATGAAGCTATTAGATGAATCGTCTTGTGTGCAGTCGTAGACCAACCAGCTTCACTGTACCCTAACCGTTGTTTCCACAAAGGACAACGACTCAGAATGACGGCCATCATGAAAACCAACACTGTATTACAAAAACTGCAGTACATAGGTACAGTACCAATCCACTGTACTTCGGTCGCCACCAACGTGGATCGGGCGCTGCATCACGGACAGACGGAGACATGGGAGGCATGCACAGGAGGGAGCGTAGGTAATAGGAAAGGATACTCGTACTACGGATGCGAATATACAGTAGACAAGTGGATCCTCCGATGCAGGTTGGATTGTGTTGGCTTGGACTCGGAATATTGCGTTTCCAAGAAACGTCGAATTGCTTGGCTTGTCGATCTAGATCGTGCAAGGACATCGCTTGACTTGGGTCATGAGTTCGGATGTGTTGCAATGCTTGCTGCATCCATCTCATTTCATACACACCGCCGGCCAGCCATGTCGAAAGGCCTAGGTCCTTTCATCTTGGGATCATTGTCATATGATAGCCCGTGCTGTCACAGTCAAGCGATTGTGAGTAGAGGAGTGGGTTGGGATCGTCAATCAATCCACAATCATGCATGTTGATCGACGGGGGTCATGATTGAGTTCCCTAGAGGCCGATCCCGTGAGATGGCTAGATTGTTGAATCTAGGTAACATTAACAGCTAGGAAGGGACGTGTAGTACCGCTAAACACTACGCCTCCGTTATTGGCCTTTTTGGAGAATGGTCGCGATCTAAGAAGTCTCGGCTGAGATTAAGTTGTAGGCATGTCGATCATGACATCTCGCACCTTTGATGCAAGATGGCATGTGAAGAAGATGTCCCCGTCTGTCACGAACAAAAGCGGCATATACCGCCGCAGAACAATAGATTGCCACCAAGGACGCCAGAGCCGGATACCGGAATTGGTTTGGTCGAGGGAAAACAATGGTCATGGCAAATGCACACAGCTCGAATAAGTTCTGCAGGGATGCTTCCACTGCGGAGAAGGAACCTCGACTCGAGGCAGAGATGGATTCCTGGATGATGAACTGAGCGCACAAGTCAAAAGACCATAGGCCGATCCGAGACGATATGATGGCAAGGATGAAGATGATGAAGGCGGCACGGGAATCTCTGATTCCGTCCGTCCACAGAATCATGGCAGCCGGACTGAGTGTCAGGGCTTGCCATGAAAGGAACCAGATGCCTGCTCGTATGGGTCCAATTCTGGTCATGACACGTGGTGAAATAAAGGTGGCCGAGATTTCCGCCACGGTTGAAGCAGTTCGTAAAAGACCAATCGTCGCCGAGGTGAGTTTGGGTTGAGGCAGTGCCAAGAGGAAGGTTGTCATCTGGCCAGAAAAGGAGAGAACGGTGAGGTAGAGCAAGGATAATGCAAGCGATGGCAAAAATGCCGAGCTTCGTGTATAGGATTGGATCGAGTTGGAGACCAGGGAAAAGGTAGAGACGTGTTGCTGCTGAGTCTCGGCCTGGTCAGTGTCAAGCATGGGATGCGACTCCATGCGTATCGTTTCATCTGATGACTGTGTGTCAAGAGCTCTAGGTCGGCTCAATGATGGAGAATCTCTCAACACCTTTGCGACAAACGGGTACTCGACCATGACAGATATCGCATTAACAGCAGCAGTGGACCAGATTGCAATACTTGGTGACCATGCATGAACCAGTGCAATAGCCAAAGGCCCCAGTAACTTACAAAACAGGTCAATCCTTCGAATTTGGGCGTTGAGATTGCGGAGGAGATTCTGGTCTTCGCCAGCAATTACAACCAGCCAGTCTCTTTCGACGGCAACAGTGTTCATGATGGAAGATAGCTTTTCGAGGCAAGCCAGAGCGACCAAGGCGGTAAAGGTGAGTATCACCAGAAAGGAAGCCATGGAAGACTTGAATTGTACAATCAGTGCAAACAGGGCACATGAAATGATGACGGCAGCTCTCTGACCCATGATAGAGAGCCGAATGACGGGAAGCCGGTTTTTGGTGTCGATGAAGTGGCCGATGGACGGCGAAAGAGTGATTGCTGCCAGGGCACGTAGCAGTGCATAAACCGACATTGGTAGTAATGTATTTGGATAGATGGTTGCCAGAAAGAGGACTGCGCCAAACTCGAAGCTCCTCGCATTCCACATTGACAGAAAATGTGAGATGTAGAGGAGAGAGGTCGGGAGTGCTGGGGTTGAGGGGTCCATGGTCGTTAGCGTTGTATATAAATTTCAATATAAGGCCTGGACTGGATATCTTCTGATCGTGGCCCAAGCATTGCTACTCATATACTGTAACTCACCCTGGCCAGAAGCATGACCGTCTCATCTGTCATCATAGTCGAGCAGCTTGGTGGAATTCATAGTCTCGTGGACTGACAGCAAGGCCGATAACGGGAGAATCAGATGTGAAGTTAAATGGTGGGGCCGGAAAATAGTTGGGCCGAAATGGAGATGCCTATTTGGTTTGAGGGAAGGAGCAACCGTATCTCGAAAAGGACAGACGCGCTGAGGGAACTCAGCCTTACGCATTCAACCCCGTTATTCCTTGATCGCACCTTCCATAACTGCCGCGCTTGGAATTATATCACACCAACTGTCAATGACCACCTCGATACCTTTCTCCCTACGTTGACCAGCATCTCGTTCCTCCACACCTCGACCTCGACATAGCGAGTGTATCCCTCCAACCCTCTTGATTCCTCTTGTTGGTACTAGGGCTAGACTGCCACCATGTCTAGTGCGTTGGGCCGAGACCCCTACGATGACGACCATGCAGTCCTCGATGATGACTTTTTGAACGACGGTGGGTCGACACAGTATGACCCCTAGCACGAAGTTGCAACTGACTCTATCTAGAGGTCGAACCAGATGAACCTTCCTACAACACTTCGGACCGCGCCCCGTTGACAGGCAACATCCAATCATCCTCGTCACAAGCGCCTATTAATCAAGGTTACCTGACGTCCCGCATTCCAGGCGAGGACAGAAGAGCCCCTCAAAATACCATCGATGAGAGTGTATGGGATACCGTGTCAAGAGATCTCGTCGCCGTCTGGGAGAAGATGAAGCAAGTTCTCTACCCCAAATATCTCCTGGGTGGCATACTGCAGAGGCAAGGAAGTGGTACTGGTGATGCTGAAAGCCAAGGCTTTGGTCGTGACCTTCGAGGCCTGGTTGGCAGATGGCCAGACGCCGATGGGATCCTGCAAGGTGCAATGAGTGATGGTTTGCGAGATTGGGATCTATGGTGAGTAGTATGGGATCAGACCAGCAGCACGGTACTAACCACGACAACGCGATAGGGGTCCCCTCATCTTCTGCCTATTATTGGCCATGTTCCTTTCGATGCGAGCCAGCAGCGACCAAACTGATCTAGTCTTCTCTGGAGTTTTCACTGTGGTTTGGATTGGAGAGGCCGTCGTCACACTTCAAATCAAACTACTTGGAGGCAACATGTGAGTCATCTTTGGCATGAGGTCAAGGACCATGGCTAACCTCGATCAGTTCCTTCATGCAATCAGTCTCTATCATCGGCTACACTTTATTCCCTCTTACGATTGCAGCACTCCTAAGCGCCCTCGGTCTGCCTATGATTGCTCGTATCCCCGTCTATATCATTCTGGTTGGATGGTCGCTGGCCGCTGGGGTTAGTATACTAGGAGGGTCAGGCGTGGTCAAGAACCGAGTGGCATTGAGCGTCTACCCTCTCTTTGTCTTTTACGTCGGCCTGGGCTGCCTATGTTTCATTAGCTGAAGAGACAAGACTCGATCTCGGTCTTGATGTATTGATATAATGGGTGGATGCGATACAACAGTGGTCGCCCATAGCTTGGGAATCGGATAGATTATGGCGACGATGAATCTAACACAAACATGTTTGTAGAGAATAGTATTTGAGATTTGGATATGGATGAATTCGAGTCTCATTGACGATATTGTTGATGATGTTAATAATGATCATTCGCATTCAAGTGGGGGCACAAAGGCACACAAGCAAAAGCCGAATTGTTGATTCTTTGGCTCGAGTTCAGTTCAATTCAGTTGTGCGGAGCCATGAAATCACATCGACTTACTGCCTAATCTCCCAATTCCGATTCTCCACCACAACCACCAGAACCATCACCATACTACCATACTACCATCACCACCGCACACCTCATCATTCTCCTACTCCTCCTCATCCCTCCATTTTCCATCGAGCGTTTCCCTCTTTTACACTCGTGTGTATCATTGTCGATCAATAACCATCACCGCCTTCAGGATTCGAACCCTCTGATAGACACCCCTCTACACAACGCACACCTCCGCACTTAACACTTGCCCAACTCAGTCACTTGATCCAGGCGTCATTAACCAATTCACCACTCGGTCTTCTTCTCTGTCCTCGTGTTGTGTTGGCTTCGACTCGACCCATCAGCCTCGCCTCGTCTTCGCTCAATCATCTTCCCCCTTGCGCCCACCCCTGCTTCAACAATTCCCTTTCCTCATTCAAGAATCAGGCCAGGCCCACGGCCGAATCCAACTGGTCTGAGGCGCAACAATAGCCTTGGACCATTCTCCTTCAATCTCGTCCCGCTTTCAGCCCTTATCTCCGCTATTCGACCATCTTAACCACTAGTTCATCCTCGCCTACCATCACAGCTGCACAAGACGGTGCCAGTCCCTTGAAAAACTCCAATAGCCTTGCATCACAATGTCCGCACAAGATGGACAAACAAACACAACCCTAGAATCCCCAAATCCTCCACAAGACACCCCGGTCCGTGAACAATCCCCTCAAGGAGGAAGCTCTGATGGCGAGGGCGGCGAAAGAACCGCACGGGAAAAATTGAAAAAGACGTCCATTGCCGGTCTTGCCCAACAATCACAGCCCAAGTCCTCGTTGACGGCTCCATCCCCTCTCGGCGATACCACTGCCACCCAGTCTTCAATTAAACCTGCTACCGAGAATGGTCTCCGTGGACGACCATCTAAGAAGCGCTCGTTCGAAGACCTTCAGAACGAAGACTCCACCGCCAGTGCCGAGAATGGTGATCTACCCTTACCAAAGAAGGGTCTACACAAGAGAATGAGATCACGCGACGTCCCGGTGGGCGAAGACATTCAAGCGTTTGATAAGCTCGATGACCTGGCAAGTCCCGTCCAAGAAGAGAGCGACATTGAAGCCGAGCACTCTCCAGGCGGCCCTGGCATCCTCGTCACAGCCCCGTCGAAAGCCCATTCCACCGATGCCCCTTCTGCCGATACAACAGAACCCACAGAGGCGGCCGAGGCCGCAACCACGTCAGAAGATGTGCCCGTATCAACAGTCACCGATACCTCTGTCCCGGAACCTAAAACCGAACCAACCTCATCCTCGATACCTGCATCATCTGGTTTTGCCAACACCTCGACTGCATCTCCGTTCGGTACTTTGAGATCAACAAAATCTCCTGAACCCGCTGGTTCCACCTCCTCTCCAAACAAGGCTACCTCGAATTCGGCTTTTGCTTCATCTGGTCTATCCGCGTTTGCTTCCTCGGAGAAGTCGCCATTTGGCACTGCCGCCAAGTCAACTGGCGGCTTTGGTGGTGGCAGCGGCTCAGGATTTGGCGGCGGTAGTGGCACGGGTTTCGGTAACAGCATCAGTGGACTCGGTGATACTAGAGGTATTTCACCATTCGCTAGCAAACCACTCTCCGGGTTTGGTTCGGGTGGAGGTTTCGGAAGTGGAGGTCTTGGTTCTGGTTTCGGAAGTGCAAGCAAGCCTTTTGGTTCAGGGACCTCATCTTTCGCTGCCCCGGCAGGGTCTACAGGAACATTCGGCACCGCCAAGCCTTTCACTTCTTCGACAGAAAAAGACGATGACGACCATGGGAGCGAACAAGGCGACGATGGCGAAGAAAAGCAACGAATCGAAGAGGATCTTCACCAAGACCCCAGATTCAAGGAACAAGATCGTATGTTTTTCGGCTTACTACGATTACTGTGGCGATGAATGCTAACTTGAATCCAGTTGAAACCGGCGAAGAAGGGGAGAGAACCGTATTCACTTGCAGAGCCAAGCTGTATCACTTTGACAAGGAATGGAAGGAAAGAGGTGTGGGAGCATTTAAAATCAACATGCGATGGGCCAGAAAGTCGGCTGGTACAGAAGACGAAAAAGCAGACCAGAATGTCTCCGAGGAAGACGTCGAGGCCGGCGAATCTGGAGACTTTGACAATTTTGAGCGAAGAGCACGATTGCTCATGCGCACTGATAGTGTCCATCGTGTGGTTCTCAATACACCCGTCTTTAAAAAGATGAAAGTGGGAGATGGTGAAGGAAAAGAGCCCAGTGGCAAGACCATGCTTCTGACGGGTATGGAAGATGGGAAACCAGCGTTGTTTCAGATTAAGGTATGTTGGATCGCCCACTCCTCCCTAAGCCGTTGCTAATTTTCTGGGGGATGCAGACCGGAAAGGAAGAGACGTTGAAAGACCTCTATCACCGCATCAAAGACTTACAACAAGACCTGTAAGGATCTTTACTGGCCACGAGCCATGCAGTGACACAGAACCATGATGCACATCCTATCAAGATGGAAGTTATGACCTCGGGGCATCCACGCGGAATTTCTCATTAAACCGTGCTGCCGGATTAAATGGACCTGGCGCTAGACTTGGACGATCAGTCACCAGACACGAATGAATGAGTAAAAAGTTGATCGATCGATCAAGTAAGTGATTGTTGGATTGCTTCGAACATGACCAAAAAGACCATGGACACGACGAATTTCATTTTTTCTGTCTTGATCAAAGAAGGAGCCTTGTATGGGGGTTTGCATACAATACCATGCCCACTGGGGAACAATGATGAATCAACCCAATACAGGATGGGATCGACGAGAAGAAACATGCAGAAGGAGAAGCAATACGTCGACCATGGCATGCCCGTGTGAGAGAGAGACAAAATCGGGGCGGATTGTGTAAGTTGTTTAGATTTGCTCGAGTAAACAAAGATCAAGCAAGTGAGTGTCTTGAGAGGGACGAGTCAAGATTTCGACCGTTCAAAACTTTGCTTGCCGTCTAGTACTATCTTAAAGAGATAGATATTGAATTACCTCAAACCTGTTCCTTACATTTCAGAGTGCTCCAAGCTCAGCCCCAAACGTAGTCTCGTAGTCACTCTTGAATTAAGCTTTGTAGGATATACGGATATAACATTCCCCACATTAGGACGATAGTATACGTCTTCCCTTGTGATCCATTCCATACATCCTCGCCACCTACACTATCTATCTGGCGTCCATACCACAGTAGTACATAACAGCCATGGCAGAATCATCATCAGGAGGGACGGCAGACATACAGTCCGAACGACTCACCACCGAGATATCTCTCCTCGAAGCCATGTATCCAGGTCGAGTACAATACAACGATCGGACACGGGAGGTACAGTATTCTCGAGGGACATCCGATGGTAATAGTGTTGGCAGAGGCGGAAGCTTGACACTACGAATACCCAGCACATATCTCGCTGATGCTCTTGCTGCTACCACTTCTTCCATCCCCCAGACCGACACCGACAATGGTTTTCCAGAAATCCTCACCGCACGTGACACATCAGGAAACGATATCCGTACTCAGACGCGGAAGATGATGAAGACCGACCTGGAGTTACGACAGGGAGAGGAAGTTCTGGATCAGATATTAATGGCATTTGATGAGTTGGTTGATGAGAGGGAAGGGGGTGGTGATGATGGTGGTGGTGGTGGTGGTGATCAGGATTATCAAGGTGACGGCGACGGTCATGATCACACTACTCAACCCAAGACGGTTGTTATTCGTAAAACCGTCATTATTTGGTTACATCATCTTCTAGCGACGTCGAAGCGGAAATTGGTGACATCTCCTACTTCACTTTCAGGAATCTCGAAACCCGGATATCCAGGAATCCTGATCTACAGTGGTCCAACCGAGCTGGTGGATGCACATGTACGAGATCTGAGGGCTTTGAAGTGGCAGGCATTTCAGGTGAGGTGGGATTCGGTGGATGAGGAGAGACACCGGCAGGATCAGCATGACGAGGATAAGGATATGGACCAAGAAGCACGAGACATGACTACAGAGTGGGAATTCACTCACGGTAAGGGAAAGGTGGTGGAGGTGGCAACTATGGCAGACTTGGTTGGTGCCATAGTCAAGGAAACACATAGACAAGTCGTTCTGAAAGTCCTGGGAGTCAAGTGAGATAGATGTCACGTCTATTCAATCATCATAATTCATCTCACCTTCTATCTAAAGACTATCTTCCCTCCATCTTGATCGAACCCTTTGCCATCCTTCCTTCTCGCCCAAGCCACCTCTCTTTTCTAGTCCCAATCCTCTTTCTACCCATTCTTGACTTCCCATTTCGCTCAATCTCGACAGCGCACGGGCAAAGGCGAATCTCTCCTCATCCCCACTAAAGATACTGCTCGATTTCAACATGCTCATGCTCATTCCCAAATCGTCCATGAGGTTGCGCATTACGTCGTCAACATCCGCACCTTCACCCTCCCCTTGGCCAGGTCGATCGTGAGGGCCACCTTCATTGGCTTTGACCGATTCAGCCACTTTCCGGTCATCGGGGCTGACATCTGAGTCTTTCTGGTCTACCTTCTTGGTCACATTCCCTAATGACTCACCAAGCTCAGCCTTGCTGAGAAACAGTTGACTCAATGGGACGGCAGTGGTGAGGACTAGTTTTGCTTGCGACTCGTAAACAGCATCGATAAAGGTGATGAATCGACGAGCCCAATCTCTTTCACGATGGGTCATTCCGGGAACGTCGGTGACAATAAATGCGTCAAAACTGCGCATCATTTCGATGTAATCGGCCGCTCCAGTCGCTCGTCCTATGAGTTCATGAAAGTCGAATCGGGCTGCTCGTCCAGAGACCAAAGGGATCTGGACATCCCGGCCCCAAACGGTAATTGTGGTTGGGTGCGGGGGGTCATTCTCGGGGTCACCAAGAAATGAAAACCATTTGTTGGCATGCGAAACTGCCGCCCGATCGAGAGGATGGTGGTACACTCCGGAAGGGGGTCGAGGAAGTTTTCTATAATCGGTCGAAGAGTCGAGGTTGATGACTCGAAGTTGCTTTTTAAGGAGATTGATGCAGGGAATAAAAGATTGACGCTGGATACCGTTTTTGTACAAGTCGTCAGGATGTCGATTCGATGTGGTCACCAGAACGACGCCGTGTGACATGAGAGCCTCCAAAAGTCGCCGTAGGATCATGGCATCAGCCACATCGGTGCACTGGAATTCATCAAAGCATAGCACCGAAGCGGTTTCGGCAATATCGGCGGCGACAAAAGGGACGGCATCGAATTCGCTGCCTTGCTGCATTCGAATTTTGTGTAGTCGTTTATGGACATCCTGCATGAAATTGTGAAAGTGAATTCTCGTCTTGGACGTGATGTTGGGAGGGAGGGTTTCGTAAAACAAATCCATGAGCATGGTCTTGCCGGAGCCTACATCGCCATACATGTAGAGGCCCTTGGGCAGGTCGGCTGGAATTTCATTGATGACCTTTTTCTTCTTGTCACCGCCAAAGAGTGAACCGAACATGGATTTCTTGGGCGGTTGCAGGTCCTCGATGGTCGGGTGAACGACTTTCGGTGCCGTGTAATCTTTGAGACTCTCGTGCAGGTCTTGGAGATGTTCGACGAGTGCTTCACAGGGTGACCAATCAGTTTCCTGGGCTCATGAGATATTATATATCAACAGGCTATAGCTTACTTCTTTGATGTTCATCATCCCGTAACTTCCTCGAGTGAACTCTCTCATCGTACTCTTCTAACGGACCATGTGTGGCAACGTGGTTGACGCTAGCAAATGTTCTTCTCTGCAGCCCTCTTGAGAACGATTTCCGTCGGGTAGTGACATTTCGGAGGGTAACAAGGCTTCGTTTCGGGAGAGGTGCAGCTGTATGCAGTGCTCGGTGGGTGGGGCTGTAGTTGCTCTTTCTCCCATTTCGTGCTCGCAGACCAGTCAGGCAGCCTGTACATAAGGTCCGTCGTTGGTATAGAGTGATGGGTTGGGAATTGATTGCTCTCAGATAGCTCTGGAAGGCATTGGAGCTGGATAAATGGCGTGCCGAGGCTTTCATGGTTGTCAAGGAGCCTCAATTCTCGAAATGGCGGGCATGAGAGGCTAGTGGGAGGAGAGCATGAGAGACTGACAAACGTCTGTTAAGAGGCGTTGGTATTGGAAAAGAAAGAACAGGAACATGAGCTGGATCAACGCAAGAAAAGCCCAGTCTTGGATAAATCGCCAATTGCCGTTGAATTAAGCTGGCGCAATAATAATTCGATGTCGGCGGAATCAAAGCGAACGCCACGATTAGAGTCGGAGAGCGAGAGGATGAAGTGGAGTTTGGTTGGTGCGTGGAGGTCAAGGGTCGGAAGAGACGAGAAGAGAGAGAGAGAGAACGAGAGCCACAGAGGTTAGAGTCCAGAGGGTTCAGAGGGTCCAGAGGGTCGGGACGCAACCTCGTGATTGCCCAATTCCTGATTCGCAGCGCCTAAAAGTAAAGTTGCCATGTGCCTACGCAAGGAAGGAACGACCTACCCGGGCCCTTGCACCGCGCTTTCCTCGGTCAAAAATCTTGACTCCGAAAATGGGCAGGTGCGTGGCAATGGAAAAAAGAATCGCCGAACACACCCGCGACTGCCTCCATTCAAGAATTTGGATCTACTCCGTAAGTAAGAATGGAAAGAACGATTGACCGGTTGAACTTGCACCATTTCAAATACATGGCCAAGATATTGCAAGCGCAGACTGACTCAAGCTACAGCTAAAAGGCCATTGATGTCGACAATAAATCAACTTGTCTCATACGCGGTGTGCTGTCCATTGAATCCCACTCGGGGATCCAGTCCTCCTCCACTTGTTGTCTCATCGGAGACTTGATCCTAGTGGGAAAGCACTCGCTGCACTGATAATCTCCATGTCTGATGTCCTTGTGCTGGCGCGCAGGTGCGCCATCCCACCAGACCAGATATACCTTCACCCAACATCGAGCCTTCACACAACATCCAAGTGGGCAGTTGGGAGGTGGCAGCAAGAATGAGAACAGGATTAAGAGAGAAACAACATTGGTCAAGTCAACACACCCACATATCCCGAGATACAATTCCAAACCCTCTCACCGGGGCGCCAAACATAACCACGTTAACGCATCACTCATCAGGTTGCCCTGCCCTTTTCTTTGGTTTCGTGCGTCGCTTCATCCTAACCACACGCCTTCCCAATAGAACAGTGCAGGTCAGATAAAGGCAAAGGGGGCTTGGGACAGCCCTTGAATCCTCGTACCAGCTCCCCTTCAACCCGCAGCAAAGCTCACTTGTAGCGTCAGCTTGGGATTCCGTTGTAGAGCCACATCAAGATTGTCATCGTTTTCCAGATCTAACATGCTGTTGGTCGGTTCGTCTCGGTACTGTATCGCAATGTCCTCGTTCACCTTCAATCGTTCCATCAGTCTACCTTTCAACGCCGGGAATGAAATATCCTGTGGCACTCGGATCGCAATAATATCGTCCTGGAAGAAAACCTTGACCTTGATGGCCTGCGCCGCTGCGTTGCCTGTGACACTCGATGAGGTGGATGTCTGCGTCAGGTTGCTGTTCTGTGAGTGGAGATATGGCGGGCGCTCTAGCCCACCGCTAGCAGACATGGGAACTCGGGCTTGCTGGGACATTCGACCGCCAGGAGGTGGCATTCCCCCATAGCCTCCTCCCACTCCTTGTTGATTGGACCCGATTCTGGATACGGGTTGCATCGATTGTTGAGAACCGGCTGACAGGCGATAATCCTCGCCCAACGCGCTTGGGTCAATCTCAAAGTCTTGACCCGGTTTGGGTCTGAAGAGATTTCGCACTAGCATACTCTTGGAGATATGAGGCGGCATAGCTACAATCTGCTTGATGTATTCGTCCAAGTTTTGTCTTCGTCCGTTCGAGATGGCATCAGTAACATGCGCCACAGGTCCCGGCATGAACGGCAGTGTCCGAGGCTTGCCCTTGTTGCCCGCCTCTTCTGGGAACATCTCGAGTAGAGCAATCTGAAAGTCGTAAAAATCGGCGTAGTATCGTGACAATTCCCACCACCGTCCATCCTCCATCTGACACTCGATTATATACCAATACATATCGTTGTCGAAGCAGTACCGAGGTACACAGGCGCTGATGGGAGCGAGGGGCATACCAGTCGCTTGTTGTGACTGTCGTACAGGTTGTGAATCCTGCCAATATTAGCTTCTCTGTCGCAACTCGTCACGACATGGCCCAATTAGACTCACAAAGTTGTTGCTGGCTAGCGATTGTTGCGACCCGCCGTTCTGGATGCTCATGCGATCCATGTCATTTGCCAGCCCTTGGCCATTATCAAACTTGCCCAAGCTAATGCTACTGTTTTTATATTCGGCCGCAAACTTTTTCCACTCCTCGACCCGAGGAACACCAGCTTTGCGGACAGCCTCAAGCGGATCGGCGACCGATTGCATCGTAGATGTATCCTTGATATCGACAAAGGAGACCGGGATCAAGCCTGGGCCTCCCAGTCGTCCGATTGGTTTGGCTACAAACCATTCAGGATTCGATTGAGCCACCACAATGATGGCTTCTCCGGCTTTAGCTTCCAGTTCGTCGGCTCTTTCGGCGTTGAAGTCGTATTGAACAATGCCGTACACCATGGCGCCGTTGTGGCGACCGGCCAAACTTTGATTTCGGGTGTGCATGATGGGCCTTGTCGTCGCGGTTGACTCGGATCGTGCGTGTGATATACTTGAGCCCTTTTCCGAGAAGCCAGAATCATGCCCCTCAGACGGTCGATCGCTGGGTGACGAAACCGAAGTTCCGCTTTGTCTCTGCTGCTTGCCCACGACTTCGAAAAAAGCGACAGGAACCAGGCCCCGGGCGGTTGGAATCAAAGGATTACAGGCCTCGTACCACTCGGTGTCGTCCTCACGGCTCAGCACGTGGAAGAAATCGCCCTTGTGAAAAGCAAGCTCTTGGCCATTCTTGTTCTGCGGCTCATAGTCGTAGAGGGCTTTGATCACCTTTTTGGGAGGGAGCGCTTGGATGGTTTTTGGGGTGATGGATAGGTTGGGCGCTTTGTTTCCGTCTTTGTCACTCTTCAATGACCTGCGGATAGCCTAGATGGATGACGCAGCGCGCACCTGTCAGCTGTGTGACTCACAAAGGACGAGAGTAACCAAAGAATACACAGAGGGTGCTGAAGGTTCGAGTCAAGCGCAGTGAAGCAATAGCACATACCTTCATGGTCGCATTGACGGGTGCCCCGCAATGGCAGTGGCAGCGTGGCAGCGACGATGGGCGGCGGAGGTCCAGAAAAGGATATGCAGAGGAAAGAGGCTTGCAGGTGGACTAGGCAGAGATGCTATCGCCCAATTGATCAAGATTCTTGTGGTATTGGACTTGGGCAGGAGGCCGATTTGGGAAGCAGTTTGAGGGAGATTGTGTTTCAAGTCAACAAAAGAGTCGAATCGAGAGGCAAGGAGGACGACGGGGGCGATCGATCGTAATGGAGGATGTGACGAATTCGAGATGGTCTGCCTGGGGCGTCAATGTGTGGAACTGCCCGAAACTCTGGCCACAGAATTTGACCTTTTGATCTGGGTTCCTGAAACTGTGGTACGGCGCTGGAATGCTGGGACACGCAGAGGTTAAGGTTTTCTGGGATAGGATGCGATGCGATGCTCAGGGTTGGTACCGTGGCTCCCAAGGACGATAGATTGTTGAGGGGTTCGCGGGCGAAGTTTTGCAAGGTCAAAATGTGGAGATTTAGGACCCAAGACGCAGCGACACGAGGCAGCAGGAGTTGAACCGGAGAACCTAAAAAGCTCACAAAAGCCTCTAACACGTCTAACTAGCTTAGGGTCTTGTGTTCCGGGGGCGAAGGCCTGTGAGTGCAGTTTGCGTAGGCTATGAAATCAGAGGAATCAGCGCGTGGCTAACCGAGATGAGAACCCATCGTCTCCGTCTACAACCTTGCAGTCACAGATTCCGTAGACTCATAGAACTTGCAGACACGTCCCTTGTCTTTCCGAGAGTGGTGAATACATAGTGATGTTGACACGATTATTGACTACTCTGACTACTGACGCTGGCTGACGACAGACACAACATGACACGGGTCAAGCGTGAAAGTGACTACCGCATGGTCTGTCCATACAATACCTGAATCAGAAAGGATCGGAGGGTGCGGGTGTGTTATCCTTACTCTCTACAGCTGAAATTGCCCATCACTTTACGGGCGATGCGATTCAGCGGTGCACCAAGCATGTCCGTGGCAGGTGAAGCTCCAGACTTCTGGGCCGTGCATGCGGTCCAGCAACTTCCATGAACCATCACTGGGATATCACTTGTGAGAAGATGTTTGGCCCCAATCAGAGCCGGCTCGGCACCAAGAAGACCCATAAGGGCTGAAGGACATGCCTGGAACTAGCCGCTTAGGTAGGACCATCCCAGCCGGATGGCCGGGTGCAGGCTTATAGTTGCAGTGGGATCATGTTGCCTTTTCATCTCCGAGGTGCCTGAGGCTACTTAGGCGTGCTAGGTTACAAAGTGCGCCACCCACAACCAACCATCACCACCGCCTAATACTAAGGAACCATTGTACGTTATTGGTCGTGGCTTGCGTCCACATCCCTTCCTGCTGATCCCGGAACTTGACCAGGAACATATTCCTTAAGAACCCTGTCTCGGCTCATATTCTTGTCCAGCCTTGGCTCTCTTCGTCTGATCCGATGTTTGCTGATGATACAGACGTCTTGAGCGAGATAGGCAGTCATATTCGATACTCGTTACGTATCAACGACAGTACACAATTCCAGTAGAGTTCAAAGCGGCTACCAACACGGCCGGGTTCACGAGCTGCAGGCACTGTCACGCGTGGAGAACTGCTTGTGTGACTTTAACTTCGAGAACGGACATCAGCAAGTCAATTTCTTTTGACAGCTACGGCGTCATATTAGGTCTGTCCAGGCAAAGAGTATTAAAACACCCACAACACCTCAACAGCCCAACTTGGCACCATGTGAATTCTGAAGAGGTCTCGACAAGGTAGGATAATATGTCCATGCCTGGGTCTGAACTCCTAATCAGATCAAAAGTCGCTCTGGGCGTCTGTTGGCACCCGCCAAACACTCATAAGTGACGGCAGCCACAAGTGCTCGTCTGCGATCCGTCATCCCACTGTATCAATATCAAATTCAATCCCATTTCCCATGTTGTTTTCATGTGACGAGTTCCGCCTAGGTGGCTGACACTGTACACATGTCCGCTCAAGTAAAAGCAAAATATGCCGCTCAGGAACCGTCCCTAGCCGGTCGGCAGGGTTAAATAATGCTCGAGCAGTGATCAAAAACAATGCTCTGGAAAGAAGAGACGCTCCAAGAAAATGCGATGCCGTCGTCAACCCTGTTACCTCAGATTTGACCCTTGATGTCCACATGACCAAACGCGTTGGTCTTTGCTACGTGAAAAATCGATCCAGCTTTGCCTGTGAGAAAGCGCACGTCGCCGTCGCGTTCTTCCAATAATGTTGGAGACTCTTCAGGCACATGGTCGAGGAGGAATTGACATGCCTCTTCGTCAGTCTCGAAGCCGAGCTCTTCGGTGATGAAGCGAAGTTTTACATCCGGTTTGTACCTGGGAACAATTAGTCATGACCGCATCAAACGTATGAATTTCTGGAGAAGACTTACGATCTGCACAGGCATGCCAGCGCTGCCAGTCTTTCTCGCTCTACAAACATGTCCATCAAGTACGCCCCCATCGCGGGAACAGTCAGGTACAATTTGAAGAACTTGTGGTAGTTGCCCAACGCCAGTGCTGAACGCACCTCAAGTGCGTGTTTGATGGCTGGTTCTTTCTTGTCTGCCTCAGTTAGATCAGAGAGCACGTCATTCATGTCAGTCCGGTTGCAGGTGTGGATAAAGTAGAGAATACGATATGCGGTAAATTCCACAGGGTGACCTCCCAGATTCTGGTTGTACAATGCTCGCAGTTGTGTCTGGCATTGATTATACTCACCCAGGTCACCCTTCTCCAGGGCAATGCGGGCATGGTATTCGTAAACGCTAGTCGTGAAATCATTCTTGATATGTTGGACCGTCAAATCTTGTCGCAGAGACTTGAATTGGTCGCAGATGTAGGCATAGTTTGCGTCAGCTCGCCATTTCTTCTTCAGAAGCTCCAACGTCTTCTTGAGCACTTCGAGAGGTCGCACGTCATCCGGGTTGGGCGCCGAGGTCAGTCTGAAATAGTTCTTTTCTAGCTTCTGGGAACGACCAACAACGGGGCCTGTTGATTGGGGCTCGGGGGAACCTCCTCTTGATGACTCTTGCGTTCGCGGAGAATTTGACCCATTTCGAACATTCTCAAATCTTTTTCTGCGCGACTCCACCAAGGTTGAGTTGTTATTACTTACGAATTGGCTCGTGTCAACCTTGGCTCGCTTCTCATTGCGATTGAACGAAACCCGGTCTGCCAAAGATCCAGATGGCTGGGCATTCATCCTCCATGGCGGAGTACTAACATGGTCTCCCTCAGTTGAAAGTTCGGTTGACTTCCGTTTACGTGGTGCATGGGATTGAGATTGATGCGATGTATGGCTGGGATCCCCGGATGGAAAAGGTGGAGGAACATAAGGAGACGGAATTGGGGCAAGAAGTACACGCGTTCGTTCTTGCTGTAGTATCTGCTGGGGTAGAAGATACGTCTGCCAGTTTCTGGTGTCCAGTGTGCCAGAAGATTGAGCCTGAGTTATGATTTCCTTGAGTTTGGCTTCAACTTGCTCCTTTGAAATTCCATTTATCGAGTTTTCCACGGCAAATGATCGGTTGACATAGTCACGGACTTCAGGGGACCAGACGGTCTTCTTCTTCACAGGTTGGGGCACAGAAGCCGTTCCAGAAGCGGTGTTTGGAGGGGGTGGAGGGATGTAGGGTTGTTGAAGAGGTAGAGTAGGCGCGTTGAAGCCTAACGTAGGATGCGGTGGTGGGAATGAAGACGGGGGTCCAAATGTATGGCGGGCAGGAACTGAAATGTAAGCATTCGCGGCATGGGTATTAGCCGCCGCGTAAGTGTTTGCGGGCCAGGCAGAGTTGCCCGCGGAAGAAAAACTCATGATGAGAACGGTTTGAAACAATCAGGCGAGGGAATGTGAAGGTGAGTGAGCCTAAGCAGAGAGAGAACAGGAATCGAGTGGCGGTGGATCGCTGGGGAGGATACACCAGATTCAGGAAGGGTATGTCAGACGATCGGAGATAGAGAACGAGTTCTTATGGCGATCCTCAAGAGGATGGTGGAATGATTTCCTGTGTGTCGGTGAAGGACAATGATGAGGGCGGTTGTGGTGTGGTTAAAAGATGAAGGCTGAAGACGGAGGAAGAAGAGGTGTAAGTCTTGGCGCTCTAACCTATCTTAGACTAGCTCAGTCTGGTGATGCTATCATTCCCAAAAGGCACTCTATCACGATCCAGGCAACCTGAATCTACACATCATTTCCTTCTTTCTGATATCACTGGGTGGCAATGTGCCAATGTTTCATCTATGACTGAGCGTCAATCTCTCCTTCAAACATGATATCCACCCCTGGTCAAAGGCCGAATGTTCCTCAAGAAGCCAGAGCTTACTGCTGGCTCACGGCCATCTCTTTTTCAAGACGAAGCACTTCTGTTCGTTCAGGATGGGGTGGGACTCTATGAAGGGTCGGATCTCCACCACCTCAAGATTACAGACCACATGCTCATGATACAGCAGAAAGTACAAGATCGATACATGCCAAAAGGGGCATGCCTATCTAACATCTCATCGAGTTTGCTATGTTGATGATAGCGACCCCCGGTCCAATTCATGGGCTGTAGATCTCAGAGATGTTGAAAAGCATGAGTATCAGGTCTGTTTGTCCTTCCTAGTGTAGTGACTTGGCTCATTATGACATGTCAAGGCTGGCTTCTTGAAGTCTTCGTCCAAGATAACATTGAGCCCTCGGCCGGTCAAAAGAGGGTTTGGATCTATACAGAGAGGTGCAACACCTCAGTCGCCGACCTTCCAAAGGATTGCTTCTTCTTCATCCCCTACATCTCGCTCTTCTAGCCCCTTCCGCCCGGGAACTCTATCTCCAGCAAATCTACCTGTTGTGGTCGGCACATGGGTTTGCCCTATTTGCTCATTTTCGAACCCTGTGCCTTCCAACTTCGATCCCACCATTGCCACAGACTCATTCCCGTTACCGCCATGTCTCGCTTGTGGAATCAAACCACCGTATCCACTTGTACTAAAGGCCGCCATTGCAGCCAATGCGGGGCGAACGACCGAGGATGCCAATGCCACCCAGAACCTGGCCGCTCCACAACCTGTTAGACAGTCATTTCACGAGGACAAGACAATGTCTGAAAACACTTGTCCTCGGTGCACATTCCACAATGCCCCAGGCATGCGAATTTGTGAGCTGTGTTCGGCGCCATTGCCGACAAGTGCCAAAATTATCTTTCAAGGTTCAGAGAATCGACCTGGGTCGCCGGGACCAGAGATATCTGGGCTGTCACTTGAGGAAGATCACGAAGCCCAACCCATAAAGCTTTCATTTCGAAATGGCGGCGACCGAGTCTTCTATGACAGGTTGAAGAATGCAATGATCCAACGCAAGTGGCTTCTTCAGGTGGCCCCTCCTATTTCGCAGGCGGGCAGCTTCGGCACCTCAAGTGCGTTCGACGCAACAGCCCCAAGAGAAGAAGACAAGACACGTGTCACAGCTGCGGGGATTGCAGGACTCGAACAGCGAGGCCTTCAAAGCCGGAAGAAAACTGAGGTTGTTCTTGGCGGCGCTTTCGGAGACCTGGAAGCTCTTATGGCATCGGCGAAGGACATTGTAGCCCTGGCCGAAAAATTTGCCGACGAATCAGGTACGGGTAGGGGAATCTCTGGGACCTCGTCGGATCCCATTCTTTCACAGTCCGCTGCGGCGCTGGGGATGGTCACAACGAAGGACATTTTGGGCGAGGGCTCCAACACACTCTATATTAATGAACTCGCACGAAACTTAGCCGAATATGCAACCGACGACAGAAGGGCAGTACTTCGAAAACAAGGTGGAACAATGAGTCTGGTGGACCTATGGGCGATGTTCAACAGGAGCCAAAACGGAGTAGAGCTAGTCAGCCCCTCAGATTTCTACAAGGCTGGGGAAGCCTGGGAGCGTCTGGGACTACCAATCAAGCTGCGAAGATACAGAAGTGGGCTTCTTGTCGTCCAGGGGCGTGATGCAAGCGATGAGAAGACCATCAGGCAGCTGCGAGACTGGCTGATCTCGCTTCAGCCCCCAGAATCTGACGACCCAGTGCTCTGGGATTGGGAGAACTTCGGTTTTGGAGTTACTGCTCAGCAGGCGGCAGCCAAATTTGGATGGAGTTTAGGTGTTGCCAACGAAGAGCTGGAGATGGCTGAGGAGAAGGGCGCTCTCTGTCGCGAAGATAGTGTGGAAGGACTCAAGTTCTGGTTGAATCGTCTGGTCGACGAAGATGAGGATTTGCAACAAACTACTTGAAGGAAAGGAATACCAAGTGAGCCAAAGACGGCGAGATTCAGTGACCGCTCATACTAGTCGATTGATTCCTTCTTCATGGTGAAATCTATTGCTTCTGCTGGTTGAATGTTTGAAGAGATCTGTCCTATAGGAGTTGCAGGGCTGGACACGCTTCTACTTGGGAGTGGCTCTGTTCGTACCTAGTTATGGAGGATTGGATGGCCGTAAGCGCCCCTGATCGCCCATCAGCATTGTTCCAGGCATGCAGGACGCCCGGGGCGCCGATTCGTCTGCCCCTCATCGAGCCCCTCGGCCCCATAGAGGAGGCTAATAAAGCATGATCGCCAGTGTTCATCCCCACAATTGAGGTGCGTGACTGCGTGGCTGCGCAAGGTCCTCTCGGCGAACCTTCCAAAATGCCATATTATTTTCTGGACTCCTCCTCCACCGTGTCGCCTCCGTAATGAATCTCCTGCGTGAAAAGACGCAGCCTAGAGTCTCACAGGACTTGGGATTTCTTTCAGCGAAGATGCTTGCTTCCTGACCCTAGTCGCTCCTTTTTTTGATCGACCAGCAACAGAAAAATGGCAAGACTCGGCCGTGGTGGCTTTCTAGCCCTCGCCGTAGTCTTCCATTTGACTTACATCTTGTCCATATTCGACATCTATTTCGTCAGCCCCATTGTCCATGGCATGAAACCTTTTGCCCTAGAGCAAGAAAAGTCACCAGCAAAGCGCCTGGTCTTGTTCGTGGGCGATGGATTACGCGCTGACAAGGCCTTTCAATCATTCCCAGATCCTTCGCCCTCAGACCCTGCCAATGCAGACCTCTCCCCCAGACCACTCGCTCCCTTTCTCCGCTCTCGAGTACTTGAACATGGGACATTTGGGGTCTCTCATACCCGCGTCCCTACCGAGTCCCGACCGGGCCATGTTGCTCTGATTGCAGGATTATACGAAGATGTCTCTGCGGTTACTACTGGTTGGAAACTCAACCCGGTGGATTTTGACAGCGTCTTCAACAGGAGCACCCATACTTGGAGTTGGGGGAGCCCGGACATCCTGAGCATGTTCAAAGAAGGTGCTGTCCCGGGACGTGTGGATGCAGATGAATATCCTGAAGACTTTGAGGACTTCACCCAAGATGCCACGGCACTCGATTATTGGGTCTTCGACAAGGTCAAGGATATGTTCCAGTCGGCCAGCACAAACGCTACCATCAATGCGGCCCTTCGACAAGAGAAGGTTGTCTTCTTCTTGCATCTCCTCGGTCTCGACACAACAGGTCATTCCTATCGACCGTATTCGAAAGAATACTTGCACAATATCAAGGTCGTTGACCAAGGAGTGGAGGAAATCACCAAGCTTATCGATGACTTTTATGGAGATGACAGCACTGCCTACGTGTTTACCGCAGACCACGGAATGAGTGATTGGGGTAGCCATGGAGATGGGCACCCAGACAATACAAGAACACCTCTCATTGCCTGGGGCGCCGGCGTTGCCCCTCCACAGATCTATCCTGACGGGAATGCTCCTGGTCATGAAGATGGGTTCTCTTCTGATTGGGGCTTGAATAATATTCGAAGACACGATGTTCAACAGGCGGATATTGCTGCTTTGATGGCATATCTCGCAGGGATGGAATTTCCAGTCAACTCTGTCGGGGAATTGCCTCTGCCGTATATTGCAGCCACACCAGGAGTCAAGGCCAAGGCAGCTTTGACTAACACTCGGCAAGTTTTGGAAATGTACAGGGTCAAGGAAGAACAAAAGCAAGCAACTGCTCTCAACTTTAAACCATATCCGGTTTTCTCCCGCACCAACTCAACCGCTACAGATCGTATAATCGCCATCGAGACCGCAATTTCTCAAGGGCGCTACGAGGCAGCAATTGAGATCTCGGCCGATCTTCTCCAGCATGCCATTCAAGGGTTACGCTACCTCCAGACCTATGATTGGCTGTTTCTTCGCACGTTGATTACCTTTGGTTATCTCGGCTGGATCATCTACGCCCTTACGACGGTCATTGATCTGCATGTTTTACATGGGGCAGTGTCTGATGACAGGACGCTGGCTTCAGTGGTTACGTTTTCCTCTTTGCTGGTGCTGTTGTACTCATCCTTCATCATTGACCGGTCACCAGTCACATATTACGCCTATGCCTTCTTCCCTGTCTTCTTCTGGGAGGAGATTTTCGCTAGAAGGAAAGGCTTGATCGCAGGTCTCAAAGTGCTCTTTGGTCATGTTCGGAATCCTTCAGACTATATCTCAGTCTTTCTTCAAGCTTCAGCCTTCCTGCTCATTCTTGAAGCATTTGTGAGTACCTTGATCCTTGATTGAGGAGTTTTCAAATTGATGTTCTCAGGTCCAATCATACTTCCACCGGACAATTCTCACCGTATGCTACGTCATTGGCGCCATTTATCCCCTGGCATATGGTGCGAAATTCATCAAAGATCATCTCTTCCTATTCATCTCTTGGATGGTGGGCTGCATTGTGTTGAGCACATTTACACTTCTAGAAGCCAACAAGACTGAGAGCGCCAATACTATCACAGCGGGAGGCGTCTTGATGGCTGGAGCCGGTGTTTTTTATCTCTTGTTCGAAGATCGCATCACGTCACAGTCAAGATCTGCCAAAAATCACGAATCGAATGCCACTCAAACATCTCGCCTTCTGATGGGTGTGCAGGTGGGTATCATTCTACTTACCATTGTGGTTACACATTCCAGTTCGATGTCGATTCAAGCGAAGAAAGGACTGCCATTTGGGAACCAGGTGGTCGGATGGCTTGTTCTCATCACATCTCTGATCTTGCCTTTTGTGCATCGCATCGCCCCCAACAAACATTACCTCCATCGTTTGGTGGTCATATTTCTCGCCTTCTCGCCTACATTTGTTCTTTTAACGATATCCTACGAGGGGTTCTTTTTCGTTGCATTCTGTGCCACTCTTCTTACTTGGGTGCGGCTAGAGACGGCCATCCAACAGTTCGAAACAGCCGGATCCGGCGGCACCGACACTACAACCTCAAGCATCTCGCATGGTGTGACGATAAACTCAACAACGCCTCAATCAGCGAATCTTGGGCCGGAAGCTACCTTCCGCACGGTTGCTCTGTCGGACATCAGACGAGCACTTTTCTTCCTTTTTTTCCTCCAATCCGGATTCTTCTCAACGGGCAACATTGCATCAATATCGAGTTTCAGTCTCGATGCTGTATATCGTCTAATTCCGGTTTTTGATCCTTTTTCGCAAGGGGCATTGTTGTTGTTTAAAATCATGGTACCGTTTGCTATTATCTCAGCGGCCCTGGGGATTCTGAACCGACGACTGGGTCTGCAATCCTCGGCGTTGTTTATGGTGGTGATGGCTATTAGTGATGTTATGACCATGAACTTTTTCTGGATGGTCAAGGACGAGGGGAGTTGGTTAGATATTGGAACGACTATCAGTCACTTTGTGATCGGGAGCGGTCTCTGTGTGTTTGTATCTGGGTTAGAAGGTGTGAGTGAATTGTTGATCAGTGGTGTTGAAGTTGAAGGGTTCCAGGCACAGGTGAGAGAACAAGGTGGAGTTGAGAAAGTGCCCAATGGTGTAAAGAGTAAATAGACGAGTTGGGAGGTATCCCTTGGGCATATTAGATCTCAGAAGAGATAGACGGTACAAAATCTGTCATCTTCACTCGCTGATATGGTAGCACATGAGCACCAAGTCACATAAGCCTCCGTGCTCTCCAAGAACCCGTGTTTTTCTACAACCAAACAACCCTAGGTATCTACTCCGTAGATGACAACTTCAAACCCTCGTCTGGTTATTCCGTCCTTAGTCCAAAAGCTACATGATGCAAGCTTTCGGGGAAAGGGCTTAAGCCGGACCATGAGCAGATTGGCCTCGATCAGGATGTACGAGTCATTCCCACCAATCAATCATAAGGCGATAAGAAAAGTCTCCGTGTCTCCTCGAGAGTCACAACGTGAGGGGGACGCAAAACGCGGGGCAACGTCAAAGGTAGATTGGATGAAGGTTCGGTATAAGGTCTTTGCCCGAAAGTGGACACTGGAACAGACGTTCATCAAAACGGTTGAAGGAAACCCGATCTTGGCCCAACTCTGCCGAAGATTGTGAAGAATGATGATTAAATACTAATATATGTCAATGGAATCCTGGGAGGCTTTCAAGTTGTTGTTGATGACCCGGGTCCACTCCACCACTTTGTCTCCCATTTCCAACGACATATACATTGCTCTAGGCAGTTAATCTACTACCGATGGCAGTCTCAAGTCTGGACTCGCGAGTATTTCGCAATTTATTCGGTACACAGCAAATCCGAGACATCTTTTCTGATGAAGCCTATGTTCGACGTATGATCCAAGTTGAAGCAGCACTGGCTAGAGCACAGTCATCGACAAATGTGATCCCCGAGAATATAGGACGAGATATCACGGCGATGGCAGATGAGGTTAAGATCGAGTAAGTAGAATGAATTGTCAGGTTCTTTTCGAACTTATCCAAACCAATCGACCTATCATCCATCCACTAGATGTCATCTAACCTTCCCCATCTCCTCTAATAGTTTCGACCGCCTTTCTCTCGAAACCGATATCGTCGGGTATCCCGTCCTCCCACTCGTTCGCCAACTAGTCGAAGCCACGCCCGATGCCGAGAGTGCGAAATACATTCACTGGGGCGCGACCACGCAAGACATCATGGACGATGCATCCATGCTCCAAATCAAAGCCGGATTGGAAATCGTCAAGAGCCAACTCGATGACTTGATCGGCATTTTACAGCGACTTTCCAAATCACATCAACATACTCCCATGGCCGGTCGAACACATCTCCAACATGCCTTGCCCGTTACCTTCGGCTATAAATGCGCCGTTTACCTATCTAGTCTTCTTCGCCATGTCGAACGACTACGAGAAATCGAAGCGAGGTGTTTACTCGTTCAATTCGGCGGTGCGGCAGGTACGTTGGCGTCGCTTGGAGAGGATGGATTGAAAGTACGGAGGCAATTGGCTGTTGAATTGGATTTGAAAGATCCGTCCATCACATGGCATGTGGCGCGTGATAATATTGCCGAAGTGGTCAATTTTCTGGCTCTGGTGGGTGGATCTTTAGGAAAGATTGCATTGGATTTGATCGTCATGTCGTCGAACGAATTTGGCGAGGTTTCTGAACCATTCGTGCCACATCGTGGTGCGTCGTCGACGATGCCGCAGAAACGAAACCCCATATCTAGTGAAGTCATCCTGGCGGCGTCCAAGTTGTTGAGGGAAAAGGCGAGTACTTGCTTAGATGCCATGGTGGTGGATTTCGAACGGGCTTCTGGGCCATGGCACCTCGAATGGTGTGCTGTTCCGGAAGCTTTTGTCTTGGTGGTTGGTGCTTTGCACCAGACGAATTTCGCATTAAGTGGTCTGGTGGTGAATGTGGACAATATGGCGTCGAATCTGCATTCTTCAAAAGGTCTGATTGTGGGTGAAGCGGTCATGATGGGTTTGGCCCCTTTTATTGGACGTCAGAATGCACATGATGTTGTCTACAGTGCGTGTAAGACGGCAATCGAGACCAATGACTCTCTGTTCAGTGTCTTGAGCAGTTTGCCAGAGGTGACTACCAAGGTTGATACGGAGCGAGTTCGAGAGCTTTGTGATCCTTTGAGATATATGGGCGGCAGCGCGCAAATGGTAGATGATGTCCTCCGTGCAGCAGAGGTATACTCGGGTCAAATACTTGGAAAGAAGACGACAACTAATGGTCATACGAATGGCTTTACTCACAAACTCGCCGACTCTCACTGAGGACATGTATTTCCAGGCTCTGGCATCAATGAGGAATACCTTCTATCCAACATGAACAGATTACGTGGAGCATGTTTTTGGGGTCAAAAAGAAGAATTTTGGGATTCGTCACTATCAGAATTAAATATTTCACCTTTTTATGCTTGATGATCATTCCCAGCACCCCGATCTGCAACACCTGTTGCATTGGTACTTCTGTTGGTAGGGTTTAGAGTTGTTGGGCCCTTTCCACCTTCGCTCGCGAGCTCAGCGCTTCCTACCGGTTCCTTACTCTCCGCACCGCTGAGGGTAGCATTGTGGCCGGCGAGGGGGCCACGAGGGTGGCCACTATCTTCTTGTAGTCGACGGAATTCGGTGTTGAGACTGGCATCGCCGCCAGTTAGACCTGATCCGCCTGGAGCTCCGGCGCCTTCGGGTCCAGATCTCTGTTTGGTTGCAGTATGTGCACCATCATGTCGAAGTTCATTCGATGTCTGGCCTTGTCCCGGATGACCGAGGCCTGTGTGTACATCGGCGGAAGTTGCACCAACTAGAGTCGAGCTGGCGGATGTTGAGACGTCTTCTTTGCCGTGTGATCGCAGAACAGATGGGTTGTTGCCTTGGCCGGGTGTCTCGCTACTGGTGTTGGGCTGGAATGTCTTGCTAGAAGGGGCGGAACCAGCGGGAAGTGTCTGCGCACTAAACTCGGGCGCGTGGTCGGCTGGGCTGACCTTTTGTCCTGGTTGATGCTAAGTAAGGATGGTTGTTAGTGTATGCAGAGAGGTTTTGTATCTTTCGAAGGGTAATCTTACGCCGTGAGTGGTCAAAGGCTCATCTCTCGGTTGAGTGGGCTTGAATTCGCCCTGGGCGTTGGTCATCGAGTCGGCGTTTCGTGCTGCCATGATTGTCTGCAGGAGTAATACAATGGTGTTTCTCAGGAAGTTTTTTGTACAGTTGTTGGTACAATGTTAAACTCTTAGATTGGTCATATGGAAAATGTATAAAGAATTGCTCATGTGAAGTATCCGTCGTGTGCCTTTTCGATCTTTAAGAATCTCATCTCGAGTATTTGACGTCATGTTGACGGTGAGTGATCTCATGTCGATAAATTTCTGAGCGTTTCTTTGCCTGGGCCAGGATGGATATGATCGTCAGGTACATGTGTAATGAGGTGGATTATATGATGGAATATATGTGCCGTTGAACGGTCGTCGACTTCCAGCCAATGAGATTGCGCGCATCTGCCATGGCTGAGACTCGTTCTGGATCCAGTGGCAAAGAGCCTCGAACAAACTCCAAATGTTTTGTATATGTTGATATTTCGATTGATCGCTATTGTGACCCGCAGATTATTGAAGGCATCTACAATTTGGTCACCATGTTAAGTCGCGAAATAGAGGTGTCAGGTGCAAGGATGAAATAGTCAAACATATGCTAGAGAACTCATGAACTTGACAATACTAGGTAGCTTATAGCATTGTAAAAGCGGCAGACGCCCCATTATTCGATGTCATCTGAATGTGAATATAATGTCCCATATAAGTTCCTCAAGCGTCAAGGACAGTCTGAAACCCTTCGCCGGGGAACGGGATCGGAAGCAGGCAGCACATCTGGCTCATTGTGTGGCATGTATTGCGAAGGCTCCTGAAAGGGAGAGGAAAGTCCAAAGTTGCTCCAGACGAGTCTTGATGGTCGGAGAACTCCAGAAATGAAACCAAAGCAATCATTTCACTACGGCCAACAAAAAGCCGTCGTAGTTCTTCTCCGAGACGGTCTGGACCACCACGGCCTCGACCTTTTCATTTGCACCAACGGACTCAATGAGATTCCTGATCCCAGCCACACGTGAATCTTTCCTTGCAAGTTCTTCATCAGCAACCATTCCCCTCCTAACCACGTTGTCGACGAAAATGGGGGTTCTGGAACGGACAGCCTGTAAAGCGAGTTCAAAATAGGCGAGGTTGTTCTCTTTGTCAGCATCGATGAAAACAAAGTCGAATTTGTCTCGCTCGCCGTTCTGGATCTCTTGGGTAAGCCTTGGAATCACGTCTATGGCGGGGCCTAGTTCAATGGTGACCTTATCACTAAGGCCAGCATTGGCAATGTTTTCCTCGGCGACCTGCTTGTGATGAGGATCGAGTTCGATGCTGGTCACTTTAGCATCATCAGGAAGCGCGCCGGCTATCCAGATAGCTGCGTAGCCACCCAAGGTGCCAACCTCAAGAACATTCTTGGCCCCGGCAATCTGAGCTTGAATGGCCAACATCTTGCCTTGGGCAGGATATGATGCGATGTCGGGCAGTCCTTTGTCGATGGAGTTCTTGTATGCAAACTCGAGAGCCTGATGGAACTTGTTGCGGGAAGGGTGAAGAAGGTGCTTGTTTGCGTATGCATCGACAGCATCCCATCGAGCATCGTGCTCGAGATATTGGTTGGTGGTGAACTTCTGAGCCATTCTGGATCTTTGATTCGTACGAGATTTTGAGACCTTGAAAGTGTTTGTTCTTCCTTGTTGAAAGATGCTCCCACCAGAGATGCCAGCGGTACCAGATCAGGTCATGTTGTGAGATTCGTGGTTGATATAGGTTCCAGTGGTACGAACTCTAGATTCGGCTTCGGCCTTGCGTCGGCCGAGATCGGTTATAATGTCCTGGTGCAAGGGTGTGACAATCACAGTGGCCATGGTGTAATCACCGTCATGGCTGATGCTGAGTTGACCGACTTGTTCTGTTATTCTGGACGGGGAAGGGTCAGAAGATCTGCGGGTGTCGCATATCATGTATGGGTTTCCGCTTGGCTCAAGATCAACCCTCAAATCAGAGAAGCTTAGCATGGTGGCACCCCAGGCTTTTTTGGCTGCCTCCTTAGCGGCCCAACGTCCAGCGAGCCAGGTAGCAACATGCTTTCTCCGATGTTCGGCTTGATGTTCGATGGATGTCCATTCAGGAAAGCGTCGAGTCAATTCGGCCAATTCATTGGGATGGAGAAAACGTTTGGTGAGACGGTCAAGATGACGTTGGTTGGGGTTCAAGGTTGGCAGGATGCGATTTGTGGCGATCAGGTCAGTGCCAATACGTATGTCTAGAGGGAAGGCGAGCCTCATCGGGCAGAAGAGGAGGAGAAGCACGTTGAAGAAAGGACTCGAATGGCGCAAGGAGAGAGGCACAAGATGCGTGGCTAGAAACACGAATGAAGTCAACAATCCAAAATTGGAGGAACGGGCAAAAGTGGGGGACACTCGTACCTTCCTTCAGTAATGGGTTATTGTTGTTGTTAGGGAAGGCACTCACGCACCGTAGTTAAATACGGTAGGCACGATGGGTAGGTAGGTAGGTACCTAATAATAAAATAATTGGCAGGCGCCTCCGTTATGCGAGGCTGGCTGTTTGCTACTTTCCTCCACGTTCGAGCTCCCCCACGCAATGACATTTTCATCATGTGAGGAGCAAACGGGATGCTATACGCGGTATGTGATGTCTAGAGCGACCGAGGTCCAAGTACAGAATATAAACTTCCTAGGTAATTCCACAATATCTACCAAGAAATAAATCCATTGGGGAAGCAAACCAAACCCCCTCAGTCTTTGGTTTCTTCGCTGGCAGACTGGTTACTTGGTAGGTGGCAATCCTCGGCGCTCAACTCCGCATCTTGGAGACGGCCGCGGTACAATCTTGTCTATAGTTTGAACAATATGAGATATGAAGTGTTCTTGTGTTGTGTTGACCTCAAGATCCATTCTATATCCTAACTCTTGCACAATACTATAGGTGACCAAAGGAATCATTTGTCATTATGAAGCACATTCACGCCGTCGGATCACCATACCAGGTAAGGATTTGGCATGTTGTTTCACCCCATCTTGTTTAACTTACAAGAGTATAGGTTGGTAAGCAGCATGGAGAAGGTGCCAAAGAGGAAGTGCATGGGAGCATTGCCTTTTATTCGGCATTTTTCAAGTCGCGCACCAAGCTGGAGTGGCCACAAGTCCAGGAAGTAGCACGCAATTTCTTACCATTGCTCGAGGGCTCATACCCCGACTATGTTGACGAGATGCAAGGCGTTGCCGATGGTTCAGGCCTAGATCTTGAGTCAATCATTGCACTCAATGTGCGCACAGAGATTGCTTATGGCTTGCTCAGCGATGGCTGTACTGTCCTGGCCTGGAAGACGACTGACTCAAGTTTCCTCTCCCAGAACTGGGATTGGAACTTTGACCAGACTCCAAACATCATTCGTCTCTCGATCCAACAAGATAACAAACCCAAGATTGACATGATGACCGAGGGTGGAATCATTGGGAAAATTGGCCTGAACTCGGCCGGCGTCGGAGTCACCCTCAATGCAATTCAAGCCCCGGGCGTCTCTTACAACAAACTGCCTTGTCATCTGGCCTTGAGGACGGTGTTGAACAGTACCTCTAGAGCGGATGCTGAAGAGACATTGCGAAAGATCGGTGTCGCATCCGCTTGTCACATCACCATCGCAGACGCGCGAACGGGTGCCAATGGGTTTGAATGTACCGCTGAGGACATTGTGGAAATTCCCCAAACCGAGGCTGGAATTCATACGCACTCCAACCATTTGATCAAATCGCACAAGGTGAAGGGAACCATGTTCTTGAGCGACTCGGACTTTCGATTATCACGCATTCAAGATTTGGCCCGAACGATCAACAAGCCATCAGTGCAAAATATCAGCGAACTTCTCAAGGACGAAACCAATTATCCTGCAGCAATCAATCGTGCTGTGGGAGAAAAGAGCACAAGTCAAACACTCTTTTCTATTGTCATGGATCTGGTCGCCCAAACTGCCACAGTTAAAATGGGACGTCCGACCGAGGATGGGGAAAGTTTTCAATTGAATCCTGGGCGGGGCTAGGATATCAGTAGCATATATGCCATGAGACAGCCATGGTTTCCATCCGTGTCCCAACAAGTTGTTCCTTCTCCCTGTCATCTAGCTTATGTACAAGATGTAATGTGTGGCCATTGTGGGGTGGTTTGGCCAGTCGCTAGGTTCGGTCCATCTTCTGTTGTTTAATGCTTTTTCGCCTTGTCTTCCTGTTCGACCTGTTGCAAGAATTCTCTGCGAGCACAGTTAGAACCCACTCTTTGACGATTAGATATTTTTGGCCAAGTCGTACTGAATAAACTTCTCCTCATCCTTGCTTCCGGCGTTGATAGGGGGTGTGGCGGCGGCCTTGGATGAACCTCCTCTTGTGAGCAGATATGGAACACCAAATGTGGTAGCAAGAGTGGCCATAGCCAGCTAGGGAGGTTCGAGTCAGTATCAGATGAATTTCTTCTCATCGCGCAAGGAGCTCGACCGGGGATCAAAGGGTCTTGTCGGAGGGGGTTTCATACATAGTGCGAGCCAATCTGGCGCCCGGCGATGGTATACATAGCGACCATTTTGACGGTAGAACAGAAGTGTAGAGGGAGATGCTGTAGGGTTGGAATTGTTGGATATTGTCAAATAACAGTAGATTTCAATATATTCATCAGACTGCGGTTGTAGCTTCAAAGCTCGAAGAGTACCTATGATCCGCAGGAGAGGATAGTGCTGCAGAGCAAACTAGCAAGAGCGCAGTTGATTCAGTCACGTGAGGGCCACGGCTTTTGGTGCGGAAGGTGCTCCCAGCCTACGGAGTACGGAGGAGGTAATTTCCACGTGCCTTCCGAAAAGACAGTCGTCATAGCTGGACTTTGCCGACTCTCCCCGGATCCTGGGGATAACCACCTACTTGTGCATATCGTGTAGGCACCGATTCCAAGGTGGTGAAGCCTGCACCTCGCATCAACGCCACTGGGCGAGCTATAATTCCCACTGAGCAGGCGACAGTTTTCACTTCCCAGTCCCTTACACTTGCATTCCTGCAGTCCTTCAGTCCCTGTTTCGATTACCTCGATTACCTTACCTCCATGGCGGGCAACAACAAGGAGCCCAACGGTACTGTGGGTAATTCAGCTTTTCCACGAGAAACATTGCCCAAAGACCTTCAGAAGCTAGTCGACCGCGAAGATGACCTGTTGGACAACATCTACGATGGGCAGGGCCCTGACACGACCGAGACGTCGGTGCGATATGCTGCGTATGCGAACCGTTTAAGAACTATCATGCTGTCTGCACACCGATATGTTGCATATACCTCAGATATTGGAGAGTCCTTTCGACCTGTGGCACATCCCTGGCTCGTTCGCGGCGCATACGGTGTTTCTTGGGCATATATTCTAGGAGACGTTGGCCATGAGGGCTTCAAAGCGTACAAGCGAAACCAGCGATTATTACATCCACAGAGCGAGGAATATAAAGATGCCTCGGATATGACCAAACCACCCATGCCTGCCAAAGGAGCTGAGCCCCAACGATTACCCATGCACATCCCAGCAATTGAAGACTATCGAAGTGTCATGGTCCAAAGGGCCGTCTTCCAGAGTCTCGCGTCTATGGGCTTGCCCGCCTTTACGATTCATAGTATTGTCAAATATTCGGGGAAGGCACTCAAGACGGCTTCCAATACAACATTGAGGACATGGGGTCCTATTGGAGTAAGTAGTAACTACAGTTGGTTTTTAAGTGCAACGCTAACAAATACAACAGCTCGGACTGGCAGCCGTCCCAGCACTTCCATATATCTTTGACGAACCTGTCGAAGCAGCAGTGGAATGGTCATTCTATCACGCATTCAAAGCCATTGGAGGGGAGGATGCAGTTGGACAACGACATTCCACCGGAAGAGAACACGAACTTCAGGCAGAGGCCAAACTTGCCAAAGCAAAGAAAGATTTATAACCTCAACAGTCGAATGTGTGTTTATCTTGAAGATCGACTGATATGGCGTCGCATTTCTACACTGGCATGTGGATGACGGTTCAGAAGTACATATATCTCTACTCGTTCTTGGTTTTATAGACCGAAAAGAACTCCAGTAGCGTGTTGAAGATAATGGTGTTGAGTTGATGTGGTGATCCAGAAGGACGTCCACAAGGCTGTGGTCTCAAGATTTGACCAACTTACCAACCTATGTACACGCTAACAATACAACAACCTCCCTTCAATCATGTATAGACCCCTCACAAGTTGACTGGTCTACCTATCTCTGTGTACTCCGTATGTATTTTTATGTTGAGCTCCGCATTTTAGCCGGCAAAGTGCCGTTGAACTTTCGGAGTGGTACCCCGGCACCGCAACCCGAGATAGTACGGAGTATTTCATGGGCAAATGGTTGGGCCCCTCGGGCGCCAAAGGAGCTTGTGGGGATGCCTAAGACCCCCTTAGGACTAAACCCATCTTAACTGAAAGCCCCCAATATGCAAGCACGGCTCCCGTGCCGCAGGCCCGGCGGTTAGAATCGCTTGATGATGGGTAATACGAGACCAAATTACCCATGGCACGTCCACGCATGATGACTCGATGTCATGTCGAGACGTCTTCCAACTTTTTTCTTGACAGACCTGTACTCGTGTCTTTCAACAGCATGTGCTCCCTTCGTTGAATGCCTACGGATACACACGTCATATTCACTTGTTGACGATCAGCCTGACCTTTTCACTCGTCACTCAGGTCAAACGAAAGCAGGACCAACAGGCTAACAAACAAACCCCGCGTCTCTATATACATACATACATACATACATACATATATGGCACGTGCCTATCGAAGATATCATCATTATGCCTTCTTTGACGACAAGATCAGATGAGGATGGGTCACGCCAAATCACCAGTTATCCATCCTCGGTGTCGATATCTACACATTCAATACCCATGCCATCTGTCAACGTCAACAAAGGCCGCGTGGATCCCGTTGAGGGGGAGGTAGCTGTGGTGCGGTGGAATACCACTAATCTAGGAAGCAGACTTGTTGCAGACATCATTTCTGCTGTCAGTGCCTCGGCCTTGATAGCACCCATCATATCTGTCATTGATAGGTACAGTTCTCTCCACTTCCATGACGCATTTGGGTTTGAAGCACCCGTATTCGTGTCTGTGTCTGTGTCTGACCTTATACTAGATCCATCGTCGAAAAGGCCGCTACCGGTGAATCATTCTCGTCATGTTTAGGCCGAGCACTTCGTCCAGCTTTGAAAAGACCACATGCATTTCTCACCTCAAGACCATTTCTCCTCATCTTGTCATTATATTCCGGTACATATGCTACAGCCAATACCGTGGACACAGCCGTGTCGACTGTATCGGCGAAACCAGCCTCTACAGTAACTTCAGGAACTACCAAATTCTTAGCCACCTCATCCGTCAACATGTCTCTCTGTGTGTATAAGGATTCGCAGTTCGCAAGAATGTTCGGCGGTGGAGGAACCGCCGCCGCCTCATCTCTGGCCGCTGGAGCCATTCCCAAAATCTCATATGCATTATTCGCTCTCCGCGACTCTCTCACCATTTTCGCATCTTTCAACCTTCCACCAATGATTGCTCCGCAACTATCGAACCTTCCACCCGCCATTACCAACCACTTCTCTAAACTCATCGGCTCTGAGTCCAAACGAGCAAATACCGCTCAGTTTCTTGCTCCGGCTGCCGTTCAATTTATATCTACGCCGATTCATCTCCACGGTCTTGATTTGTATAACCGACAAGGACGGTTAGGATTTCATGAGAGAGCGACTCGCATCTTGCGCGATTGGGGGGTAAGTGCTTTTGCTAGGATCGGAAGAGTTGTTGTAAGTCGCCTGTCCTTTTTGTCAACCTAATTTTAGGAGTATTCAACCTGACCCGTTACAGCCTGCATTCGGCGTTGGTGGAGTGGTCAATTCCAGCGTTAGAAGGAAGCTCATGAAAAAGCTAGAAAGCTAGAATGATGCATATATCTTTTTGGACATATGATGGTTTTGGGCAGACGGTCCATTTTGGGTCAAAAGCGATACACATAGATGCCTGGTCCATATGTCATTCGGTTGTTGATGCGTTCAAGCGGGCTGGCGTTGATATTTTGGGGATAAAATCGGTTGAGGACTTTGGGGGAACGGTCGATATCAACACCATGTCGTGCAGTGAGGTGTAATGATTGACTCTGGAACACTACAGGTGTTCTCATTACAGCTGACTGGGGACTGATTAACCAAATCTCACCAGAGAGGAATCTAGAGAATAGTATATACCACCATGTTACTTTTCAATCAAAGAAGTGATCATAGAGAATCCCATCCACGGTCAGATTTCCAACATCTCCTAGATAAACCCACAACCCACCCATCCATCCCCCTTTTATATCCCTCCTGGAGGACCATCATTCATACCCACTATCGATTCCCCCTCATAACCCTCAACAAATCCAAACCCACACTCCTCCTCCAACTCTGGTCCCACCACCCCCTGGGCCAAAACCGATCATAAAACCAAGTTCTCCACGCGCCCGTCCCTCTCCAAACCTCCAACGGCGGATTCCTCCACGACCTCGTAACATCACCCACCACATTCCTCGCCCAAACATCCGGATCCTCTCTATCTGGAAAAGCACCTCTCATCGCCGATTCCGTCTGTGCTCGGATCGGGAGATATAGACTCGTGGCCGGTAATGAAGCCCTACCATCCTGATGATTGGCGTGGAAACTCGAATGGACACATCCGGTCTTCAGGTCGATGACTTTAATATCGAATGGTTCAAGTTCGATGCGCATGTGGGTTGAAAACATAGCGGCGGCTGCTTTGCTGGCGTGATATGCGGAATTATGCGGTGTGGGTTCGATGCTGGAGACGGAGGTGTTGTTGATGATGAGGCTGCGTGATGAGGAGGACTGTGAGGAGTGTGTCATGAGAAGGGGGAGGAAGGCCTGTGTCATAGAGATGTATGACCAGACATTCAAGTCGAATAATTGTTTGCCTTCGGCAATGGAGAGGTCGGAGATGGGCATGTTATAGCCTAGAGATGAAGGGAGGGGTTTGGTCAGTATACCTGTACCTATTTCAATCGCCTTTCACCAGTTCCCTTGGTATACAGGACTGTAAAGATAACTCACCTCCACCAGCATTGTTAACCAAACAACTCAACCCCGCTACATTTCTCCCACTCCGAGCCCCCTCATCAATCAATCCTTCCACGGTCGCCACACAATTGTCGATACTAGCCTGGTCCAGAACATCTAGTTTCACTAAGTCGATATCGACATCGACATCAATATCGACAGATTCGTCATCATGAACCTGGCGACTTCTCTTTCCTCTTTTGGTCAGAGTTCTCGTTTTGGCCTCGCCGATCAATCCTTGCATTTTCGCCTCATTTCTCGCCGTTGCGAAGACGCGGAATCCGGCATCGTGGAATGCCAGTGCAAGTGCATAACCTAGACTGTGGGTTGAACAGCCGGTGATGAGGACGGTTTTTTTGTTTAGTGTTGACATTGTTCTTGTTCTGGTCCTTGGTTGTTAGATCGTAAAGCGTGTTGTGTGCGTCTTGGGTTGTAACAAATATAAATATAAATCTCAAAATCAATCCGCCTTTTTGGAATGCTATAGCTAGTACTTTCTCTCTTTCCTCTTTGATCACTTTTTCAAACGCATTCGCAACCTTCCTCTACACTGTCAAATAAAGAGTCATTGAATTTAGAAGGGAATTTTGTGAGTAGCTGGCAATATGTTGAAGAGGTTGCAGTCAAGTTTGGGTTCAGTGGTTCTCCACTTTCTCGAAAGGGCGGATGTGTCATTCGTCGTCGCCACTACCGTGGGATAACTTCAAGTTGTAATACTAAATACGTATGCCACAGGGATTATAGGATGGATGCACTGGACGGTGCTGACTTGACTAGTCGAGAGGACCTTTGAATTACAGTAGACTCCGTCAATCAGTTTCAAATTCGACATGTTTGTATACTATGTACTTATCGAAAGTCGTCATTCAACAGGACAAGGGCTTCATGAGATCTCCTCAGAAACAGCATTGAAGAATACATATGGCTTATTCCGTCGTAAGGACCATGAACAACAGCTGCAATTCGTCAAACGTTGAAAAATTCGAGTGATTTCGAACAAATCTCTTCAGCTTGAATCTCTAAACATATCCTATCGCTATCATAATGTCTCTTCACCACTCATTCTCCTTCCCCGATCTGGCGGATTGTGCCATCACCCTTGTTACGATCCAGTGCTGGGTGCAAGACACTGATCTGGGCAAGATGAGCAACTCTGATCATCATGGCGCTTCTCCAACCACGATAAAACATCAATCTCCCGTGGCCAAATGGCACCTCCCTACACTGATGTATTGGGTGAAAATCCTGCCTTGTTCTTCGACGCGAGTCGGGCTGCCTGATTCGGGTCTTCAATGCATGCTTGGACGTCCTGCTCGCCGAAATGCCGGTCCAAAATGTCGATCATCGGACATGTAGCCTTGAGATGAGTTTGGTCTTGCTTCTCCAAGGTACGATCGTCCAAACCAGGCCGAGGTTCGAAGCCCAACTCGCGTATCGTATCTGTAAACGTGCATGTCCCGCTACCCGTGGGAGCGAGCGACATCTCCTCGAAACGGCCTGTATCTATCGGAAACGTGCACTGCATCTTCCCATGACTTCTCCTTGGCACACCAACTCGGCGTTGAATTCCGAGCCATCCAGGGTCAGGTAGATATCGAAGTAGACGCGGTAGAAAGTTCCCTGTGGCGTATCCATGCGTTCAAAGTCCTTTTCGAGGTTTTTGCGTGAGAGGTCCGACGTCAGGGTGACCACCTCCTTGATGCGCGGGTCTTTGGTATATTCAGGGCTAACAGGGTTAGTCAACAGACTCAGATATAGAATGATTGCAGAATAACTTACCAGACATCTTCGTCACAAGCGTACAAAATATCCTCGTACATCAAAGTGGCGCCTGGGGCGACTTGACGGAAGAATGAGACCTTGACGGGTTCGCCAATCTTGACTCGTTCGCCCTTTTGCACAAACACTTGTCGAGTATATTTGCAGCGATCCTTTCCATCGAGTGACGGAACACGATATTGCTCAGGATGGTGTCCTTCCTTGAAGGGCTGCAATGTTGCCATGAGATAGTGTCTTCTGGCAACGCGGGAGGTGACGACCCTTTCGGTGATACCGGCTGTAACAGCGCCTTTGACAATGGCTGCAACAGAGTCCATAGGTCGTACCACCTTCGACTGGAACTGAGGGGGAACATGGAGTCTGATCTGCTGGAAAAGATACTCGGAAGCACCGAAACCACCGACGACCAAGACATTTTGCAATGCTCTGTTCTGGGCTTGAATGGCAATGATCTGATTGCGCACGAGTTCCAGGATACGATTGACCACAGGCTCGAAGCACTGCAGAATTTCTTCATTGGTGAATGTCATGTAGCCTTCCTCGATACCGGCTTCGGGGAATTCAGCCTCGATGCCAACATCGACAGCCCATTTCTGGCCGTTGTTTCGGAAATCGGCCTTTATCCGATTCTCAAAATCCATGATACATTTTGCATAGACTCGTCCGGCAGTTTTGGAACCGTCTGGTAGTTTCATCTTCCGAATTTTGGCGCGGAGGATGTTTGAGAAATTTCGATTGAGGGCGGTTGAGCCACAAGAGTCACCACTACCGGCAGTACACTCGGCGACGGTAAAAGGAGTTTCCTCTTCGACTTCGTAGGCGATCAGATCGACGGTTCCACCACCGCAATCCACAATAAGAACTGCGTCATGGATCTTGAGGTTGAGGAGGCCGGTTTTGGAACAGAACATTGCAGCAGCTTCGGGTTCGGTGATGAGGGTGAGGCGATTGTCATTTTCATCACGAATAAATCCTGCTTGGATGGCGGCGGCCCTCGTGGCAGCCTTGCCGGCATCGTTCCAGATGGCAGGAACGGTCAAGAAATATCGGATGTTTCGTTCTTCTCTGCTAAAGACTTCACCCAAAGTCTTTTGTAATTGAACTCTCATGGCGCCTCGCAGTTTGAAGAGATAGTCGGCGGCAACGTCAATCTCTGACTTGCCAGGAGGTAGGGGGGGAAGGTTGATGGGATCGATATATGTGTTTCCGGAGAGCATGAGTTGCAACTTGAACCATTCAACCTTTTGCACGCCAGGTTTGGGATAGCCGGTAGGGGCAAGGGCGTCCGCAATGTCAGGACCCCATCCGACGACCTTTTGATATTGGTCGTAGTAGAGTACGGTGGGAATCTAGATGAACAAGTCAGCGGGAGAATGGGTGTGGGGATTCTTCTCGAGATTACCTTTTGTTTGGTTTGATTTCCAGCACCAGGCCACTCGGTGATGATGTCCTCCTTGGCCTCAGTGTTTGTCGCAAAGGCGAAAGCGACACCTGAAAAAGTGGTTCCCTAGAAAAAAGGTTAGGACTGCGTGCAGACTGGGGAAGACAGTGCGTGATGACTTACGAAATCAATGCCGACAATGAGTTGAGCCTTACTACGGCCGCCTCCATCGACTTCAGCTGGACGCGGTGGTCCATATTGATTTGCCATGTGTTGCTGCATACCAGGTTGAGGAGGTTGAACTTGCTGACCATAGGCACCAGCATACCCTGGGGGCTGCAGTTGCGGAGCACCACCAGTATAACCTCTGGAGGTGTCTATGGGAGCTGGATGATGTGCCATTTGATTCTGACCTGGTGGGGGCATAGGACTCTGGGGACGACCGGCAGCAGTGTTGTACTGGTAACTGGGAGGACGACCAGGAGCGCCAGGCTGATTCATGGGAGGCAGGCTGGTTTGAGAGGAGTTGGGAGGGGGAGGAGTACCGGTGGTGGTGGAGATGGAACCGTTGGGCGAGGCGGAGGAGTTGTTTTGGATATTGGCACTGCTCTTGCGTTTGGAACCGAAGCCTAAACTCTTGAAACGAGAGTTCATGACATCGACAAGTCGAGGAAAGGGAGCAGCAAGGGAGAGGGAAGGGGGTTGGCGACAGATGAAGAATGAGAGATGGAGATGCAGGTGCAGGAGCGAGGGTGGCGCGAGGATGCGAGAGTGAGACGGAGTGACCCAGGAACTGAAGGGTCTGTGTGGACGTGGAGAGGGTGAGGGTGAGTAAGTGGGAGAGGCTGAGAAACACAAGTGAGCGAGTGAGCGAGTGAGCGCGGGAACGGTCTGGTACGGTCTGGTTCAGAGTTGCCCAAGGGTGGGTGTGTAGCGCATTTGTGCAATGAGTTTTGGCCGGGTTGTCAAGGGCAGAATTGGGGTCTAATTCTTTGTGGAGGATTGGGTTCTATTACCAATACCAACACTGAGGCGCAGTGCAGTGCAGTGCAGTGCAGTAGGTGATTTGAAACCTACGCTCGATGTATTGCACAGACGTGTTGTTGTAGTCGGGCAGTGCCTGAGAATGATGGCACCGAGTAGAGAAGAATCTCGAAGATGGCGAGATGCTGGAACCTCACTTCTCTCTAAGCATCAGCAACAGTAGCGGCAGCAACAATGGCAGCAGTTCCAGGTCGAACTCTGTTATACGGTGTCGCCAAGGGAAATGGTCACAGGCTGCAACTTCAACTGATGCGGGCCTGTCGCAGCGCAGCTTACGGGGGGAGGGGTCACTTAGGCGTTGGTGTTGCTCGTTGTTCGTTGGTGGGCTGGGCGCGATGGGCCGCTAGTTTGGGTTGGGCTGAAAGGGTTGATTGGGGCGAGGGGGGCGCGAGGCGGTCGGACGGTCACTACACGTGCGTTTTGATTGCACTTTGGGGCAATCCACGAGAGGCGGAGGCGGCACAACGCACAACTCAGCGCAGTGGCACAGAGGCAGATTCCCTTGAAAAGCAGCAAGTAACCAAGTACCAAGCTATTGATCAAGTAGATCTCTCTCTGGTGAGAACATCTAACGTCATCATTTCCTAGTATTGACTCTGGTCTGGCTGTAGGAGAGACAACGAGCCCGCTTGCAGCGTGAATCCTGCCTAACCCCGGCTGTAGTAAAGGCCAGCGAAGTTTCTCAGTTGGGGAACAAAGCTGCTCATCATCATTGTGCGTGCAGGAGGATTCCTTCAGCTTCTTCATTAACCGAAGGTGCCACTCAATCACTCACCCGGGCGATGTTAGTATCACTCAGCAACCATGTCGACGCAGTTGCCGGCCACAATGACTAATGATTGAACTGGCCTTCAACAGTAGCGCTCCACTGTGTGTTGGCCAATATAAGCACTTCTGTATGTACCTCGAATCAAGACATTAATCAAGTGGAGGGCTTCGTCACCAACATGTGTCGAATGTGTCTTTCATGGAGCAGCGCGAGATCTGCCACTTCGCCCCCAATGATAGTGGAGAGGGGGTGGCTTGGCGCTTCCAGCCGCACTGTGCAGCCCTGTGCCATGTGCCCTGTGCCCTGTGCGCCATGCCAGATGGGCGGGCGGCGGCTTCTTCCGTGGCAGCAGCGTGGTTGAAATGGGCATCTTTGATACAAATCGAGAACAGGGCTAAGGGTCTCAGAGCCTCAGACAAACTCACCCGTAAGGATAATATGACACCGAGTGTATAGGTAATCAGGTCTAGTTAACAGAAACTGGAGTAAATTCTTTAGAAGATTGCCAGGTTGACGCCGATCTTTCAGACGGTGTTGAAATATGGATAGGGCCTCTCGCATTGGCATATATGCCAGATCCGAGTGTACAAATTTGCTTTGGGCCTCGAATGAATCCACAACGAGCCTTCAAAAGAGCAGACCTTCGTGCGCAGGCCTGCTTTTGCAATCTCTTTTGACAATACCAATTCAGAGTGTGTCTGCTGATCATCCATCACATCCCTTGTGAGGATCTTGAGAGTGACAAATCGACTTTTCTGGAACCTCCACCTATAGCCTTGTCAAAAAGGGGGCTCGATTCGACGTCATAGTGGAAATGATGACCTTGTTACACTTTATAGGTTGCAAAGCCATAAATTGCCATGCTTGCCCAGGCATCACTTGCATGAAGTTGCATGGAGGTGATATGCAACTCACATGATCAGGCTGGCCCCCCTGAACACCACGTGATCAAGCAGTATAGAACCTATATCGCAGTGGAGATTCTCCAGCTACAACAGTCTGTCTTGTGGCAGGAGATACACTCCTCCCACGTCACAACAGTCCCTAGAGTCTGACAATCTTGAAGCTAACCTCCTCCGGCGTGGGAGAAGAAAGTTCACTTGACATACTTTTGCTTGCTAGCCCACAAACTACCGAGAAACTTTCACCAGCACAATAATGAACAGTTGGATGTTAATACTTTTTATCAGATTAATGTGAAAATTAACTCTAGTATTTTACTAAATTACTCCTTGACGCAGGTGCAGTGCAAGCTCAAGTTTTGAGGTTTCGACGTGTTAGCAGTCGGCCTCCAGGACAGCATTATCAGCCATCTCTCTCATCCACATAATATTAAGGAAAGTCATGTCGTCGATACCAAGTTCGTCAGAAACGTAATTTAAGCCAAAGCGACCAAAGCAACCAAGCCACCGATGAGGGCGACAGCGGGCTTGTTGTTGCTGGCAGCACCAGTGAAGGTAGCTGGGGCAGCGGTGGTGGGAGTGTAGGTCTGAACCGCAGGAGGCTTGGTGGTGGGAACGACAGTGGTAGCTGGGGGAGGAGCGGGAGCGGTGGTAGTCCAGTCCTCCCACTTGGACGAAACGGGAACAACGGGAGCTGGGGCAGGGACGGTGGTAGTCCAGTCCTCCCACTTGGACGAAACGGGAACAACGGGAGCTGGGGCAGGGACGGTGGACTCCCAGTCAGCCCATTTGGTGGAAACAACTGGAGCTGGGGCAGGAGCGGGAGTGGTGGTGGCCCAGTCCTCCCACTTGGTGGTGGGAGCAACAGGCTTGGGGGTGGTGGTGGTGGTGGCCCAGTCCTCCCACTTGGTGGTTGGCACAACAGGCTTGGTGGTGGTGGTGGTCTCCCAATCCTCCCACTTGGTGGTTGGCACAACAGGCTT